ATTTCCCCCAAGCCGAGACCATAGCCAAGCAAATGACGCCAGCAACACTTCAAGGGCACAAGCTCTACGAAATCGGACCGGGAAGCACCCCCGTCATGCTCCCATCATCCAATCCATTGGATAGAGTCGAAGGGATGCTCATTTTTGGACTGGACGCTGACCAGCGCAACGCAATCTATGAAAAGGAAGGCGGACTGATGGAGTTGGTTAACGTGCAGGTGGATATCACTCAAATCGATGGTCTTTTGCTTGAACATGTTATTCTCAGTCGGAGGGTTGTTGATGCTGGGGCGTTTGTTTGGGTGGGTTGTCGGGATTATCTGATACCTATGGATAAGAGTGCTTGGCCGGTTGATGGGTTTCTGGATAGTCAATTTTATGAGAATATTTGTTTGTCTCGACGGACGGTGATGATGGAGTGGGAGTTGAAGGAGATGTTTATGGCGGATTTTTTGGAAAATTCTTTATAGGATAGGAAAGGAGATGGGGTTGGTTGGATGGGTCAGGCGTGTTGGGATTGATTATGAAACTCACGCAAGATATGTGCTACGGCCAGATTGTTTGCTTTTGCTAGGGTTTGCATAGGCGTTAATGCTTTGGTGAATAGGATTGGGGCGTTATGTTGATACTAGATGATCGTCTGCCTTGTTTAGCATCGCAAGCTAATAAAATAGCGGTCCTCCCGTTCCTGATCTAAATCTCTATGGCCTCCACCCACCCACCCACCCCACCAGACAAAACCGGGATATAAACGCTCAAATGAAATACAAAACCAAGCCGTCCTCAATCTAACCATATCACGACGATCCCGTCGCAGCCCAAGAGTCACAGAATTCCCAAGCACCAGCCAGGAAACTGACAAACCCGGTCAAATGCTCAGGGAACCCGATGCCTTTCTCGAAACACCAATGCAGACACAACGGAGCCCAGCATACGTTGTTCATAAGACTCTTTCTCCAGGACCGAATCTCCGCCTTCAATGCATCCTGTTTCTCCTTGCTATCTGCAGTAGCCATTTTCCTTTTCCGCAGCACCGTCCCTCTCCATAGGACGAAGAACTGGAAGAAAATGTGTCCGAACCACGCCCGTGTACTCCAAATATACCACTTATCGATACCGCCCCATCGGTCGACGAACCGTTTCGAAACTATGCCCTTCGACGCAAGATAGCCGACGTTCTCGAGGGCCTGGTAGATGACGTTCACGAAGACTTGGAGGAGGGTGAGGATGTAGAGGATGCGGTCGGCGGGCGGGGATTTGATTGTATGGGAACCCCAAGTCCATAGTGGGACGAGACCGAGCAGTCGTAGAGTGAAGCGAGTCTCAGACATGAGGGAGGAGAGGGCGAGGAGTCGCGGTTTTTGCGACGCTGATGAGGATGTAGGCTTAGGGCTGGGGGATTTGGAGTGGTTTCGAAGCCGAGCGAGAAGGCTTAGTCGGGTTTGAAAGGCTATCCATGGTGCAGAGGAGAGGATGTGATGAAGCGTATGCGCAAGGTAGCCGGTTACTGCGAGGACTCGTTCTTGACCGGCAGCTGTGGCCATGAGCCTGGGTGGATGGTATTAGTGGGACGGTGTGCGCGGGAATTGAGCCCCGGGGGCTCGGGATGACTCCATTAGAATGTTGCGAGGGAGAAGCGCTCACCTGTCCAAGCGGTCGACAGTGCCATCAGTTGTTTGAAGAGCTGCCAGCAGCTGGCGTCGAGCACTGTTTATCGACGATACCGGCGGTGATGTCCCCGCAGGGCTCACCGGGTTCCCCTCACCGTGGTTTTCAAACTCGGCCACGGCGGCGGGCGCAGAGGGGTCGGGGGAGGGTTCGGGGTCTGCCATGGTGTTCGGTGGTATATAGTGGCATTTCCGAAGTCTGGACAAGGAAGGATGGGACCTTTATCTTCGGAGAAGGAGAGTGTGATCATCAGCATCTGATCAGCATCTGCGCTTGGCGCGGTGCCGAGGTTCGGAATTGGCTCGGAACGATGGGTCTGGATGGACCTGCCAGAGTGCCAGTAGTGCCGAAGGTGGGTTAGATTATGGGTTAGATTAGATACTCGCCCCCATGCTTAACTCGACATTTCCATTACACTGGGAGAGATACCGAGGATCGCATTTTCATTATCAACCTGTCTAGTTACATAGTGTCCCTTCCAACAACCGCTATTGCTAAAAAATACACGGCAGGGAATATCCACCCCACATGATGATGAAGCACACAACTCAGAGTTCCATATTCAGCCCTTGAAAATGGGATCACTTGAAATAGCGATTCTAGATCCGATACAGTCAGCTGGATACCAGATGTCTCTATTTTCATAACCACTTTTCACTCCCCACTCCACTTCCCACCTCTCCGCGTTGTATCTTTTAAACATCATTTCCTGGACCTTCAGGCACACCATTTCCCCTTGTCATTCGCAAGATTCGGGGTCAAGGGGGCAGCCACCCGATTCGTCGTCGTCATCTTCACTGTCGTCTGGTTCCGGTTCCCTGAATTGCTCCTCATGCTCCTCGATGATGGTCGCCGGTATACAGACGATCGTACGCAGGAAGTGACCTGGCAGATTAGGGCGCTTGGGGTGCTTGTTGATGCTGTTCCATGCGGTATGATAGCTCAACAGCTGGGGCCAGTAAGCAGGCGTCTGCTCAGAGGAAGAAGAAGATGCGGTCTGCGGACTACTGGCACTGGGGCTTGCAGAGGTTTCGGGAGGTATGGTAGGACGCCGTTCTGGTAACTCTCTATGAGAAGGGGTGGGTGGTGGAACAGAATTGAACCTATTGAAGAAGCCAGTAACAACCCCCGCGATCTGAGTGGTAATAGGAGCAAGAACGCAAGTAGACGGAGTCAAAGACGGGGATCTGAAGGATCGGTTACTCAATGATCTAGGTATCAGCCGCCTGAGCCCCCTACGGGATGGCCCAGTACGCCCATCAGATGATACGGTAGATTGTTCAGTGACAGGTCCAGCAGAGGGTCCAGTAGAGGGTCCGACAGAAGGTCCGGCAGAAGGTCCAGCAGAGGGGCCGACAGAAGATCCAGCAGAGGGGCCGGCAGACGAACCAGGTGAAGAAGAGGTTATTCGTTCAGCAAGAGGATGTGAGTGGCGAGAGACGTTGGGGTGAGGGATAGGAAAGCGCCTGAGTCCCAAGTTTCTCACAACATTTGCATCTGAGATAGAGCGATCACGCAGGTCCCACTCGGACGGGGCTCTGACTGTCGTGTCTCTGCATGTCTCGTTGATGCTAAGCCAAACGCGTTCCTGAAGTCGAGGCGCACAATTATGACAAGCGCGATAACTGCAATGAGGGGGCCCAAGGCGGACGTTTGAGGAACCTTGGATAGCCGGGGGACCTTGGTCCTGTTGTGCTATATCTTCAATAAAGTCGACGTGTGGGTTGTCGTCATCGTCGTCGGGATCAATGCCATGTATGACTTCCGTCATTGGAAACGCAACCATCTGACTATCTCTATGCCTGGCGGCCAGTTCCAAGACCCTCAACTTTTGCTGCTCGAGGATCTCCTTTTGTACACCGTTGTAGCAACCAGCCTTGATGGCTTCTGAGATCCAAGAACTTAGAACTGGGCCATGGCCAGGATCCATCTGGTGAGAGTATCCAGTGGTATCCACACCACAGCGATAAAACCATCCGAGAGTAGGTATATTGCCACAGGAATCGCACGTTTCATACTCATCTATGGCATAGTCGATGACTACCACGTCGTGCTTGCAGTCACGTTGTCCCCGGCTCCAGGCGTCTTGATCATCGTAGTCAAAGAATGGAGGATACAAACGAATTCGCCCATCATCTGAAGGAGGAGATATAAGATCGAAGAAGGTATCCACTGTCGATAGATCAAAGAATGGTCGAACCCGGCTGCTTCTGGCAGAAGCTTCACTTTCCAGAGGCGGCTCCGAGGGCGACCTGGGTCTCGAGGGCGGGCTTTCGGCATTTTCCTCCCCATTATCAGGCAAATCGGAAGACATGGCTACAGCCACGGGATAGGATAGGAGAGACACGGATGGTACAAGGATGGGGGTGGAGAGTGTGGTCAGCAAAGGTGTGATGATGAAGGCGTGATGATGAAGGGGATCATCGTGTGAAAACAACGACAGGCCCGTAACATCGTATCAGACTTGGGCGTGTTTGATCTGTTCGCAACACTGAATTGGCTCACAGTCTCGGCGCCCAGGGTAATAAAAACACCACATGCCCCAAGAGGGCGTCCACAATGAGGGTTCTTGTCAGCACGGCAGCAGGAGAATGGACGCCAGGGCGACAAGCCCATGGCCTACACGGATCAAGTCGTAATGGCGACATAGCAAATGGAGTGTTCAGAGGAATCAAGAAGCATTCAATTTCTACATGGCAATATGATGATATGAACAGATGGCTCTGCCTGTGTGATTGTCAGTTATTCAAGGTCATGCATAGTAGGGGTGGCCAGATATAGATACTTAGAGGATGAGTCCGGATACTCTTTGTTTAGGGCAGCACTTGGCATGCACTGCTCAGGGCTCCCGGTTTGAGCTGTTTCTACAGACGAAGTACATTGTGCCTGTCCAATTGGTTGGGGACTGATCAAGGATTGCCCCTCACAGGCAGGAGAACCCGATCAACTGCACGTAATGAGTCGTATAATACAGCCACCATCTACAAAGAAGAGAAGGGGAAATAAAAAAAAAAAAGAAGGCAAAGGGAAAGAAAGACAATACAAATAAAAATGGTAGATATTTTTGATTCCCGACCACGGCCAGGGGACAGACAGAGGCGTTCGTCGGGAGGTGGACAAGTCGTCGGAGGTGACCGAAGGCGGGCTGGGGGCGGCGGGTATAAAGCAACGCGCTCGCCATTTGCCGACCTCGTGGCCGACCGTCTATTCCCCTCCAGTCCAGAGAGTCCCAGAAGTCCTCCACCTCATCCCGACTGTGACTTGCGTTGCTAGACTACGGACTAGACTACCGACAATCAGCTTAGGGCGGGTTTTGGTCCATCCTCAATTGTTCCGTGGTTGACCGAGCGTTCTTATCCGCGTTGACCTTCCCCATACTGCCAGGAACTGGTCCCAATCTGTTCCGACCTCGGTAAGCTTCGCTCTTGACCTTCCCGGCTGTTGGTTATTATTATTCCTCGTTAGCATGCCGTGTTGCTGTTGCTGCCCATAAACAAACCAACCGAACCCTCCCCCCCCCTGGTCCCTCTGTTCCCCTTTGCCTCGCGGGACAGCGCATCTTCCGTCACCAACCCCATGTTTTCTACCTGATCTCAATCTCAATCTCAATCTCACTTTACAACCTCCACCTCCACTTCCCCATCATCATTCCATCAGACCCCATTGTGGTCTCTGTCTCTCTCCTTGTCTTGCTTGGCTGACCGTGTCCCGTAATCCCCGTAGCCGTCGTCTTCTTGACTTATCGCATCCCCTGCGTCTCGTCCGTCTAGTTGACCATATCGCGCGCTTAATCCTCAACCTTCTCTCAACCTCAGCCCCAACCACCCACATCAACAATCATGTCGGCCAAATTCCAAGACGTGGCCACCACCACTTTCCAGGACGTGTCCGCCAAGTTCCAAGATGAGGCCGTCACCTCGATACGGGAAGATACAAAGGAATTGGTGCACAAGGTCGGAAATCGGTTGACTGGCGATGGCTATCTCGCTGTAGGTTTGCATCTGCAAGAATGCCCCAATGCGTGTTCGCAGTCCACTGATTGAGGCAATGCGATCCCTTATAGCTCTACCTCCGCCAACTGCAGTCGAACCCCCTGCGCACCAAGATGTTGACATCCGGTGTCCTGTCCAGTCTGCAAGAAATCCTGGCCTCTTGGATCGCGCATGATGTCAGCAAGCATGGCCACTACTTCAGCGCCCGCGTTCCCAAGATGGCCCTCTATGGAATGTTCATCAGCGCCCCGCTCGGCCATTTCCTCATCGGCATCCTCCAGCGGGTCTTTGCTGGACGGACTAGCGTCAAGGCTAAGATTCTGCAGATCCTCGCCAGCAATCTGCTTGTATGTTCGATCTATACCTTCTGATATACAGCGGAAGTTCTGACGCAACGCAGGTCTCCCCCATCCAGAATGCCGTGTACCTGAGCTGCATGGCGGTGATCGCGGGCGCGCGCACCTTCCACCAGGTCCGCGCAACCGTGCGGGCCGGTTTCATGCCCGTCATGAAGGTCAGCTGGGTCACCTCGCCCATCGCGCTGGCCTTTGCCCAGAAGTTCCTTCCCGAGCACACCTGGGTGCCCTTCTTCAACATTGTCGGGTTCGTCATTGGAACCTACGTGAACACGCACACCAAGAAGAAGCGTCTTGAGGCCCTCCGCAAGGTAAGTTGACCGCCACCTCTCCGAAGACCGAAAGCAATCAATCGCTAACATCATATGACAGCGCTATGACCAACGTCGCGGTCCCGGTAGCGAGTACGACAAGGGCGACTACCGGTAGACAATGTAAATATTCTGTACCTACCTTACGACTACCGACCGGTCGTGTGGATTGCCTCTAGGGATCGATTTGGGCCGGAACTCCCGGTCGGATATGGACCCCTCCGAAGCCGGAAGGGCCTGCCGGGAGAGCGGCCACATCGGCCAGAGACCATCCAGCACCATGATACCTGTTGTCCATCCCCTATGACATCCTAATTTGACCTGCACATATTTCTCATCTAGCTCAAGCGTCGAGATGGAGATGTGTCTGCGCTGCACCTGTTACGATGAATGTGTTTCGTTTTCTCTTACTTATCCTGGCGACCATCTGCATACCTCTTCTTATCTACCACCACCGCCATAGTACCCTATGCCAATACAACAAAATCTAAGATTCCCCATCTAAACCAAGCCACCACTATAGTAAAAATCCATTTAACCTCCGTAAAGGCATCCCATTATCTACCTAGGAAGATGCGCACCCTCTACTCAACATCCATAGCCTCCGAGTTCTTTCCTCTCTTCTTCTGCACCCACTCAACAAAGTCATCCAAAGCACCCGGCCACGCCCCATCCGCAGTCCACCATTCAAAGTTCTCATCATCCTGGGTCTTGCGCATGAACACCTCCAACTGCTCCCACAGATCCTTGTTCACCGGACGCTTTCCACGCTCCTCCAGAAACTCAATCCACCAGTCCAACCACGGAGTCGTACGGGTATTCCACTGCACTCCGCCGTTCTGCGGCGTGAAGAAGAGGCGCCACTGTTCGGCCGCGATATCGAATTGCAGGTTGCGCTGGCCTTGCATGCGGCAGAGCGGGAAGGTGAAGCGGTACACGCGACGGAAGAGGTCTGGTTTGATGGGGATTCGTTCGCGAATGTCTGCAGCGTGGGAGATCATCTTGCTCACTGAGTCGCAACTGGTTTGTGATTGGTTAGTTGTGGTGAGTGCTGGAGGAAAGGAGGAGGCGTACCCGGTGGCTCTCCAGCCGTTGAGGAATCCTTCCCGGGTGAACTCGCCCATGGATGGGGATTTGAGAAGCTCGGCGATCCCAAGGCATGCGACTTCGTCTAGGCCCACTTGGATGTCTCCGTAGAATTTCATGGCTCCCTCGATGCCGATTCCGTCGGGGTTATCTGAGGGTGAATCTGGTTTGGTTAGTTGGTTGCGATGCGGGTATAGTGATGTAGGGACGAACCTCGGTAGCTGTCAAAGATCTTGTTGAGTGCAGTTGTGCTGGCACCGGCACCTGAAGGGCTTTGGAAGTATCTAGATGTTGTAGTTAGCGCCTGTCAGGGGTTTGATGGATTGATATTAGTCGAGTAGATCCGCTTGAAGTATGTGAAAAGGGTCCTAAGATGTCAATGCTAGATGGCTTCATGATGTCGCGCTCAGATCGATACGCAGGCCAGGTGATCTCAAGTGTCGGAAATCCGCTTGTATTGCTATTGTACTAGCAGATCGTAAGTGACGGCGGCACGTTTATGTTGATCTTGAAGATATCAGATTGATTAGACCCCAAGACAGACTTGTCCAACGCACGATTGTAAGGCCAAGTGGGGGATGGATTATAGGAAAACACCAACGTCGAGGATGGCCACTAGGTATGTTCCGACATCCACAGGCGACTCTTGTCTTGCCGTCATCACTAAAATAGCATTCTGACATGGCGAAACCCTTGGCCAACGGCCCGTCGCGCAAGGCAGAGGGAGCATTGTATGCCACCCCACCACTCCTGAACTAGTGTCCAGTTCAGACGAGAATCTCATCACCCTACCCGCCTTGCGACAGATTCTCCAGGTAGGCCAAGGAAGGGCCGTAGGGCAGGTCGGGCTGCAGAGCTCTAGGCTTCTCACGGCGAAGATTGACGCCGGGCCACCGCCAACTGCTCGTTGAATCAATCCTGTAAGCCCCTCGGAATGGGCCCACAGACAGGATGACACTTAGACAAATGAGACGTCACCAGGCCTAACGTATCGAATCAAGCAAGCAAAACATAAAGGCCATCCGGTCCTCAGGACGGGGATAGGCGGGACCGAAAGCAGTCGAACGACTCAAGACCATGACGACAAAGCAAAAGTGCGCAGCATAGCGCAGAAGAAAAAGGTTACTCACGCATCGATGGCTTCTTCCAGGTTCCATCTAGCTGCTTTCAGGAACTATATGCATGAGGGGTCAACCATAGTGACACGTGATATACAGAGATAAGAGTGGGTTGAGCGATATGGCACATTCAAAAGAGGGGGCAAATAAACACGGCATACCTTTGCAGCTGCTGTATCTTTTGACTGTGTGAGGTTCACAAACTGCATTATTTGTTGCTTCTGAGCGCTAGAGTAAGGCGGCATGGTGGGGTGACGCAGGCAGAGGCCTGCGGGGAGAGATTTTACTTTTGTAGTGGTCGGTGGAGGTCTATGCAGGTAGTAACGAGAGAGCAAAATGCTCAAGAGGATGATACTCGTCCAGAGAACTTCTGCAGATGGCAGGATATACCAGAGGGAGGATTGTCCGGCCGCTGGATTGACTGGATGGGGAAACTTCGCATCTCCGAATGGAGACTCGCTGACTGAGATGCCCGTGCACGTGCCCCGCATCGAATAGTATTTAATTTGAGTGAGATGATTCTGCCCAGATTAATGGTGGCCATCGATATATAAGTAATCGGAGAAGACAATGGACTGGGATTCTATCTAGTTTTGGGTGCCTCTTAAATCCATTCAGGTGTTTTACACAGTTCTTTATATCATCACCGAGCCCAGATCGGGAAAGAAGGGATCTTTCCTCCGGCAATGCGGCAATCTCCGCGCTACGGCGGAATTTGCGTACACAATCAACGCTGTGAGATGTTCTTGGCTCTTTGAATTCGGAAACATGCAATCCTCTTTGTCAAACAATATATTGATTGAGAATACGGAATGGAAACCACTTTTCTAAATATACAGACAGACGACTCCAGAACTCCTGCGAGAATCCCCAGGTATCTAGTATGAAAATCCCATATTCGATCCCGCGTATGCAAGGCCTTTGGCTTAGGTCGTAAAGAGAGTATCTTCCTAGAGAAAAGTTAGCAATCTGATGGTGTCTGCGCCAAACTCATCAACCTACCTCTCTCAGGTACTCTCCAATATCCGCCTGACGGAACACGACATTAGCCGTGGGCTCCATCCTCCGTGTCTCAGCACTAGACCGCGCGGTCACACCGAATCCCTAACGTATATCAGCCTTGATCTCCGGTCTTCAATCTTCAGCTGAACCAAAATCCCGCTTACCAGAGGAGTATCGTTCATATCCATAACAATCACACCTGCATTTTCCGGGCAGTCCTCGCTGAATCTCCCAACGTGGGCCTTGGCCACATTGGAGCCATAAAGGAATGGCATAACACCGTTCTGCTTAATCCACACCTTGTATCGCGCATGGGGAGCAATCACATCCAGCGCCGTCAGACTAAGGCGAAATAACCCGGACTTAGTGAATCTACCGATGGCCACGCCTAACGACAACAGAGACGATCTAAACATGAAATAATCTTAGTAAATTTGCCCATGTTCCCGGAGCGACGCGCGACAACCGACCTAGGGATAGAAGTGGCCATATTGGCTAAACTAAGCCGCACATAATACACTCTGCTGCCGTGCATACGGAAAACGTGACGGTCATTGTCATCGCCTGTCTCAGAAACGAGCGCCGAAAGACTTCTCCCCGTGTAATTGGCGAGCTTGGTGAACAACGTTTTTGTCTCCTCTGGATAGTGAAAAGGCTCAGTATCTGATGCGCTAGAGATAGACGAAGATAGCTGTACTAACCTTCAGTAAGTTGACGCATCTTGAAACACTTTCGCGATTCGCGATACCAGATTTCAGATATGGAAAAGGCGCAAGAGTTGAAACTGCTGGATATCAAAAACTGAGTATCCTCCAAAGTCAAAAAATCTACGGAGTAGGCGGTGGGGCGGTAGCTTTTACCCGCCGGGTCTTAGCGCCGCAGAAAAAAAAAGTCAACCCGCGCAACGAACTTGCACGACCCCAGAAAGATACCCCAGGCACGACAAGATGGCTCCTGGACGCACAACCAAAAGGAGACGAGTTAGCCCTCCTGGGGATGAAGAAAATGGATCCAAATCCTCGGGTGGTGCGTCCGTTGGCGATTTCTACAGCCATGCCGCCGAATGGGACCTGGAACAGGATTATGAGACCCGGCCGCGCAAACTAGGCAAGAAAGACAAGGAAAGAACCCGGTTGCCTATCAAAACAGCAGAAGGTCTGCAGAACGTGGAGGAGCCGGAACCTGAGGCGGAGGAATCCGACAGCTTTCTGGGTACCGATGACGACGAGGAGATGGAGGATGCGAACCCCGATGACGAAGAAGACGAGGAGGAGGCCGAAGAGACACCCAAGATTCCCATGAAGCAACAAATCCTTCAGGCCAAGGAGGATCTCGCAAAAATTGCTACGCTAATCAACGAAGACCCCGAAGAGCACATCCCCCTGTTCAAAACAATGGCCGAAATGGTGGAGAAAGGAGCGCATGTTGCGATTCAGAAACTGGCCCTCGCCTCGCAGGCTGCGGTCTACAAAGACGTGATCCCCGGGTACCGGATTCGCCCTCTCAGTGAAGAAGACATGTCAGCGAAGGTCTCCAAGGATGTGCGCAAGCTTCGGTCATTCGAGCAAACACTTGTCACGAACTACAAGCATTACGTTCAGAAGCTGGCGGAGCTTACGAAGCCGTCCAAGAAGGATGGTGTCCAAGTGGATTCAAGCTTGAAAAGCATCGCGATTAACTGCGCCTGCAGCCTACTCCTCTCCGTACCGCATTTCAACTTTCGTACCGAGCTCCTGAAGATCCTCGTCAATCGCCTCGCCCGAAGGCAAGTGGATGCCGATTTCATCAAGTGCCGTGAGACATTGGAGGAGGTTTTCACAAGGGATCAGGATGGAATTGTGTCGCTTGAGGCTGTCCGCATGCTGTCCAAGATGATGAAGGCGAAGGAATTCCGCATTCACGAGAGTGTTCTGGATAGCTTCCTCCATCTCCGCCTACTCTCTGAATTCTCCCGCAAGGCATCAAGAGACAGGATCGATCGCGATGAACCGGAGGAGGAGACGCAACTCGGCAAAAAGCCGAAGCAGAAGCGGGAGTTTCGCACCAAGAAGGAACGCAAGGTCCAAAAGGAGCGCAAAGCTGTCGAGAAGGACATGAGGGTGGCCGACGCCTTGGTCTCCCACGAGGAACGGGACAAGAATCAGGCAGAGACGTTGAAACTTGTCTTCGGCATCTACTTCCGGATTCTGAAGCTTCGCATCGCAACCCTCATGGGACCTGTTCTCGAGGGTCTGGCCAAGTACGCTCACTTGATCAACCAGGATTTCTTCGGAGACTTGCTTGAGGCTCTCAAAGATTTGATAGGTCATGCCGAAGAGGATGCGGAGGAAGAGGACGAGACTGAAGATACCGACGACATGGAACCAGCGACGATGCGGGACACGCACCGGGAGGCTCTCCTCTGTACCGTCACAGCCTTTGCACTTCTAGGAGGCCAAGATGCCAGCAAAGCAGCGGGCACACTGCACCTGGACCTGAGCTTCTTCGTCAAACACCTCTACCGCTCTCTTTATACCCTCTCAATCAACCCCGACGTCGAATACAACCCCGATAAATCTCTCCGACTTCCCGACCCGAACTCCGCAGAAGCCAGCCCGACGTGGCGACCCAGGAAGAAGGTTAACTTCCAGACGCCCACGGTGCTTCTCCTCCGCTGTCTGCAGTCTACCCTTCTCTCGCGCGCGCACGGCATAGTGCCTCCGGTCCGACTAGGCAGCTTCTCCAAGCGACTCATGACGACTTCTCTCCAGCTGCCCGAGAAGTCTGCCCTCGCGACTCTGTCGCTCATGAGCCAGGTTGCCAAGCATAACGCGCGCCGTATCTCCTCGTTGTGGCACAGTGACGAGCGCAAAGGAGATGGCGTGTATAATGCGTACGCACCAGATATTGAGGCCACCAACGTCTTCGCGGGGACGATATGGGAAGGCGAGTTATTACGCCAGCATTACTGTCCTCGGGTCCGAGACGCTGCTTTAGATATCGAGAAGATGATTGCGACACGGAAATAGAGCATTGTTATTTAGCGGGGTATTTTCCATTTTTTTTAATTTGTTTACTGCGGTCATGCCGAATCCTGAAGTCCATATCATCCACCATTCCATCACGAGCAAGGTTTAATCCTCCATTACTTGCATAGACTTCCGATCCCCGGTAAAAGAAAATACCCGCAACAACGAAACTGTCTCTATCCAGGTTCGTTTCCTATCCAGTCGTCCTTATCCCCATTTTCCCTCACTTCGCACCTTTAAATCCACCTTCCCATTTATTTACCCCGTTGCCCCGCCGGTCTTGCTACAGGAAAAAAGAAAACAAGAGAATAGCAAGTCATGGACATCATGCGTCGTTATCATATCATAAAATCGTGAAAACATTTAACTCATAGTCGAGATAAGCAGTAAGACAGACAGCCTACCTATTTCAGTCATCATTCAGAAGAAATTGCCTTGCTGAGAGTCACTCCCAGAAGCATCCCGAGAGTGGTCGTCCCTGAAAGGGGTAAGAGGAGACGGACGAGGTGGACGAGGAGGTGCCTTGCCATTAGCTGCCTGCAAACCAGCAACAGTATCATTGTGGGAAGAGCTAGAAGTAGTGGGAGTTGTAGGGGCAGGCCGGAACACCGGGTACGGGTTATCGAATCCCTGAGCAGGAGCACGGAGAGAAGCATAAGACGAAGAAGGAGTCAGTTTCTGGTAGGCCTTTGGAAGTGGCCACTCGATTGTGGGGGACGCCTCTGCGACACCAATCGTCTGATGAGATTTCGAGGCCTTGAGCACGCTGGATTGGACCAAAGTGGTGCGGGATCCGGATTGCTGCTGGCGACGCTGCTCCTGCTCGAGACGAATTCTTTCAAGCTCGCGGTCGAGGATGATCTGTCGCTGCTGAGCATTGCGAAGAGCTGGGTGAATCATGCTAGGATCGATTTCTCCCTGGCCGATGATGGAGATCTGAGCTGGGTCGGCCTGCTTGAGGGGTGCAGTTGAGAGCTTGCTCTCGACGGGTTGATTCTCCTGAGAGCGGTTGGGAGTGCGCAGGCCTTTGTCGCCATTGTGACTGTCACCGTCACGCTGGCGGCGCAGGTTGAAGAAGCTTCGCTTGTGGGAGACTTTGGCGTTCTTGCTCTGAGTTGGCACAGGCGGAAGAGTTCTGGTCGGTCCAGGTCCAGGAACCAGCTGAGCAGGGAGATTGGTGAAGGTGGACGCCTTGGGGGTTAGGCTTCCGGAAGAATCCTGACTCTGGTCCTTCCAGGCGACATGCTTGACCCCGTTTTCCGTGCTGATATGGTGCTTGTCCTTGATGGCCGGGGGCACGCTCAGGTAAGCGACAGGTTTGCTGTTCACACGGCTGGCACCTGGTAACACGGCCGACGACGCTGGCTGTTTTCCTTCTTCTGGCTTCTCTCGCTGCAACTTCTTCCTCTCACTCTTCACCTCTTTCTCCCCTGCCAGTGGCTTCTCTTCAGTCCTAACCTGCCTGCCTAGGTCTCTGTTCACCCTCAACGGAAGCGGCGGACCCTGCAGCCCAGCGCCGAAGGCCATGTCCTCGGCTGCTGGATTGTGGGGGAGCGCTCTAGCCTGCGACTCGAGATCATACCTCAATCTCCCGAACTCCTCGCGGATCAGAGTGCTGAGCTTCGACTGGATAAGGCGCACTTCTCGACGGACCGTACCAAGCTGGTCCCTGACATCCCTCATCGTCTGGTGGGCCTCTTTCAATAGCTCGGTCTGGGTGGCCGTTTTGTTATTGATTACCCGTGCTAAGTCGGCCATCGTATCGACATGGTGGAGGACACTATCCATGTGCCAGTTGTTTTTGTCTTCGAACTTCTTGACGAGCTTTTGAGCCGCACATTGCACGTGGAAATGGAGCTGCCCTACGTGTGACGCGAGCTGCTCTCCCAGCGCCACTGTGTTTCGATAGACCGGATCTGGGGGGGCAGGAGCATATCCACCGCGACCGGTGATGCTATCGATGGGCACCCGGATGGTGACGAACTCGCCGGTACATCCTTCGGGGTTGGGCTGGATTGTGGACCCCAACGACAGACGAGTATCGGAAAGCTCTTCGACCCAGCTGCCACCGGACTTGAGTGGCGCGACCGGAGTGACTATAGCGTTAGGATGGCCTTGATTGCGACTTGGCAGATCCGACGTCCTATCCGGAATGGGCGTCTCGTACACCGATGGTGAATACGAGCGCACAATCTCAGTCTCGTGGACAGGTGACGGCTCCGATGCACCAGGCGTGGAAGACCCCTGAACTGCCTTCATACTGCATGCACGTTGCTGCGTATTGACGACTTCTGGCTGTCCACTGTTCATGTACTCGCCAGTGCGAGCAGCAGGGGAGGATCCATTCAGGAGAACGGCCTCGAGATGCTGGCTAGTCCGTCCTTCGCCTGTATCATTACTATGGACCAACTTGTGCTTGAACTTTCCGACATCCCCACCACTACTTTTCTTTGTTGGCGTGCACACTGCGGCAGGCGACTGGGCGTCCTTCAGGCTATCGTCCAAACAAATCAAGCTTGACGCCTGTGTTGGCGGCGCAGACAAAGGCACCTCAGTCACCGAAGGCCTAGGCGTATACAGCCTCCCGACCTCAAAGTCTTTCCCCGGACCATACGAATCAGACGAGGACTTTGACGAACCACGAAGGATGGTGATCTTCGGCATGGTGTTCACGGGCGGGATCTCTTTTCGGAATTCCTTTGCGAGATCCTTCAAACTGAGTTTGGACCTGAGAGTCTTGAACGTGGACCTCTTCTCAGTCTTTTTCTCCGTGGCCGGCAGACGACCCGGATCCGTGAACGACCGTTTCTTCGTGATGCTTCTGCTCCAGATACTGGTACTTTTGGTAGAACCGGACGACGAGTCTTTAATCTCATCGGGATGCACATGTCGAGGCTTCGGCATAGCGAGAGCCAGTTCAGCATCAAAGTCCAATTTTCCCAGATCTGGCGACACCGTTTTCACTACCATCATTAGTTAGTTCCAGCAATGAACAACGACCATCGAACGAATGAAAGAATTCAAACAACTTACCCATATTCAACTCCGACAATCCACTTCCACTCCCACTCTTCTCCGTCTCCCCACTCAACCTCAACTGTTCTCTCTCTTTCGCGAGCTTCTGTGCCCACGCGTTTCCCTCCACAAACGACATGATGCCAGCAACAACAACAAGGTTACCTGTACGCACTTGAAGAAACTCAGTCGCAGACTCCACTTCCTTCTACATGTCCCTATCTATCTATATCCGTGATGAAACTCACCTGGTCTATCACGTCCACACTGCGAGAAAAACAACACCACTCTGTATCTAGCACAACTATGTCATGTATCTTAGCATAACAATCTCCTCTCCCAACATTAAAACCAAATACAAAAAGACCATAACGAGGGTATACAACTCACCTATGCAGACCAGACAATACGTACCGTACCACCTCCAACTTCAACTTCAAGACCTTCAACACCCAGTAAAACAGAATCAAGTAATCTCAAATCGCCCGTTATCATCAACTCCTTAACCGTATCGTAACGCACACCCAATAACCACACTCTATGAACAGAACACTGAACTCCGTGACCGTAATATCGTATCTGAATCGTCAAGTCAAGAATCATAAACGAGCAAAACACGCCGAGAATCACAACCAGTATGTAACAGAAGCAAAAATAGGTGCAGAAAGCAAACGAAATCAAACGCAACACAACATGATAGGATGAATACAGTTATGAAAACAAAAGGTGTTACACTCTTTACTTTCTACTTGGGGGATTGGAGTTGGGGGAAAGGGGGGTGAAGTGAAGTGAATGAGGGTCCACTTTTTTTCTTTGGTTCGTGGTTCTGGTCTTGCGTGCTTTCTTGCTTGGGGGGAGGGGGAGGGGGAGTATCTGGTTCTAGGGTAGTTATTGTACTTTGAATTTGGTTGTGTTTATGGGGGTTGTGGGATTTGGAGTTCATTGTGGTTGGTGCTGATGCTGGATTTGGGGGGGTGTATACTTGTGTAGTGTGGTGGTGTAGTGTATTGTATACACATTTGGATTGGAAGGGGAAGAAAGGGAGGGTTATTCTATTTGGTTTTGTGAAGGTAGGGGAGTATAGCTAAGTGGTTAGATAGGTAGTTGAGTATGTGTAGTTCAGTTCACGCATTGTGATATACCTCACAGGTGGATGCTATGAAGCTTTTCTTTGGTTTGAAATAGGGTTATGGGTTGTGTATGGTGTGGATTAATGTCTCTGATGCTGTAGTTTGTTTTGTGCTTCTGTGAACTTGTGCTTGTAGGGGTGCGTATGGGCGTGGACGTAGTGTGGATATCAATTATCAGACATGTTCCCAGAGTGTCAGGTTGGATGGGAGAAAAGTATCCATCTATATGAGGAGTTTCTTTTACTGCCTATAGGGAAATGATTTTGATATGGCAATTGAAGAGGGATAGAGTAATTTCTGCTGGGGTTGATTTGGTCACTACGGCAGTGTACGAACTTTCGAGTGATGATGATGTTCGGGAATACAATGCGTACAATGGATGTATAACAACCGGACAGAACATTGTAAATGCAGTATCTATATTGTAAACGGATAACTGCAAACATCATTATCATATCATCATGCACATCATTACATACTGGCAGAAAAAACCTGCAACTACTAGCAATTTGAAACAGAAACAATTAAATGAAATCAGTAATTCAGACAATCTGAGAGGAGAGCACATCAAGTACCAAATACAGGGGAATCGATGATAACGATAGGGGCGTGGCAAACTCGGCAAATCGAACAACTCATCGGGTATAAGCATGCCAAACAAATGCTAGCAACGGGGCAGCAAGAACGCTCATCAAGAACAGATTCCTGAATCACATTAGCTTTGGCAACGACAAGCATGAACTAACAACGTCTCGACGGATCAACACCCGACGTGACTCTACTGGTTGTTTCTTCCGCGGCGGCGGAACGGCGAGAAAATGGCGCCAAAGAAATTCGTGAACACAGCCCGGAGGATGGTCTTAAACCAGCTGTCATGCTTACGGTTCAGAGAAACAGCTGTAACTGACCGGTTTTGACTCTGGGCGCGAGGATCCTCGTCGCCCGTGGTGGCCACGGCCTTGGAGGCATCGAACGGCGCGGCGGCGGGCTCGGGGGTTTTGGTGTGCGTGGCCTCGGTATCGTCCTCGACTTGTGGCTGTCTGCTAGATTCAGATGCTTCGGTAACCGCTAGAGCAGGGTCAGCTTTATCTTCAGTATTTCCCAGCGCTTTCACGCCAGTAGACGGCAGTTCCTTACCCTCGGTAGGCTTGGCTTCAACAGGTGCCTTGTCCTTGTTGTCGGGCTGGTCCTGGACCTGCTTGTGCTCGGACTCGGGGGCAACTTCGGGCTGCTTGTGAGAGGCCGCCATCACGCCAGCGGTGACGGCAGCACCGGCAGCAACTGCAGCAACACCGGCACCGAGAACCTCGGGGGTGAAGATGCTATCCTTGGACTCCTCGGGAGCAACCTCCTTAGCAGCCTCCGAAGGGATAGCCTCTTCGTGCGCTGGCTTAGCGGTGCTTTCCTCGGCAGGAGATTCAACACCGGCAGCAGGCACAGACTGCACTTCCTTGACTGTCTCGGGCTCAACCGGTGCTGACTCGCTAGCAGGTTCTTCGGCCTTGGTAGCCTCCTTCACTTCACTAACAGCTTCAGGGATAGCCTCCTCAGCAGCAGCTGGCTCAGCGGGTGCGCTCTCTTCAGCAACAGCTTCAACGGCAACAACCTCAGCCGGCTCCTCCTTGGTCATAGTCTCAGTGACTTGCTCCTCAGCGGGTGCGATGACCTCCGCAGCCTTCTGCTCCTGTGGCTCTTCGGTGGACTCAACAGTAGGCTCGGCTGGGGCAGGCACCTCCTCCACAGTCGACTCCGCGACTCCCTCGGGAGTAGTCTCGACGGCAGCCACTTCAGCAACAGGTTCTTCAGCAGCTGGCTCAACGGCCTCCTTGACAACCTCCGCAACAGGTGCCTCAACAACGGCTTCCTTGTCGGCAGACTCTGGGAGGGACTCAGTCACAACAGCTTCCTGAACAACTTCAGCAGCCGGCTGTTCCTTGGCTTCTTCAACAGCTTCCTTCACTTCAGGCTCTTCAACGGTCGCCTTCTCGATCGGGGATTCAGCCACAGGCTCTTCGGCGGCGGGAGCAGTGATAGCCTCTTCGATGATAGCCCTTTCGACGGGCTCCTCAATAGCTGGCTCTTCAACGGCAGTCTTCTCGACAGCCGGCTCCTCAACAACAGGCTCCTGAACAGCTGGCTCTTCAACGACAGCCCCCTTGGCGGCGGGCTCCTCAATGGCAGGCTCTTCGGCGACAGCCTCCTGCACAACGGGCTCTTCGACGACAGCCTCCTTGGCAGCGGGCTCCTCAACGACGGGCTCTTCGACAACAGGCTCCTCAACAGCAGCCTTCTCGACGGCAGGCTCCTGGACAGCAGGCTCTTCAATGACTACCTCCTTAACTGCGGGCTCCTGGACAACAGGCTCCTCGGCAGCGGCCTTTTCGACGACGGGCTCCTCGACGGCAACCTTCTCGACAGCAGGTTCCTGGACGGGCTCCTGAGCAGCAGCCTTCTCAACAGTAGGCTCCTCAACAACGGGCTCCTGGACGACGGGCTCCTCGATGGCGGGCTCCTCGACGGTGGGCTCTTCCATGGCGGGCTCCTCGGCATGCTCCTCGGCAGCCTCCTCGCTGGCAAGGTCGGCATCCTTGGTCGACTGAGTTTCGAAAATAATCTCATCTCCAGCAGTCGTAGCGATAGTAGACTCTGCCAGGTTCGACGATTCGTCCGACTCGTCGGCATTGAGCTCCTCGGCAGGCTCCTCCGCAGTCAGCTCCTTAGGAGCTTCCTCAAGCTTAGTCTCAGGGGTGGGTTCCTCCTTAGCAGGCTCTTCAACAACTGGAGCTTCAACAGGCACTGGGGTCGGCTCTTCAGCAGCCGTCTTGACGTCCTCAGCGACCACCTCCTTGGCCTCTTCGGCGGGAACCTCAGCAGTCTCCTGAAGTTCGGATTCCTGAGCTGGGGCGGCTTCCTCCACGATCTCCTTGTGTTCAACCACAGGCTCCTCGACAGCTGGCTCCTCAACGGCAGCTTGGACGACTTCCGCGACCGGAGTCTCAGAGACAGGCTCTTCGACAGCAGGCTGCTGAGCAGATTCCTCAGCGACCTCTGTAGCGACAAGCTCAGCAGCGGGCTCTTCAGCGGCAGGCACCTCAGGAACGTGCTCCTCAGCAGCGGTTTCCTGGACAGGCTCTGCGACCACTCCCTCCACTGGCGTCTCCGCAGCCGGTTCCTCAATCGCAGGCTCTTGAGTGGTCTCCGCGGCCTCTGCAGTGACAGCCTCAGTAGCGGGTTCTTCCGCGACGGCCTCAGCCACGGCCTCCTCCGCAGCGGTTTCCTTAGGAGACGATTCCTCAGCAGTCTCAACAACTGGTTCTTTAGTAGTAGGCTGCTCAACCACTGGTTCCTCCACAGCTGGTTCAACCTTGGCAACTTCCTCGACGGCTTCGGTGGTGGAAGCCTCGGCGGTTTCGGTCACAGGCTCCTCCGCAGCAGCCTCCTTCGCCTCCTCCACAGACTCTGCTACGGCCTCGACGGTCGGTTCGGCGACAACAGGCTCTTCCTTGGTGACTTCCTCCGTAGGTTCCGTGACCTGTTCAGTTGGTTCCTCCACCTTCTCCGTGACCGGCTCTTCGACAGTGGTCTCCTTCTGGGCGGGCTCTTCCGTAGGCGAAGACTCAGCAGGAACCTCCTTGGCAGTCTCCTCGGTAGAGTGCTCCTCAGCAGGTTCGTCCACCTTCTCTGTGACAGTCTCGGTGGGAACTTCTTCAGCGGGTAGCTCAGTCGAATTTTCAACAACCGGAGTCACACTGACAGCCTCAGCGGTAACCAACTCTGCGGCCTCCGCGGAGGCAGTGCTCACAGGGACGGATTCTTCAACAGGGGTTTCGGAAGCTTGGGTGGCAGCCGGCTCCTCGACAGCGGGCTGTTCCGTAGCGGTTTCGTCGGCGACAGCATCCTTGACCGACTCTTCAACAGGCGTAGACTCCACGGGGGCCTCTTCAACAGTCGGTTCTTCCGCCACCTCCTTGCTAGGCTCAGCCGTTGTTTCTTCGACAACAGGCGCGGCGGTAGAGGTCTCTGTAGTCGGCTCCTGGATCACTTCCTTCGAGGCTTCAGCGGCGGGCTCGGCAACAGGAGGCACCTCGGTAGACTCTTCAGCCTTGGGTTCCTCCTTGGCGACATCCTGCGCGGGCTCCTCAGTTGTGGGCTCAGCAGTCGACACCTCAGTGCTGGGCGCTTCCTTGGGTTCCTCCACTGCTTCCTCCTTGACCGACTCCTTGGCGGGCTCTTCGGGGGCAGCGTCAGCGGCGGTCTCAGTAGCCGTAATGTTTTCCTCGGTCGATTCCTTGACGGGCTCCTCGGCGAGAGGCTCAGCAGTCGTCTCAGCGGCGGACGCCTCGACCGGCTTCTCCGATATGGGCTCTTCCTTGGCGACCTCATGGGTAGTTTCCTCGACAGCAGCAGCCTCCGTCGACGGCTCGGCGACGGGCTTTTCGATGGCTGGTTCTTCGGCAGCTGGTTCCGCGGCGGCAGTATCTTTAGGAGCGACTTCGGTGGCCGTTTCCTCCACGGCAGGCTTTTCGTCAGAAACCTCGGGCTCTTGCGCGGTTGACTCTGCCGCAGGAGTCGCTTCCGGGACAGCTTCCACAGGGGCGCTCTCAACAACAGTCTCTTCCGGCTTCGATGTGACCTCCTCCGAAACCACTTCTTGCACCGGCTCTTCAGCAACCTTCTCGGTTTCCGCCACGACAGGGCTTTCCACGGAAGTTTCCGGCTGTTCCAGGGTTTCGACCTTCTCTGCAGCCTCAACCTTCGCTTCCTCGGTGGCAGCGGGAGCAGCCGGGACCTCTTCGGCTTCCTTCACTGCAGGCTGGCTTTCAGCAGGTGTCTCCTTCGTCGTTACGTCTTCCTGGTTCGTCTCGGGGGTCTGCTCAGCGTGTTCCGTTCCGTTGACCTCAGGTGTCGCGACGCCATTGGTGGCAGGCTCCTCGATCTTAGCATCCTTCTTGTCATCCAACTCGGGAACAGATTCGGGCAGTTTCTCCTCGACGGCGGGTTCCTGCACGGGGGCGGCGTGTTCAGCGACACCGTTAACACCGTTCTCCTCCGGCGCGGCTTCCTTGGCCTCTGCAGCGGCGGGAACACTCGATTCGACGGTGAGGAAGTTGTTCACGAGGCCTCCTTCTCCTGCGGCTGTAGTTCGAAGAGATTTATCAGTTTCAAATCCGTTACGCGATGATGCAATGTCGGGAGGAAGAGAGTTCAAGCGTACCATGTTTGACAGCCTCGTCGTGGAACCACGGGCCGGTAGCGCCCTCGCGGAATCTATATTGATATTGACCAGGCGATAGCTTCACGTCGTGGTAGAAGAGGAACTCCGTCGATGTCAATCCCTCGTCATCGGGCTCAGTCTCTACCGTCTTGGAGTTGAGCTCAACGGGCTCCCATTGCGGCTCGGAGAAGGTACCGGCCACGAAGATAGCATCGTCAACCGGACGACGGATGGAGATTGTGACGGTCTCACCAGCGGGGTGGGCCATTGTGGTCATGAAAAGTCGTAACAGTCGTTAAGATGCAGCAAAAGCAAACAGGGAGGGAGAAAAACTCAGACGGACGACTCGGGTGGATTGAAGAGTCTCGTAGGACCAAGGCAAGAACAGACGACGAACCCCCGCGAGGCTATCAATGGACTGAAAAGAAATAATGTACAGGCGAGCAGAAGATAGCGGAGTGGTAGGACAAGATAGGGTCCTCCCAAGGTGGAATTGAAAGGTTGAAGGAAATTTGGGGTGGGAGGGAGGGGGAGGAGGTAAGGGAGGTGGAAGATGTCTTGGAGGGGCAGCGGAAATGAGGAAAGAAGATGGGGGGATTGATAAGAATGACTCTTGGGGGAAGAAGAGCAAACAAACAAAGATGATGTAGGAGGCAAGCAAGAGAAAAGCAGCCAGGCAAGATGATGGATGGAAGGGAACCTAATTAGGAGGGAGGGGAAGAAAAAAAAATGGGTGGTGGTCAGTGGTGGTGGTACTACGGAGTACGGAGGGCTGCCGTACAAGAATAGATCCAGTCTCTTTTCCTCCTCTCCCAGGCAAATTCCGGTCCCCACGGAAGACCGATGGGGACCGAGGATGACTACCGCAGCAAGCAGGTCGGCTAGTGACGATGGCCGTTAATTAGCCCGCTGGTAGTTGGCGGGGCAGCAGCTGCAGTCGTCTCCTTAGGTTAAAGTCCAGTTCGGCCTCCTGATTGTTTTGGTTTGGAGGATGCCATGATGGATGGTCTTGGTCTTGGGTCTGGGACTACCGGGGGGGCGCAACCCGACGACGACGTTATTCCCCTCCCCCCCTCCCCTCCATGATATGGCTAGAATGGGGGGTGGATGACCGATAACAATGAAATGAGGGGGAACGGCAGGATTAGACCCAAGTTTAATCCTACGAGACCGAGCATCAAGCCATATCAACCGGGAATGATTGCTCGACGCCGAGGCGCAGGCGTTGGTCCGGCTCCAATGAGAGGGGGTGCGCATCGCGTCGCAAGCCCCCGGAGAGGAATTATTGGCATCATTCGCAGATCCTTCCAGGCTAACAGCGCCTGGAAAGAAAATGCGGTGAGATGGTGTGGCTTGAGGGCACCAATCAGCGGGAGCTCTGGACTTTTTTCAAAGTGACCTTGCGATGGAGGACGAGTATGCGAGATAAGCCCTGGGAGGCGATGAACCCTCCAGACGCGCTCCGTCGTCCTCCATGCACCTCGTTACATCTTCTTCCTGAAAGCTACAGCATACAGGAGATAGTAGATAATCGGAATTGAAGGGTCTGGTGTATCTCCCATCATCCTCCCTACTATTTACGATATGTTCCATGTATTCGAAGTTTTTTCTTATGCAGTTGAGCGGCCAAAACAAATTTTTCTAAAAACAAAAACAAAAGAGAGAAAAAAAAAAAGATTCACAAGCAGACGGGAGTGGAGACCTCAGGCTGGTCATAGCCAACCAGAAGAAAAGGCCAGTGGTAGTGGCACCATGGGCCATCCACCTTCGGGGCCTCCACCCGCAGCTCGCCGAAAGACCTCCGCCGCATTGCAGGGCAACTCGGCACCGCCGGGCAAAACCCCGACGGACCATCACCAACCCCCATACAAAGTACATCCCCTTCACGGATAGTTCTCAGCCACCAACAACCCAATAATTGACGGCGGAGTATACTTATCTACTACAGATATACTTAGTACACTGGACAGCGATCGATCGAATCGCAATCGCCCCTGCACAGCATATGTAAGTCAGGTTCATCGTTGCCTCCGCAATCCCGGAAAATGGCCCCGGTGTTGTGCAGCAACTAAGGCAGAGAATCCTTCCAGGTGCTTGGTTGGTTCAGTGTCGCATGTCCATCTGCAGTCTACCAACTAGATACCTACCAAGTACCTATCTCTACCTACGTACTCCGTATCTAGATTGTACCTATAGACATCATAAACCAAAATCAACCAACCACGAATACCAAATCCCCATGACGAACCAGTGAACAGAAATGTAATGAGTCATAACCACTACTCCTTTTCCCAATCCCCATCCCTATCCCTATCCCTATCCAGTATTCACCTCCAAGGCCCCAACAGCCCCATATCCAAACCAAAGCAGCAAATGCAACCCATCCCCTTTCCACTTTCACCCGCCTAGACCATCTCATGATTCAATCCTCAATTCCTCTTACCCAATCGCAGTGGAGCGCGCCCGGCAATTGCCCAGGGAAAAAAAAAAAACCAAACAAATGCCCAACACACACGGCACGTTAGATCCATACTGACGTAGGGTGATCCAAACAATCTATCATTCCATCGGGCTCTACCTAGATACATTAGGTAGATAGATAGATAGGTAAACAAAGTGTATCTATCTAGATAGAAAGAAAACCGTCGCCCCGTCCACAAAACTCTATGTCATCACCACTTGGGCCCTTGATTGGTCGAGTTCTCGTAGTCTGCTTGCCCTGTCCGGGCTGCTTTAGCGTCAGGGATCGTCACATGGGTTCGTTCGACTGGCTGCCAGTGCCCAGTGCCCAGTGCTAGTAGCTTGGATCGCTGGGTTTGGTCGTGCTGTCACTTGGTACCTACCTAGGTGGTTACTGGTTGGTTGGTTGGTTGCTTACATCAGATATGGTATGTGTAAGTAGGTGAGTGGTGGTGGAGGCCTGCGGTTAATGTTCTTTGTTGGGTGTGGAAGGGAGATGTTCATGGAATTAATTGGCTATGTCATGAGGACCTGAAAAAGTCTAGTCTTAGGAGGTACTCTATTGATTTGGGTAGACAATTATCTGCAGAGGGAAAACCGATGTAGTTAGTGTACGTCAACTTGCAGATCCATCTACTCCGTATGCATCATAACTTAACAAGCCATGTTCTTAGATTAAGTAATTCAACGATCAAGAAATCACACATGCTAGCTAACCAGACAAACACAAAAACTCAACACTTGATGTCTTCTGCAAGTCGCTCCAACCAGATGATCCATGCTCGCTATTTCCACAATAATGCACCCGGCTCCTTAACCCAAACCCCAAAGGGAAAGTCGTCGACTCGTAAACGTCCAAGGTCGCAGCTTGAACGAAGCAAATCCAACAAGATAAACGAAAACAGATTATAATCCGTATTAGAGAATCTCAAGATCTTCGAATTCAACGACCAACCCATCGCCCGATGACGCCGTCCCGCCCATCCCCCGGCCATTGACCATCTCCCACATCGTTCCGGAGCGAGGCAGGCTGTGTGGGCGACTAGCATAAACTCCCACGTGGACAAATTTATCCTCCACCCCATAGAAGAACCATGTCACTTCCCGCAGCTTCTTCCACGTGCTGCTCACGGCGCCCGGGGTCATTGCATACGGCACCGCCGACGGGACCTGGTACCAGATCCAAAGCGAATGTCCGATCCGCTCTAACTTAATACGCAGTGAATGCATAGCAGATGGCCCGCGGTCGGGTATAGAAAGTGGCGAAAGGCACCAGTCCGCGCCGTCTGCGGTTGCGCTTACTGACGATGCGTTCATGGTGCCCGAGCTGAATTCCATGCCTGCCTTGACCCATTTACAGGGCCGCGCAGTCTGAGGATATCCATGACGGCCCGGGCGTGTCCCTGAGGTGAGCGGAACACTGTCGGATGAAAACGATTGAGGTGCCGCTCCAGCAAAGATGACCAGGCCTCCCTGGTCCCATTCCATTTCCCAGTCTGCCGTGACGGTGACTTCGGCGACTACGAACGCACTCCGCAGGGAAGTGAACACGATAGGAGCCGTTGCGGTATCCCGGTTCGGTGGCTTGCGCCAAAGATCCGTGTTAGGACCGGCGGTGAGGGTGAAGTATTCCATGCATTGGGGCAGAGAGAATGTCGATGGCAAGTTCAACGCCGTGAAAGACGAACTGCTGGGGGGCATTTTCCCTCTCAAGCTGTTCACCACTGTAATGACCACTGAGAGGCCTCCTTTTGGTTTCTCGGCCGGTAATATTCGTCCTTCCGTAATTAAACCGAACAGACAAATCACTCTAGGACCCTCCTATCCTTACTTGAGAGTTCGCACTTTGAAACTTTGGCGAACTGCTCTCCGGGGTCGTGGCGATGCCGCTGTGTAGAAGGGGGGGAAAGATGGAAGAGAAAGGAAGCGTGCGGTGTGGACAAGATCCAGTTCCGTTTCCACCCTGAAGCAAGGGATTCCCGACCTCTCCACGGCGTGTTCGACTTCAACCTGCCGTTCTGGGCCCTGAAAAAAACGGCCAAGTCAGGAAAAGGAGTCGGTAGTCAGGAAGCTAGTAGCAAACCAAGCCTGGTCCGGGCGGGCAAGTAGTGTGTTTAGAAAAAGCAAAAACAGAGATGATCGAAAACTGCCAAAAGTATGACAGGGTCAGTTGAGCAGAGCCCCTGGAGGAGATGCCTGGAAGTTGCTAGCGAGAGGACCAGGGGGCGTACAGCTGTGTGCTGAGACACGCACAACAGCGCGAGGACAAAGACTTATAGATTGGCCCGACCCGACTGGCGGTGATGCGACAACATCCCAGGAAAAGAAAGCAACCTGTGGCGATGCCACCACGGCACCGCTTTATAGAATGCTCAGGGTAGCAGCGTGCTGGCTCCAGGGTGACGGTCTGGGCAGAAAACCCAATGTCCAACCAGACGAACCACAATGCTGGAACAGGCGATCATTGCGCGAAGGTATCCAGGAAGCTGGGAGGGCCGCGACCCGTGCTGCATTTCTTTTTTATTTTTGCCCGGTTCTTTTCTGTGCCGTTCTTTTGACAGCCCCTTGGTATTCCATTTTGTTTTACCCTATTCCCCCTGCCGTGTGCATGGAAGAAGTGCCGTCTTCACATCGCTCTGGAACGCGCCGTCGGATGCAGACCAGTTCAGGAGTGGCGGGTCAACCTGCATCATTGGGAGACAAACAGCCTGGAGTCCACGCAAGTCTGAGTTGTGGGGGGTTCGCCTATTCAGGGCAGCTGAGCTGCTGAAGGTCCAGCTCCTGTGCACAAATTAAAATGTGATGGGAGACCGGGGATTGGCTGGCGGGCCGATGTCGTGGAAGAGCTGAAGCCGAAGTGGAGGGAAGCCTGAAGTTGAGCGAGCGAGAAGGATTTAAGACGGCCTTTGTTGCCACACCACCCAGCACCACCCTGCACCACTGCACCACTGCACCATTGCACCCACACACCTTATCTACTTCCCGTCCGTATCCCATGGCCAGTCATCCCTCGATTCTATTTCCGACTGCCTTCCGGAAGCTTTCGCATGCGTTCCTCTTGAAGCCCGGGTGGTGTGCGCCCGCCCCTCGGGGCATTGGCCGTCGTCAAGGCTGCAGTCGCTCTCGTTCAGAACCTGAAGAACTGCGGCCAGGAATAAAATGGTTGATATGCTTACCTGCAGGTGCAGAGCTCTTGGTGTTCAATGTCAGCACACCGTCATTGGCTTTGGTTGAGGCTAAGGCAGGGTGACTTGGAAATTCCGTCGAACTATGACTTGTCACTAGGCATGATCCTCCAGGCGAGGCTGTTAGTTGCCTTTCTATACCCTCTCCGAGGCCACCTTGATGAACCCACCCACGGATGCCTTTGGGCCCACGGTCAACTTGAACGGGTGCCTAACTCGGGATAAGAACATCAGATCTCCGCTGTGGTCTCCGGAATTGATAGCCGTTCCCAATATGGTCTGATTATTTTGTCTGCAGGTCTATCTTCTTCCGGTGAACTTTTCTGGCACATTGAGCATATCTCGGTAGGATTAGGATACCGTGTTGTACCCAGACTGACGTGATTTTTCTCTGTCGCTCGAATTAAAAGCACGACGGGGTCTCATACGGCACGACATGCTCCAGCATGATGTTCTTAACGACTTGGCTGAGACCCCCGAGATATACAGACGTATCCCATTGAAATAATATGGATCGTTGTGTCACTGCTTGGTCATTCACGTGGCTTTTCACTAAAAGTCAATAACCTTTGGAATTGCTTGGGAGGGATTCGTTGTACGAAGATCAGACCTGGCTCTAGATGCATGGCCTTGGTTCTCTTATCAAGCACATTCGGTGACTGTTGCATATTCTTCCGATCTATACGAATCAGACCATGCATCGGCTGAATAGATGGCATGAAATCACAACTTGGAAGAAGTATATGCATGGATCGGCAGGATGACATCGAAACCTCAACTGAATCAGAGCTAGGACTAACCTAAATTGTCAAAAGGATGTCGAAACCTTTGCATGCTAACTGCAGGATCCGCTTAATTCAATCAATGAAATCGCCATAGTATCCAATGCGCAATACATACAATGATGGTTTGTCTCCCATAGAGTAGTATTCCGCAGCCGCAATCCCATCACACCGATATATACAACCGACCATCTTAATCTTCCAGATAACCAACCAGACCAGTCCGTAGCAAAATATAAAATTCCCAACCATACCAGATACCTCCTCATCACTCACCAAATTTACCCAAATCCCTCTTCCGAAACCACACAATGAATAATCCAACAACCGAACAGACCAACCCAACTACGGCACCCCACACCCTCCCACCATGCAAAACCGGGGTGCAGTTTAGCAATTACCAATTGGCGTCATCCACCCCCAATACCCTCCACTCAAGCACCATCCATCCATCCATCCATCCATCATACATTCCATTCCCTCTACCACCTACATACTACATCCTGACCCATCCTCACTTCAAACACACCAAACACCCCTCACCTCCACCCCCAAAGAAAAGAAACCATGGTCTGCGCCAAATGTCAAAAAAAGCTCAAACAAACGGAGCTCGCCACACCGGGCGTAAAACGTAAAGCGGAGATGTATTACGGTTCACCCTCGACATCTGGTGGTGGTAAGGCTACGTTGGGAAGTACGGGGGTTGGAAAGGTACGTTCTCCCCATATCCATATCCCTATTCACTACTATATCTTGAAGTGGAAAGAAAGAAAAGAGGTTAGTTAATGGTGATATGTGTATATCTAGAGTAAATTACTCAGTTCCAAGGCAAAGAATCCCTACGCGGCGTATTCTTCGTCTTGTGAGGTTTGTAAGACGAAGACGGAACAGGGGAGGAAGTATTGTCAGCGGTGTGCGTATCAGAAGAATGGTTCGTATTCCTTTTCTTTCTCTTTTGTTAAGGGTGTGGTTGGTTTGAGATGGGAGGATAGATGGGCTGACGTTCCGGTATAGCTTGTCCGATGTGTGGAAAGGGGTTGACGGGGAGTGTGTCGAAGAATCAACCCGTGGTTAAGGGGCAGAAGTTTAATTTGAAGTGATTCAGAGGTATCGCGGTAGTACTAGTCTTATGCTTGTGGGATTGTTTGGTTGGCTTGGGTACGGTAGATGGCGTTTGGGATATACTTATGACGAGAAAGCTTTCATTGCAAATAAGAAGCGAAGAAACGGAAAGCTAGTTATACATGACCTACTATGATATATGCAAGACTCAGACCTGCTGCACAAGGGCATCCCCAAAGATAAGTCCCCGCAACGATCCATACACTCCATCCCATCCATGACAGTGACAATCGTTACCGGTTTACCGCTCGGCCAGCATGTTCTTGATGCTGGCGTAGTAGTGGGGCCGCACGAACTTCGAAATCTCCTCCTTCGCCAGCCACTTGAAGTCGGTCAGGTTCTGAGTGTTGCTGGTCAGGTCGGCCTGGCCAGCCATGATGCGCGACTTCAAGAAGAAGACCTTCTCGCCCGCAGGTCCCTCTCCGTTTGCCAGCTTGCTCGGGTTCCGGACATTGTAGACGTAGTGGCCCACCGGGTGGTAGCCCACCATCCAGGTGTTCATGTTGACGCCTGCGGCTTGTTCAAGAGTACGTTCGGCAGCCTATATTCAAAAAAAATGTTAGCACGCCTGTTGGGGCAACCCGAGAAACCGCAGCGAGCACATACCTGTCGAATGGTCTCATCCACCTCAACAGGAGAGCTGGGGAACTTCCAGTATCCCTCCTTGGACTGCACAAGGAGATAAAGAGTCCTCTGCAGTGCCCGATTGAGGCTTCTCTGGTCGTTCTTTTGGTCCGCCTCCGTCACCCGGGGAAACGGTCTCGGAATCTCTTCCTTCTTGCTGGTGTCCTGGGAAGTGGCATTGACCGTAGACTCGGCATCCTGCACAAGCATTTCCACCTGGTGCGCCGGGTCCGACTCTACGGCTCCAACGAGAAGCTCATCGTTCCATGCTTCCTTGGAGTACGGATTGTACTTGCCGATGTCACGCGCGGGTGTCTGGCGTTCCCGGATCTTGCGCTTCCAGTCTTCGTCGGCAGGCGTTCCACGCTTGAAGTAGAAGTATTTCGTGAAAGGCAGGGTAAGACGCTCGTTCAATCGCTTCTGATAGAAGTAGTATGCCTTTTCGAAATCGGTAAGGTCGCGGGTGATTTGAGGGGGGCGGGAGAGGACCACGCCGGCCTTGATGGTATGGGTGGGCTTCACAACGGGGAAGGCTGAGGTGGCGGTGGAGGAAGGTTCTGGTGAGGCCTGTGTAGCGGCTGAGGCATAACTGCGGCGGACGAGTGTCTCTTGACAGCTTCTGCACACTCTAGGATCGGAGATCGTGGGCCCTGGAGCAGTGAGCATGGTTAGGATTTGATTCCAATTCCACGGTAAGACCACATACGCAAAAGCAACGCCACGCGCCTAGCACCATTGGACCCCGACGACATCTCCAAATGTACTGGTTATATGCTGGGGTGCTTGTCAACAGGTCCGGAGGCCGACGATGGCGAGAAAAGTTGGCGGTCACCTGCGAGGGAGCGTCGGAGCGGAACTAGACCCGACCAGGCTAGCCGGTCATGTGACGCCCGATTTCTCTTCCCTTAAAAGTTCTGCCGTCCGCACCATTCTCCATTCTTTCTCTCTCTACAGCACCTTTCCTTATCGTCAACTGCGTTGAGTTACCCCACGACCAGTCGATCATTTTCCGGTGCTCAGAGTGAGTATCTTCGCGGCCTTTTTTCGCTAGCAGTATCTTCTTTAAAATCAAGGCGTACTGTTAGATAGACGCTGCATACATTAATTCATCATGCTTCGGCAATGAATGCTCTTGCTGTTGCTATTCAATTCTACAACCTAGGTACTCTGGTATCTAGGTGCTACTCCAAATGTAGTCATCGATTCTCGCTAGGCGAGCATTCAACTGGTGTTGCGAACTGCGCTTAGCCAGCCTCAGCCGAGATGGCATACCCTCTCGTTTGTACCAAAAACACGGAGTTTATTTCCGTAAACTTTCCAAAAAGGCGCGCCCAATCGTGGAATCAAACAGCCATTGTCAATTTTCTGTTGTATTTCAATAGAGTTGCGGGGCCCCAGACACATCTTCTTAATCATGTCGGCCACATCGCTGGCATCCGCATCGGCATCGTCAGACTTTGTGTCGACTTCGATTGAGCCAAACATTATACGAACAGCGCTAGGCTCGGGGCGCCTGGGTAGGAGGACTGTAGCCTCAAAGTCGCCTATAATCTGCTTCGTGCTTGCCGGCTGTGGGATTGCCGGGGGATCTCCCGAAGTCCCCTTACCACGGAGCTGTGCAGAAAGTTTAATGAATACTTGCGCGGTGAGCAGGCTATCATAACCAGCTTCGTGATCTATAGCTTGCGTATTATACTTTGTATGTTGATGGTGCACTTCTGATTGACAGTTAGTAGTAACAAGACCATTTCGGCTGGCTTCACAAACTTATGGTTGGTGTTGGGATCTTGACGAGACCATCATGAATCTCTTGCAATGAGGACTTCGGGTTGATAGAGCCACAGTCATGTGTAGCCATGTATTTGGTATCAATAAGGAATGGAAATACCTTATGAGCCAGGGCTTCGAAATCTTCAACACGGTCTGGCAGTGGGCCAAAGAAACAGCGGTAGAAATAAATCAGATCAGTAAAGAGGTTGTGACCAACCAGGACAGGCCTGTTGTCCCGCAGCCGCTGCTTCACCCCATCTGAAAATTCCTCGAGTGTAGTACTCCCAGGCTCGTCCGAGCCTGACCTAAGATTGATGAAGTAATATGGATCCAGATTCGTAAGGTCGCCTCCAGCCAGCGCTTCCGCGACCCATCTGAACCCAGTATGGTTCCTGATTCGCTCCTGTATCAACTGCAATCTCTGGTCTCGAACGTTCTTTTCACGTTGCTCGTCGTAGTCAACAATTTGAACAAACGTAGGCCTGCCAATGGTGACCAAATGCGGGTACTCAACTTCTATGAGCTGGTGGATAAGTCTCTTTTGGAACCTATTGACCCCAGATTGCATGGACCTAGGTTGTTTGGAACCTGTAGGTGGGGGGACGTTTAGGTAGTCTTCTCGGGCCTATCATGGGATCAGACGGGCAGTATATCACAAAAGTCGAGCTCTTACGTCGCCAAGCGAAAGCCAGTCATCAACAAGACGACGAACGTCCTTCAGGAATGCGAGCGACTCATACTCGGTTTCCATGACATCCAGCGAGCTGCGCACTGTGGTGCGGTCACATCTCTCGATGACTTTGGCGATTGCCCGTTCCTCCTCGTCCCTTGACACGTACGGGACGCCATGTTTGAACAGACTGTCCATACTAAAATTGTTCTCCAGAAGAAATTCGACGGCTAAGTGACACATATCAGATTAGCGGGAAGGACAGCATTGCAATGAGCATACCGCCGCTTTGGAAGGTCCAGATCCTTTCTAATTCCAGCTTCCGGTCGATGATAGGACTCAAATAGAGATTGTACGGTTTCAGCGTGTAAGTCGCTGGGAGGCTATTAACACCTCAACCTGGAGTGGTGGGTTTGTGCTTCTAACCTGTCTCCGGGTCTTCATGGCAAATAGTCAAGCCGACTTGTAGGATTTGGTACTGATCGGCCGAGTTTTTCACCTCTTCATAGCGCTCCTGTAAGGTACTTTTTCCCTTGCCAGAGACACCGAGGCCTTTTGCAATACCCGAAAATTCAAAGTCTATAGATACGAAACAACAAGATGCCAGGTCGTCCAGGACCTTGGGAAGATGGTGGAAAAAGCTCTGGGCAGTGACGTCCATTGTTCCTGATAATTCAGGGGCGTGTTAGCACCGTACGAAAGAAATAAGGGTCAGTGTAGAAATCGAGGAAATAATTGATGGAATGAGTATTTCGATATTAGTCCACTAAGTAAGTTTTGTAGGTTACTTGGTTCAGCGAAGTATGCTCTGAGATAATGCTGTTAGGTGAGTATCACGAGAGATGGGTTGCGAGATGCCAGGCACCGGGAGGGAAGACTGCCAGGCAGGCATCCTGAAACCTCAGGCACTGATTCTGTTCTATTTTCATAGGCGGCTCCGGCCGCGCTGTCCCGTGACATCAGACCCCAGACTCTCGGCCAGCGAACGGATGAGCCGAGGTGATGCTGAAACGACTTGCAGTCAAGTATTGTTGTCAGGCCGCTTAGTGTCACACTGCACTCTGTGTTCCCTCCACCGACCCAACCCCCTCCCAGAGCTCAGTCCGATCGCGTTTATCGTGAATTCGTGCATCCCCTACCATCATTGATAGTCGCGCACGTTCCATTCGATTTCCCTTCTTCGATTCCTCTTTCCGATCCGTCGCATTTTCCGCTGGCGGTGAACAATGGCCGACGATGGTTCCTACCTGTCGGCATCTCAGTCGCAACTCCTGTCCTCATCCACATCCCCACTATCACCATCCAAGCTATGCTCCAAAACTTATAAGAAAGCGTCTAACCTCTTTCTGACACGGCGGCTTCAAGAAACTTTATCAGCCCTTGAACCGGCGATTACGGTTGCCAGGAGACCCGACGAACAATTCACCAATGGAGACGATTCAGTCGCGCCGGTTGCTGCGGCCCAGCCAACCTGGCGGATCAAAGTGTGGAATCTCTACATTACACTCCTGAGCGCCATCATTGAGCTAGGCCCTGAAGAAGGGAAGAAGTTATTTGGGCAGAAAGAATGGAAGGCCATTTCGACTACAGTACGCGAGGGGGAGATTTGGGAGACCATTGTGCAGACAGGGTATAGAGGCTTGGAGGGATCAGTCGACGCAGAAGTCGTATATAACCTGTCAGTCGAATATTTTGGGTCTCAATTGAGTTAATTACTGATGAGAGCCATTCCAACAGGGCAACACTATTATTGAAACATTCGCCTTCACAGAAGCTCAGTCAGCAACGGCTCGAAACCTATCTATCGTCATACGGGCAACCGAATCTGGATATAACCGAGCATCTACGCAATGGCTCGTCTACGCCACGGCAGACCAACGGTGGTACCGATACTCCGAAAGACCTGGTTGCTAGGGTCCGAATAATCGAGCTGTTCACCCTACATGTTCTTCCCGCAAACGAGGAATGGGAATATGCGCAGGAATTCATAAACTTGAGCGAGGTCCTCGACGAGGAGCGGAAAGATGTATTTTTGCAGACATTGGAAGGACTAAAGGAGGAAAAGCAACAAGGAGAATTGCGCGCCGCTGCCCTGCAGCGGGAGAAGGATGCTGAGCTGGAAAGGCAGGCGCGAGAGGCAGAACGTCGCAGGACAGAGGAGGCCGAGGCCGCGGAGCGCTCACAAAAAGGACATGGACGCAGCGGCAGTGAGGTAGACTACGGAATCGAGAAGACCTATCCAAATGGCAGCATCAAGGGCAAGGGGAAGAATGCAGAGAAGCAGCCAAGCAGCAAGCCAGGCACCTCTGCGGGACGAACGGCCTTCTCGCCTCCCGGCTCCAAGAACATCAAGAAAGCAGACAAGCCCGAGTCCCGAGCCAAGCAATCACGAGCACTGGTCAACGCAGTGCGCAACATTCTACAATACATCCGCAAGAGCATTGCAGGCAACCCATTATCATTCGCGCGTACCCTACTGTTCATGCTGGGTATTATCGCTGCATTAAGCCGGCAAGACGTGCGGGAGCGTGTCCGGAGGATAGCAGGCTCAGGATGGCAGAAAGTCAAGGGGACTGTTGGGATGGGGGTGAAAGTGAGCTACATCTAACGAGTATTCTCCTTTGCATTCCTTTCCCATACTTGAATGTCTCTAGAGTTCATAAGAGAGGCTTGTCAATTGCTTTTCTACTTGTCTGCCTAAATATGGTCCGCAGGTTGCCTTCATGTTATATACGATCTATTTCTATTGTAAACTCTATATTTCAAATGATGTCTATGCATGGTTATGAGTATGGTCAGGGGGCAAACTGACGCCTGCCCCTTTGTCCATTTCCTCCAAATCCAGACCGCCGGCACCTGACCCGGAGCCTTCCAACTTCTCGCCCCCTCCCACATCTCCCTCTCCGTCACACTCCAGATCACTTTCACTGGCACTCTTCCTGTCAACCCGTCGATGCCACCATTTAAACATATGCACAAAGAAATGCGCCACGCAGATCTGCTCCGTGGTATATAGCAGCACCGGAACGGACGTCTTCGACTTGATATACAGATCCAATGACCCCCACATCGCATACAATAGGGGAATCCCCAGCGCAGTACTCTTCGCTGGACCACAGAAACACACCGCAATGGTCTCCTGAGGACTCATCTGTCGAAAAGGATGGCACACCTTTCCTCTCGCCGTGATTGACACGCCAGACGAGAGGATCATCGGTGGGCGTGAAAAGAAGAAACAAGCGGCCGTGAGAAACGTATACAGAGCGATGTTGAACAGAACAACGAAGACTATACTGGAAGCGGAGAGAGTTTGGAGAGCTCCTGTCGCGAAGCAAGAGGAGAAGGTAGACCTATACACGAATCTAATGAGCACCACTACCCACATGGTAATAAGGCCAGGATAACTTACCAAACCAACAGAATCAAACATGCCGTACTGATCTTGGCAATCCGATACTTGGCCATCACTTTCGCCACTATCTCTGGCCAAACCCACCGTATTAATTGACCCACCACTAACGGTAGCAGCACAGCCAATCCAAATTGCTTGAACACATCGCGATACATATCGGAGAGGTTACCATCGCCGGCCCTCCAGACATCGAACTCCGATGAACTAGGGAGCAAAGTGACAGTCCATCCGGCAGTGATGAACGGGCCCAAGAAGTTCGCGATAATGACCTCCACCAGAGCAGCGGCGTCATCTCCCCCGGCGGAGCGAGTCATGACGACATTCGAGGCGATAGTAGTAGGGATGCATGCCAGAAAAATGTACCCCGCAAGCAAAGCGCGATCAATATTTTCGTCTGGGTCGCCAGCCAAGATGATATGAACGATAGCAAGTATGAAGGCCGGGATGAATAAGAACGAGAACCCCTGGACAAGGACATGCAGACGCCAGTTCAGGAGGTGAAGGACGAGCTTCTCTCTAGGAACGCTGAGACCGGAAATGAGGAAGATGAGCGCTATCGCGCCATAGAGAATGCTGTATTCGGAGCGGATGATACCGCCGCTTTTGGCGACATTGGGAAAGTAGTATGCCAGGACGCAGGCGACTCCGATACCGATAAGAAGCCACTGGTGCAGAATAAAGAGCGCGATGGATTTGACTGTTCGTTGTATGCTCCGGGGTGTGGGGTCATCGTTGGACATGATGCTGCCCCGTATTGTGCTGAGTTTTGCTGCTCAACTCATACAGATCGGATGTGGAGAACAGCGATTTTCATATCTTGGAAGCGATACCCAATTTCCAGAACTAATGATCCTTCAATACAAATACATTGATCGCGTGCTGGTTTGTGGAAGAAAAAAGACGGTCGGATTAAGTCCGAGCTCACCCTGATAAACTGATAGGCTGAAAGATACTCCATTTATCTAGTCTAGTGCCTATCGGTCTGGCTGGTCACCATGATGCGATCTAAACAACTAAACCACCCAATAGTGCGATGCAATCATCGACAAAATGCCAATTAGAGAAACCTAATCAGTGATAGTGAGGATACACAACATATAAATTAGCGAAATAATCCCTTGATCAATGTAGGGGACCACCTATTCTTATGAGGATGGACATTGTTCCCTCAACAACGTACATATGACCCAAACTACCCTATCTATTCATTCTATACCAGAAGCCAAACCCATGGATACCCTTCAAACTTACCTACTCATTCCCAGACATAATCAACATCTAATGAGAATTTCGGGGTACCACCGGGGTATACGGAGTACCCACGGTATCAGGCTTCTTCTATAAGTACTCCCACCCCACCACGAGCATTCTTGTCTCAGCTTAATCGGAGCAAGATGGATATCCTACCCTACATACTCTGTATACCCTTTTCAAATGTGATGCTGTGACCACGTCCCCTCTACACCGAGACCTGACCCTGCCCTCCAATCCACAGAGCGAGCAATAGCAACATCACAATCAAGAACGATTACGATCCAGTCGGTATGTCATATAACCAACAAGGAGAAGGATTAATGCACCTCACCAGCTCAAAGAATATCAATGCTAGCATTATCATATGTTACTAGTACTGGGTTTCTATCGTCCAGTTATACTTTAGCATGTGAAGATCTGGGGGATCGTGTTTTTTATCTTATCAGTGGTTTTTTTTTTTTTTTTTTTTCAATTTTCAATTCTCAATTTAATTGTTTTTGGTCAGATCGATGTCTCAGGTCTATTGTTATGTTTCTCCTCGCAGGGCAGGATGATTATGTCTCATAAGGATTCTTCTTAATAATAATACCCGGAGAAATGGCCACCGGGCGTGGGTAAAACATGAACCGTGGGGTAAAACTTCAGGAGCATGGGGCGGAGGTGATGACTTAACCATGTCGAGGGAGCAACAAAGAGCAGAGTTGCAGAGAGTAACCCTGGTGAGTCACAAGACCAGAGCCTTTTTTTTTTCTCCATCTGCGACAAATCATTCAGACGCTAATTATCCCACTTCTGATGGTTTGTTTTCTTGCTCGGGCTGATATACTCGTCGGACCAGGCAGACCAGGACGGAGAAGTGAAGACCTCGGCTGAACGACCCCAGGCTTGGCCCGGAATCACCCGTGGATAGGACTGGCCGCCAGCTTCATCCCCCACACTCCGTCACGGCCCCGGCTCGGTGGTATCGAGCAGTCACAAGCTTGGAGTCTAAGAGTAAGCGTGGGAGTTTCTACTGCTTGCGGAGGGCAGATGACGACGATATACTGGGATCCAAGCCATGAGGAACTCTCCAGCATGTGAAGAGCCATGTCTACCTGACAATCGGGGTCCATGATCTTTGGTTCCGCCCTGCCATTGGTACTGCCCATGAGCTCACTTTTGGCCACGCCACCCTTGGGCCACAAGGACTGAAGCGCAGCTGCACGGGTAGCAGGAAGGACTGAACGCCTGGCAGCTCCGAGGCCTCGCAGGGCAGTAGAATAAGTTCATAGACACGAGCAGCTAACCACCGGGGATATGGCAACCAGAAGGTATAAGTGATTAGATCCCCCCCGTTAGGGGAGATTGCAGTCGTGGAGAAACCCAAGACCCAATCACTAACTATTTTTCCTTCCGTTTACCCCGTTTTAAATCAGATTGTCACGGCCTTCGGTTGTTGTTCTACTGTGCGAACACGGCGGCATTGCTTCCGCTCGTCCAGAGAAGCTTCCTCCGCTTCCCCGTCATAGCTCCTCCACGCCCGGTTCAATCCCAAGCGACAGCAAAAGCCGCCACTGGAGCCGGGCCCGTCTCAGATCCTCGTTTCCGAGAACGGCTTTGCGAATGTTTTGGGGTCCCATGCTAAGCCGCTAATCCTGAGTCCAAGTGACTCCTCAATCGCCGATTTAAATACCCTGGTGGGTAGAGCCGAGGGACGTAGTTATACTTCCGTATCTCCCCGTATTTTTGGGCCTCCCTGTGAACCTCCGAGATCGTCTCCGTCCTTTCTCTTAATAAAAAAAAGGTCCCTTGGATTCGGGTCGCTGGCGATTCATTCTCTTGATCTTTTCCCCTCTTTCTTTGCTAAAATACTCCTGCTGCACTCGATCGCCCTGGACACCGTTCTATTGCATCAACAGCTATAGCTCGAACGGAGAAGCTAGTTGCCAATTAACGGAGAAATTCAACTTCGCGAAACACACAATCGTTCACTATGTCTGCAAAAACTGTTCAAGGAAACAATGGCAGAAAGCCAGCCTCCCCTGCTGTGAACCTGATCGGTAAAGCATAGCTCCTTCCGGCGCAATCGTTTCGCAGTACTAATTTGCGCTCTAGCTGGTGGTGGTGCCGGTATGATGGAAGCGCTCGTGTGTCATCCTCTAGGTATGAAAATGGGTCAATTGGTTGCCTTCAGGGAGAATTTTGCTGACGGCACTTGCCAGACACGATCAAAGTTCGGATGCAGCTCTCTCGTCGGGCCAGAGCACCTGGTGTAAGTGGGCATATGGGAATGGTATTGGGCCACAACTGACAGAATGATAGGTCAAGCCCCGCGGCTTCGTCGCTACCGGTGCTGAGATCGTAAAGAAGGAGACTGCCTTGGGTCTGTACAAGGGGTTGGGTGCCGTCCTTGGTGGTATCGTCCCGAAGATGGCAATCCGGTTCACCTCCTACGAATCATACAAGCAAATGCTCGCCGATAAGGAGACTGGTGCGGTGACCAGTAAAGCCACCTTCTTGGGTATGTCGCAAATTCCTGGCCCTCATCCACTGATGTCTGGGATACTAATTGGAATTTTCCCATTAAGCCGGTCTTGCTGCTGGTGTGACTGAAGCCGTGGCGGTGGTCAACCCCATGGAGGTTGTAAAGATTCGCCTGCAAGCACAACACCACAGTTTGGCAGACCCTCTCGATGCCCCCAAGTATCGCAGTGCGCCACACGCGCTCTTTACTGTCATCAAGGAAGAGGGTTTCAGCACCCTGTACCGCGGTGTTTCTCTGACTGCTCTTCGGCAAGGAACGAACCAAGCGGCCAACTTCACGGCCTATACAGAATTGAAGGCTTTCCTCCAGAGAACCCAGCCTGAGTACAGCAACTCACAGCTCCCTGCGTACCAAACGACTGTTATCGGACTGATTTCCGGTGCTGTCGGACCCTTCTCTAATGCCCCTATCGACACCATTAAGACAAGACTGCAGAAGACACGTGCTGAGCCCGGTCAGTCAGCGGTGTCGCGTATCATGGTCATCGCGAAGGACATGTTCAAGCAAGAAGGTGCATCAGCCTTCTACAAGGGCATAACGCCCCGTGTGATGAGAGTGGCTCCTGGCCAGGCCGTCACTTTCACCGTGTACGAATTCCTGAAAGGAAAGCTGGAGACCTCTGGGTGGGCTTTTGTTGGAGGGACATATGAGGAGTGAGGTTGTTTCCGTCGCCGGGATGGCCGCTGTGTGTTCTCGAGAGCATTTGATACCATGAGCATGGTGGCGTTTTCGATCACTGGGTTATCAGTATTCTCCTGTTTATATGTTCGGGGGCTTTGGAGAGCCGCCAGTCCGATCCACACCGGGTGGATTGTATATATCATGTCTCTTTTCTTTGTCTTTTTTGCGTTAGCATACCTACTTGGTTAGTGGATAGAATCAACCAAATCATTCAAACAATTCCATTGCGTTGAAGAGTGGCATAGAGAAGGTTGGGTAGACAGTGTACTCCGGAGTAGAAGGGGCGATGGCGGACCCCGCTAGAGCAGACACACCGCTTCTGCTTTCCCCTCCGTCGCCCCGACACCCCCTTCAGATAAACACCCTCGACTGCAGAAAGCAGATCGGTCGATAATTTGCATATTTCGAGACGACCAGGCTTCAGCTGTCTCTATCCAAGATGCAGTCAGGAATTTCAGGTACACATATGCCAATATTACACCTCTTCCCCTTGTGCCTGACGATTACGACATCCCGTCCCCTCCCCTCGGACATGCCACCTTACTCCTGAAACGATCTATGCTCAAACCCAGGTTACTAACAAAATTAAATAGTCTCGCAAGAGCTTCACGATGCCTTCAAAACATTCGTTTCCGATACCTCTATATTCTGTCTTCCTGTGACGATCAAGTCGGAAAGCCTGTCCCCTCTTCCCACGGTTCCCTTCGCCTCCCCGAACGCCTTCTACCCCTCCTTGTCCCAACTTTCGTCCGTCCTCGAACCCAAAACCCCCATCTACCTTTTGCTTCGTCGTCCTGAGGCCGGATCATTCTCTCTCGTGGCCTTGACCTATATTCCTTCCAATGCCGGTGTCCGCGCCAAAACTCTTTTCGCCGCAACCCGCGCTACATTGGCCAGGGAACTCGGCACGGAGAAGTTTGCCTCCACTATCTTTGCTACGGATGAAGATGAGGTCATTGGGGAGGCTGCATGGCGTGAACGAGATGCAGAGAAGAAGGGTACCGCGGGCGGTTTCCGGCGTGAGGATCTGATGGGCGAGAAGGAGCGGGAGTTGGACGCTGTGCGCAGAGCCGAAGAGGAGGCTAGGAACGGTACTCCGAGCAGAGATATTGGTATCGGGGGCACATTCAACAGGGGAAACCCATTCGGCGGTGCATCCGTCAAGATGCATGCGGCTGATGATGTGAAGCAGGCCCTCGAAGGGCTGCAGCAGGGTGGGCTGGTACAACTGGTGCGTGTCTTCTCATGCTTATGCAATGCAGTGGATCTTCAGCCAATACTTCTCATTCATTATTGCTAACGTTTGCTAAATACAGGCAATTGATGTTCCAACCGAGGCGTTCAAAGTTGCTGTTGTCGAGTCCGGAGTCGAGCCGAACTCGGTTGAGTCCCACATACCTCCGTCTTCCCCGCGGTACACATTCTATCACTACCCCGACTCCGAGGCGGTGATCTTCATCTATACCTGCCCCTCGGGTTCGTCGATCAGGGAGCGTATGCTGTACGCCAGTTCCCGGATGCATGCACTCACTATGGCTGGCGAGCAAGGCCTGAAGATTTCTAAGAAGGTAAGAGCCGGTTGCAAACGCTCGATTGATTAAACGGTCTTCCTAACACAGCACGCAGATCGAGGCATCCTCGCCCGACGAGATCACGGGCGAAAGGTTGCATGAAGAAGTCCACCCACCACAGGACAACGGACCGAGCCGGGGATTCGCAAGACCGAGACGGCCGGGACGGTGAATCTTGGGGGACGACTCGTAACCTCTGTATATCTCGCTCTATGACATCGACAGTATATAGCCCTGGGCACCTATGGCCGAACTCCGCTGGTACCATTCTTTTTCTTGTAGCTGCAACATCCGTTCATATTCGCCCGCCCCACCCCGTAACTCGTAGGGCTCTCTTTAGAGCCAGTACCGTAAGATGCAGGGTAGTTGTTCTCGCCATGAGCCCGAGCGCACAGAGCCAACGCGTGGCGAACAAAGTACACGACGGTGTCAATGATTTCGAAAACTTTTCTTTTGGTAGAATAAATCGGTCCTCGAACTTCCCAAGTTTATAATCTTCGGACACCCATCCCGATCCTTCTCTAGACGCGTACACTCGAAGCAATAAAAGGCGTCACTGATCCCCTCCCCACCACACACAATGCACTTATTCTGGTAGTTTCCGAAGGAGCACTCGTCGCAAATCCGAACCAAGGTCGTAGGACGCACGTAGGAATCGCACACGGGACATTTGCCGTCACACTTGTCGCACAGGCGGCCGATAGAGATGCCCGGCTGCTTGCGGCACATGACGAGATCGGGGTGATGGCGAGACATGGTGATTCAAGATAGATCGAGCAACGCGATGAGGACGTTGAAAACAGTGAGAAATTCAAGCAGATATCAAGTCGCGCTGAATGATAAATCTGCAGATATCGAGAGCAAGTCACACGCCCAGCCAGAAATTTTCGCAAGATATGTCAGCGGAATGGAAAGTACTCGAAGCGGGGAGCCGAGGAGGAAGAGAGAGTGAGGGAGAGAGGAAGCGGAAGAAACGCCCTTTTGCGGTTTGCCCGCCTGGAGCGGGTAGGTAGCGGTAGCAGTAACTGTGGACCGTGCACGGGACGTTGGAGTCCCGCCGTGCCGGGCATATCGCGAGATACCGACGGAACGAGGTTTGAGATTCGTCGCGAATCAATCACGGGGACTTTTCCGACTGCCTTGGTTGGTGTGGGATGTTTTGATTCGAGATAGCTGATACCCAGTCTTTTTTTCTTCTTCTCATAATCTAGTTTTCAATGTTCAGAGCTGTTTTCATCTTTCTACTTTTGTGATTTGAGCCGATTTGATTCCCCCGAGCAAGGTTTCTAGCTTCTAGCTGCCAGATATGACTGAAGGGTGAGTGTTTATTTATCTGTCGCTTGGGTGCTTATGTATGAGATGTGATTTGCTAACTCGGGGGTAAACTCTGGATAATTTAGAACTCTCGCCTCCGCTGTCGCACTCCCCGACCAGGACCCGATCCCGTCCCCAGAAGCAGGGCTTAAGCGGAGACAATCGTCCATTACGGAGCCGGATTCGGAGTACAAGCGTCGGCGACTTAGCTCTCAGACGGAAATCAATGATGCTCAGACCGGTGCAGAACGCAAACTATCCTCTCCAGATGTAAGACCGAGACGACCAGCCGGGGGTCGGGATGAAGAGCGCAAACGCGGACAACGGCTATTCGGTGCCTTGTTGGGGACGCTGTCGCAGAGTTCGACTTCGGCGGCTCAGAAGCGACGGGCGGATATCGAACGACGACAACAGGATAAGCTCAAGTTGCAGGATGAGGAGTATGGCGAGTTGAAGAAGAAGAGGCGGGAGGAACGGGCAGTGATACGCAAGAAGGAGCAGAGACTCTACGAAGAGGAATCGGTGAGTTTAAATTCATGGGGGGTGATGATTATTTGCTGGGGTTTTGCTTGTTGTGTCGTGCAGGAGCTTGGTGTTGATTGATGTCTCAGATGCGCACGCGCCACTCGAATCTTGTGGCAATGGCTCATTTTCTCAAGACGAGGACAGAGCCGGTATTGGTATGTTTTGGCTGTTCTTTGGTGGTGGTGTCTGGGTTGTGCTGACGCTCGATTTGCAGTACTACAAGCCGTGGCAACTAAGGGCGGAGGAGGAGGATATAATACAGGATCAGATCAAAGATGCGGAAGCTACTGTTGCTCGAGAAGTCGCGGAATTTGAGACAGAATATGCACCCCATGAGGAGATGAATCTTGAGGTGGGGAAGCAGGACACACAGGAAGAGATACAGGAACAAGCTGCGGTGTCCGAGTCGGATGCTCTGGAGAACAAGAGTGTCGCTCAGGCTTCGTCGGTCACGATGGGCGCTGAGACGACGGTCGATGGAGGCTCAGAGGAAGCTAAACCCGAGACTACGCCTGCGCACGAGAGCAATGTATCTATGGATCATGACCGCTCGGATATCCATCGACACGATGATGATGGCGGTGAGGTGGTGGAGGACCAGGAGGATACGGTGATTTATTAGCAACAGAAGCGATGATCCTCTTTTATTCCACACGATGATGTCTGTTGTGTTTAGTAGCGAATTGCAATGCGGACGGGGCCACTGGGGACAGAGGCCGTCCGTGCGGATGTACATTAGTGTCTGCATCCAGCAGGACCGAGGCATCTCGGCGGGAAGGAATGGCAACCATTCCACTGGATGAGCGCACTCGCAGTGGAGGAATTCCGTGAACCTGGTCGTGGCTAACTGCCAGGGAAACAGGCCATGGTCCCGGAAATCCATGCTACTCGTGCCCAATAACTCCGCAGCCTCATTCTTGACGTTTCAGTCAATCAATAGCTTCGGTTGCACGTGACGGACAGCTGGCGGGGGTCTCCATAGGGTACCATTTATAGATCCTGGGAAAGTCGGTATAGCAGCATGGATCTTGCCAGTCTATTTTCCCGCCATCTTTTAAATTCCTCTCTCCTGTAAATCCCATTGTCCAGTACTCAGAATTGTTCTGCCTCCCAACCGATTTCCCCGTCATGACCGTGGACAAGATCGATGTAACCGGTGATCCGAGGGTCGAGCGCCGCTCGGCAAACCTCAATGGCAAGACATACGGTATGTAGGCTCTGTATCCACCGCGCTTTCATGGATGCCTGATCCAATTCCCGGCGTCGCGGTTCCTTTCTGGATCATGCATTATCGTCACCATCATGCAGCGCAGTCGCATGAGTGGATTTAACTCTTATGCAACATGTCGCTGATATATATCTCGCAGGCTATCTCTACAGCGAGCCTGAATCGGGAGTTTATCGAGCGACGATCTTCCTCGTGCGTGATGCCATCCCAATCAGAGTGCCCAGTGAATACCTGTCACGAGAGGATATATAAACTGCAAATAAACCCCCAGTCTAACTTTCCTCTGCCGTGTACAGCTGCATGGCTTTCCCGACCTGTCCATGGGATGGCGCTATCAGATCCCGATGTTGATTTCCAAGGGCCTCCGAGTCGTCGCCCCGGATTGTCTAGGATACGGCAGGACAGTACGTACTACCCTCTCCAAGACCTCTATGCAAAAATGTCTGATTGAAAAAAAGGATGCACCTGAAGATATCGAATTATATTCTCACAAAAACTGCGCCGACGACATCAAAGAACTAGCCATTCAACTCCGAGCGTCAACAATCATTCTCGGCGGACATGACTGGTAAGCCTTTCGCTCAAGATATAGCACCCACAAACCAGTTACTGAAAATTGAAATAGGGGTGCGGCCCTTGCCTATAGAGTTGCCCTCTGGCACCCGGAGCTGGTCTCGCACATCTTCACAGTCTGCGTCCCGTACGCAGCCCCAACGAGGAAATATCTCGCTTTAGAAGATATGGTCGACAACATAGCGCCGCATTTTGCGTATCAGCTGCAATTCCGAAGCGGGGAGCTCGAAGATATTGTCTACACTAAGGAAGATATTGAGAGATTCCTGTCTGCGCTGTATGGCGGTCGGACGGATGACAGGGATGTGGCGTTTGATGCGGAGTATGGGGTTATGTTGGACAGGATGGACCTTGTGCGGCCGTCACCGTTACTGAGCGAGGTAGTAAGTTCTATTATCTTTTCTTTTGCTCTATACATATCTGGACGATGCATGCTAATGGACCAGGAACTGGAATACTACGCCAACGAGTTTTCGAGAAATGGACTTCGTGGACCATGTATGCCCCTTACCATGTACTATTCGAGAAAGAAAGCGACTAATAAACGCAGTAAACTGGTACCGAACCCGCGAGATAAACTACGAAGACGAGCTCGCCATCCTCAACCAACGCATCACAGCACCATTGCTATTCATCCAAGCACTGAAGGACACCGCGCTCCCGCCACATCTCGGACAAGGAATGACGCGAACGATTCCGCATCTGACATACAAGCAGGTGAACACTTCTCACTGGGCGTTGTGGCAGGAGCCAGAAGAGGTGAATGAGATCATTGCGTGGTGGTTGAAGGAGGTGGTGTTCAAGAGTATGAGATTGTCAAGATTGTAAGCGTTGTATATGTGGACAGCTTTGTATGGGTATCTTGTACGGTTTTGTGCATCTGTATGGCATGTTCTGTTCCTGGGCTTTCGGTTTCGTTGGGCGCGATTGTGAGCTATTTTGGTTTATTTGGATATGATCTGAAACAAAAGTGGTCCTCGAACACGGGTGAGGCCGATGCATCCATTCTTTTCCATATCTTGCCTATAGACAGGGACGAGCTTCTACTCGAAGCGGTGAGCCATGCACTTACTATTAGGCAAGCGAGTAACTCGACTCCGGGACTCCAAGAAGACTGTCAGTCAAACAATTTGAAATCCCCGTCGCACTGTCAGGCTCTCTCGAATCTCAACCATAATTCCGCGGCACAGTAAGACAATCTCTATTCTTATGGTAGAACAATCTGACTGGTTCCTCTCAGATGCACGAAGGGTGGCCATCGAGTCACATGATACAGGGGATCAAACAAACAAACCAGTTACTCAGCTGACCAACTGCAACGCCCCCAACAACCGCTAGTATAATGATGAAACCAGTGCAATAATACAAATAGTCCTTTATAGCACAGACACATCTAGACCAAGTCGTCCAACAATCGTAGCTACGCATCCCTCCGTCTTTCACAAGCAATGACATCCCCACTTTTCCGAATTGGACAGGTGCTTCGAGGCAAGTCAGGGAGGTAAACCATCGCAAAACACATCCGAGATACCGTTTGGCTGGCAAAGTGAGTGCACCCGATTCAGGCCAATATGCGAATACTCATCTCTCCCAGCAACCAAGCCAAACAGCCCGTCATCATAAAAAGCGTCTTGGGTCACCCACGAGTAGAGAATGAACGAGATATTCTAAACCGTTTCCAAAACAACACGTCTTGCTTGCGACCTTTACTAGACGAAATCAAGGATCCCCCTAAGCCCACTACTATTGTCTTGAGACATCTTGAGGATGATCTATCCCGAGCAACGAGAAAAAGACCTCTAGGTCGAAAAGAGATTAATTTTGTTTCACGCCGGATACTTGAAGCGTTGAGGTGTCTTCACGAGGGGGGATATGTACATGCAGGTAATTCGATATCATGTCACTAAAGCGCATGTGGGGGCGGTATCGCTGATGATAAACGTATAGATATCAAACCGGATAATATATTTGTTAATTACACAAAGAAAGCAGGATTAGACAGTGAAGTACGATTCTCCGAGATCCAGCTGGGAGATCTCGGTGGTTTATGTCACATTGATTCAAAATGGGCTACATCGGGGACTCCCTTAGGGACACCTATATGGCGTAGTCCCGAAATGGTCATGGAAACCCCCTGGGGCACTCCAGCTGATATCTGGTCATTCGGTGCCATGGTAAGCTCTTCGTCCCATATCAACTACCAGCAGGACTACTAACCTTCTCGTAGTTGATATATCTCATCTACGGGGGCGATTTCAACTTATTCAACCCCACCACGGTACCATACGACCATGAAGAATATAGTCTGGAAGTATTAAAACAACAATTCAGATATTTTGGACCCTGGCCCGGGAAATATGATGAGATTGCGAGTCCTGAGACCGTACGTGCTATTGTGTGGATTATGAGGGAGATTCCCAAATCGGATACTACGCCGTTTTCGCTGGTATCGGAGAAAGAAGTTCGTAAGGAAGATAAACGATTTATTATGGATATTATGAAAATGGACTGGAGGGATAGGCCCACTGCTAGGGAGTTGTTGGAACATGATTGGTTTAGAGAGGGGGGTGTGGTGGAAGTGTGAATCGCGCGGAGTTTAAGAATGTAGTTGGGCAGGGCCTGGGGGTTTTTAATCCTCTGACAGTGCTGCTGTAGGGTCCTGGGCTATCTATCTCGTACATGGTTGTCGTTTAGTTAGCTCCTTTGGGGATTCTGCTGAGGGTTATCGAGGAAACCTGGTGTTCTCGCTTAGGCCCCAGCACAGTAACCTTGCCAAAATACTTTTTGGCAGCTTGTTGCCTAAGAAAGGCCACTAAAGCACAGCGGCACAGACACTTGCAGGGGGGCGCGAAGCATGTGACTGGGTTAAATGTGAAGGCTCGAGGTCCAAGAGCTCTCTGGGATTTATATAAGCAGGTATATAACAAAGCTTGCAAATCATCAATGTAGCAGAAGCATCATCAGTTATCGACAATCTGTGTCTCGACATGGCATCCAACCTTCTCCCACCGGTCGAGAAATTCCTGTCCCAGGGTGGCTGTGGTTACGATACCGCCACGGGACACCTTCTTGACCTTCTCCTCGTTCTCGAGGATCACCATCGCTGCCTCCGCAAGGGACATCCCGGTAAAGGCATACATTGTTCCTTGGTACCTCAGCTTGCCCAATACCCGCTTGGGCTTCGAAGTGTCCTGGTCCGCGGTCGCCACGGCGCGATACTCAATATGGTCATTGACAGAATCCTCCAGCCGTGGCCCGGTACCGGGCGAGTACACATATTTCCTGACCAGGGTTCGAACTGGGGGCAGGATCAAAAGGGTGATGGCGATCAGGAATGCATAATGGAACAGAATTCCGGTGATAGCGTTCCTGGCGCGGAGGAATTGCCTGAAATAAAATTGTGGTCCGTAGAATTCCGGCATCAATGTGCTGCTACGGTGAACAATAGTGATATCCGCCAAGCCCGACGGAGAGGTCGTCAGAGTGCCTATGTCGCGTACAGATCGAATACCGGACAGCTTCGCCAGCAATGGCTCGCTAGGCACATTCTTGGGTGGCGGAGATGCTGCCAGCGCAAACGGGCTGGCCGACTTGAGCAAATCAGAGACTGACATGGAGTCAAAGACTGTCAGAACGGTGGAGAGAGTGCCACCGCTTGCTCCGGAAGACCTGCATAAACCAGTCAGAAATGTCTCTCGCATATGTAGGTTGGTCTTACTTGATATCATGGATAGCACTGATGACTTCCCTTGTGTGGCAGGAAAGATCTTCACGGACTCTCTTCACAGTCGCCCATGCTAGCATATCCGCAGGTGCGCTTTCAATTCCAACGGAAGGGATGATCTGTGGATAGTTAGAACATAACACAGTGTGACATTTATAAGAGATGAATACATACGATAGCACCATTTGACTTGGCGGTTTCGTGGTATTCGTCGACAATGTTCTTGACCCAAGGTGTCTCACCCGTACTGCGCTGGTTAGCTATACATCGCTCGACCAGTTCCATGGTAGCAAACCACTAACGCATCGACATAGTGCGTTCCATTGCTGGCGCAAGCTTCAACCACGGGCGTGGAATACAAACAGTACGGCCCCACGCAATTAATAATGAGTCGCGTCTTCTGAGCCAGCGCGTGCAACTCCTCGCGATTGAGTTGTACAGCTAGGACATCTTCTAGCAGGTTAACAACCGTGCACGACAGATATGTAGCTTCACGGAATCAAGTACCAGGATCGGCGCGATCAGGATTCAAACTCTTCAGTTCTTTGGCAATAGTCTCCAGTTTCTGGAGGGAACGACCGGCCAGCGCCCACTTCAGGTTGGTGGGAAGATTCTTGACGATATGTTCTGCACAGAACCGGCCAGTATAGCCGGTGGGCCCGAGGACAACCAGATCGTATTCCTTGGATTCCATTGGTGCGCAGAGTATGTCGAAGTCTTGGCTCTAGGCGATTCGGATCAATAGCAAGAGCTGGATAATAATACAAGAGTACGATCTTAGTATATCTCTGAATGAGCCAAATCTTTAACAGCCATGAATGAATGGGATGCCTTGATGTCACCCTGTCATGACGGAGTTGCTTAAACCGCGGTCACGAGCTAACCCGATGCAGAAACACCGATCAAGGGACCGAGGCATGTGGTTCACTGGTTATGCTTAATCCAGGGCAAGGTGGAGGTGCGGTAGGCCAGTTTGTTCCTCCAGATTGCAGCAGACCTGTTCTCGCTGCTTCTAGATATACATAGGTAGCAGAGCAAGGTTATTCAAAGCCACCGGCAGCGGTTCAAGAATCCTGCCATCCCTGCAGATTACATCAGTGTACTACCACCATTTAGTTATGCTGTGCACGATTACATAATCTTACGTTTGTGTGCATATGATGGTTGCTAGTTTGAAATAGATTCGCACAGTACGGCAACATGACAAACTAGAGTAAAACGAAGATAAAAATCCGCCGTAGTAAACCAGAAGAGTTCACTGTTATCAATAAACCTACTAAATTAGACTTAATATCCCGTAGAAGCTGCCGTATAGCCTGACCTTGGGCAGGCATAATCGTCATCATCTGCATTCGAAGGGGTCCACGTGACCGGAGTTCCAGCCCTAAGCGAGCCCGCCCACAACCATTCCCGCCCGAGTAGAAAGCCTCAGTCTCGATTTCGTCTTACCGCACTGTATCCATCTTCGACCTCAACAGCCGCACGAGTACAAGATGACGAAGCGCACCAAGAGTACGTGCCCCTCTGAACCCTCGAATGCAGAACAATGGATTTTTGAAATTATGAACGCCGGATGAGAAACTAACATGAGATTGCAGAGGTCGGTATCACGGGTAAATATGGTACCAGGTATGCAGCAACGCTTATTCCACCCCCGAGTCCTGAAACCAGCTTGAAGTCGATCGCGTTCTTTTCCCCGACATCGAAAGACGACAGAACCGACATCGAATATGGCGATAGAGAGAATCGATATTGACGATGGTTTGATAACAGATACGGTGCCTCCCTGCGTAAGCAGGTGAAGAAGATGGAAGTGTCCCAGCACGCCCGTTACATCTGCACCTTCTGCGGAAAGAACACCGTCAAGCGCAAGGCTGTTGGTATCTGGGAGTGCAAGGGCTGCAACAAGGTCGTTGCCGGTGGTGCCTACACCGTCTCGTAAGTTCAGACTTTGCTCCTGATGGAATGCTGCCTGGACTCGTCCGAGTCGGGCTGTTCTATGGAAAGCAAACATGACATGGATACTGATCGGTGGAATTGTGCTACAGTACCCCCGCCGCCGCTGCCACCCGCTCCACCATCCGCCGTCTCAGAGAAATTGCGGAGGTTTAAATGTGATGATGGGATTTCCTTTTCTATTACGTTTAAATTAAAAAATGAGAAGATGAGATCTGGAGAATTTCCTTGGGCGCATTTCTCTTACGAAGCCGCTTGTCCAACTGCCTCTATGTCCAAGATTCACCAATAGATTAATACCACCGGTGATTTCAGATCCTTCACTCAGTTCCTCGAACCAATTAGCCGATGTACGGGAATCATTGAATCTTTTCGTATGACCACTGGGGGTTTGCAGTTGGTTCGGATATACTTGTGATGATGATACCATCTGACGAATCTGTTGCAGCAGCATGTGAGTATCTTGGGGGATGTTGATGATGGATGTCCGGCCGATAATCTGAGATGAGTGTTAGGAGGCTCCGCCAAGCATCGCACTCCCGAAGGTCGTAAGGGGAAGAAGCCATATCAGTTCGTGGGGTGGGCTTTTGGTCTGCTTGTCATTAAGGTCCTTTCCGTAGCCCCGATCGGTCAGATTGCCTAAGACGGTCGCAGATTTTTAAATCCATGTGTCTCCTCCCTATCTACGTACTATGTGTCCCTTCCTGAAGGGCCCGTTGCGTCAGCCAAATCTATGACCCTCCGGCTTTCGCGCTAACTCTTCTCACGGTTTAGGTTTTCCCAGTGGGCACGGTCACACACCGGCCATGGGCTCCAGGTCGAAAAGAGGGGGGGGATGCTGATGCAGAGGTACTCAGCTGCTGCAAGGGCATGGCATTTTTCCCAGGCGCTCATTCATCGCTGCCAGGACCGACGCCCACGAAGCGGGTGACTAAGGCCAGCCGATCATATTCCCTAATCGCCATTGGCCTCGACAGGCCCGGTCACGTTGGGGCCCAGACTGCTTTGCGTTAGACCGGATTTCAGGTCCACCTTCAAAAGGCCGGTTGCTTTCTCCCCACATCACTCGACCTGCTCCCTCTCCCCTTCTCCGTCCACACCTCTGCCTTCTATCCCTTCTGCCGGTTGCTCTTCATGCCTTCTCTCAGCGTCTCTGCAGACAATTGTGGCACATCACCTTCTGTTAATGTCCGACACCTGTATTGTGTGCTTAGGAGACCTTGGCGAAAGCGCCAGCGATCCTCTTGCCAACGCCGCCGAGGCCGCGCCAAGACTTGACCTTGAGGCAGAGGGAAAGTCGACGGACTCCCTCAAGGCAGAAGGCGTAGATGGCAGTGAGGACTCGGGTCAGATCGCTCAACTTCTCCCTTGTGGGCATATCCTGCACAACAACTGCCTCAGACCCTGGGTCGAACGAGCCAACAGCTGTCCGATATGTCGTCGGAGTTTCAACGTCGTCGAGCTAAGTGACCGACCGGGAGGTAAGTACTCGAGTCACCCCAACCTACCTATATAATTGGGACGGTCTTTCCAGTCGTTACAAATGCACTGGTTTGCTAATCTACCTCTCCGGTCGCAGGTCCCGTGATATCCTCTTATGCCGTACAGGATCGAACGCAGGTGGCAGATGTCGACCCCTCAATGATTATTGAATATATAGACGATGACTTTGCCGATCACCAACCCTGTCCGATCTGCGGCGATGCAGATAACGAGGAGCTCCTCCTCCTTTGTGATGGGTGCGATGCACCCTCTCACACATACTGTGTCGGTCTTGATTCCATCCCGCCGGGCTCCTGGTACTGCGCACGGTGTACCCAGCGTCGTCGCGGACAGTCCCCTGAGACCGCCGATCGGTCTTCTCGGACACAGGAGAGGCGGGGCCGTCGTACGAGGGCCCAGCAGCGCATGCTGCAGAGCCGAAACCAGATGAACTCGCTCGACTGGGCCCGTGTGTGGCAATCTGTCTGGGATCATCTCAGTCTTGACTTGGACTTTCCCTTTGATGATGACAGGGTTGCTGAACGCGCCCGACAACAGCAACGTCGGGAGGAGGCCAATCAGCGGGAGTTTCGAGCCTGGCAACGTCGCTTTGAAGTTGCGGAACGACAGGGTGGCAACAACCGGTTCCGAGACACTGCCGCTCTTCTGGATATCGAGGCACCTCGACCGTCGCGGCCCCGCGTACCGCGTGAACCTACACCTGAGCCCGAATCTCTTGAGGAGATGAGGGCTTGGAACGCTTTCGAGCGAGCTCGGGAAATCGAAAACGACCCAAGTGCAGCCAGGAAACGCAAGGAACCTACATTGTCACCATCGCCCGAACCTACTGAACCCGAACGCAAGCTCAAACGGCCTCGGACACGAAGGGCTGAAGACCTAGCAGCTCGAGCCATGCAGAATGGCGAGTCGTCAAGAGCTGCTAGCGCGCATGCAACTGCTCGGATCAACGCTGAAAACTCGAGCGAACCAAGTTTTCTCCAATCACTTCTGAAGGAGGTTGAAGAATCGTCCAACCCCAATGGAGTCCAGTCTCATGGCGCCTCAGGTCAATCTTCGATTGCACCCACCGATCATCCGACGCCTGGGCCTTCCTCCCCTTCCATCTCGCCTGCTCCCTCAAACCACTCCTCCCCGCGATTATCATCTGTCACACCGCCACCAAACCTTAGAAGCAGGCCCATGTCTCCACTACAACTCGGGTCGCCAACAGACCCATCCTCTCCTCCCTTCTCACCGGACGTGTCCCCGGCTGGCTCTACTCGAAGTACCCAGGATGATCTACCATCCCACTTTACTACAATCCGGCTGAATCGCCGTATTCCTCGCTCCTTGACACGATCGGCATTGAACCGGTCGGACGACAGCTCGCCGGTTCGCCCCGGCTTGTCTCTCGACGTCAAGTCTGATGTCCAGAGATTGGTGGGAACAGCACTCAAACCCTATTATCGGTCGAGGATCATATCCAAAGATGAGTACACTGATATTAACAGAACCATATCTCGGATGCTGTACGAGCGAGTAGGGGGTGTGGAAACTCTCGAGGCCGCTGCCAAGGCCACCCTAGAAGGGGTGGCCAAGGAGGAAGTCGAGAAAGCCGTTGATGCGTTGAAGCAACGGAAGGAACTGAATGACCATGTCGATGAGAGCTCTTGATACATAATAGCGTCTTGCATTTCCCGGCGTTTAGCAATTCATCCGGTTTGTGTGAAGGGAAAGAGTTTCTGGCGTTTGTAGCAACTCCCGTTCGGCGGGAACTCGACGGGAGGCTTGGATACCCTTTCCGAAATATACTGCAGGTTGGGTGGCTGGTGTTGGGCACAGCATACTGTAGCATTGTCTTGCATTTATTATATACCTGAGTGATACTACCAATGCCATTTTGCTGGGCCCGATGGCTGGAACTGGGCCAGTCAGCTTGATCTTGTATGATCCCCGCGCAACCTCACCGCTTCAATCTCCGACTCGGATAACCGAGGGATCAGCACGAGTCTTCGTCGTTCAGGTTCCTACCCCTCACAATCCCTAAAATGAGTGCAAAGTGCTAAGTAGTGATAGTCACCGCTAGACCACCCGACGACCTGTCGACTGACCACCTCGCTTACGCAGTATGGACCAGCAGTCGACACGCATCACGGCGGATAGGGTAGGTAGCCTGCATGCACGGGTTCCCAACCAGCCTTATGCGACCACCAGATACCTACTTACAAGTCTATCGGAGATTTGCTACGGTACATGATTCGCTTATATGGCTGTTTTGCTCTACCTAACTACCTACCAAATTCATACCCCTCAGACGATCTACTCCATAGATTACCAATTCAACCACCACCACCAAAAGAAACAAGGTCCTCACACCACCTTACATAGAAAACCACAGCAACCCACAACTACAATGTATAACTCATTAAAAGAAACATTATACTTGGTAGAGAAGGAAGGAAAGCGAGGGAAAAAGGTAAAAGAAATGCAAAATATAAGCGACACCTCTGGGACTCGAACCCAGGCGGGCGAACCCACAGGCTAATCTACTAGTTACTTATAACAGCAAGTAGCAGGCCTGCGCCTTAAACCACTCGGCCAAAGTGTCTGATTGGTTGTGGGATACTGAGCCTTTGTAATGGGTCATATACTGCACTTTGTTCTAGGGAATAGGTAGAGAGAGGGTGATCCACATGCCCCTCTTTCATTCTTTGGTTCTTGGGTCAGTGTCGATTTTGCATACTTGGGTCTAGGTGGATTAGGTAGATGGGTGGGTGGTGGGTACTGGGTAGGTTTGTGTGCCGAGTTTTGGAGCTTGAATTTTGATGGAGTGGAGGGGTTTTGTTTACTGTGTTGTGTGTAGTGTGTGCTCTTTGCACTGTACAGTGTAGAATTAGATAGCGGTGCTTTGCTGATTGTGATTGTGATGTGACTGGGATGGCTTGGTTCCGCTTACCAATGTTGTCTTATGATTATTAACAAGGTCCTCGTCGTCTTACGTTGGGCGGATAAATTTATACACAAAGTGCTGAAGGTGTTCTCTTAGGCGGCCTCACTTTGGACCGTATTCCTGCAGATTTGGACCGCATTTTGAACTGTAATTGGAATAGTGTTTCTCAATACCTGCTATTCCTATAGAGGAAACTAGCACCTGTTTCAAGATTTGTCTTTATAGTATTCTTAAACGATCTGGCTGTCTGATTGGTTGTTTAGCTAGCTGTCTTACCGGTCGGTCTTCTTCTTCCTCTTCTTTATTACCTGCCGGAATACGGTCCAAAGTGAGGTCGCCGTTCTCTTATCATGAGCGACGTAAGTGATCGGCAGATTTTGCTGCACTCTGCCGAGCTGTCACAATTGACGTGATTTCGGTTTCCCTGCTCTCTTATTCTTGCAGTATTCAGCCATGTCTCCATCAGACCAAGGTCTAGAAGCGAAGAGAGACATGGATATAGACAGCTGTGAAGTGCCTACCCGGTACAGAACCCCTTTCTTGGGTCCACAGAAGCATGCATCCACCACTCATACCCCCAGCAGAGTCAGAATGTTATTTGCTAGTGGCGTTAGTCTGCTGATGAGGTTCAAGTCCGACTCCACGGGTTTTAGCATCTGGAGAATTAACCGGATCGAGTATGGCTTCGGGTTTCGGCCTCAGGTGTGCCCGCCTCTGGTTCGTATCTGTGACTGTGTCAATGATGACGAATCAATGCCGACTCGCAGGATTGCGTGATAAAGCGTACCGACTTGCTGTACCACGTGCCACTGACTTGCAGGTCTGACATAGACAGAAGGAACTGACTAGATAGAGGTGGAGGTCGGCGTCCATGACAAAGCAATCCTGGGAATGAAGAGCCAAGCAATGTCGCGATAAACACGCCAAGCCATCGGGTAGAAGTGGGCACTCAATCCAATCATGACAACCTTCATGATTCAGTCGGGACTTCGGAGCCACCGAAGCGCGAGCAGGAGCCACTATAGCAGGCAGATAGGATTTTACATCTCTGGTGGCTGAGACTAGTTGTGCAAGCGGAGAAGAACATTAGCCCATGTTGTTTGCTCAATGTCCGTCATGAAAACTTTCATGCCTCCAATGGAAATCCTGTAAACACTGAGGACCCTTGTCATGCGCCGGGAATAACGGCTCCAAACTATGACATCCACCACCTAGGCAGTACTGATTACTGATCAATCCCATCCTGATGATCCTGGTCCGGCTGTGGAAGTGGGGGGCAATTTGGCCTCGGACCTTGAAATGTTATACCTATCTACTAGACGATAGGGCCGGTCCATGGCTGTAAATAGTGGGGACACGCGCTGGAGATACCCCTAACCCCGTCGGGCTTTCACTAATCGAGACCGGCCCTAGATTACTTGTTTGTGCAGCTGGGTCTGCAAAGTGCAAAGGCCCACTTGTTGGAAGAGGTTCGATGTTTTTAATGACTCCGTGATCCTTGCACGTAGCTTTCCAGTCCCCTGTTCTCCATAACTAGTCATTTTGATCCCACCGGGGGTATAGAGGCCAAGCGTTTCCCTTCCCAAGTCACTGGATCTCGCTCTTGTTCTCCCCAATCCTCTCTATAGCACTATAATCTTAGGCTGTTAGTGGTGCGCCTCAGTGAGCGCTGCCACATAATATGAGCGACACACACCATACTTCCGGTGCGACGGCACCAGATTCGAACGTTGCCACCTCTCACATCGACACAACCCATGAGGTGCCCTTGCAATCCTCCACTTCAACGTTGAAGTCAGAATCAGTTGCTGCATCGGGAGACCTGGAAAAAGTCACCGAGAACTTCACCGACAAAGAGCTGGAGCAGGATGGGTACGATATCGAGGCTGGTGTGCCTGAGCCAGAGTCAGAAAAGGCTGCCGAGAAACAAAAGGACCCGAACTTGGTGGACTGGGACGGTCCGGATGACCCAGAGAACCCCCAGAACATGCCTCGCTGGAGGAAGTGGATCATCACCATGTCTTTCTCCTTTATGACCACATGGATCACTTTCGCCAGCAGTGTCTTCTCGACTGCAACCATCGTAACTGCCAAGGAATTTAACGTCTCGACGGAGGTCATGGTTCTAGCAACCAGCTTGGTGGTGTTTGGATTCGCAGTCGGCCCACTGTTCTGGTCACCCTTGTCGGAGCTGTATGGGCGCAGGATACCGTTGTTCTCGGGGTACGCCGTCTTCGCCATCTTTCAGATTCCCGTTGCAGTGGCACATAACGTGGAGACTATCTTGGTCTGCCGATTCTTGATCGGCATCTTTGGCTGTTCGCCCCTTGCTGTCGTTGGTGGCGCCCTGGCGGACTTTTGGGGCCCTGTTGATCGCGCGGTAGCTATTGCAGCATTCGCCAGCGCCACATTTGTCGGGCCTGTGCTTGGTAAGTGCATCTCATCAGTAGTGTGATGGCTTTTTATGTCGTGGTTGTTGGGCTAACATGTCTATCTCAGGTCCCATTGTTGGAGGGTACCTGACCGATTCGTACCTTGGCTGGCGGTGGACGGCTTGGATTACATTAATCGCCTCGGCGTCATTTGGCATGTTGGCCTTCTGTATCGTTCCCGAAACCTATGCACCCGTCATCCTTCAAAAACGTGCAGCACGCCTTCGCAAGGAGACGGGCAACTCGGCTCTGTACTCACTCCTGGACAAGAATCGGCCCACCATGAACGACATCGTTACCAAATACCTCCTGCGGCCAATTATGATGCTTTTCCTCGAACCGATCTTGCTCGCGGTCACCCTTTACTTGGCGCTGGTGTACGGAATCCTCTATCTCTTCTTCGAAGCCTACCCCGTCTCCTTCGAGGAAGTGCGCGGATGGACCAACGAGGGTATCGCCGGATTGCCGTTCATTGGCATCTTGATCGGGGTTTTCTGTGGCGTTGCCCTGATTGTTTGGCAGACGAAAACGCGGTTTGCCCAAAAGCTAGCTAAACATGGCCGTGTGGTGCCAGAGGAGCGCCTGGTCCCTATGATGATTGCGTCCATCATGTTGCCTGCCGGTCTCTTTTGGTTCGGCTGGACCTCGCATCCCAGTACTCCTTGGGGAGCTCAGGTTGTTGCCGGTATTCCCATTGGCATGGGTATCCTGGTGATTTTCATGCAAGGTCTCAACTACATCATCGATGTGTATCTGATGTTCGCCAACTCCGCCATTGCTGCCAACACCTTGGTCCGGAGTAGCCTTGGTGGTGCTTTTCCGCTCTTTGCCACGCAGATGTACGATCGGCTGGGCGTGGACTGGGCCTCCAGTCTTCTCGGCTTCATTACCGTCGCCATGATTCCCATTCCGGTCCTCTTCTTCTTCTACGGCAAGAAGCTTCGGGCCATGAGCAAGTTCAGTCCCAAGCTGTAACTTGAGCCAGGATCAAAAGTGAAACAGGAGTGAAAAGCGTCTTATCTCGTCTCATGGTTCTCACGTTTAGATGATGCTTGTATAGCATTCTCACGCATCAGCATGGCGTTTTTCGGTGGTCACATTATATTCGAATGACTAATGTTTATTGGATGGGGGAGGGAGATAGATGGATGTTAATAGACAGCGGTTGCATTTACAGCTTCATGTATGCTCATCAAAACATAAAAATGATATTTGCCATGTTGGAAGCATAGCCTGTAGAAGTATGGATGGATCCATCCGGCAGCTTCTTGCGACGCTTGTCGGGCTCGTTGCTGATTGGCCAATGTGCGGTTTAGACGGATTGGGGATGCTGCAGATACGATGGAGACCGAGGGCCACCCCATCCAAGGGATGATGATCCTTCCCTTCAGATTTTCATCGAAGCCATCTTTGGAGGGGCCGTGGCCATCCGGAAGTAGATAGTTGAGTAAGTAAGTAATCGAGATGGGGCAGCGAAGGATCCTTGATAGATAGATCGAGGGGAAGAGTCAAGGGAGAAAAAGAAAGCAGTCGCGCGACGCGTCCCGAAGTGGAGGCGGTCGGAGGCGGTGATTCCTGGTCGAACCGTCCGGCTTGTCTGGCTGTCTGGCTGTGTCTGTCTGTCACGCCGGTCGGTCTCTGTGTCTCTGCTACTGCTGCTTTGCTCTCCCTCCAAATCCACCGTCCATCGGTCCTCTTTCCCCCATTCCTCTTCCACGTGCAGCTCCCATTTCCACTTCCCCCCCTCTTCACTTCCCTGGTACAGATCGTTCCCCATCTTACTCTTTTCTTCGTCTCTTTACTCCCCCTCCGGTGCAGCGCATGGTGCGTTGAAGCTCATTCCCTCTCCCTCGGCTTCCCCGCGCTTTGTCCACGATGCCCGCGCGCACTCGTCAAGGCCCCTCTGTCGCCTCGGAGGCCGTGGACCCGGAAGACACCTCTGCTGGTCTTCGCCGCCTCAAATTCAATGAGCCGCTGTCCTGGCGCGTCGGCCGGGCCGCCATTCCCATTGCGGATCTGCTTCAACGGCTGCAGACGCTGGCGCAGGAGCTTCGCAGACTTGAGCAGGAGGAGATCGACAAGGAATCTTTGAGGAAGGTTTCGCAGGAGCTTGCGACGGCCCATCTCCTCGCGCACAAGGATAGGGGAGTGAGGGCGTGGACGGCCTGCTGTATCGTCGATGTCTTGCGTCTCTGTGCGCCTGACGCGCCCTTCACGGGCAATCAACTGAAGGTGCGCTGACTCTCCTCAATCCCTGACATGGTCGCACTCGAGCTGTCCATCGATTCCCATCATTGTTTGGCTGCAATTACAGCGCTGACTGACGTCTACCGAAAATCAGGACATCTTCAACTGTATAGTATCCTCCATCGTCCCCGCACTAGGGGACCCGTCCAACCCCTACAATGCTCAGCATATCTACGTCTTGAACTCTCTTGCAGAGGTGAAGAGTGTTGTGCTCATGACAGATCTAGACCACCCCGATTCGTTGATTATTCCATTGTTCACGAGCTGCTTTGACATCGTTTCGGGGTCCTCTAAGACTTCCACGGGAGAGGAAGTCGCCAAGAATGTCGAGTTCGACATGACACGCTTGCTAGTGACGGTCATCGATGAGACGCCGGTTCTCGCCGCTGATGTGGTCGATGTCATCGTGGCGCAATTCCTGCGCATCGACCCCCGTGCCTCGGAGGCCCCTACTAAGAGAGGGAAGAGAGGGGATGCGCCGGTCGATGCCAAGCAGGGAACGCTTCTCCTGAAGGACTATCCTCCTGCCTACAACATGGCCAAGGCTATCTGTCAAGCATGCCCGGAGAGAATGACGAGCCATATCAGCCAGTACTTCAACAATGTCATCATCGATGCGTCCGCGGATGGTGCAAATGGTTCCTCGAAAGGTGGCCATCGCAAGCCGAACCTGGACGACTCGGACGAGGAAGGGGAAGACATTAAAGAATTAAGCAAAGCGCATCGCCTGATTCGAGAGCTGTGGAGAGCATGTCCGGAGGTATTGCAGAACGTGGTTCCCCAATTGGAGGCCGAATTATCGGCAGAATCTCTGTCCTTGCGCCTACTGGCTACTCAGACAATAGGTGATCTTACTGCTGGAATCGGGGTTGCTGGACCACCCCCGCCTCCACCGATGGATCCTGGCGCCTATCCCCCAGTGACCCTGGAAGAGTATGCCCAGACAATTCCTCAGCCTAGTGTTCTTCTCACGCCATTTTCTCCAAAGCCCTTCTCGCAGACACACAGTTCCACCTATGAAAGCTTTCTGAGTCGCCGGCTGGATAGATCCGCCTCAGTGAGGGCTGCATGGGTTACTGTGGTGGGCCGGATTCTGCTGACGTCTGCGGGTGGCTCTGGATTGAGCGACAGCGAGGAGCAGATGCTAATAAAAAACGTCGCTTCTATGCTTCGTGATGCGGACGAGAAGGTCCGGGTCGCCGCCGTCGATGTCATCAGCAATTTTGGCCTGACTCAGGTCGTGAACAAGCTCGGTGCCACGGGGGGCTTTTCCACCCCCGATTCCGTACTCTTCGTCCTTGCGGAACGGGTGAAGGATCGGAAGCCACAGGTCCGGGAGCATGCAATGAAGACTCTAGCCCGAATCTGGGCAGTTGCAGCGGGTGAAATTGAGCAGGCGAATGATCAGGTCGCTACTATGCTTAAGGATGGTCCCTCCAAGATATTTGATGCTTTCTATACAAATGATCCCGATATCCACGTCTCGATCGATCGCGTTCTCTTTGAGATTCTACTCCCGCTCAACTATCCTCCAGTCAAGGGCAAGCTGTCGCGGAGTAGCTCCAGTCAATCTCAGAAGCAGAAAGACTCTCAGGTCTCGGAAGGTGATTCTGAGATTGATGTTGACAGAATCCGAGTCCGTCGCATACTTACCCTTCTCAGGGGTCTTGATGAGAAAGCGAAAAAGGTGTTCTTCGCAATGCAGGCCCGTCAGATTTCAATGAGGACGGCGCTGACGATCTATCTACAAGCCTGTGAGGACTACAATGTAAGTCATGGCCTGGTTCCTGAGACATTCAAGTTACTAATGCCAAAATATAGGGCGGCGTGATGGAGAAAGATCAAGAGCGAATTAAAGCTCAGTTGAGCAAAGTGATTGATACCTTGGCCAAAACTCTCCCTGACGCATCACGGACATCAGCAGATCTGTGGAAATTCGCAAAAGTACACGACCGGCGGGGCTACCAGCTAATCCGTTTCTCGATGGCTGCGGTCAGTGATTATCGGACCGTTATCAAAGCCATCAAAGAGCTGGCGAGGAGATTACAAAGCTCCAACAATACGCCTCTGCTCGAGACTCTCACGCCTCTCCTGTACCGCTGCAGTTCCCTCGTTTTCAACAGAAGTCACATTCCAGCGATCATGAGTCTTTCAAGGACAGATGAGAATGGGTTGGCAAACCCTGCACAAGAGATGCTGCGGGAGATCTCCTCCCGTAACCCGGAGGTGCTGGAAGCACAGGTCCAGGAAATGTGCAAGGATCTTGAATCGCAGACACCCAACTCCTCGACGAAAGATGGAGCTGGGACTGAAGAGATTCTCAAAGCGTGCTCTGGCTTCGCAAAGAAACTCCCGTCCAAGCTCCCTAAGGACCGGAAATTCCTACAGGCCTTGGTCAAGTACGCGCTTTACAGTCCGTCACCCAGGGCGGCGAAACATGCGGTCTCTATCCTGATGGCTGTTGCCGATAAAAGGGAGATGTACGCAAAAGACCTGATAGAGAAGTGTGTCACGGGTTGGAAGTACGGATCGGTTCGGTTCCTGACCAAGTTGGCTGCATTGTCGCAACTGAACCTTCTGGCTCCGCGAGAGGCTGATGAGGAGAGCGACGCGATCATCTCCATTTCGGTCAATCAAATTCTGTTGACTAACCGCTCTCCCCAGCCAGACGCTGGATATTCGTGGTCTGATGCGGTGGACGATGAAACTGCAGCCAAGGAATGGGCTCTGAAGATCATCGTCAATCGCCTACGTGCTAAAGATGGCTCGGACGACGAGGACGACTTCCGTGCTCATGCTGAACCGGTGTATGATACTTTGAACAAGCTCATCGTGAACGACGGCGAGCTGTCGAAGAAAAAGGACACTCCTGCAGTTCAGAAGTCCCGGCTACGAGTTTTGGCAGCCAGGTCGCTACTCAAGCTCTGCGCATCTCATGGTCTTTGCGACCAGTTACTTACCCCGCAGGATTTCAACTCAATTGCCTTGGTAGCCCAGGACCCAGTTCTGGAGGTGAGAGGCGGCTTCATCGACCAGCTCAAAAAGAAGCTGGTGCAGAAAACATACCTGAGCTACCGCTGGTATACGGTTCCGTTCCTGCTTGCCTTCGAACCCATTAGCAGCCTGAGGGATAGTACGCTTACATGGCTGCGCTCTCGGGCGGCATTCTTCTCCCAGCAGACCAATGGCAAAAGAAGCGACCAAACGGTCATGGAGTCTCTATTCTCACGTCTACTGTCTCTTCTTGCCTACCATCCCGACTATCCGCCAGCTGATGTGGACGAGTCAACTCGGATAGGCGAACTAGCCGACTTTTCGCGCTACATTCTCTTCTATTTGCAAGGGGTCGCTAATGAACACAACCTGTCGTTGATCTTCCACATCGCTCAGCGTGTTAAGCAAACGCGAGACGGTATCACGAAGTCCGACGAAATCAGCACCCGTCTCCATACGCTTTCGGACTTGGCTCAGGCAACGATCCGTCGGTTCGCGGATATCTACTCCCAGCAACGTAAGTTTGGCGGCGCAGCTGGTAGCACCAACATTCTGCAGACTTACCCTGGCAAGATGGGAGTGCCAAGCTCGATCTTCGCTCCCATGAGTAGCCACCGCGAGGCCCAGGAAGTTGCAGACAAGAACTTCTTCCCGGAAGAAGGCGAAGACCTGCTGGATCGCATCGTGCGATCCGTCATGAGGGCGAAGGGCGGGTCCCAGAGCGCCGCAAAGAAGAGAAAGCCCGAACCTGCCGAAACCGGTGGCGACGCAGGCACTATGAAAAAGGCGAGAAAAGACAAGGAGAAGCCCACTCGGACGCGCAAGTCGTCCGCATCTGCGGGAACCTCCAGGACGCCCAAGAAGAAGAAGACGAAGGACGAAGATGGATGGTCCTCGGACGAAGGGGCTACCAAGGGAGCCACCAAGGGATCCACGGCTGCAGCACGGAGACGCAGTAGCAGAGGTACTTCCCGAAGGGTTAGCTACGCAGACCGGGATAGCGATGAGGATGATATGGAAATGGACGACTGGGAGGAGCAGGACGACGACAACAAGGAAGACGAGCAGGAAGAAGAAAAGAGTGAAGCCGAGAGCGATTTCGAAAAGGACAACGACAGCGTCGACCTTCCGGACAAAGAAGCACTCGACGAGATTCTAAGTGACAGGGAAGACTCACCACTGTCATCTCCGCCGCCCACGTCTCCTCAAAAAGCCACGGATCACGCGCCAGAGTCAAAGGGCAAACAAACCACCACAAATCTACCAAACCGACGGTCCTCTCGAAGAGGATAGATCCGTGCCCCCGAGTAGCTAGCATGTATGTATCAAAACCAGCGCAAGTGGATATTTGATTTCGGTTTGTCGTTAGGTTGATTGCCTCTCAAACAACCCGTGTCTTCTCGTCTCTCTCTACCATACCACCATGATTATGTTCACCCTCTCTCCCCTTTCCAAAAGCACCTACCTACCAATAAACCACCACGACTATCACCTTCAATATCTATCTACCAACCAACCAACAAATCAATCAACCATGACCAATCAAATCAAAGTGAACCGGACTGAACCGAACCGAACTGTATCGAGCTGTGTATACCCATCTCCTATTTATCTTTGCCAATCAATACTTTCCTCTTTGTGTTGTGTTCACTTCGCCTCCTTCCTTCCCTTTCAAGGTATCAGGATATGCCAGTATCTATGTCTATGTCTATGTCTATGCCAATGTCAGTATTCAATCAATGTATGATTTTCTGTTCTCGATACTTTATGTATCGCACACGTCCTTACTCCTTGCTTCGAATGGAGGACGGATAAGCAAGCAAATAAGTACATGTGGCATGACGTGTATCGATAGGTAGTTTTCCTTTCATCGGGACTGGAATGTGCAGAGTGAATTGATTACTGTCTCTCTCATCTATTCATGATTATTTCTTAAAGGCACTCTATATCAGTGGTTTGATGGAACGGTCAACAGTTAGGTACCTTTGATTTTATTTGTAGATAGGTAGTAGGTAGGTGTGTAGATGTGTAGGTAGGTGGTGGAATGATCTCTTGAACGCTGACAACAATGGATGGAAAGGCAAAAAAAAAGAAGACCATATTTACGCCGACCATGAGATATATGGGAGGCAAGAGAAGGAAAGGAGGATATAATGAGAGAAGAGAAGCATCAACATCCATGTCCAACTCACGAATCAGAGACCAGGAGCATGATGGTACATCCAAGATGAAAAATGTATGGAGGGATGAAAACCAGTTGAATATGGACGGGCTCCAAGCCGACCAAGAACAGTCGCTCAGTCATGTACATACATCAATGATTGGGACCAGAGATCAATCGGTACCAATAGTGAACGCGACAAGGGAGTAAAAAAGAAGGAGAGTAAAGTTTACATTGATGCAGAAGAAGGTGGGGGGGGAAAAAGAAACCCGGCTCCATCATTCATTCGTTAATTATTATGGTGCGTTGCCCTCGGCGGCTGCTGCTGCTTTCGTCTTCGCAACTCGCTCTTCCACGCGCTCCTTGTGCTGTCTGTTTCGGAGATGGACCTCGAAGTTGTCGACTGTCGTGCCAGGGCCCGGGGTGTACAACTTGCCCGGACAGTCGTGGCAGCGAATGCGTGGTAGGTATTGGTATTTCAGTTTGTGGCCGGGCTGACTATTGGAATTCGCGACCGGCAGCATTGTTTCGGTATCAACAGCAGTGTAACGCATAACACCTTCGAAAGAGTCGTTCGGGTAGGAGAGTTTTAACCGTGCTAGTCCCGCTGCAAGCCAACTTGGAGGCGGGGGCTAAACAAAACCATGTTAGTACGTGGTTGTCTGCGGCACATCTTCGGTAGCCAGACATTGCGGCCCGCGTGGAGGTGACGAGATGGAAGTAATAGGTCGTTAGTTACTCACCCCGGGGACTCCTGGCTGAGGGGGTTGAGGAGCATCTACAGCTCCGATCTGTTGAGCTGGGACTGGTCGTTGTCCGGGAGGAGGCACGCTCGGGACCCGGACCTCAGGCTGAGGAGCGGCGGGAGGAGCCATGGGATTCGGGGTTGGAGTCTGGACTTGGGGAGTACTCTGCTGGGATGGCGGTTGCGCCGCCGGTGTCGCAAGACCTTGTATCGACCGGATGCCATGCGTGAGGAATTGCCGGAATTTTTCCTTGGAGATTTTGACCTTCACGATCAACTTCTCCGGCTCTTCCACAACGCTCTCCTCGCGGTAATCACGCCTCCGACTAGCTCCTCTCGCCTCGTTATGCGGCTCCGGCGTGGCGGACTGGCCTAGACTCGCCCGTAGTGCTGCATGTGCTGCGCTAGCAGCTCCCCTCATGCCTCTCGTACGCGCGGTGCCTTGAGCCAGGTGTGGACCAATAGCAGGTGAGCCAGTTATTGACGATTCATCGCTGTCCGACTCCTCCGACTCCTCTCCGGTGTCACGAAGTCCGACGGCAGCACGTCTGTGACGGCTTGAGCCAGACCGCTTGTAGACGTTGCTCTCATCCAAGGAAGCTGCGCAATTGGGAATGACGGTCGAAACAACCAGGGTCCGAATGGTCCGTTGACGATCTTTCAGGTCAGGCAGTGCGGGCCCACCGCGGCGGTTGACGGACCGTTTCTGCCGACGTTGGTCTCGCGATATCGACACCTCGGTCCGCTCAAGCTCTGTTTCGTTCAACTCGTACAAATAGGGCGTGAACTCCTTCGCCGCCTGGAAGGGTCTAAAGGAGGAGGATAGGGGAGTGGGGAGGAATGCGGTCTTCAGGTCAGGATCATCGATTGGGCGCCCATCGAATGGGTGAGAGAGGATGTAGAGGGATTTGGTGAAAAGCTGGGATTGTTCGCGAATTGAGTGCGCAATTGCCGTTGTGAACTCGCCAGAAAGAGACAGATCGTCGGTCATTCGTGCCGCGAACTCCTCGGGAGAGTTGTGGGGGTCATTGATGTCCCACTCAAACTGGTCAATCAGAGTATGCTGGCCAATCGTGATGTTGAGTTTGACGAGGATGCGCATTTCATCATTCTTGTAGGCGCTGTATGGAAGGTGGGGATCGAGCGGCTCTTCCTCCATGAATATCTGAGGGTAATAATCGCACAGCTGCTCCTGGATACTCTGAGAGACCAATCGTACCAACGGCCCACACGTCTCAAGAGGGATGCGAAGATCCTCCACTAGCTTCTCCGCGAACAAGTCAGGGGAAACCACGCGATCATGAAGATTCCATGTGAATGTATCGCGGATCTTGATCTTTTCCCAATCAATGTCTAAACGAATGGGCACCAAATCTTCGACTTGTTCATTCTGGGCCTTCAAATCCTTGCGGGAGATTCGGAGTTCCCTAGTCCGCCTATTGCCTGGACGGCGTCGATTTGCGGGGTACAACAGCTGGGGGTGTTGATTTCGCAGGTCGGTACGTTGGTTCCCGAAGCCCTCGTAGCCAACGCCATATAGAGCTGCCGGGTTCAGGTGGTTCTCCCGCCGTACTGCCAAAAAGTAATCGCGCTCGGCACGCTTCTGCTGCAAAAGCTCCTGGCTAGGGTTCTGCCATGCCGCTAACGCAGAATGGTGAAATTCACGATTGACATAATCCTCGAGAAGGATCTTATCGGCTGGCGTCTCACGTACGCGCACGGGGAGGCCATCCGCAGATGGTTGGTGGATAACAGCACCGTCCCGGGATCGTTTCTTGCTCGATGCGGATCCGTTGGCATTGTTCGGCTTTGAAGAGGCGCCATTTGACGCGTCATGGCTCGATTCAGGAGAAGTAAGAGACACGCCTGATGCCGCGAGAACAGCTTTCGCATTCTGTTTTCCCTCCGCGATCACATCGGATCCGCCCACACCTTGTCCCAAGGAAGGGTCGGACGCGACAGCGCCATGGTAATCCCCGCTTATGTTCGACATCCCTGTGCCATTCTGAAAATCGTCCGACGGAGCATCCATTGGAAATTGACCAGACTGGGAAAGGTTGGGGGAGGGCATCATCGGGAAGTGGTGTGTTCCGAGGTCGTCCTTGGCGTGTCGGGCGAGGCAAAACAGACGTCACTTGCACCAACAGATCAAGAGGTGAATTGAACGGCGAAGATAGGTAACTGGATAAGTACGACTCGGTCACGGCAGCATCCTTGACAGGACTGTAAGATCGAACACATCCAGGTCAGCCAGCTGTAGGAGTCATCCGTGTGCACGAAAGTCAATTGCAGTGGGAACGCGACGGCGCACTGGAGCGGCGGCGCGATACGTCGTCGGGGGGGAGGGTGCATTGGACGGGCATGTCGCAAAGCTACCCCAAGCGAGTCGCATGGCCTTGTCCTGAGTCGATGCGGCTCCAATGCCCAGGCCCGAACAGCCGCGCGGAGCATAAAGAAAGCAGAGGGCAATGGGAGGGCCAGAGACATACCAACCGACCAAACCAAGGAAGGAAGGGAAGGAAGGGAAAGGATTGCAGGACGAATGGGGACGCGACCAGGCAAGCATAAAATAGAATAAATAAACAATACTAACCAAGAAAGAAGGATAATATTATCCGTGATCCGAGCAGGGCGAGCGTCGGGGGGGCTGGTTCCAGGGCAGAACGAAGGCAGTATGGATGGGTCTGCGTGCCGGTCTGGGTCTTTTGCCTTCAGCGAGAAAACGGAAGAGAAACGGCTAATCAGCTGACGCCGCTCCGGGGGGAACCTGGCCTGGCCGTATCACTCCAGCTCCAGTTTCTTATTTTTCGGGTTCCGGGGACGGAGTCGATGCTAGTGAACGCGGTCCAATCGTTCGATCTCACAGAAACGTGGGGTGGTCGGAGAGTCCCCGTCCTTGTTCACTTTAAGTCGAGAGTGGCTTTGCGGCGGCGGGAGGGAAAAGGAGAGGAAAGAGGAGCGGGAGGAGGGAAAGCCTGCTGAGAAAAGGCGAGAGGCGCTCTGCTTCTGCCCGGCCCGTTACAAGTCTGGTCTGCTCGGGTTCCGTGTGCGAGGCCAGATGCCCTGGGGGGAAGGGGAGGCTCGCCCGGTGCCAGCGGCGCCGGCTGCCTCCCTAGTGGCCAGCATCCGGTTCATGGTCCCTGGGGGACCTTTCTTGAAGCTATTCCAGGTCCTTTCTCCTGCTGCTCTGCCTTCTGGTCCGATCGCAACCTTCCTTACGCTGGTTACTGTATGCCTGCGGTATTACCGTCCGCCGTTCCGTACGGTAAACAGCGCGTGTCCGCTCGCTTTACCGGATCGGGACATCAGGTGACACGGCGCTTTCCCCATCCCGACAACTCGGTCGGGCGCTAGAGCGTCATCGCTGGCCCTTGGCGTCACAGCGTCGTCTTGTAGTGGATTATCCGGATCTTCGGATCGGTACGGACTCGTATGGCGGCGGTACCCTACCAGATGGCCAGACACCCGGATTGATCCCCCGTCCATTCTATGCGCAGGCTTCCAATCCCGACGCTTCTTTGATCCCTACAAAGTACTATGCTTAGAAGGCATTCAGAACCTTGGAATGACCCCGGAATGACCAAAGGTAGGGAGGCAGACGGGATCTAGTTGCATAACATCACATCGATGACCACCGCCCGGTGGTCCGAGTTAAAGACGCCATCGTCGAATCGGTTCGCCAGAACCGCATACCCCTCCACTTTCCATGGCTGGCGACCATAGCTGAGAACCTTGTCTGCGGTCGACTCCAGGAGGACGTAGTCAATCCGTGACGGATCCTGCCCTTCGTATCCAAACCCCGTCCACGTCATGTAATTGCCGTAGTGCTCCCTGGGATTCACCAACTTCGCTGCGTCTGCTAAAGGTGACTCCGGTGCCGTCAGGACAGTATAAGCCTCCTGCTCTTCTTGGCTATTGAAATCCCCTGCTAAGAATACCCCCGAGATTATGTGCCCAAAGGCTGCCCCCGTCCGGTACTCCTCCATCTTGTGCAAGATGATATGAGCGGCTTCGAACCGAGAACGAGAGCCCTGGTCGTCCAGATGAGTGTTCATCGCTAGGATCGTCTGACGACTGGCGCGGTGGGTGAAGACACCCACGGTCACGATGCGAATCGATGCTGCGTCCCAGCTCTTGGACGGAACAGCGGGTGTCTCAGATAACCAGACAGTCTCCCAATGATGTAGCTGCCAGATCGAGGGTTGGTAGAGAATAGGCGCATATTCTCCGGCTTCGCAGCCATCATCTCGTCCAACACCTATGTACTCCCAGGCTTTGTCAGCCTGTTGTTTGGGATTGAGTCCGGCGAGGATGTCCACGAGTTGATTGTGTAAGACTTCCTGTAGGCAGATCAAGGTTTCCAAATGACGTGTGTTATATTGTAGCCCGTTCAAGAGGGGCTGTACCCTGTCTGTCCAGGGCCGCTCGCCTTTGAAAGGAAATGAGGTTGCATATCGGATGTTGTGTGTCAGGATGCGGAGGGGAAGCTCTGTCGCGACCTTCATGATGGACTGAGGTTCGTCTAGTTTCACCGAACAGTCTTACTGATCAGAAAAAGGAATGGATCCCTCTAATTTGCGATGGAAATGTCAGAAAGTATTGAAACACCGGCAATTGAAGGTTCGAAGGAGAGGGGGTGCTCTCGGCTCCGGGCTTGTGACCGGGGCCCGACATGCATGAAGTCTCCCGAGTCATGTAACATTGTAACATTGGTAGTAGTGGCCGAGTACTAAACATAACGATTTGGTTACATGTGAATCTGGTGGCTTGCTATTTTGTAGCACGCTTGTGCCCCCCAGTATTTATGGGTTAGGAAGATTCAATTGCGGGTTTATTAATCGACTAGAAGCGGATATACTTATACATAGTAGCTGCGGTCCGTTCCTACTACGACAACAATGTTTTCCAGTCCTCATAACTAAGTAGTCAGGGTAAAACACTGCAAGTTCCCGAGATTATGTCTGCGGCTTGCTCAGCCAATGCGTATACACAAGCCTGTATATGCGTGCTTAGCGGAGTTGGGATTACGCTCGCGTCAACAATTCGCAACCCATCAATCCCCTTTACACGCAAATCACCGTCAACTACTTTGCCCATAGACGTACTGCCTGCAGGGTGGTATAGTGTCCTATGCTCGTCAGCAGCCATCTCGCATAGATGGTTAGAGTGGAGTTTGCTTACATGGCTCGACGGCGGATGAGATTATCGATGGCTTGATCATCCGTATTTGGACCCAATGGCTGAAAGTTCTCTTCGACTGTTTCCGAGTCAATTATTCCTTGCCCGGCTGTGGTGTCGCGCAAAGCTTCCCGCAGCTTTCGCAGTCCATCACGTAGTACGTATCGGTCAGTCTCGGTAGCACAATAGTTAGGATCAATGTGAGGTGCGCTTCGGATGTCTCGATCTGCCAACTTGATGCTGCCTCGGGAGGTTGGGAGCATACAGCACATAAATGTTGTGATATGTGTACCATCCACAGCGATCATGGGGTTCTGAGGGTTTTGTGCCACGTAAACGGTGACAGTCTCCGTATGAACGCGTTGAGAGGAGATAAGGGGGTGCTCATCAGGGTTGCGATTGGGTGCATCCTTAGCCAAGGCTTGACGAAGTCCTTCAAGCGGAACTGACTCCAAGACTACAAAGTCAATAGGATTTCCTCGGAAGCAGGCCGGGTCTCTGAGCGTGGGTGATCCGATCGCAAGCCCTTTTTCTGGATGCCTCAGCTTCCACCACTGCGGAACTGCTACATGGTCTAGAAAGTGACGGCCCACATCTGGAAGATCAAGGACAACGTCGATTCCACGAGTTCGCAACTCCTCCGATGGACCTATCCCCGAGAGCATCATGAGCTGTGGAGTTCGGTATGCACCCGCGGAGACTATGACTTCCCGACGTGTAATGATCCGGCTCTGGCCGTCATCTTCCAACTCCACGCCAATTGCAATTTTTCTGCCATGTCTTTCTTCCACCAGCACTCGTTTGACAAAAGTCTCCGTCATGATTATCACATCTAGCGGATAGACTGTGCTCGACATCTGCCGTATCCCACCAACGCGATTCTCAACCACTTCGACTAGCCCGTATGGATTGCCAGAATTGATATCAGGGTTGTAAGTCACACCGACAGCATTCCAAGCCGCTTGCACCGGTTGGCGAAGAGGATATTTGCGGCCGGTATACGACACAGATTCGGTTTTGATGGGGCCCTTGAAGCCATGAATTTCGGGGTCGGCATGAGAGTCGAAATGGCTCTCAAGCTTCCGAAAATAGGGCAAGAGGCCTTGGTAGCTCCATTGACGGTCGCCAACTAGGCTGGCCCAGAGGTCATAATCTTCCCTTGCTCCTCGCATCCATCCACCTATCCAAATCATGTAGTATTAGTCACGTACTGTACCACCATCATGTCCGCTATAGCAAGCTGAAAATATATGTGTCTGAGCTGGGTGACAAGACCTACCACTGTTTATTGCAGTACTACCACCCAGTGCCTTCCCCGCATGGTTCGAAAGTACGCGATCGTCGAGATGCTTCTGCGGCACCGTCTTGTAGCTCCAGTCAAGCTCAGACCCAAGTAGCTGAGTGGCCTTACTTCCATCTGGCACAAGTGGGTGGCTGCTGGCATCGGGGCCTGCCTCGATAAGCAGAATTGACAAAGAGGGGTTGTCTTGTTTCAGTCGTGAAGCCAAAACACAACCGGCCGTGCCGCCACCAACAATGATGTAGTCGAACTGCTGACTAGTATCCATGTTAATACCCAAAGTGAATGGTTGAGCTAACAGAGAATGTGGCAAATATGCACTGTGTACAACGAAATCCTTATGATGTTGACTTCCGCATGCAGAGATCCGAGTCGTTTTACCCCGCTTATGAGCCTGTGAAGAATATCTCTGGTGGGAAGAGTAGGCCATATAAATGCCAGGGGTTTCAGGGTGGCTTAAGCTTAATTTGTGCTTCCGATGAAATCGGATTCGTTGATAATGACCCCGTCGACAGGTCAGCCCCGTGCATCCTTGTTAAGGCCATCCGGCTTGCTATAGGTAGCGGAAAGAAGGTAAAAACACTCAGGAAAAGCATAAATCGCGAGCATGTGATGCAAGGCTGTGACAACCCACAGGTGTATCTCGATCCCATGGGAGAAGGGTGATGCACGTCAGATTTTAGTCTGGTGGTGAAAGCATGAATGGCCCAGGAGCGGGACGGGCGCAATGGAAGGAAGAGATGCTCACCGAATACAGTGCCTGTCATTTCTGCCCAAGCAAACCCCCGGTCGTCGGCCGACTACGCCGCCCTGCCTGTAGGTGAGTGCACAAAATCATATCTCAGCTTAGTCGGTGGTACTACAACTTCCTTTGCATTCCAGCTATCTTTTGCTTTTCCCCCTTTCCCTCCCCGTCTTTGCTACAGACCGTTCTACCGACCATTCCGTCTGCACTCGCACCTCGCCTGGCTCCAGTGACAGAAAGAGGTCGGGCTGCTGTGCTTGCCCAATTGCCTCCGACCAACTGGTTCCAAACCCTCGGATAATAGACCAAGAAGAGTGGATTGAGCCCGTCTCAGCGATGGTCGTTTTTGTTGTCAAGGTCCGAGTGTATTCAAGCATATTTGGTGGTTGCAATCGACCAAGCAAGTGAGATGAAACTTGGTATGTCGATCGTTCATACGGACCGCTTTCAATAGAGTGAAAGGGAGGAAGCCAGCCAAGCAAGGGGAAGAGAGAAGCATTGGCCACCATGATCGCAAGCGTCCACTCCACTGTCGTCCAAATGAGCACCATCTTGCCATTGCCATTGATATCGAGGAAGCCGGCTCTAGCGATGGTGACTGTCCGGACTGCCGCGACAGCAACAATACTTCTCAGAAGACATGTTAGTATCTGCACTATCATCCGTAGGCTCTACAGAGATACTTACAGCATGCCCATGACTAGTACACTGACCATCGTCAGCTTCTCTGGTTGTGTCATTTTTGCTTTTACAGGCTTTGGCAATGGAACGAGCAGGATAGCAGCATTTGTCACCACGTCAATAATGCCGATAGCCAAGAACGCGGCATTCTTATCGATGCAGTGACTATCTGAACGCTGTAAGTTCCAGTTGTAACTCAACGGGCGACACTCCAGAAGTCCTAGGAGGATGGACACAAGACTCCAAGACGCACAGAATGCCATTACAACCCAGATCAAAATCCGAGGAGCTTTTGATGAAGCAGAGAGGGACCTTAATAGGGCCATCAAGACGCTGCATTTGACCAAGCCTAGGCCTATGGCATAAGACAATCGAAGGTAATAAGCCCACTTCATCTACTAGTCAGTATGAATAACTATGACTACGGGGTCCGCACTTACCTTGAGCATGAAAGTAAGTTGCCAGTGCTGGATCTGTGACATTGGATAACCACCGTGCCCAATTGTCAGGACTAAGTCAATGCAGCCTCTGTTAGAAATAGCCAATTGTTGTATACTAGGACAGAGATATCATACTCAGGAAGGTTCCCACTGCATAGGAATAGAAAAAGAGCTGGTGTGCTTCTGTTAGAAAGTTGAGTTGGAGAGGCACCTTCACAGTTGTTGCCAACAAGGTTGTCGATGGTACATACCAAGGAAGTGAGAGTCATTATTTGTGGCATGGGAAACATCGGTCTCTGCATTCTTGACAACCAGAACCGGAGCCCTGTGGCTAGAGTCGCCACAAAGAGACACACAGACAATGTGATGGCCACATCTCTCCCATCATGAGACAGCCCTGTGCCTTCCTTTAAGGCATCTCTGATGGAAGCCATGATACCTGCTGACGGCTATGAGAGATCCCGCCCGTGCAGAGGGAGGGATGAAACATCGAGAGGCCGATGCTAGTGTCCCTCAAGTGGAAGTCAGTCTACCTGACGAGGGGAGCGGTGTATATAAGGCAGCACCTCTCACCCTGCAAGAGATCATCGCTGAGCAGGACTTCGCCCCCAAACCATTCAGCAAACTCAACACTGGGGCGGTATAGGTAGGGGGGGCCATGAGAGAGACGGTTGGTCCGGAAAATCTGCAGGACATCCATGTAGCTGTCACACATGGGCGGGGGGGGGGTTGATTCCTGCAGGCTTGAAGAGCGTGGAGGAAGTCATTGGTCGATAGCCATGAGGTGTGGTGGATGTACGTTGCCGGGCTATGAGGGCAGTGTCCGACTAATCGCTAGTCATCCTTTAGTGCTGCAGAAACGCCTGGGTATCTCCGTTACCTCGCAGGGGGCTCCAGAGTATGTGCTTACTGAACTCGTATGGTCTCATCTAAGCAAAACCTTCTAGATAGTAGCGTATGAGGTGGGATTGACAGGCGGGATTGAGGGGTGGGATGCCCCGAGCATCCTGTCGAGGGCTCTACTTCGGATTCGCACGGTTACAACAAGCCTGGCATCTTCGTAACCATCACGAGCGCAGATGTCAAGTACAACCTAATTGAATGATCGAGACACCCTACGGACCAACAGCCTCGCCCAATGATCAATACAGTTTCGCGAGATACTCACCGAGAGTGCGTGTTGGAAAGGGTGCGTGAGCTGTGACCCCGTACTTTTGCACGCCCGAGCGAGCCATGTGTCAGCCTAAGAGTAAAACGTGTAGCATGGACAGGTAAGCCACGCGATTCTTTACAAGTCTGAGTTGGATGATCTTGCATTGATCTCCATCGCGATCAAACACAACGAAGGTATGATGACTCATTTGGGCCCATTCCCTTTGCTGGTTCGGCTTTGCTGGATCTACACACAGCAGTCGTTAGCAACCACCAACAGCAAGGCCATTCAAGCTTGCAATTTCAGAGACTATTCCCCCCCTCTCCAGACGACTCCCTTCGAGATCCCACATGGCATAGCTTTCTGTGGTCAGTGACAAAGATGCATCCTGGTTTAGAAGCGTGCTGGTCTAGAAAGGGGCCTGATTCTCAGTCCAAACGAGTTACCGCAGTTGAATCCGTGAGGAGCCCTAGCAAGCGATCGGTTTACGGGCAAGAATGGAGACAACTCAGTAGTGGCGACAGAGACTCAGAGATGTGATGTCATACTTGAATCTGCCATATGAACTTGCGTTACGGAGTACCTGGAAGAAATTGGGGACATGGTGGAAATGAATGAATACGGGTCGCACATGACAACCAGCGCGCCAGAGTCGAATCGTTTCCTTCAACGTTCGAAGAGGCGATGAAGGAGGTCTACCGACCACGATTGGGTTTCCTCCTCTAGTCGCGAAGCGACGGAGAGTGACGCGAAGAATCGCCGGTTGGGCGTCGAGGGCTATGACGGCAGGCGGTCAGCCAACAAAGCGGAAGGTACCAGCAAAACGATAAGATACCAAGCCCTACTCTGGCCGGGAAGGGAACCCCACCGTCTGTGTGGGAAAACCCAGGCCGAAGCCCCCGCCCAGGGCGTAATGATGCGTAATACGGCGCGGTGCACACGACTCCATCTACTACTAAGGTTCTCCAGCTCTCTCCAGCAAAGTCCATTTTCCTCTTCTCTTTCCTGCTGAGAACTAGAACTACTACCCCCAGAGACCCTTGATTTGTAACGCTTCCTCGCACCAGCGCGAGGATCCCCCCTTCTAATACACAATGGCTGAGACTCAGGCCCCCGAGGTTGGTAAGTACTCATGCCATGCTCAAATACCCCTCTTCGTTCCCCCCCCAAATTGAAAAAAGCTCCGGCGTTTGTGGGTTCCCGCTTGCTTTCGTTGTCATGGTTCGGCTTAGGTTTGGCGGCAACTGCTAGCAGCTAAGGAGCTCTGGAGGACAGTCGAAACCTCACCTTATCTTTTTTCCTCATGTCAAAATGCTTGTCAATGTCTTCTTCCAACCCGTCTCTCGCAATGCACGGCTTTAGAATGCGTGTTCGCACCCCGCCATGACTGACTCGACCTCGGTCCGTTTCTAGACTACTCCCTCAACAACCCCGACACCTTGACCAAGTACAAGACTGCCGCCCAGATCTCGCACAAGGTTCTTGAAGCCGTTGCAGGTTCGTCACTCTCGATTATCTTGTCGCAATCAGTTTAGGACCCGGGATCTAATCTCATCCGCTAGGATGGTGTGTTGAGGGAAGCAAGATCGTGGAGCTTTGCCAGAAGGGTGACCAGCTCCTCGATGAGGAGATCGCCAAGGTCTACAAGGGCAAGAAGATCCAGAAGGGTAAGTTACCCCTGTGAGCATGCAGACCCGTTCTCAAACCAGCAAATTAACGTGTCATCCTTGGGAAAGGTATTTCCCACCCGACGACTGTCTCCCCCAGCTCCTATGTGACGCCCTACACCCCCCTGGTGTCTGATGCCGCGGAGGCTGAGACCACCTTGAAGGCTGGTGAAATCATCAAGATCCAGCTCGGTGCCCAGATCGATGGCTTTGGTGCCATTGTTTGCGACATGGTTGTTGTCGCCGACAGCAGCTCGTCCTCCGATGTGGTGACCGGCCGCGAAGCTGACCTCATCCACGCCACTCACTACGCCAACGAGCTTCTCCTGAGACTCATGGTGCCCCCGGGACTCCTGGCTAGTGGTACTGAGGAGGAGAAGCAGAAGGCCGCCGCCCAGAAGCCTCCTACCCAGGCTCAGATCTCTCAGTTGATCGAGAAGGTTGCCAAGATCTATGACTGCAATGTTGTCGAGAACACCACCAGCTGGCAGTTCGAGCGCAACGAGATTGAGGCCGAGAAGAAGATCATCCTCTCGCCCGGCACCGGTGTGAAGGGAGAAGGTGTTCCCGACGTTGGTGAAGTCTGGGGTGTCGAGCTTGGTCTGTCCCTTGGATCCGGAAAGGTCAAGACTCTCCCCCACCGTGCCACTCTGCACCGCCGTACTACCACCACCTACGGCCTGAAGCGCCCCAGCTCTAGACAGACCCTGTCTGAGGTCGTTAAGAAGTTCGGCCAGTTCCCCTTCAGCTTGCGCCAGTTGGAGGACGAGAAGGCCGCCAAGGTTGGTGTTGTCGAATGTGTCCGTGGCGGTGTCCTGAGACAGTACGAGCCTGCCGGTGATGCCGACAATGCTCCCGTCTCCCGCGTGTTGACTACCATTGGTATGTTTCCTTCCCTCGATCCCCCGTCCGTAGTTGGGCGGGCGCCACAATTTCCAGGAAAGTTCTCTCTTCTAACATCACTCCAGCCATCACCAAGAACGGCATCACCCGGCTTGCTGCCCCTACCACGCCTGATCTTTCCAAGTTCCAGACGGACAAGAAGATCGAGGATGAGGAGATCCTTAAGATTCTTGAGCGCCCCTTGGCCAAGTCCACCGGCTCCAAGAAGAACAAGAACAACAAGAAGAAGACCGCCAAGAAGGCTGACGAGTAAACGTATCGTCTAACTGGGGGCCACATCTGACGTATCTATGGGGACATTGGTTTGGGCTCAAATGAAAGCCTATGATTTCTTTGCGGGGAACATTCTTCGTTATACCGGAGCATTGGCGATGCCCGCCATTACAAAAATCCTTTTTGGAACTGCATCCGGCGAGTTCTCTTGCAGTTGACGAGGGGTCGGGAATCAGTGCGAAAGATGAGCCATCTGGGAGACCTGGTTCTCCCACAGTACCCTATTGCAAAATATGTTGTCACATAACTAGTTCGAAAGACGAGATATGTAAATGCTTCAATAAAAAGAGCAAAAAAAAAAAGAGGGAGACCATGTGCGCTGCTTTTGCTATTGTATACAGTTAGTAGAACCTCTTCGGCTCGTATCCACCGGTTGCTACTACCTACGCACACCGTGCTCTTCACGGTTCCAATCCCACTACTTCCATTTACAAAGCAATGAATTCCTGTTTTCTGGTGTCCGCTTTACTGTTTCATGCATACGATAAGGTCGGGATATGTTTTCCCTCCGTCAGGCGCTCTTGGACATCAGAGCTTTTATGTCATCATCGCTCACTCCGCATCGCATCTAAGAGAATAACTAGCTCCGAGTAACTTTCCACGCATCGTCTAGATACTTGGCCAAATTCGAGGTGCTTGATCAGATACAGTCTTCTACTTGGGGACTGTCGTGCTGTGCCAGGTTCTTACCCAGCCGTTGCCACCCCACACTCTTCAACAAAGACTCGAGGGATGACAGCTAAGTTCCTTTGTTCGTTGTCTAAGCTATGTAGCTGGGTATTCTATCCCGAGTAGATTATTGCGTCCTTCTTGGCAGCTTTGTAGGGTTAAGTATATGAGGATATACTTGCAGCGAGTCTACCATACAACGGGCCGGGAGGATGCAGGTGGAAAAGGAGGAAGACAGTCAATCTGTCCAAGGAGGTGCTGTCGACCGAGAAAGTGAGATTCAGTCCATCCCAGCACATTCACCTGGGGCTGTGGGCGTGTTGGGCCGCCTGGTGCCGGAGAAGCCATGGGGGTTGGAGTGGGCCAACTGAACTCCGTCTGCCTCCTCCAATCCTTCTTCCTCCATCTCCCTTTCTTGTAACTCTCACCCTCCACTCCCACCCCCAGTCATCCTGTTGATCTCCAGCACTTCAGGACGGACGAAGGCCTTAGTTGCAGAACTAGCATTAAGTGTCTCTGTATCTGGAGAACGTGCTTGCGGCTTCTTGCTTGGTTGTTGCTTCCCCCACCCATTCGCTCACGGCGAGTATCGGAGAATCATTCATCACTTTTCTTCACTTCTCCCAGCACCCCAGCCACAACAGTCTTTCCCCAGCTGAAGCTCTGAGATCCTCTCGTCTTGTCCACCAACGTGTTACTACTTGTGGCCCATATCGCTGTTTGAGCCACGTGCTTAAGAACTGAAATTCCTTGCTATTCAGCATTGTTCTGAATAGAGCAACCCATCCTGGTCGAAAAGCTGATACCGGAAGCTTCGCTAAGAAGTTGGCCGTGAACTTGCTGCGTGCAACTTGGCTGCTCCAAGTGTAACACATTGCATGTCTTTCTATTGCCAGTTTCACTGCTTCTCAAGTTCCACGCACACCGTCATCCTGTTCCCTTCCTCTTAACACTTCGCACTTCTTCCTCCATATCTCTCTAAACACTTATCTACCCAGTATTCTGCTTGACTATCGTCTTCTCGACTCCTTGACTTCAAGAGAAGTAGTGGGTTATCTTATTCCTTGACGCTTCTCAATCTGGTTTCTCGATCTCTGTATCCCAACGTCCCCCTTCTTAGCTTTCTATTTGTCACATACTTCGTGTCTCTCTCCTATCAAGTACGCCACTTCTGCTGGACCATATAATTCCAGTAATTGATCGACTACATCGTGTTCGGTAAGTCTGTCATGCGACTCGAACAAGCCATCTATCCCTTCTGCTTCTGCTTTCCATGCATCCCCGTCTTCTCAACGGGAGGCGTCAGTCCATGTCCGTACCCCTACCTATCATTAAGGTCCTCATGCATGGATCTCAAGCTTTGTATTTGATTTGCTAGTTTATTCATTCCTGCCCCTTTGTCTTTGTGCATTGGGCAGAAGAGTTGGTCGCGAAAAGCTTCAAGATTTCAGCTGGCTGACCCAGTCACAGGTCATACCAACTTTCCAAGCACTTCAGCACTCTAAACCACAACTGCTACGACTCGTTCAGCTTATTCTCAACTGTACCATAGAGGGTACCTGCACAAGAGTGAAGTGAACAAGCAAGCCATCTTGACATTGCTTGCCTTCCCCTTTCACAGCCCCTTGACGTGCACAAGGTCAGTCTGGTAAGTGTACACCACCCGGAAAACAAAGACAATAAAATCTCTACGTTATGCAGCATGAGCCGCGTGTCGAAGATCTAACATTCTCAGTTAGCAGTTCCAGGGTGCCTTGTGATTCCGTGGTTGTGCCAGCTTCCGCGGCGCACCCCCTAGGAGGCCTGATTGGGACTCGAAAACTTCCGGCAGTTGAACTCCGCAACCTTTCTTCCTCCCATCAACCCGCAGACAGCGCGCGGGCTGGCCTCGATTCCAACCAGCCACGCTGGGTACGCTCGGTGTTCGCTTGGGATCTACTTATTAGTAAGTAATTGATGTTCTATTTAATTGGTACCAGTCTCTATTCCCGCGAGCTAACCCTGGGTCTCCAGCCGTTGCAACTTGCGAGCCCTGTCTCTACAACAATGGCTCCGAATCTCCGCTCGTCGTCCCATGCCTGGTCCAACAACTCCCGCCCTTCCACTCCACTCGGCGCGCCGACTACAGCAAGTACCGCTTCCTCATTTACTGAATCGACAAGACCCCGAAAGCAACGGCGGACTGGCAGGAACAGTCGCGTGGCCACCGACCCTTTACAAGATCCACCTTCTCGAACCCAATCGCGACTGGAACAATCTAGGAACGGGACCTCGGATACCCTGAGTGAATCGCATCTACTTGATAACAGTATAGAATGGGCGGAGCCCCCTCTAAGAGCACCGGCCCCGAGTTACGCAGATACGCCATGGTCCGCAGTGTCCAGTGACGCGAACCCCATACTGTCCACGATGCGTCCGCTGGGGGCCATGCCGTCGGCTACCGACTTGCGCAAGGCTGGACTGGCACCCATAAAGCCCAGTGTTCAGAATATTTCTGCGAAGAAAGAGTCGCAAGCCACACCAAATGGTGAACGAGGTGACGACAAGCCCCAGACCCCCTTAACGCCCGCTGAAGAGCCGGTCGCTGAGCCTGTCCCAACAAAGACCAAGACCTTGCAGGACATGTCTGTCTTCACCGCGCTTCCTGTCCCTAAGTCGACAGATATCGACGTAGAGCGGATAAAAATTGCGGTCGAAAAGGCCCTCGGCCTAGCGCTGGAGACAAATAACCGCCCTGTCTCGCGCGGGCTCCTCCGCTTATGGGAGACTTGCAACAAAGACCCATTTGCTCTCTCCATTCTCGACGGCATCTGCCAGGAGAATCCCGGCCCGCGGGAACGCTCGGCTTTCCAGAGTGTCATGCGCGCTGCATGGAAAGAGGTCCAGGCGGAAGCCGGTGAGGAGTTTTCCACGGCGCCGGTCTTGGCTCGCCCCCGGTCGGCCAGCAGCATCTCCTCTCTCTCTTCGGCAGTCTCATTTGACGCCGAGACGTTCGCCCCGGGCATGACGCCAGGGGCGACAGCTTCACGCGCTCGCGCCAAGGGGAAGCATGCCAAGGGGAGTGCACCTCAGGCGGAGACCGAACCCCCAAGCCGCCAATCAGTCATTCCGCCGAGTGCTGCTACGGTGCCCCAGCAAAAGCATGCACTGGAAGATGAGCCAACTCCCGAAGAATTGGCACGGATTAAGCGAGCTCGTCTGCAGAAGGCACTCCCGAACATTATTGCTTCAGAAAGTCAACTACGTTCCTCGTTGGCTTCCGAGCGTCTTTCCAACGCATCTTCCCCAGTTCCCGCAACGACCAGCAGGTCTCAGGCAGCGTCAGTGGGAGCTGCTACGAGCAGCAGAGAGCGGTCCGAGAGTCCAGCCAGTAGCGATGCCGGTGACAACCGCCGACTGACACCTACCTTGACGTAACTCTTCCTTTATCCCCATTATAGTGCTTTATCTGACCACTAACATGCCGGTAGTAGCGAAAATGAACGTCTAGAAAATAACGACTTTTGCCACAATTGCAACGGAAGCGGCCAGCTGTTGTGTTGCGACGGCTGTCCGAACTCCTTCCACTTCTCGTGTCTTAACCCTCCTTTGGACCCAGCGAACCCACCGGAGGGAGATTGGTTCTGTCCAAAATGCTCGTTGTCAAGACCTATAACTTCCCTGCTGGGTGCACTTGACAGCGCTCCACAGAAAGACTTCGCATTACCGGCCAGACTCCGCGATTACTTTACTGGTGTGCGCACTGGAGAGGATGGAAAGTATGAGGAGATCGTGCCTCTTCCAAAACTGAATCCCCGTGGTGGGCGAGGAAACCGTACTGGCCGTTATGATGACCCATATCTACTACGAACAGTGGATGCCAAAGGAAATCTAATCTTCTGCTCGGCTTGTGGACGTACAAGCAATGGTCGTCGGCCCATCATTCAATGTGACTACTGTCCTTGCGCTTTCCATATGGACTGCGTCGATCCACCTCTGGCCATCCCTCCAACCCAGAGACCTGGCAGTGACCGGGTGCATCACAATTGGATGTGCCCCAACCACGTTTGGCATGATCTCGTTTATACGGTCCAAGACGAGGAAGGGTATGATATGATAAAACGCATTCGTCGTCCGAAGCGACCACGGATGGTAGACGTCGAAGTTCTTCCAGATGAGGAGGATGTGGAGAGGATGGAAGATCAGGAGGAAGAGGGCATCATGTATCGCGTTTCAGAGCGAGGCCTGAAACTCGACTTCATCTATAGAGTCAAGCGGTAAGTAAACCCCAGGCGTTCAGTTTGCTATGTGTCTGACTGGTCTGACTTGAGGAGAAGGGAAAATGAGGAGTATAAGATGATGAAGGACGCCGCCGACCGATATTACCAATATGCTACCTCGGAGTTTGATCACCTTATAGCTAAGGCCAACGCATTCTATTCATCTCACAAACCGGCTTCCTCGGAAGAGGACACAACGGCCGCGATCTTGAACTCACGCACTGTTGCTGAACGGGAAGCTGCAGCAAACCTTATCACTTTCGCACAGGGCAGCCAGGCCAGCCCCGGGGCTGAAGATGGCAAAATCGGCCTTCTTATTGACCAGCTGAAGGCAAATGCCCCACACAGTCTTCCCTCAGCCAATACGGAAATCGCTTCGCTTCGCGCTTTACAAGACCTAATCGAGCAACGTATCGAGATCCTGAATGCTCAAGTTGAGCGGCCTCAACCCATCAGCGCTGAGCCTACTGATGCTCCATCTACTGCAGCGCCAGTGACTATCAACGCTAAACGCAGCCACAGCCAATAGCCTGTGGTATCTTGACTCGCAAGGCTTTTGCTGTCTTGCGCTGACTACATATTTTGCAAAGGTGTGCATGATGATCGGTTCCACTATCTCACCAATCAGGGTGACCTGTTGTCGGGCATGTCTTGCTGTCCCCAGAAAGCAAGCCGACCCGTCTTCGTGTTCCCCTGGTTGCAGTCTTGAAACTATTAGTGGTGCCTTTGCAATGGAACAGTTTATCCACTGCCATATGCTCGATTCGCACATGTTTATATCATTTATCGCCCGGCAAATACGGTGTATGCTTTGCAAAGGCTTCAATGTTCCAGTTTATCACGCCATGCTATGACCACAAGTTGTACTGCTCATGTACTTTCATCACGCTATTAATTCTCGTTCATCTTTCGGTTGGCGCGGCGCATCGCAATCGTTTGCATTGGTTGGCAGGAAAAATCTCGTTGGTATTACGGAAGTCAGGCGTTGGTGTCCTACAATTCCACATTAGATGGCCTAACCTCGGTCTCATTTCGGCTGTTAAAATTTTCGGCGCATACAAAGAAGCATTTCACATTTTAGCATATGGATTGTTGCATAAAACCTCCAGCTATCTATAGCTGCGAGACATTCTCGCTCTCAGGATCTCACACCTGATCTTTCTTTTCTTTTGCGGTCATCCCTCCCCGGGATGGACCAATGATCATTGACACCCAGGCAACAGCCCAGCTACGGAGTACCTTACCTTACATCCCGTCGTCATCCATTCTCGGCTCAAGTGCGGCTTTTTCACCTTTGGGTCCGCCAGCCGGGCACCCGCACGGGTTTTTCTCGCAAATAAATCGGCCCAGACCAGAATCTTTTTTAACCATTGAACGTGTTGACGCCCTGTGCCTTGTTGTCTCGGATCACTGGCCCGACCAACCTGTTTTCTCTCTCACCGAATAGGTGGCAAATATCGTTTTTCTCATGCATGTTGTAACAGTTCTTGTGTTTCGCCATTCTCTGTCGTCTTTCCTCACCATCAAGACGTGTGCATAAGCGATGTGCTTTTTTCTTTCTTCATAGCGGAGAACATCGTCGTCCCATTACCTGTATGATAGGCATTTACAGACATTTACTTACTTGTAGAACCCGGCTTTTTGTTCTAAGTCATCGATGTGTATTTGTTGGCCATGATGGGGGGTTATTTTAACCACTGTTGCTGCTGTTGTTGTTTATGTTATTTCTCACGGGGTTGTTACTTTATTTACACTGGCAGATGAAACCTGCGAGTTGCATCTGGGTTATGGGTAAATATAGCAGGTGAAGCACATTGCATGAATCAAGGTTCTCCTAACCCATCTAGATTGCGCCCGGAACTGATTTGCAAGCTCAAATATAAAATGTACAAGATACACGACAGGTAAAAAGAAGGAATGCGAGACAACGTTAGCTACTATAAAACAGATTGGCAGAGTAACACATGATGTGGGTTGAACAGAACACCGTACAATGGCGCTATCAGGTCTCGTGATATCGTTTCCGCAGAATTGGGAAAGTTGCTGGGTGGTGTGTTGGGGAGGTATATCTCAGGTGAGAGTGAGAGGAAGCTCAGAGGAACTTCTTGGGCATGTTCGCACGGCGGCGCTTGTAGACGATGTAGGCGACGGCCAAGAGAGCTTGAAAGGCGATGATCATGCAGATGAAGAAGCCCATGCGAGGAGCGGAGGAGGTGACGACTGGTCGGTTGGGTTAGTGGGTGTTGGTGAGAGGTGAATGAATTATGGGTAGAGACTTACCCCCCAAGAGGTTCTCGGTCAAGCTGAGGTGCGACGAGCGCAGGGTTTCCTGCAGCTGGTTGAAGCGCTTGTGGTAGTCTTTGCCTTCCAGGTCCCGCTGGATAGCCTCCAGTATCTGTTCAATTTTCTGCAGTCTGGCGTCCAGGCTGGCGACTTGGTCCTTGTTGGCGAACTGCTGGAGAAGCTCGACCTGGCGGTTCTCGCTCTTGGTGCCCTGGTTTCCGAGCTCACGAATGATGGTATCGGTAGCTTGGTTGACGCCTTGGATGCGGTTACCCAGGTCGACGAATTGCTGGAAAATCGCGCCAGAATCGACTGAAGGAGCCTGCTGCTGCTGCTGCTGCTGTTGGGGCACGGCCTGTGCCTGTTCCTGAGTGGCAATGGGCTGCTGGTAGGTGTTTTGCTGCTGCACGGGCACGGTGTTGCCTGCACCCGAGTCGACGGACTGAAGAACGAACTTGAAGATTTCGAAAGAATCGGGGTTCTCAGGGGTTGCTGCTGTTAGACCAAAGACATTTCCGGCCGGGAGGACCACCTAGTCATGTTAGGATATTGGTACGGATGAAGAGGGCCGTCATTAATAGACGCACCTTGTCGGTTGAGAAGCACAGCTTATCATCAACAGTAACCTCGAAGACAGACTTGGTGTGCTTTAGACGAACGGTAGAGGGCCGCCCAAGGTTACGGTAAGGGTAGTCACAGTGTCCAAAGGCCAAGCTATCAACGCTTCTCTGGCTTTTGTAGTCCGTTGTGCCGTCATTGAGGAAACCTCTGACACTACCACCCTAGACGACGATTAGCTCTGAGATGTCAGGCATTAAAGATTAACTTACCCTTCCACCATGGCTGTCAATGACGAGAGCAAATCCATCAAACTGGTTGACGGTATAGATGCTAGAAGTGCCAATTCTATCTTTCCCGTCTTTGGCATACCAGAGCTGGAGGTTACCACCACCCCTTTCGGGACCAGTTGCTCGGAATTGGAACTCGGCTGTCCATTCCAACTGGGAGACACTGAGACGGCGTCAATGCGCACTCACAAGAAAGCAGGAACTAGAGCATTGGGACTTACGGCGTTTGTGACCAAGCAAACCCTCTCGTGTTGCCGGGGTAAGGAGGTGTCAGGATGATCTTGTTAGAAAGCTACGGTATAGTCAGTACGTTACAGCCTGGGGCATCTCCATGAATATGAAGAACATACAATGTCGGGGGAGTGTGATTCTCCTCCAGTCTGCCACCCAGGAATGGAATCGGCATTTGGGGATAGTCTGGAATACGTTAGCATATAAACGGTTGACAAACGCAACAATCGGTGGAATAAAGGTACTTACGTCTGGCCAAAGCCAAAGCTGGAGGCTTCAATCACTGACTGAGCTGTTGCAGCAGCCACGAAGGACAAGAAGGAAGCAGAGATCTTCATCATGTCTATGCAATTGGAGGTTCGTAAAGCAAATGATGCCGTTACTACTTTTCAAACAACGGGGGAAAATGCTAAGAGGAAATGTATCCAAAGTACAGCAGAAGCCGTCAATGGTTAGAAGAATATCAAGTGTCTGATGCAAAGAGAAGGAAGAAGACGGCCGGAGCTCTGAGCAAGCCAGTAGTAGGAGTATCTTGCTACTGGTCAGATGAGGATCTTCGGTTCAACAAGGCGGAGACAACGCGCGAGGTGGTCCACCCAACCACAATGGCGATCACACAGAAGCGGATTTCCCGAGCGATGGAAGTGGTTGCGGGGGAGAAGTCAACCAGATGACGAATTTCCAGGCTAGAGAGAACGACCGAGTGACGGACTCCTACGTCCGAAGCCAAGTCCATTGGGGGGTTCAGCGGGCGGCGGCAGCAACAATAACAGATCATCATAAGCGGCTGCCGGCGCTGGGGACAGATTGGCCTTTCACGCCCAGGTCCCTGTCCCGTCACGTGCTCCCCGCCCCGTTCCATGTGTTGCGCTGGCTGGCACTTCATCTTCACCTGCCATCCCCGAAGCTTCTTTTCGGTCTTTCTATGCCCCACGCTCCTTTCCCTTTCCTTCCCCGGGTGGCGCGTCAAGCGCAAGACTACCAATGACCGACTTATACCCTTCCTTGGCGCAATGCGCCATCGTTGCAACGGCGTTCAAAATCCTTCTCTTCCCCGCATAGTACGTTGCCCGCACTGGTCTAGAACAACACCGCAAGGTTGCAGAACTCCAGCTGAAGTGTGGCCTGCGTGCAGCAAATCAACCGACTTCGAGGTACACCGGAACTGGCTTGCAACCACACACTCATTGCCCGTCAAGGAGTGGTACTACGAGGTATGTCCACCCCGGCGCATAGCGCTGCACCGAATGCTAAGCTTGGGCAATCTGGGTAGAAAACATCAGAATGGACTCTCGACTACCCTCCGTTCTTCGCGGCATTCGAATGGATACTCTCTCAAGCCGCACGCTATGCGGATCCTGCAATGCTGGTCGTCAATAATCTTGGCTACGATTCATGGCAGACAATCTACTTCCAGAGGGCCACGGTCATCGTCACGGAGCTTGTCCTTCTCTTCGCATTGGGCAGGTAATTAGCCTTCTCACTATACCTGCGCTCGCACCTTTTCTGCCCCAGCAGGCTTGCTGATACAAGTACGAATAGATTTGTCAAGTCGGTTTCTCCGTCAAATAAACACCTTGCGCATATTGCTAGCTTGTCCATCTTCTTGTCCCCCGGCCTGCTTATCATCGATCACATTCACTTTCAGTACAATGGGTTTCTTTACGGCATTTTGATTCTGTCAATCGTTCTGGCACGGAAGCAGTCGACCCTTCTTTACAGCGGTATCAGCTTCGCCGTTTTGCTGTGCCTGAAGCACATTTATCTATACCTTTCATTGGCATACTTCGTCTACTTGCTGAGAGTTTACTGTCTGGATCCGAAATCGATCTTCCGGCCTCGTTTCTTCAACATAATCAAGCTCGGCGTGTGCGTCGTTGGTGTGTTTGCGGTGGCTTTTGGACCGTTCGCCTCCTGGGGCCAGCTGCTTCAATTAAAGGATAGATTGTTTCCTTTCTCCAGAGGTCTGTGCCACGCGTACTGGGCGCCCAATGTATGGGCGATGTACTCGTTCGCCGACCGTGCTCTGATTCCATGTATGTTACACGGCCCCGACTAATGTTCGTGCGGATGAGCTAATTTGTGTAGTTGCTCCGCGCTTGGGCCTTCCAGTCAACCACGACGCACTGACCAGTGTTACTCGGGGACTTGTCGGAGACACATCGTTCGCGGTGCTCCATGAAGTTACCAAAGAACACACGTTTGCGTTGACCTTCCTGTTTCAACTGGTATGTATCTTGGTCGCTTTGTCTAGTTCTGTCCAGTGATTCTAACTGCAGCGTAGCTTCCATTGATCAAACTCTGGCGCAACCCCGAATGGGAAACATTTGTTGGTGCCATTACCCTGTGCGGATACGCATCCTTCTTGTTCGGCTGGCATGTCCACGAGAAAGCCGTGCTCCTGATCATCATCCCGTTCAGTCTCATCGCGCTGAAAGACCGGCGGTACTTTAGCGCATTTCGGCCTTTGGCCGTAGCCGGGCACGTCTCGCTATTTCCGTTGCTCTTCACTGCCGCTGAGTTCCCAATCAAGACGGTCTACACTATTTTCTGGCTGGTGTTGTTCCTCTACGTATTCGATCAGGTGGCGCCTGTCTCGGAGCGGCGCCGGATATTTGTCGCCGACCGCTTTTCTTTGCTCTACCTGACGGTTGCCATCCCACTGATCGTATACTGCTCGATCGGTCATCAGCTTATCTTCGGACTTGAGCGGTACGAGTTCTTGCCTTTGATGTTCATGAGCAGTTATACCGCTCTTGGGGTCGTGGGTAGTTGGGTTGGATTTATGGTGGTTTATTTCACTGCATAGAACTAGTATATAGATAGACGAAAAGTCACCTTTCCATAAAAATTAATTAATCCACCAAATTTCCACCCCCAAACTCCTCATACCTAATACACTGAATTGCAGCAGCTCTAAAAACCCCAAACCCAATGATGTCAAGCCACACCGCCAAGCCACTCTGCTTACCTACTGTGTATCCCATCCCCAACCCGGGCCAGTGGTAAGTTTGTTTGCACCGTTTGCCTTGCGTTGACCTCATCCACGTGCTCCGGAGCCCGACCCACTTGATCAGCCATTTTTGCAAAGTTTATCAGCCATCAGTCCCAATCCGGTTTAGCCGCGGCAGGTTAAACATCGGATCGTTCCCATGGATTGTCACACTGCAGATGACCATCGAGTCACCTACCTACCTTGATTCAATGCGTGGGTTTCAAGGGGAAGGGGAGGCTGGGGGTTGGTGGGTATATGCCTTGCGTCGTGGCGGTGGGTGGGTTTATTTTCCGGGTGGGTTGTATACTTATTAGTTCCTGGGCTGAGGTATACTATTTTGTGTGGGAAGGTGATAGGTCATATTCGGGGAGGGGGTTGGTGATTGGGGAGGGGAGGGAGGAGAGGGATTAGGGTTGTTCTGGTTGGGTTCTAGATTCTTGGGTTGTTTTGTGGGTGTTTGTGGTGGGTGTTATGGTGTAATGATAGAGTGGTGTGTTGGATGGGTTGGTAGATAGATGGGGTGGATTTGCGGGTTAGCTGGTTTGACTTGTGGGTGTCGGGTATTGATGTATAGACAACGAGAAATGGTTCAGTGCGATCGGAATATGATTGGTGATATTATGGTAGGGTGATAGTTAAGTAGATATCAGTTGTTACAAAATGAAGGGATTTTCCGATTGATAGTACATCTACGGAGTATGCGGAGAGCCGTTGGTGGTGGTGACTTGGTCCCACACCAAAACAACTAGATAAATATTTCCACCGGAGGACATAAGAGTCGAGTCTATCTTATAGAAGTAGAAAGTTGATAAGTGCATGGCGAAGAGAAAAGTAGACGTTCATTTCGTAAAGGGACGACTACTGCACACACATGATAAGGTTATGATATCTGGAATAGCTTCACGATGAGTAACCAAGAGCACTGTTCGACTTGTGATTTGTATCTAAACCACTCGTCTTGCCCACTGCTGAATGAACTCCGTATGACTACAGGAGTACTACATAGGATGGGGGCCCTGTCGGTACTTGGCTCATAGAACATAACCCGACCAATGGCGATCGCTATTGGGTGTTATGGATATTGGCAAAGCCAGGCCTGGTGGATTAGCTCCGTGCTGCATATCTAAATTTCCTATGCGATGGCATGGAGTATTCCTTGCAAGGTGTTGAGGTGAGGCCGTGCGCATCTAATAAGTCGAGTAAGCACACGCCAAGTGATACAAGTACTATTACAAGGCGTTAACATAGGTAGCTATCAAATAGCCAGGCTGTTACCGGAGATATATAATGTGATATCGGAGAGTTCCCCAAGGCAGAACCAATAAGCGAACGTGAAGAGGTAGAAAGTTGCGCGGAAGAGGACATCAAGGCGAGTATCCGTGTGGATTGCCCAGGCGCAGCCAGGCAACGCGCACCATATTACAGCAGATCGCGTAATGTTTCAGCAGATGTCCGCCCGTGATATAGGAGAGTGCAGTCAAGTAGTAGCAGGAGGTCAAAAAAAGGTTAAATTTAAGACGTGGCTGTAGTTTATTTCGGGTATTGCCCTCTAGTCGCGATGTCAGCTAGATGGTCCCCGCAGACGGGTCCAGCGGTGTTCCGATAAAGCCGGTCAACGGAAGAGTCATGAGCTGTAGCAATGAGAGAGGAAGCTAAGAAGAATCTCCGGTGCAAGAGGAATCGAACGAGTGCAAAAACATGGGGGTTGGAGGACATCGGGGGTGCGGCAAAGGGAGGAACAGGGCCGGGGGCAAAGGCGTGGAGTGAGAGAGGGTTAAGGACAAGAGCCGGGCGTGGAGGGGGCCTGGAAGCGGTATAGCGGCAGCATCCCTACCGAGAGTCCGCCCGACGTCTTGTCCGTCCTGTTCTCCTCCTCTCGACCAATCACCGCCCGCCGTGCCTCGGCGGCCCTCCCACCACTTGCCGCAATGATCCTCATGGGGCCCGGTTCTGCCGTCGCTCTTTTGCGGCGACCGCTTCTCCTTTCTGCCTCCTCCTCCTCTTATTCTTTCTCTTCTCTCGTCTCCCTCTTTCCCGGCCTCGCTCTCGCCGCTGCTGTCCGTCTCTCCTCGCGCATCTTCCCCGCACGCAGCCCGTCCCCTGGGATATAATACCCGCATCTAGATCTCGACTCCACTTTCGAGTGAGCTTGTGGCTCCACGCTTCGTGATCTTGTGTCTTGGTCGCCCCAGTTCCGCGGACTCGTGTGTAGCGCGATTGAACACGCGTCGTGAGGGTAAGTTCTTTATCTACGCTCCCCCTTCGGTTTCCGAGGCCCACTGGAGATTTCCTATGCATGAAAATGCGCCATCCACATGCCGTCCATGTGGCTTCGAGATCTCTGCCGGCGCATGGCTTTCGCATCGGATCCCAGCCCTTGGGAACAATGAATCTTTCGCGTGTTTCGGGTTCCTTCACACTGTGCATTGTTCTTTACCATCTGTTTTCTTTGTCGTCTTCATGTTGTTCATACTTATAAACTGACTATGGTTTGTGCTGTTTAGTCCTATCCATGATTTCCTCTACCCCAAGCAATTTATGATCGATCGCCCCATCTCTATTATCTCCTAAAGGACCATGGTATGTCGCAAGCATCTATCGGCAATAGCCTGTTGCAGGATGGAATGCGGAGGCAGGAAGCAATATTTGACGAGGCTGACTTGTTTGCTCAGGTCTTGTTTAAGCGGAAACCGGTCCAGTACCTTCCTCGACCGGCTATCGAAGATGACAGCTCCGAGGCATGTATAACCTTTGCATTTTGAGGGATCAAAAAAACCTAATATTGGATTTGCAGGTCTGGGTCATCCCAGAGACCAACGAAGTTTTCATCAACTATGAGCCCTATCTCCAGAGGATGGACTTTTATAAGCAACGAAGATTCATTTGCGAAATAACAGGCCATTCGGGCCTGACTTTCTTCGAGGCGCTTAGAAGTGAAGTATGAAAGAAGATGATTGTTGCCTTTTCCAATGCTAACTCCCGACAAGATGGAGGAATCGCGCGAAGTCAACAGCGCATTTCCCGATGCTCTCAAAGAGCCAATTTTGCGCAGAATTCAGTTCTCCACAGTATCGCGGGTCGATAATCTTGGTACGTATACAATGGTTAACGTGTTTAATTAAATACTGAGGCTAATATGCGCGCTTTTAGTGGATGAGGTCTTCGAGGTGACTACCTAGCTTTGAATCCATTTGTCGGTCCCTATTCCGCTAACATGCTTCAGGAGTTTAAGCAAGACTTTTATCCAGGAGAGCCTGTTCTGATTCTACTTGATGATAATACTCGTCTTCACGGCATAATTAGAGACAAAGTGAATTTCCCAGACCAGTTAAATCCCGATGGATCACTCAACAGACCAGCCTATTCCACTTATCTTGTGAAAGTAACGGACCGTCCGAACGAAGAGGCGCTATTGGACCAGGAGCACATCACTCGCGACCGAAAGACATTCACCAAACAAATGCTACGCGCTTTTATCAAAAACAACGTCACGCGGGAATCTTGGAACGGCGCGCCATGGCTTGTAAAGCCTTCAATTGCCGAGGAGTATAGGATCCCGACCGAGGTACCAAAGCATCTGCAGTATGGCGCCAAGGTAGCGGAGAAGAAGGCAATGAAGAAGGCGGACCAGGAGGGATTCTTTGGGTTCTTCGCATCGCAACAACTCCCTGAACTGAAACCCGCGGTCAAAGGTCAAAAGGTCAAACCTTCTCAGCAGGACCTGGCTCGAAACAAAGAGGCACAATTTCTCGAATATCAACGCTCGCTCAACGGCAACCCGACTTTTGTCGTCGCCAACAAGCCCACGAACGGGGTGATCCGTTCGACCAAGACCCAGGAGACGGACAAGAAGACACCACCTGTACCTACTGTTGTTGTGAAGGCCGAACCTCCCAAGGCCCCAACGCCTCTGCCGATCAAGTATCCTATCGAGGATTTGGATATCGCCCCAGATCTTGAAAAGAAGAAGCAGCGCCCGGCTCTGAAGTTTTTGACCGTGGACGAGACCGATGGCCCTGAGGATGTAGATCTGCTGCATGACGACATTGAGATCGAATCAGTTGGGCGTCTCTTGGAGACGTGGAACACCCTCAACGTGTATTGCGAGGTCTTCCAGCTTGATTCCTTCACCTTCGATGACTTTTTCCAGTCTATGCGATTCTCATCCGAGGATGTAGACTGTGAACTCTTTGTGGAAGTACACTGCGCCGTCCTGAAAAAGTTGGTAAATGCGGAAAAGGATGAGAACGGTGCTATTCAGATATCTCTGCCAGAATTACCGGATGAGGAAGATGATGAATCCGAGGGTGAGGGTGAGGAAGAAGAGGAGGCTACGCCTGAGCCCGTGGTTACAAGAATGACCACTCGAAGTAGCCTGGCAAAGGCCGAAGCAGAGAATCTCCGGGCGCAGGCAGATCGTGAACGCTCAAGCTCGGTTGAGGTTAAGGTCCATCGAGCTGCTGAGATGTTTGTGGAGTATGGTTGGATTGATCGTCTGCGGAAGCGTGATTTCCGAAATGGTGGATGGGAAATGGTCATGATTGGACTCCTGCATCAGTTATCAGCTCGTGCCCGGATGGAAAAGGCCTGCAACGATATTCTCAAGCATCTCGCTCCCCTGGATGCGGAACCCACGCAGGAAACCGCGCAAGCTCAGTACTCGACGCTAGATGTCAACCTACGTATACAGGCCCTTCAGATTATCTGCATGCTCAGCCTGGAAACCAAGGCCGTTCGCAACTATCTTGAGGAATGCAGCAACCAGATGACCGAGTTCCGCAAAGAAAAGATCGAATACCAGAAGGCGCGCAAGGCAGGGTACGTATTCTTGATGTCCTATCGATTGGCTAATCTTGTTCGTTATCTGATCTCGTTTATAGTCTGGAAGAACTTCGTCGGTTACATCAAGAGCGCAAAGCTCTTCAGCCAGAGCCCGAGAAGTCACCCAGTCCGGCGCCGGAGCTGGAGGCCCTGGAAGATTCCAAAATGACAGGAGTAGATGGAGACTCCGACCAGGCCATGGATTCGGATGATGAAGCGGTTCCTCAGCGAACGCTTCGCGGAGGCTTGGATAGGGCGCTTGAGCGCAAGCGCAAGCAGGAAGAAGAGCGGGAGAGGAAAGAGCAACTCGCCAAGCAGCCTAAGGGATCAAAGCAGTTCCAACGGGTGCTCAAGAAGATTGATGATCAAAAGGCCAACATCAAAAAACTCGAAGACAAGATCGATGTTGTTGACAATGACTTGAGGGAGGCCGACTGCCCGCGGACCAGGTGTCTCGGAAAGGACCGTTTCTGCAACCGCTACTGGTGGTTCGAGCGGAATGCGATGCCATATGGTGGAATGCCAAATAGCTCCACAGCTGAAGCCAATTATGCCAATGGTCGATTGTGGGTTCAAGGACCCGACGAGATGGAACGCGTGGGGTTCATTGACGTTCCGGATGAGCCGAGGAAACTATACCAGAAGGCATTTCAGACCACTCCTGCGGAGCGCAAGAAGGCCGAGGAGGGGCATACCAGACTCACTACTGCAACCGAATGGGGCTACTACGATTCCCCGGACGCGATCGAGACGCTACTGGATTGGCTTGATTCGCGGGGTCACCGCGAGTCGAAACTCCGCAAGGAGCTGCTACAGCAGCGTGATAACATCGCGAAGTACATGAATTACCGAAAGGAATATCTGGAGCAAACGTCAGATAGGGCGGAGTCGGAAGAAATTCCCTCTAAACGCGTGATGACGCGAAACAAGACGTATGTGGATGATAACAAGCATCGTTGCATGCGCTGGCGCAATACCACGGCGCTGTCGGACAATGGACATCTTCATGTGGATGCTTCGCGACCAACCAAGCGGGCCCGGAGAGTTACAGATGAGCCCAAAGAGATCAAGGCGACCAACCGTCAGGGCAAGCCGCTCACCCGACAGGGCACGCGATACAACTTTTAAAGCCACCACCCATGTTTCTTATCGTTTGGTTTTGGTTTTCAGGATATACAGGTGTTTTATGGGCCTTGACTGCATGCATTGTTGAGGGTACTTGGGAGTCGTCAGCAACAAAAAAGGTGATCATTCTATAGAATTTGCATGAGCGACGCGACCATGATACTTTGGATTCCCGCATATATATATTCCATTTCATACGTGTACCCTCGAGGGGTGGGCTACTGGTCTTGGTGATAGACAGGATTGTGGTGTTGCTTGCTGGGCCTGATCGATAAGGGATTTACCGAGCAATCACGGAGTACTTAGTATATATATCTACATTAAGAAGCAAGATATTGCCCATCCAAGACCCTGCGGGACTGCGAAGGTTCTCCATCCTCGACCGCGTATCTCTGTCTCGATGTTGTACTAAGGAGTATATTTGTGAGAGGACGGGATGAGTAACGGCCCGGCTGCGGTTGGTCATCCGAATCTGGAAAATTACCGCCGCCCGCCACTCGGATGCCGAGGTGTAATGTGACGGTATGGCGATGCTGACTGGGCGGCGCAGGCGGGTATCGGCATGTCAGGGCCGTAACGTCATCCCCGTCGATCCTGGCTTTCCGCCTTCAGGCCGATGGCGATGCTCCGTCTTCCACTATTCTGATGCGCTGCCTGGGACTAGGCCTCTTGTCATCACCCCAGCCCGATTGCTTGCTGTCCTTGTTGTCATCGTCTGCGGCGTGAGGGGACCATCCTTATTTCTGACTCCAAGCGCCCTGCTCTCATGGCCTCAATTCTCCGCTAGCCCGTGATAGAGCATTCTGCAGTCTCCTCAGATAACCCCGAAGAAGCGCCGGGTCTCGTGCCAGGCTTGTGCTCATGTCTGCTGCCATTTCGGACCATGCTCAACCTGACCCCTCTGCTGTCGGATTCGGACCAGCTCATTCTCGTCCTACATCACCGCCGTTGAACCCGCCAACATCCTACTCTCAGATGGAGCACGTCGCACAGTCGAGACCGGCCCGGAGCCCAACCACGAGCGATGCAAACGATCGCTTGGCCGTGGGCACGACCCAGGCGACCGCCGTTGATGATGCTTCTACCCCGCGCCAGTCGCCAAATGGTCGCGGAGCCGCGACCGAAGTCAACAAGCGAAGCGTGGATTATATAGTACGGAGCGGAGTTGCGGGGGGTCTGGCGGGGTGTGCGGTAAGTTTGACCATGCATGGCTACTTAGGATCAAAAGGCAATCATACATGATAAACTGACAAACTACCTCACAGGCCAAAACTGTTGTCGCACCTCTCGACCGGGTCAAGATCCTGTTTCAAGCGTCAAACCCACAGTTCGCCAAGTACACCGGCAGCTGGTCTGGCCTTGTATTGGCTGTCCGCGATATTAAGCGCCATGAGGGCCTCCGGGGCCTCTTCAAAGGCCATTCTGCCACGCTGCTTCGCATCTTCCCCTACGCCGGTATCAAGTTCCTTGCCTACGAGCAGGTTCGGGCGGTCGTCATCCCGTCGCACGACAAGGAAACGCCCTTCCGCAGGCTTATCTCCGGAAGCTTAGCCGGAATCACATCCGTCTTCTTCACCTACCCGCTAGAGCTCATCCGGGTTCGATTAGCGTTCGAGACGAAACGCACGTCTCGTTCGTCCTTCAGCAATATATTTCGACAGATCTACAACGAGCGGGTCACCCCGCCGCCCACATCGACCGGCGCGTCGATAACCAAAGCCCCTGTCACGGCTACGGCAGAGAGTGTCGCGTCGACCGTCAGCAAGGTCGTCCCTAGTTCCGGACTGACGAATTTCTACCGGGGATTTGCCCCGACCCTCCTCGGAATGCTCCCCTACGCCGGAATGTCGTTCCTGACCCACGATACCGTCGGAGACTGGCTAAGGTCGCCGTCGATCGCCCCCTACACCGTCATCCCAGAATCCGAAGCAACAGCGCAGTTGAACAAGGGATACCGCCGGTCGCAACTGACGGCGGCGGCGGAGCTTTTCTCGGGGGCGATTGCAGGCCTCGTATCGCAAACCTCGTCGTATCCACTTGAAGTGGTGCGACGGCGCATGCAAGTGGGTGGCGTCGTTGGCGATGGCCGCCGGCTCGGAATTGTCGAGACTGCCCGCACTATCATGCTCGAGAGGGGCTTTCGGGGATTCTTTGTTGGGCTGACGATCGGGTACATTAAGATAATTCCGATGACAGCCACTGGGTTTTTCGTTTACGAGCGTCTGAAGTGGTCACTGGGGATATAAGGACTACGGAGTCCGCATTTGTTCATTTTTGTTTGGATTTACCGAGTTGGCGTCGTTGGATTCGATACCTACATTTGTTCATACCCATCTTTCGCATGAACGAGGGCCCGGGCTCTCGTGGTACGGATTACGGAGTATTGTATATACATAGAGTGGCTAAAAGAGCTGCCTGATGAGTGTTCTATACATCGTTGACCGGCTAGATTTGTTTGCCACTACCACAAGATTCATCTTATCTGAGCCTCGTAACCTTGAATCTATATACACCTTGGAAACAGCTCTACCGTAGAACTTCTATCCATCCAGCTCAACCAACCTCGAACGAACACCAATACGAAGTATCTACGGAGTACATACAGAGTACGGTCTGATATCCGGGAAATCCGGCACTCCGATTGGTCACCATCCCCGCGCACAGACCACCCAAAAAAAGTTGCCGTTCCATCGACTTCTCCAACATCACCATCTCAACTCCAAATCAGCTCCACACAATCCTACAGCCCAGCCAAACAAAATGACGACCCGCAAACGGAACGAATTCCTGGACATCGTCGCCAGCGACGACTCCGACGCCAACGACCACGGCTACGACTCCGAAGCCGCAGAAGCAGAGAAGAGCAAAGGCCGGGCCGTGAAGCGGCGCCGCACGCAACCCGAACCACAATCCCAAACCGATCTGCACGGGCTCAACTCTGACTCTGACGATGGGGGCGCCTCAGACGAAAGCGAAGACGAACGTGTATTTAAGGGCAGAGGCAAGGCCAAGGCCAAGGCAAAGAAAACCGCCGCGGACGACGACACCAACGACTCCGAAGACGAAGCCACCAACCATCCCGACGAAGACGACAACTACCTCGACGCCACCCCCGCAGCACCCCCAAAACAATCAACACGAGCAAACCGCCCAAGAAGAACAAAACAGGTGTTGTGTATCTCTCGTCGCTCCCACCGTACCTGAAGCCATTTGCCTTGAAGGCTCTTTTGGAGAAACGGTCATTCGGACCTATTACGAGGGTGTTTCTTTCGCCGGAGGTGCGGTCTGCGTCGGCGCCTCGGAAACGGTTGAATAAGCGGAAGACATACTCGGATGGGTGGGTGGAGTTTGCGTCGAAGAAGACGGCTAAGGTGTGTGCGGAGACGTTGAATGCGAATATTATTGGTGGGAGGAAGGGCGGGTGGTATCATGATGATGTGTGGAATATGAAGTATTTGAGGGGGTTTAAGGTATGTTGCTCTTTTTCCCTATCTATCTTTCTTTTCGTGTTTGGGGCGTACGGGGCTGATTTGGTATGTGTAGTGGGCGGATCTTACGGAGCAGATTCAGAGGGAGAGGTCGGAGAGAGAGGCCAGACAGAGAGTCGAGGATTCGAAGGCCAGGAAGGAGGATAAGGTGTTTTTGGAGGGGTATGAGAGGGGCAAGGTTATTGAGGGGATTCAGAAGAAGAATGCGGAGAAGGGGAAGAAGAGTGGGAAGGAGGAGCAGAAGGTTCGTATGGTGTTTAAGCAGAGTGAGGTTAAGCAGGGGAGGGATAAGATTGCGGATCCGGGGCAAATGGGAGATGAGACGAAGAGGGTGTTGGGGAAGATCTTTTGATGTGTCTGACTGTGTGGATCACTATATTTGGCTTGTTGAGATATCCCAATATTGTTTGTGAGTTACTGCTGGAGATGTAATTTTAGATTGGTAGGTGGCTATCTGGATCTTGCTCAGTCGGGATTGGAGACTGTCTATAGATCTAGTTTTGTATAGCTTTATATCACGTGATACAACGACATTTGGGCCTATTTCTGTACACGGCCCTCTATTCTTTTAGAACGATAAAATAATTATCCCATAGAAGTCGATTTTTATCAATATCGACAAAAATCACATTGCTCTTCTATTCCTGACCCTGAACACTCCAATATTACCCTCCACATCCATTGAATTTCCCTGCTATACTTCGCCAGCCCTCTTCTCCTCTAATCTTCCGGTAAAATAGAGTTGAATACTAATACCCTTCACAGCCAAGACTCCTCGCATTGAATCAAGACGTTCTTCATGATATAACTGCATGACCCTCATCACAGACAACCCAGTTACATCATAAGCACGAGAGGTCGACAGAACCCGGGCTCCTTTGATTTTACGCCTTCAGTAGATCGATCAGTCTGATTATATTAATCCAGTGCTTGTCTGCACGTAGTTAACCAGCTATGGTTTCCGCAGGGTGCAGTCCATATCTGGTATGATGCTCTGTATCTCGATGGGGAAGAATGGACGTCTGATGTAGCCATAATCATATGCTAGATGCAGGAGAACGGAGAGATGATGGTGATACCGTTGTATAATTGGCGGTCTATGCGGAGTAGTCTGCCTGCCACATTCTGGAGCTGTAGCAGTTATTGATGCAATCGGGACAATATATGCTGGCTATTGTTTCATAGTGCCACATATCTGCTCACTGTATTAAGATACGATATGTCAGAATTATAAATCTGTTGAGTGTTGGATGTTCAAGAAAGGCAGTTCTTCCGGGTGTCTGATTACAGCAAGTCTAGGTAGCCAAAAGTCAAGTTATTGAAGCTTCGTGATTTAGTTCCTCACCAGTATAGTGGACTCCATACAGATGCAGCAAGTTCGCAATCCAAGGGTATGAAATGTCATCCACTTCCAAACGACGTCGGCTGGTACTCTTCGCCTATCGAGCAAGTATTGTAGCAATAACAAACACAAATAGGCCAATTCTGGGGTTATCAGAAGTGATATGGGCGACTGCAGATTGTGCTGTCTTCAGGTTCGTCTGTGTCCTTGTGAAAATATCCCATCATCAGATCTATTTCCGAGATGTGAATACAGCCAACATCATCTGGTTGATATGCTGGCCCTATCTTCCCTGTAACCCGGTCTCGTCTCCGATATGGTTCTGCGTGCCCCATTAATGGATTTTCCAAAGGCTAAGATATTCACCGGCGTTTCTTATCCTTGGGCGTTGCAGGAAAAGAAAACTGATTCTGATGTATAACAACCAGAAGGAGGAATGCAGATCATTGGCGTAACTGTTCGACGAAGACTAACAGAGGAGAGCAGACGATGGCAGCAGGCTTGGACTTGAGTTGTTTGATGGCTACCAGTCTTTATACCTGTTTGTGCTCAATCGTTCGTCCTTTTCACACGAAGACGTCTATAACCCGTCTCATGACCAACGCTATAGTTTTTGCAGTGCACCTGTGAAGGTGATGCGATGCAGCGCGCTATACCTGGACCCCGACTGCTTTCCCATGTTGACCGACATTGTTTCCTCTGTGAAGTCTTTCGGAACAATAAATCCATTTCGGTTAAGCTTCGCATTGATGGAGCCCATCTCCCCTTTCGTCAGCCTATATCGGGAGCCCTGTATGATTCAGATGCGGGTTGGCTCAACAGAACCAAGCTGGGGCAGTGGTGGTGACAGTGTTGGTTTGACCCCGTCTGGATTTCGATAACCGAGCATATCCTGATTCCATGCTTCAAGTCGCGTCTGAATCGTCGGACCACCTATGGAGCGTCTTGTTGGATTCGCGTAAAGCATGTGCAGGTCTAATTAGGAATCCCATGAGTACGACCTTAAGGATTTCTGTCCTTGGTGAGTGACAACGCCCGTGTTTTTCCATGAGTCTGGGTGGATAGGCCATTGGTAGAACATTGATGCAGCATCCATGGCAGTAGGTATGTGGCACCGGTTACCTTGCCATACAGTTATCTGACATCATTGTTGGGTCTTTGGCATTTTCTCTTCATAATAAAGATGATGTATTACCACAGGACCGATGGTGTTCTTTACAGACGTAAAATCTAATTTCTGCATATAGCAAGACGATAGCAGTTAAGGACTAGACGAGGAAGAGACAGAGTGGCGAGGGAGCGAGGACTGAACTGTCCATCTGGGCTGTTTTCTCGTGCCTTCTGTGAAGTCTGTTTCGCGCGTATATTCGGTACTTTCCACGTTGTCCATTGAAGAGACGATGATTGATGGGATGGACTGACTCCGAAACCACCCGCAGGAATGTTTTTTGTGTAGGTTGTGCTTGCAAGGGCAAAGAGCGAGAGGAGGACTGCAAAGAGTGGCTCTTCGATATGTGTTCACGATAGGCTTTCGTAGATGCCATAGGCCGGCAGCACGTTCACCTGAAGCCAGGAGCTCTCCAATATGTGGATGAACAGCTTCATGGCAACAATCAGGCCATGTATATCTTGGTATCCGATTGTTTGCTTGTTTCGATACATCATCTTGTCTCTGAACAGCCCAACATAAGCAGATCATGCGTTAGACTGACCCAGAGGCCTTTTCTAGAACCCGGAACATTGTCCAAATTAACTTCTTTAATCCTAAAGATCCATTGATTGGCCTTATAATTACCAGCATATTTCGCAGGCTGTGCAGTCCGCCACCGCGGTTCACTTTCTTATAGTCATGATAGCTCGAATGTTGTATAAGATATTTCATCTGTGTCATAGAGGATATCAGAAGTCCATAGGCACTGACAAGGTCCGCATAATAGCACAATGATGCTGCATGGTACTCATAGGACGGCTTTATTGCGTAGAGAGGTTAGACACAAGCAACTTCGGCACTCCATGGCGAGATAGTATCTCCAATGCCCTGACTTGCTTTATGTTTAAGATTTCAAGATCATCAACCATTTGGATTTGCCATTGAGAAGGGATATATTTGTGCAACTTCTACTGATTCATAAAATGGGGGATATTGGGGCTGTCTTTCGGGACTTCAGCAATGCGCTGATGATAAATGGACTGACTCCCTTGGGTTGACATACCATCCCTTCGTTCGTATGTCTGTAGCCCTCAACGGCCAGGCAGGGTCGCTGACCCTTTCTCTTAGAGTGGTCAAGGCCGAGAGCTGCAGCAGAGCAATAAGGCTGGATTGATTTTTTGAGAACCTCAGCTGTGGTCTCCCTCATCAGTATTGATTTAGCCCGGTTCATGAGGTCTATCATCCCGGGAATGTATTCCTCTTGTATCCAGCAATTGTGGATCTGATGATCATTTGGAGGTGGTGCAACCAATGTTTGACTGAACCACAGGGTTGATAAGCCAGTCAGCCTTCTTTGGTAGCCATCTGGCTATTGATCCAAAGGCGCAGAAGACCAAAATGGGCTGTGCAATTCATTTGATAGCGCTATTATGATAATGTAGATCAGAATGACATGCCGCTATCTGTTGATATACTTATGATCCCCGAATTATCAATGATCAATAACCAGTCATTTAAGAAGCTGAAGTTAGTATATTCCCATTCGAAATGGTGCTAGAGATTCCATCCCATAGGACCTGTCATCGTGATATACTCTGCCTTAAATGAGCCGAAGGCAATGAATACCCAATTAATTTCTTGCATTCGAGCCACTTGTTTGGAAGGCGTGCACATCGAATCGTTGAAGTTATTTAACTTCCACCAGACACCGCAAGAATACCCTCAAGCATTAGGAGATATTCCGCGTTTGTTTGGGCATTCATTGCAACAGCGCAATGAGAACGAATCATGGAGTGAACTTCCTTGATCTTAGTCTTGTGGAATCAATCATATACCGATGCACAAGTCCATATGTTGGGAATCAGGTTTGTGTAAACGAACGGTATATTAAACAACCACAGCCCGGACCCCATGGGGACAAAGTCGACACTAGGGAATATGGCATCAGAGATCCAAGTTTAGAGGTGCCTCGTATTAGGAGCTGACTTGAAGAAACCAGCGAAATTTGAACTTGATGCTATAGACGACTTCAACCGACGCGAGATAAAGAGGGACTTATTTTCAATGGAGGGTATATTGGACTGTCTTCATTATTGTGGCAAAGTCTCTTGAGTGTATCTGGTATAGTCGGGAGTATGAAACCTGCCTGCGTTAAGGCTTGTAGAGGTGGATCGAGGACGAGGCTGTAGGAGGATGGATGGGCTTGGGGAAAAGCTATATAGGATAGCCGAGCAGATTCAATCACCCAAGTTACTGTCAGCTATTGACTGTCGGCTAGACTATTCACAGCAGATATGTGCTGGATGAAGATGTATGTTGAAGCGTCCGATGACGCTACTTAAAGATTGAAAATCAACCTTCACTACTCAAGATGTCTGAATCACCTATCAGATTCACTGTCATGATCTATGTACCTTAACTTTTGTGTATCAGCCCGGATATTGTTAACCATAACGATATCAGAATAGCCATGTGAACGCCGGAACCCCTATGTGCAGTCGTGATTAAGAAAGTCCCGTGGAACTTAATGGTCATCGTCCATGTTCAACTCATCAAAGTCATCAAGCAGCTCGTCCATGTCGATCTTGGGCACCTCGTCGTCTCCGCTATCCTCGTCCATGTCCATACCGCCGCTCTCGACGGCCATCTGGGTCCGCTTCTTGTACAGGTCAAGCGTACCACGCAGTTCCTGGTCCTCTTCAACATCACGCAAGAACATCTCAAAGTCCTCCTCGAGACGGTTACGCTCGGCCTCCTGCTTCTTGTTAAGGTTGGTGGCCGGCTGCTGTTGGGCCTCCTCCTCGTACTCCAGGGCCATGCGCTTGAGACGCCAGTTGCGGTTCTTGTTCTTCTTTTTGCGGGCGTAGAACTTCTTGACGAGCACAACATCGGGGATGGTGGAGCTGTACTGGCCGCTAGCCTCGAGTGCCTCGAAGTTGGGGTCGTTGAAGTTGGTCCCAGTCAAGTGGTAGCCAAGAACGGAGTCACCGACGTGGAGGACTCCACCCAGATGGGTGCGGGTGAAATAGGTTTGATCATTTGAGCCAAGATCCGATGCGCGCGCAACAGTCGCCTCGGCGAGATAGTACCGTCCGTTTGACCGTCCGACCAGTTCGATGTCCATGACGATGAATTCGGTCAATTCCGTAACGTCAGCAAGACTCCTGAAGGGCGATCTCCAGTAAGTGCCTGTCGGGACGTCGCATGTTTGAAGGGTGTTGGGATCGAGGAGGTTGACGGTGGTACCGACGCGGTAGCAGAGCGACAGGGGTGAGATGTTGCCCAGAGATCTAGCAAGCTTGATGGGAAGCGCAACCAAGTCATCCTTGCAGATAGGGATAATTTCAATAGAGAATGTGAACTTGTACGACTTGATGGAAGTGTGCACATCCATGGAAATCAGCTCTTGGGACTTCTTCATCTTGCATGGGGCAACCGATGCAAGGAACTCGACCATTTTTTCCGCATGGTTTCTCTGTGCGAAATAGAAATCCAAACCGTCCTTGGCTTCCTTGATGTTGATAGTATCGCGGTGAGCATTGTGCTTGAGGATAACCTGCTCAAGGTACAAGAAGGTTCGCTTGTGAGGCACCTTCTGGCGCAGTTGAATGCTGGAGTTCCACGTATTGACGGTAAACGACTTCTTACAGTCGGGACACTGTAGCGAGGCAACCACGTATTCCACCTCGAATGTCTGCTGCACGATAGTGCCCTGGAAGGCTTCCTGCTGGATGGTGATCTTGACCTTGATACGTCTCGAGTGGGGTTCGGTCCAGATAAAGCTGGCGTCGATAATCCGGACCTTGGTCAGGCCGCGAAGTTTGCGCAAGCAATGGGCGAGAAGTTCCTTCGATTCCAGCGCTGCACTAATCCAGCTGGTGGGAGGTTGAAGCCACCGTTCACAGTCCCTGCAGCAGTGAAGCACCGCCTCTCTCTGAATGCCTTGGGAAATATCGACCGTCAACTTCACACAGTCCTGACAAAGGGCGCCTGCCGCTGTTGTTCCATCGATAGGAGCGGCACAGTTGCAGCACAAAATACTAAACCGAGGTTTTGGTCAGCTATTTGTCCTGATGCATACTGGCGCCTTTTTTATTTATTTTTTTTTCTTTCCTTCCTTTTGCGGGGTAACTCACGTAGCAGATATCTGATTCTGCGGGATGGCCTCGAAAGGCACCGGCGCATCCAGGTCCATCGACATTTTGGTAGCAGTTGATGAAGCCTGACACCAGAGAGAAGGGCAAAGAGGGGGCGATGACAGAGTCGGCGACTCCTGCTGGCTGAAGGATGAAGGGAAATTTGGATTTGTCACGGCGGATTTGCCCCGCCGCGAGAACTTTTTGTTTGCTCTGTTTGTCTGCTGACTTCGTTCTTAGTCAACTGTTTGTCCTGTTTGCCCCTGCCGCAGCTTCCCAATCGGGCGGTTATCGTCACTGGAAAGCTGTCCACCATTGCCACGATGAACAGGGCATTGTCCAGAGGGCTGTGGTGCCACCGGGGAGTACTTTGTGCCCCTACATATTGCCATGTGATTCGACCCTTTACTTCACTGTCTTGCCTTCGGACTGAGCAGCCTTCATCCGAGGTATCAACCGTATCTCTCAAACAGCCCGCGTCGGATAGTTCGCCTCACGGCCCATGGTATCTACAGGGAGAAACTGCCGTTCCCAAGTCACAGCAAACATCCCCAACTAATGCATTATTCGAACACTTATCACAACTATCCGATGAGAAAGTTAGAAGCGAGCTGGGAGAGGGGCCCGAGGATCGCGATTCCACGCTTTTTCTGCGCCTATTCCACAACCAGCTGTCAATAAGTTCGGCGGAGGAGAAGGCGATAGCCCAAGTCAATCTATTCTGCAGTGCTGTTTCCAGACAGCACCCGGGGTATACAAAACAGGGGCTATATACAGCATTTTTGGAATGTTCATGCTTGGGATACTCGGTGTCTGATGATCTAGGATTCTCGGTCGTTTCAGCTTTGTTGACTCCACGATCAGGCGGACAAGTGCCAGACTCAGACAAGGATATAGCTCTCCGTGTGTTGGAACATCTCTCTCTTCGGGGCACAGACGTCGTGAATATGAAAGTATTCAACATGATATATCAAGCAGCTGCGATTTCACCGTCCCCTACTGGCGCGCTCTCTCGCGTGTCTCGCCTAATCGATACCCTTGATTTACCCTTCGATCCCTTACAAGCTCGATCACTTATGGTATCGCACTTTCAGCATGGAGATTACAATGGTTTCTGGAAGTTGTGGCGCAAGCTTCCCCTCAATGGAAGCCCACGCACTGTTGCGGACTACGAAATGCTGTTTCGGTTGCATGCTGATTTGGGAGACAAACTCCGTGCCCGGGACTGTCTATCAACATGGGTGCCAATGATGAGTAGAGAGCAGCCACCGATACCCCTTAGGGGAGAACTCTTGGTAGACATTAAGCATTGCCTTGTCCTGGCCGACCCTCACATCGCCCAGAAGGCTGCGGAGGGCTCGACGAGCATTCTGGTCCGGTTCTGGAACGAATGCCAAAGTAAGACGCACTGGTCTAAGCCAGCCAAGAGGCCTTGTAAATAGCAACCACTGTATTCCACACTGAGTCGGTATATAAGCAATCGCAAATGATGCCCACTGTTGTGTAGCAACGTGAATGTGACGATGGAACCGGACTAAGCCTGATGCCGATGAGCCTCGGTTCAACTGGCGGCCATCGGAGAGACCCAGCCACCGCTGCACCTCAACTCTCCTCCGCATTCTCTCCGCCATCCATCCATTCCCACCATCCCAATTGCCTCCTCCCTCCAGAGGCTAATGATTGGCGTCGCATTGCCATCATGGAGTACCTGCCCAGTCTGCAGCAGGCATTCGACGAGCTAAAGCCGTCGCTGTTCGGTACGTGCCCTTATCACAGCCACCCAACAACGCCCAACTAATCCGCATCACATTTCAGAGCTGCTCGCCGAACAACAGCTCTCCGACCTTCTGCCTCCCTCAATCCGATACATCCTCGCTGTCGCCACTCATCGCCATCCGCGCTACCTCCTCCGTATCCTCAACTCCTACGATGAGATCTACGCGCTCCTCTCCCTCGTCGTCGAACGATACTACCTGCGCACCTTCGGCGGCTCCTTCACAGAGAATTTCTACTCCCTCAAGCGCGAACGAGTCCTCCTAACGAAGAATGGCGAGATCCCTCGCGCCCAGTTGGGCGCCCCCGGCCCCGTCCGCGAATCCCTCAAACTCCGCTCCTCCGACGTGTGGAAGAACCTCCTCGTACTCGTCGGAATCCCTTATCTCAAGCGCAAACTCGACGAAGGCTACGACATCCACGCCGCCCCGCAAGCATCCCTGATCATGAGCGGCGGCCCTCGATACAGCCCAGGCGACGAGCTGCGTCCGAACCCAACAATTCGCCAACGTCTCTTCCACTACTACAAATGGTTCCTCCGAAACATCTACCCCTCCATCAACGGCGCATACTACTTCTCCATCCTCGCCTTCAACCTCGCCTACCTCTTCGACAACACCAAATACTCCTCCCCATTCCTCTGGCTCATCGGCACCCGCATCCGCCGTCTCAGCTCCGCCGACCACCGCGCCATCGCCTCCATCCTCGACCCCAAGCCCATCCCCGGAGCAAGCGCCCGTTCCCGCCCCGGCTCCGGCCTACTAGGCCTCCTCAGCCCGCAAAACCTCTACCCCCAACTCCTCACCTCCCTACGCTACTTCCTCCCGGCCTCCATCTTCGCCCTTAAATTCCTCGAATGGTGGCACGCAAGCGACTTCTCCCGCCAACTTGCCCGCAAAGCCACCGAAGTCCTGGACCTTCCGGCCCCCGTAACAACAGGAATGACACCTCCTTCTGAGCGAAGGAAAGCAGCAGCAGCAGTTGCCACGGAGAAACAACCCCCCTCCCCAACCCTCAAATCAGCATTGAAACCCACCACCCCGGCACGCAAACGCATCCAACCTCCCATCTCAGCATCTTCATATCTACCCATCTTCACCGTGCCGCTTCCCCCGCCTGACTCGGACGTTGCGTCCGCGTGTCCGGTTTGTTTGAACCAGCTCACGAACCCTACAGCATGTCAGACGGGATATGTCTTCTGCTACGTTTGTATTTTCCACTGGTTGAACGGGGAGCATCAACGACAGCAGGATTTCATGAATGGTGAAGGCGCTGGCGCGGCGTGGGCGGACGATGATTTGGATGACGAAGAAAGCAACGGACATGGTAATGGTGGTGAAGGCGAAGAAGAGGGCAAGAAGTCGCGGAGTAGACGGGGGAAGTGGGAGAGTGGGAAAGGGAGGTGTCCGGTCACGGGGAGGAGGGTGCTTGGTGGGACGGAGGGGTTGAGACGGGTGTTGGTGTAGATGATCGATCCAGCTATCTGGTCTTATATATGGTTATGGTTTATGATTTGTACGGAGTGTATATATGCATTGCATTAAGGCTAATGTTGAGGCTTGGCTACAGTAATGATGTCCAGCTCAGGAATGATAGCTCGTTATCATGTCAGAGTCAGGGAGAGAAAAAGCTGGGTATATTATAGCATGCTGCACAGGTATCATCGACGCTATCTATCGCAGAATCAAGAGAAGACAGCTCAATCTACGAGATGACATATGGCTCCGCGCCGTCTCCGAAGATAAGAGACGGGTGCTCAGCCGCGACCTTGAGGATGGTCTGCGCAAAGACGGAGTTCGCCCATGCGAACCACGGTCTTGTGTAGTCTTTGATGTTGTTTACGTCGATCGACTCGTGGACTAAGCCTAGAAGACTGGAGTTGCGGACCAGATTGATTGATTCGACGATTTCGGTGGTGGAGTCGGTTGTCAGGGCTTGGACGAGGAGGGACATTGGCCAGGCATTTTGGAGACCAACTGGTTGCGTCATGTTAGATATATCTGATTGTCGGGGGTTAGCGATAGATGAGAGGGAGTGCTTACTGTGGGGCCCACCAATGCCGTGGAAATCCGATCCGGTGAGGTAGTATGGGTTTCCATTCGGATCGAGGATCATCTTGCGTGTGTTTTGGTAGACTTGGTCGGATTTGTCGACGAAGCCTAAGAGGGGAAGGGAGAGGAGCGATGGGACGTTGGCGTCGTCCATGAAGATGCGCGAACCGTACCCGTCCACCTCATACGCGTAGACATCGCCGTATGTGGCGTGATTGACAATGCCATGCTTGCGGACTGCCTGCTCGAGGTTCTCCCCGCGAGTTTGGAGGTTAGATGCTAGATCTGCCTGCCCGCCAGCAGCCCGGAGGAGTTTCGCGGTCTTCTTCAACTGTACGGACATCATCGCATTGGGTGGAATGAAGAAGCCAAGAATTGTAGCATCGTCGCTGGGACGGAATGCGCTGCGGCTGAGTCCTGTTCCTCGGTTAAGGGGGTTCCCGATCCCAGCGAGATTGAGGGTTTCTGTGCCAAGAGTTGTCTCGCGCTGGAAAGTGTATTGGTTTTGGACGTACTGAAGCTTGTCGTTGAAGGTGGGTTGGGACTGCGCGTCGAGGACACTGAGGAGTGTGTTGAGGGCGAGGTACCACCGGCTGGTGAGGAACTCGGTGGATCCAGTGTTTTCGTAGAATTCGTTACCCAGGGCGAGGAAGTTGGCCAAAGAGTCTAGCTCGTATTTGCATTCATAGACGACAGACGGCTCGTATGCCGGGTGCACGGTATCTTTCTGTCCGTTGCTTGTTGGTTGGATTCCACTGGGCGGAGGGGGCTGGAAAGCGTTACAGTAGGGCGATTGGATGACGAACTCGGCCTGCGTGTTGATAGCCCCAAGAATGAGGTTGTACAGATCCTTGTCTTTCTTTGCGAGAGCTTGGTAGCCCGAGAGCTGGTTTGTCGAGTCGCGCAGCCATTCTGCATTGATGTCGCCCGTCACAACGAAGGTTTGGGCCCCCTGCCATTGGGCGCTGTCTCTCCTGGTCTTTCTGGAGACTGCCGAGGTGGATGTGCCGTTGGTGTGCCACCGGATGGTAGTGTCCAGGGTGTTAGGGAAAGCGTTGCGGAATAGCTGGGCCATGTCCTTGTCAACCATGCGAGAGGTGACATCTTCGATGACCTGTTCCACTGCAGACGAGGCGAAGGTCCGGCATTCTACTGCCGGTCGCTGGAAGGGGAGATTCAGAGGACCGCCGCTGTATGGGGCACTGAAGCAGAGGAAGGATATTAGTAACTTGATGCACAGAATATGCCAATGGATTTAACCCTTACTGTCCCGTTGCTGAATAAGAGGTGTAGTCTGGACAAGCTCGCCGCAGAATGGACGGTTCATCACGACCTGTCACTCCCCTTGCACCCAAGCTGGCTGCGAGGGTGACGACCAGCGACAACGAGCGCATCGCGACGGCTGAGTAGCGGTTCTGTGGTTAGAATTAAGGTTATTTTGTAAGAACAGATGGACGAGCCGGTGTCCATTGACCGTTCAAGGGGAAAAAGGGGCGCGACGGCATGTTTTAAAGCCAGCGGGTTGGAGGATTCACGGGATGGCAGGGGAAGGAAGGAAGGCAGTTGGGCGGAATGCGGGGAAGATTGCAAGCACCCGATGATGATCCCCCGGATTGCTGCATGATTTTCCACCCATCATGCCAGTCTCTCCTCCTTGCTGAATGCCATCATCCGTCCTGAATACGAACACCTAAAAGCACTTTATTTTATTGCATTCTATCCACTATCCAGTTGCAACTAATCTGAAGACCTCGTCATTACCTCAGCTATACATATTAGCCGGCTTTCAGACGCACCGATCGGCAAACGATTGAATGATCCCCTCGTTGCTCGCCTCATATGTTCTCAGATTGACCTTCCCATCATATAGCACAGTATTCGCCTGGACAAATTTCCACGGTGCGTCTGGCTTGGACACCACAATCTCCCTCCAGACCTCGGACATACCATCAACAGTGCTGAGGGGCTCATAAAGAGCCTTGCAAGGGGCAACATCCGCAGTGCAACGCCATACATGAATTTTATGAAGCATACGGCCGATGGAAGCCTTACCATGCGAGATCCTGCTACGGTCAACGCGCACATGAAGCGTCCCTGTAGCTCGATCACATTCGATCCACATGAGCCCATCGGCATCGCGCAGTAAGTGTGTGAAAATCGCGTACTCCGCCTGAGTTAAAGTTAGTGCTCTGTACTTTCAATTGCGAGAATCTTGGGGAATCGTACATTTGCGTGTGGGCTACCCCATGCTTGCTTCTTCACATCGAATGCCTGAAGGGCACACAGACCCACCACTCCAACATGGAGATACAAGTTGTAGATGACTAGGAAGTGTTAGTCAGGTATGTTCGAGACCGGGGATGTTAACCACTCACAATCTTCTGCTCTGATACCGCTGTGGTCATCATAGCCGAACATGGAGAGCATGTCTTTCTCGACGTCAAGGTAGTAGGATATGAGCATTGCTCTGCACTCCTCGACACTCCCCGCCAGCTTCTCAAATACGCTGGTCCATGTTTGTCCCGGTCGATACCACGACTCAACGGGCCGACCAGTAAGTGTGTTGACAGGCGGGCACGCCGGGTCGAAGTTGTAAACGCCTGGTGAAGACTCCGCCAGAAGCTTGCCGGTTCTATGACCAAGGAGCTCGTGGATGGAGGTAGTAATGAATCGGATGATGTGGTTTACCCTCTTGAATCTTTGGGCTTCCGTGGGATGGACCCAGTGGAATGGGCGATTTGGGTCTGCATTAGCGCTCATCCGGTTCGCATACACAATGTTCTTGAACCCATTGGTCTCGCGGATGTCGTTGTACTGAACGGTGTTAAGGGTCAGCGGTATAACGGTCAGTCAGAGGACATACTTACATTGGGAAGACTGGAAGCTTCCCAGACATTACTGCAGAGGAATGCAAGTGCTATCACTCATAATAAGCAATGGTCGTAATAGTATCTAGTGGCCGGGCAACATACCATGGACAATCGAGAAACTCGGGGTCTTGAATACGTCTTTCTCAAACGGGCCTTTGCCATCGTTGACCTCAGCCACTGCCCAAGGAAGAGTCCGCATCAACTTGGCCGAATTTTCCACCAATTCTGTCAACTTAGCAGTCTGCTGAGAATCAGAAATACCAACAACGCCCCTCCACTCGCACCTCACTCCGTACGGGTCTCTGTAAGGTTCAATAAAACCAAAAATGCTTTCGACCCTGGGGCTATAGTCCTCCAACCAATGCTTCATGGCCCGGCGATATCCCTCCAAGGTTCCCCTGACAAAGCTTCCAAGATAATGATGAATACATTATTTTTGCGTTTCATTGGCTGCGAAGGGAAGGGCCTGTATCAAATGATCATTTATCTTGATCATCTCTGCTTGGTGGTCACCGCGCTCAAACCGAACAGTGGCATCACCCAGTGGCTGATCGCCACCACCTTGCTGGAGAATGTCGAAGAAAGGACCTGACCCTCCGAAGCGCTTTTCCTGGTCAGACTCTTTTATCAAAGAAGCCTGCAAGATACTGTAAACAACATGATCGCCGTCTACACTCTTTCGGATCCGGGTTTTCTCCGGCTTAAGCCCATGCCTTTCCATGACACGAGCAACGGCAGCAATCTCGTCCTTGGTTCTCTCCGCCGCACCAGGATAATAGGCTGGGTTTGAGAGTCCCAGTGTGGCGGGGGTGGTGGACAACATGGGTTCAATCACTTTCTCCAGTGCCTCGGTGGTAGCCGGCGAGATGCTGGCCATTATGCGTAGAGAGTCAGCAGACACCCTGGGTACAATCTTTCGATCTCTTTCTCCCTGTACCATAGAAGTTATCATAGAAGTCAATAACTGTATCAAAATTGCGAAGAATGGGTATTGCATACACAGAAGTTGTTCAACTTGGACGGAAACGTCCCAGCATAGTCTAAAAAGCTATTCACTTCTTCGACGGACACTTCGAATTGCTGAGAAAGCTTGGTCCATTCTCCTTGACAAGCCTTGTGTAACTCCATAATAAAGTCGAAGATACCTGTGCCCTCAGGTGAAGTTTGACGCATGATAATTCTGCTACCGGCCCAGGCAGCCTGGGAGAGGTGATGAGCATATAGCTTCTCCTTATCGGTAAGGCCATCAAACACGTCCTTGATCGAGAACTGATATGTAGTCACCTGTCCGCAAGACAAAGCTGATGAGTCCATTTTGTAGTAGTGTATGAAGTGTATGTGGATGTTGAAGATTGGAATAAAGTGCTGTGATGTTCAGGAAATTCCAACGACGGGGTTAATATTTATTTCCAAAATATTGTAAAGGATGAGTATTATAATGCGAGATAAGACTGACATCAGAATTCACCTGCACGTTCCTATCAAAGTGTTATACAGCCCTCTGCAGTTAAGCAGTTCCGTGTTCTGATTCCCTCAAGCTTGAAAGACCTTATAGGCCAATACACCCATCAAAGCTGTTACATCGGGGTCTTTCTATGCATAGCAACCGCCATTGGTCCCCTTATCGATCAAAATATCGGCTATAAGCATCTTAATAAAGGTAGATTCCTGATGGTGGGTTTCGTGTTTCAAAGCATCGAATATCAGCGTATAAACCGGAGACTTTATTATTCATAGTGTCCAGTTATCTTCATTCCAAAGAGACTCAATAACACTACGAAGCAATGGTCCACAGGAGAGTGTCTTGGTTGAGAGGGAAGAGTCCGGTTCCACAAGAACTTCCTGTCAGGCCACGGAAGGTTTCCCACTTATGTCAATGACCCCTCTGAATACTCGAGGGTATGAATACAGGCACAGACTTTCACTCTACATACAAATTTAAGAGAGATCGTCTACCCACGTCGGCGAATGCATGGTTATCACCTGTACACATGACGTTGCGTATTTCTACCCGGCGCTGCTTAGTCCTCTGAGGCGGACTGGCCAAGGTCGTGTGGGACGAACGTCAACTTATCTGGGATTCGCTTTCCATGATAGACGACAATGCAACCACAGAAAAGCAGGCATTTTTTAAATTATCCAGTGACTCCCCAAAGCACCGATCCTGCGAGGGCCTATGTAATAGGTGGCTAATTATCCCATTCATCTTGCTAGATGGCAGTGTATGGGTTCAAAGGCAAAGCCGAGACGAAATATGGGCAACTCTGGGATTTCAGTATCCGCTACACGGTCCGATTTGGGCCAGAGCCTCACTATTTTCTGCACGTCGCAGTAGCTCAACTGAGAAAGGGTATGAATGACTTTTCACTTAAGAGTGAGTGTGAAATAGAGGAGAGCTATCTGCCAGATAGCGTCAGTCAGCGAGATTATCTTCGTGACGCTGTTTTGTCTCTGACAGCCGAAGCGAGCTCCATTGGGCCTCAGGCTGATTAGGTCCTTCTTTACACAACCATATCGTGCAGCCGAAGGGGAATTTGAGAAGTCCCGGACGCATATTTGAGAAGCTGAGCATTCCTCCAAAATTGGGCTGTCATGATGATTTGTCTTGATATCGAGCCACATTACTCGATCCACTTACAATGACGAGATTATGACCATCTAATCTTGATGTGAGAGATTGTCATCCAACCTCTAGGTTCAGGCTAGCCATGTAAATGGCGAGCAGCGTTGAAAGACGCTAGAGATCTTAGGGGCATGGTACAGCTCTGCATGCCTTTGGTGCCCAACAGGGATATTCTACCCCATCATTAATAGCTTTGTAAGTCAGGCTCAATAGCATTTCTCTAGTTCTCAAAACTAGGATAGCCAGTAAGATATTTGAATAAATTGCTAGGACGACATATAATGAGATCGAATAAACCATAGTGAGATGAGACAAGAAGAGAAGAGAGAAATAGAGGAGCCGGAGGGAGATATGTGTGGGGTAGTAGAGGGCAGGAAAAGCGCGCATTGATTAGCTGCATCACCACCACGCACATGACAATACTGAATCGTGGGGAATAAAAGGGTGATCTATCCTACCTAACTCTGCATATCGCTCACCATCCTCTGCTCTGTTACAAGCTGTTCCAAAATGAATCCTGCAGCTATTGCAAAGGGACTCATCACGTTCGCGAACCTTGAATTGTATAACAAAGCTTGCATCACGTTTCCCCCACCTCCAGATTATGTACTGCCAAAGGAGGACATTGCTATCCAAGTTTTGGAGAATGTGCTCAACAAGGTAGTTTTCGTCGGCGAAGAGTACAGCACTGTTTTTGTCAACTCCCAGATCCCCCCGCACGAGAACTCCAGCTGGCAGGCCGATCTAGCTATCAACTATCTGACGGAAGAGCGAAAACTCCGGATCTTATGCTTCATCGAGGGTAAACGTACCTCGAGACGTCAGAGTTATATCACGAAGGCGGTTGAGGAAGAAGCTCTAGACTATTGCAAAGAGTTTCTTGTGGGCAATGCAACGAGTGCCAGTTTTGTATATGCCGGTACACTTGTTGGTGTGCATTTACGGTTATGGATTGTCCACCGTGAAGACATGAGCCTTACGCCCTTGTGGGGGTCTCCATATCTGGGAAGCAACGAGGATTACAGGGATCTGGGCGTTGATTCGCATGGACAGGAAATCCTAGAGGCCTTTCATGTGATGATCCGTGTCGCACCGCAGCCGTGGTTTGGATCTAGTAAAACTGGAGTGATACCATCATATAGAGTGGGGGCCATTCAATTACCAAGGATCGATCGGCCGGACATCTCTCCACAGTCCGCGCCTCTCCTGCCCAGCGTCTCAGTTGATCCTGGAATCCCAGGGCCTCCAGCTGGCTATGTGAGAGTAACCAAGTTCCTGATGACTACCGACAGCTATGCATGGATGACTTCCCTAGGGACAACCAGCTCTGGTAGAGCTAGCGAGTGGGCGGTCGAGCGGGGGTACCTCCTAAACCAAGCAAGACACCTTTATGCTGATAGCGCGACGGAGAATGTCCCTATCGCACTGTGACAAGCAAATTATTCTTGAGCATTCGGCGAGGGTCTGAAAGGCTGTATTGTAGTGATATATAGGCAAAAAAATCTAGGACGATGTCCTGTTAGATGCGGGGTTCAGTGGTGATTAGTAAAAAACAAGAGGGCGATCAAGGGATCAAGGGGCATGCATCCGATCCCCCCAAGGCGGTAAGTACCATCAAACCCAAGGTAACTACGGAGGACATGAGCTCAAATCCTGGTGGCCATCTGAATTCTGGGATTGATGTATCAGATGGCAGACGAGTCTCGGGTCTGGCTTCAATACTATATACTCTAAACATTTGGACTGTTCAATACATCGCCGAAAGATGGACGTCTCAACAGAACCAGCCCGTCGCTATACAAGATCTCCGCATTGTCTATTGTGTGGTGAAAGGTTTACACCAGATACACACTTCCGTTCCGGTATGATTCTTCAAATCCGGTGCCGTCCTACAGCTGATATTGTGCAGTCGTCTTGTCAAAAACAGATCAGCACCCAGTTCTAACTCGGTCGATAAGTTTTCGAGGAAAAGGGGGAATAATTCACCTGCAAGACCTCAATGTTGAGATCCATAGCAACCCGCGTCTGAAATCCGCAAATGCCTTCTCCGTGCACAGTCTCTGCTGGGCGGCCCTTGTCGGTCAACCCAGCGTCCACAAACTTTATGATTTGGGTCGCGCCATGACGCCACTCACTTGGACAGGACTTCCACAAAGCCTTTACAACAATCGTCTAGTCCTGTCAAAATCAATTTATAGGTTAGATGCAGAAATACGCCAAAACAATGATGAAGATAATACCCTGTGGAGGCTATTACAGAGATGCGGGAGTCTTCCCACTGAGCTGGTTGCTATCATATGGGGACTCATTGACCCTAGTCCTGTCCGGTGCTTGCTTGCACTATGGGCTGCAGATGGTTACTGGACAAAGAGCTCTTCTGCGCCAAATAGTGGTAGTGTATATCTTGTTGGAAATATCTTCATCTATTTCACGCGCGTCTTAGACGGGACGTATATATGCGGCATTCGTCAAAGAGACATACTATATGGACATGAGAGCAAAAACTCTGTGGAAGTCTCTGCTCCGGTATCCATGGAAGGCTTGACATTTAGTTTGGGACCTTATGGGCTTCGGAGCATACGATTTCTTTCAGATACTGGGACCCATCACAAGAGTATAGGAGGTGCAGCAACAATGGATACTGAGTTTATCGGTGTTATTTATCCTCAACCAGGAGCGCCACTTCAGTTGAACATTGAGTGGGATGTATGACAAGCCTTCACGACTGATTCTATTAAGTGAAACTGATAAGCAGAACAGGCTCTTAAGATTGCGCGCATCAGTTGCCCCAACAACTTGGAGTTCGGTCATAATTTTCTATGGGAAACTCAGCTACCGTGGACTGAGATATACCCCCCTTCTGAGAGGTCATTTTATGATTGGCCGCGACATTGGGACTTCACAATAAATCCTCAAAGATTTATGGCGTATATCCCGTTACACAGAGATGGATTTCACCTATATGGCCTCACTGCGTTTTGCTCCAGCAAGGGTCTCATTGGCTTGGGAACTCATTTTCGCTCACGCTCACACTCGACCACGTCATACTGGTATGGGAACCAGAAGGGCTGCCTCGTCCATGCCCAATTTGGACCTTCCGAGACTGTGAGCTTGATTTCCGTGTATTGGCATCCATATGATCGACTTTCGAAACCTTACTTTGCAGTATGTTAACCAATCATGGGTCATATTTGAGCTAATGAGAGATGTAGATTACAACAAACAAGAAGAGGACCCTTTTTCTTGGACCATGCTTTACGTCTGTTGAAGTTGGCTCGAAAAACATATATGACGCAAGAGATGGTGGCCTCATGGGGCTATACTATGATAAATCTCTAGGCATCAGTGGCTTCACTAGCTTGGGCACTGTTTGTCGTCGTCTACGCGATTCCTCTGTGAAGCAAATACCAGACCGTTCTATACCACAAACGCCCCAACATTCAAACACGATGAATCTGTCAAGCACGTCCATTTTCGAGGGCTTCACCTCCAAAGCCTCACTAATCAATATCCAAACACTGAAAGCCTGCTATATCGGACCTCGTTGTAAAGGCATGCTTCTTATATACGATGACGATACCAGGTGCATTTTAGGTCAATGGTATGAAGGTACATCTTCCCAGCCTGATGATATACGAGAGCTCTATTTTGAGAGCAACGATGTGCTCAGATTCTATTTTATGCAAAACAACGGCAACCAAATTCTCAACCGGATTGAAACCTCGCCACAGGTTTCTTCTCCGGAGGAAAGTGAACTGTTTGTGGATTTCAAATATGGGGTGAGTCGATGAGATACCTACCAGCCTACCTCAACCGAGCTGATCAAACTAGGATGATATCATTTGGCTTTTCTCAGAATACACCGACACCATTTTTGGTGGGTAGAATTATAAACACCTTGCTATACCTGTCCGAAATCCCGCTAGCATAAGTGTGGAAGTCCCTGAACCTGATATCTCATTTTTGTTCCATTACAATACGATACTCACCGAATAGACATCCTTGGGAGGCAGAACAGAAAAAGACAATAATGTGGAGTATGTAAGTATCAGTAGGGATTCTCCTCGAATGAAAGCAGCAAGAATAATTATCTAGAAGGTCGTTTTTGTATAGCCCTTAGCATGAGAACACTCCGTAAAAGAATGTGCCTTCAATCTCCACCAAGAAACCCGACTTGGAGTCCTCAACCTCGACCTTCCCTATTGACCAACCCCAACTATCCTCCTCGCCACACATCATACCATCCCTCCAACCTCCCACCTCTCCATCCCTCCACCCTTCCCCAGACCACGAAGCCATCATATAGTTACCCTCCCACGTGATTACGCCTCAGGCACCCATTCCCAGTCCTCAACCCACACATAATAACATCACCATTACACCCCCCAGCACCCCCAACTACCAAAAACCCCCTAACCCCCCCTCAAATGGACTCGAACGACCATCTCCCAGACCAAAACCACAACCAAACACCTCCCCACAACACCACCACCCCCAAACCTCAAACCGACACCAAAACCCACCCCAAAACCCTCTATCCCCTTCCAAACACCCCCCAAAAAGAAAACTTTCCCTGCGCGGACTCAAACCGCGGCCCTCTCCTAAGAATAAACCTAAGAATAGGCGGAGCACTCTACCACTGAGCTACAGGGGATGGATGATGTTGAAGGATAAGGACTGGGTGTTGGTGAAATGGGTCCATACCCTTGGTACTCCGTACAGACAGGGGAAGGAAGGGCTTTTGTCTAGAGTTTGATTTGATCCAAGTAGAATGGTAGAAGTAGAGTGTTCTATAAGAATCTCATAGGGGGCTTTGGGTAGGAGATTGAGTAATTGGAATTGTAGATAGGATGGATGTATATGGGGTGCAGCGATGGGATATAGATACCATGCGTGGTGGATCCGACCGGTGGAGAGGGACCCACATTGGTAACAGCGCCCGTTATACCCACCTTTTAGTGGTCTTTTGTTGCTGAGGGGCTCCACTTAGTGGGACTTGGGTGCAGAGCCTCATTGAGGGTATATCAACTCATTCGAATCAAACTGGGAGCGCTCTAGCACTGGGTTATGGTTATCTAGGGGGCTGTAAAGTGGGCTGATTTGTAGGTGAGTTGATTTGTAAGTGAGTTGATGAAGGCTTTGTAAGAATGGGATAACTGTAGGATGATTTATCGATGAACTATAGGATTTTTCTAGATGATTCTACTGTGCTATCTGCTGTGCTAGTTGACTGTATAGTATAGGGGCGTGCAGAAAAAGATGCCTCTGCGCGGATTCGAACCGCGGCCCTCCCCTAACAATAGTCCTAAGAATAAGTGGGGCGTTCTACCGCTGAGCTACAGGAGGCTTGTATTTAGGAAAGGAACACAGGTTAGATGTTCACCGATGGTTCGTGAAATAATTGACTGCCTGAGCAGGCAAAAAGGTTTGCAATTAGTTTGAGCCGAGAATCATGGTCGGCACTTGGATAGCTGATTTCACTGAATAAACTGCTGCAATGCTAACTAGCGTATGAGGGTGCGATCATGATAGCTATGTCCATGTAAGACATATGGTCGTCAGGCATACAGAACCTGACGCAAGAGAGAACCTGAAAGAGATTGATGGCGTTCATTTCTTTGAAAAAAAGGACATGATGTTGCCCTGTCCTGGTTTCGCTGCCGACTTAGCCTTGGGCGCACTAGCAACCGGCTTCTTCTTCGGAGGCGGTGCCGGCTCATCCTCCGAGAATGACTCCCAGCTCGGCTCCTCAATGGTCACTAGAAGTAATCAAATTAGTAGCCGTCATGTATAGGTAGAAAGAATGATCTCACCAAGGTAGCCTTCCTCGTCCTTAACCGTCTTCTTCTTCAAGATTTGGCGCTTGCCTCTGCGACGGCCGCCTCCAACGGTGACCTCCTCCTTCAGTTCAGCCTGCTTCGGCGGAGGCTCGTCGATGGGGTTTGACTCTTCCGGCGATGGCGCAGCATCGGGCATTTCTTCATCTTCATCTTCATCTGATATAGGTCAGAGACGGTCACAGATCACCAGAAGGACCAAACGTACCCTCTTCTTCCATCATCTTCCTGAGCTTCTCTTCACGCTCTTTCCGTGATTCGCGAGTGCCGGCGGGCGCAGACTTCCCTGAGTCTGGGAAGAGCTCTTCGGGCTCTTCATCCTCGTCCGATGCGTCCCCTAGTACCACTGTTGCATATTAGCCTCCGTGTATGCCCGAAAGGGGGTGAGCACTAACCATCTTCAGCGCCACTGGGTTCGACCTAGTAATTGTCAGCTACTTCACATCCAATAATCGAGCTTCATTGTACTGACCGATTCGGCCGCAGAAGGAGCTGGTGTTGCTGATTCCTCCTTCTTCTGTTTCGGCTTCGCCTTTGCGAAGGAACTAAAGATACTGCCCTTCTGTTTGGGCGGGGCTGTCTTCTCAGTAGGCTTGGTAGATACTGGGGTCTCTTCGCGTTTAGTCGATGGCTCAACCTTTGGGGCTTTCTCCTCAGGTTCTGTCTTTGGATGGGGTGGCTCTTCGTTTTTGATAGGACGTTTAGCCGGTATCGTCGTCTTGGGTGGTGCTGGAGCGGCGGGGACAGGCGGCCGACCACCGGTTCTTCTCTATTGGTACCGATCGTATTAGAATAGCAATTGTATGGAATAGCACCGCAGCTCTTACCCTGACATTATTACCCTGAATCATGCCCCAAGATGTGCCGTATTCCAAGGGATCCTCCTGAGCATGGTTGGCCACCATTTCCCCAGCCACATCCGTCAAGACATTGAGATCCTGAAGCACGGTAGGTTGAAGACTGTAGACATATAACGATGAGATGGTCTCGAACGTCGATTTGGCATCTGCGGTTTATGTTAGAGAGTCCAAATTTTGCCCAATTCTAATATAGCAATTTAATTTACCCTCCAAGTCCTCTTCGCGCACCAGCAAAACCGAGGAGATCGCAATTTCATCCGTGACAGCGTCCTGGTTCGGCATCGAGCTGCTCACGTACGGACTACTCTGCGGAATTCCATTGCTATCGTCGAAACTGTCGAGGACCCCATTTGTTGCAGATGTTAGCTCTGGTGCTTTCTGGACTCCAGTGATAATGTAGGTCGCATTGACGCTGTTCGGTTTCTTGTTGTTCTCGTTATGGTGGAAATCGTAAAGCATCCTTTGCAGGTTGCAATTAGGAAGAGTCAAAGATAAAGCTGTTGCCACTGAATAGAGACATACTGCTTAGCCAATGTGCTATGAACCCGAAGAGCTCGACCTAAGGATCGGTAGGTGACCTGTAGCATGCGCAGATTGTTTGTTAGTCGATGCTGACAATGAGCTTGAAGAAAACGAGCGGGCTGACTTACCGTCCGTCGCTCATTGAGGACATTCTCGGCCAAATACCTCTTATAATCTGCGATGGCCATTCTGACAGCAGCCTCCAATTGTGCGGTGGAAATTGTGGGATCAGAGCAGCTGCGATGCGGAGTAGACAGGACGACGCGTGCTCAACCACTTTACGCGTATCAGTCAGCGGGTCTTGGCGTCGCAGCTCTTCTCCGATCCATCATAATAATCATTGCCAGCCCGCAATCACAACCCCAGGGAGACCCCTCACCTCGCCTCTCTCAGAATAATTCGCTGCCCATCCGATGCCCCCTCGCTAGCGCTATCACCCGATATATCCACTCTATGGAGCAGACCTTCGACCTCCCCGACTCGACCGATTGGCTTGACACGCCACTGTCTCTCGTCGCGCCCCTCGAGTCCTCCCTCCGATGCCAGGTCTGCAAGGATTTCTTCGACAATCCGGTGATCACATCATGCAGTCATACCTTCTGCTCGCTTTGCATTCGACGGTGTTTGAGCACAGAAGGGAAATGCCCCGCGTGTCGGAGCTCGGATCAGGAATTGAAGTTGCGGCGAAATTGGGCAGTCCAGGAACTGGTGGAGGCGTTCCAGAACGCTAGGCCTAGTGTTTTGGGTTTGGCAAAGAAGGCTGCTGCGCAGGAGAAAGGTCTTTGTGACGGCGAGGTAGAGGGGCCAGCATCGAAGAAGAGGAAGATTGAGTCGTCAGAAGAATCTGCGGCTACGGGCTCGGAGGGCGTGAGGACTCGATCGCAAACCCGGGGGGTGGGCTCTCAAGAGGACCCGGTTGCGATTGAGGTGATTGAGGACAGTAACGATGAGGAATACATCCCGGGTATGTGAGATTGTTGGTCCTCCTCCGTCGCGTGCTAATGGCATTCAGATGATGGGCTGGTCGCGTGCCCCATCTGCAAACGGAGGATGAAGAATGAAGCCGTATTCCGACATCTAGATAGCTGCACCGGAGAAGCAGCGCCGCCGAAACAGTTAAATTTTGGGTGAGGCGGTTCTACAGCGTACGTCGACAGGGTGGCATCTGACTAGAAGTACAGCTCGTTACAGCCTATGTCGCCGGCATCGCGGAAATCGAAAGATGTCATGAACAGGCCACCCGAAAGACTCCCGATCATAAATTATTCTCTATTGAAAGACACTGTGCTCCGGAAAAAGTTGAGAGATTTGGGTATACCGAACATGGGCCCGCGCCCCCTCCTGCAACGGCGTCACACCGAGTGGATGAATTTATGGAATGCGAACTGCGACTCCAAAACGCCCAAGTCCAAACGAGAATTGCTGCGAGAACTGGATATATGGGAGCGAACGCAAGGAGGCCAAGCACAGCCGTCAGGGGACATTACCGATACCGTGATGCGCAAAGACTTTGATGCGACGGCATGGTCAACGAATCATGAAGATGACTTCAAGCGGCTGATCGCGAATGCGCGAAAGAAAACCGAGGCTCACGTGCGCACGACGATATCGCCGGCCTCTGCAGGCGCGAGCCAGCCTCCCACTGTGCCCATTGTCGAAGCCACCATCGCAACAGAAGATGCCCAACCCGTGGAGAAGTTGCCTGTAGAAGACAAACCCGTAAGCGTCGGAGAGAACGAAGTGCAGATATCTCAGGAGCCGAGCGACATGCACATGAGCAATGCGCACAGCTAATGGCGCCCCCAATACTGCGCCGAGAATATGCGGCTTGCGCAGGCTCCCATGTCTGTGGAGGGTTGTTCTGGCGTGACGCATTAAGCAGTGGCTCTAGGACCTTCTTCGACAGACATCCGCGATAGCCGTTCTTCTAACTCTGAATTGACAGCTTGCTCCCCTGCCGCTGTGCGTGCAGCTTCTTTGGCGCGCTGCTCGAGATTGTCCAATTCGGCGAGCTTCTTGCGGGTCTCTTCCGCCTCTTTCTCCTCCATCTCCTGCCGCTCCCTGTTTTCCAATTCCTCCAGCTCGTCGTCGATCTCAGTCTCATCAATCTGCGGGCCAGCCTCGTTCATGATGTTTCCTACCTCGTCCACCTTGGACATCTCTTCCCGCAACTCTTCCACCACATCCTCGACCCTCGCGGCACCGCCAATCTGAGTATGCAAGCCACGAAGGGCCCCGGTGCTTGCCTCCATCACCTTCACGAATTGAACCTGGTCCGTGGCCTGCTCAATCTTGGAATAGACTTCTTCGAGCTGCATCAGAGTATCCAGCCTCTGCTTTAGGTTATGCTCTGCCAGCTTCTTGGAGCGCACGGCCGATAGCGCAGAAACACGATTCTTATTCTGCAGCGCCATTTTGGCAGTCGAATTGAGTTCGACGATCTTGTTTTCCAGATTTTCTACCTGTTTAGTCATAGTCGACATAAGCGTTTTGATAGAGGCAACGGCGGTATCCTGCTCTGTGATATCTTTGGGAGCATCACTGGTTCTGAACTTGATAGTCTGCATCACGATTAGCGTCTTGCATTGGATAAAAGTACGAAGTAGACATACCTTGCCATCATACGCAATCGCACCACTGTCGCGAGACAGATACAACAATAGGACATCCATATCCGCGTCGGACAGCCGGCTTCCCTCCTCCAAGACACCCGAAAACTCACTCACAAAGCTCTCCTTAGAGTAGACCAAATCCGTCTTAGACGGGTTGTGCCCCGTAGCCTTCTTAACGACGCGATCGGCAGCTTCCTACACCAACTGTCAGCCTGTATATCCCAGCTAACCCACCACAAACAGCGAACCTACCTTCAGATTCTTCACCAAAACCAACTCCTGGGCCTGCAACCTCGGCGTCGCCTCCTCAGACCCCACAACCACACCTTTCAACTGCTTCATACCCCAGCTCATCACAGCCCACGGACTCAACACCGACGTATCTATCCCCCACTGCGGTTTCCTCAAACTGGCCGGATTACTCCGGTACAGGTGCAGCGGCACCATAGTGCGATTCCTCGTGGCGTCATCCTAACAGGAATCACTCATTAGCACCTACATCTCCACGCATTTATATCCGAGACATACAAAAACCGCACCCAACGCCACCGGCCGTCCGCACTCGGGGATCTCCAAATCTCGTAACAAGGATTCATCTGCTCTCAAGACCAGGTGATTCGTCTTCTGTGCTGAGGGATGTCCGTGTGATGATGAGGAAATGATATAGCCATGTCTTGCGGCGGAGGCCAGGGCGTGTTCCCAGGCTGCGACGTTGGTTGTGTATCCCTCGGGGTTGGTTTTGCGGTGGATGGGGAAGTCGGAATAGAGAGAGGGGAGGCGGTTTCTATAGTGGGAGGTGGTTAGTGGGGTTGTATTTTAGATGTGGGGAGGAGGGGGTGTGGGACGGACTTTCTGAAGGAATCCTGCGAGAGGATGTATTGGAGGAGGGTAGGCATTGTGGTTGTTGTGGTGAGGTGGGAGTGTGAATGAGGTGTAGTTAAGGGTGAAGGTGCTGGGTGGAATTTGTTCAAAAATATCTGGTGTAGATATAATATATTATAGATTAGATTGGGCAGAAAAGGAAGTGTACTCCCTACTGCTGTAGGCTGGTAGCCCCGGATGCCTGCGTGCTGCTGAGATGGGTAGATCTGATGTCAATAAATGGGCCAGCTCGTCCTCTAGCGCTGGTTGTTGGGGAGGTCACCCGCAGGGATCTTATCGATAAGATCGGGTCACGTGTGAGATTATTCCTTGGCGCTATCATACATACTACTGCGGTATATCGTCGATATAGAAAGGTGGATAATTCGTACAAGAAACATTAAATTGACAAATGTCTATGATGTTGTATAAACCCCATTCGCCCTTGGGACCCTCATTGCATCCTAAGCTCGTTCGAAATCGTCATTGGCTGCATTGTCATTATCCCTCGTGCCTTGTGCCGGACCGAGACCCCCCGAGTCCAACGGATTGGCGATCAAGGATTTGCGATTCATGCGTCTGTCCAGCTTTTCGCTGGTTTCTTCTGTGCCGAGTGCCTCGGCAGTGGCTGCCTCGTCTCTTGTGTCCAGCCCTCTGGCTTCTAGGTATTCGACCTTGACAGCATGTCGCAGGTTGTCGAAGAAGGTCTGCATCTCGGGCATCGGGAATGTTCCATCGGCATCCAGCACATCTGCATATAGCCGCTCCGCCTCCTCGAGCGCTGCTGATGCTAGCGACGGCTTCCCAAGGCGAAGCCACATGTCAGCAGCGAAGACACTCCACATTCCTGCTTTTCTGCGTCGAGAACCCCATTTCAATCCGCTCACTGGCGCCCTTGCGGCATAGCATGCCGATACCCGTTCACTGAAGAGGCCCTGGCCGATGGAGCCGACTAACCCAAGGTCCATGGCCCGCATGGCCCATCGAGCGGCGCTTTCCACTGCCGAACCTCCGCGGGACTTCAATAGCTCCATGGCCAACGTAAGACACCGGAGAGCATTCGGCGTATCCGAACACCTCGTGAGATACGAATAGCAGGCAGTGTCAAACATCTGGTCAATTCCATCGAGCTTCATCTTTGTTCCCATTGCTGATGGATTTAACAGCATGCTTACGGCGCACATCTCGTAGGCACCGGCGTGATATTTCCATGCTTTGTCGTTCGCGTAGTCGGAGCGAAGGAGCTCATATGTAGACGCTGATAACTTCCAGTCCCGGAGCATGAATGCAAAGTCAGCCATTTTGCGCAGCACAGCTTCAGGGACATCCGGTCTGTAGTAGCCATGCGCGACATCGTAGTTTCCGCTAGCTCCCCCAGCCGTGAGACTGGAGCGTGAACTAGATCCAAAGCCAGCCCATCTGCGTGACATTGACATGAATCGCCCACTTATACCACGCCTACGGGAGGCCACCTGGTCGTTCCAGACAGCGACCCGGTTTTCCATAAACGGTATGACGGACTGGGCTACCAGTTCGCGGATGAACGCCTTGATCGCCATGATATCTGAATCGAAGAGGCAAAAACCGCTGGTATCCAAGTCCACCAAGGGCTCTGGTTATTGTTAGCGCTTGTGAGCTTGTGACATGAGGGGTTCAGTCCTACCGGCTCGGCCAGAAAGTCGTTCAGAAGGCGAGAGCCATTCGCAGTCGGGTACTTGAACACTGTCGTCATCGGTAACCACGCATTGATTGCTACGAAGCCTCAACAGGTGACAATGTAACCCAAAATGGCGTTTCATTTGGTCATATAACTTGGTCGATTCCGCAATATCATCCCGATCCTCATCATGAACAAGAACATAGTACCGGAGGTATTCCGTATGACACCAATCTGGCAGCCTCCTGGCTCCATTGCTTGTGTCTGCGTACAATTGCCTCAGAGTCTCCAGCGGTGCGGTATTGCGCGAACTAATGGCGATAACACTTGCCACTGGATGCCGGAATGTCTCATGCGGCGTGGCCGATGGTATCGATAGTAGTTGTCGTAGGAATAATTTATATAATGGAGATGTTGTAGGGAAGTTCAAGAAATCTTTTGGGCGCAACGATCCGCCCAGCGGATCGTCAGTCGAGCCCAGTTGCTTCTCCAACACATCCTCCACCTGTGCTAAGGAGGCGCTTCGCCCCGCGCTCGACTCGTTAGGGGTCAAGCTATTGCCAGCCAAATCCACAAAGCGAACCGCGTAGTCTTCCCAGCCACGACTTGCCCCCACACTGTCTCGGATGACGATCTTCCCAGGGACGTTCTCGCCGAACGGACGTATCAACTCCCAGAAGCCACCGGCAAAGCCTTTCTGTCGTACCAACTCATCGGTGTCAGCTGATGCGTAGACACCGACCACAGGGGAGAACGAGCGTATGACTAGCGATCGGATTTCCTCTGCACCATCGAATCGACCTTCCACCGGGGATCCTAGGGATGATCGGGCCAATTGGGGCGTCGACGACCGAAATGAAGGGGCACGGGGCGATGCGGACCTGATCGGGAGATCAGACGTCGTGGCGGTCAGGGGCGGGGTCGGAGACCGGATTCTCGAGTCTACCAGGTCTGCATCCAGGGACGGCGACGAGTCGCGGCGCTGATTTGGATATCTCGACTTAGATGCGACACGTGGAACGCCGGGCGAGAATGACGGCGGAGGCTTGACCGGAGCAGCATCTCCGGGCGATGTCATGGACTCCGAGTGGCGGGGGATGCGACGTTAACAAAAGTAGAAGTGACCCTAGAGCCCATGGACTAAGTGGGGAGAGATCCCACAGGAAGATAGATAGATTTGGGAGTGGTGAGGGTGCGAGTAAGAACGAATTGGAAGGAGAAGATGAAAGCTCGGGGGGAGATCCGGCGATGTTGTAGGGATGAGTGAAGCCAAGTCAGCGCGGGCGAATCCTAGAGCACAAGTCGGGCGCAAGTACGGCGTCCGTCGCAGCAGCCTATGTATGATGCAGGAGTTGGTGGGGAGGATACTAATTATCACAACGAAAGTTACCCAGTAGATAGATAGTCGACGGAGAGAACTTGAACTGAATCAGGCACAGCAAAGCTTAGTAGCCTTACCACTGGACAGCATCTCGCGGCGTGGTGCCTATTGTTGCTGATTGTTGACTTCCGACAAGGCGGTGATGATCGCCGGGGAAATCTGCCGGTCAATTGTTGTTGGCGCTGCTGTCCTGCGTTCTGCCCAGAGTGCTCTCTACCTGCATTTGTGCCACCATGCTGAGGATCTCATGACTCAATAGACTGTGCCTCTCACTGTGTCATTCTTCGTGACTCACTCGGGTATGGCTGTTACCCATGTTCAGAACAACCCTCTCCCACCTGCCTTATAAGCGCCGCCAATTCCGCCTGGCCGTCCCTCTCTCTCCGCCAACTGATGGTTCCGCCGCATCGAGGCCTCTTTTTCTTCGCAGAATTCCCCCGTTGATACCCCGTGCTTACATCCATAGCCCAAGGTCTCTATCCCCCTCGCAAAGCTCATCCATGAGCCATCGGAGAACCTCCAGCCCATCCCCTCAGCGAGCAAGCAAAAGACGGCGCATTGCTACACCTGCCCCGCACCAGGGCACCGTGGACACCATGACTCAACCAGAGTATACCCTTCCCATCATACAACTCACGCCACTTGAAAACACATTGAAAGCTCTTCTACTCGATGTTGCGGAATACATACGCGAAAAGGCGATTGGCGAAGGGCGCAGCGATGCAGAACTCACAGTGCTACGATTCACCGGAGGATGGGTGCGGGACAAGTTGCTAGGTGTTGGCAGTAACGACGTCGATGTCGGAATCAATAACATGACTGGCTACCAGTTTGGCTTGCTACTCAAGGAGTACATGGACATGCCCGAAAACTTGGAAAAGTACAAGCAAAAGAACCCGAACGGCGAGTTTAAGCACTCCATTGCAAGTCTACACAAAATCGAGGCGAATCCGGAGAAATCCAAGCATCTGGAGACGGTGACAACGAGAATCTTCGGCCTCGATATCGATCTGGTCAATCTACGAAAAGAAACTTACTCAGAAGATAGCCGAAACCCGCAGATGGAATTTGGGACGGCCCAAGAAGACGCGATGCGCCGAGATGCCACGATCAATGCGCTTTTCTATAACCTGAACGAGGATAAGGTTGAGGACTTGACTGGAAGAGGATTGGAGGACATGCAGAAACAGATCATTCGTACCCCGATGGAGCCGTACCAAACCTTCCAGGACGACCCGTTGCGCGTGTTGCGCTTGATTCGGTTTGCCAGTCGACTGGGCTATGATATCGACGAGGAGACACAGGCAGCGATGCGGAATGACTATATTGGTGAGGCACTCAAGCTCAAGATCAGCAGGGAACGTGTGGGCAAGGAGATAGAGAAAATGCTTCAAGGTTTGTGGTGTTGGTTTTCATATGCGTGCGCACTGGCTGACGATCTCAGGTCCTGACCCCCGCGGTGCACTGCAACTTATCGATCGACTTGGGCTATACCCGACCATATTTGCCAACCACCAGGATGGCGCGCAGGCGGATACCTCGTCATGGCCTCTGGGGTACAATGCGCTGGAGAGGATTGTTAACCCTCGTGATGACGACCCCAAGGCTATTATCCAACATGTGCGCGAATTTCTTATACGCGACAAGCTCGAAACCTACTATGCCTGGATGATTGCAGCATTTGCTCCATGGTCTAGTGTTCCGGCCCGCGTTGCGAAGGGACCTAAGGCGAAACCTTTGCCTGCTCGGACAGCAGAAGTCGCTCGAGACAGCCTCCGGTCCGATAACAAGACAATGGCAGTGATTGGTGATGCAGCATTTAACTGGCAGGCCATTACAGACGTCAAGAACTCTCTCCTTGTGGGAAGTATGGACGGAACGGCAGCAGAGGTGCGACAGCAGGTCGGACTGCACATCCGTTCATGGAAGAAAGATTGGAGGCTGTGTATTCTTCTTGCCATGCTCCAGGAAGTTATGAATGGAGGTGACTTTATTAAAGGTGAGAAACCCCATTTCACAGGGTATATATAAGAGGCGCAGTACTGATTTGACAACAGTGGTGGAAGCGTATGACCGTTTCATATCCTACATTGAAGAGCGGGACCTGCAGGATGTGTATGAGATGAAGCCACTCGTCAACGGGGGCGATATTGTGAAGGCTTTCGGTTGCAAGCCTGGGCCCTGGATGTCGATAGCCACGGATATGGTGGTCAAATGGCAGCTGTTGCATCCGGAGATCTCCGACAAGGAAAAAGCACTGGAAGAGCTGTCTCTTAGAAAAGAAGAACTAGGCATTGCTGCGAAGTAATAGAAATGCCGGGTGCCATTGTGGATTTGTCGTAGTCTTTGTGTTGTTCGATCCTATAGATAAAAGTCGTAATGGCCGTTGTTCGGCTCCCGTCACTTACCGCTCGACAAAATTGCCGACGGCGATGGATCTACTCGCAACTCTCTCATCGTAAATTGCCCGTGAGGCTCACCATCAATTACCCTCCTTTGTTTTCTTCCCACAATCGTGCGCTACGAATACTGCTGCTTAGTCGTAACTTGTAGCTACAAAAAATCCATGGAGGAGCTACGCACAGCGGCACGTGATGCCATCCACCGAGGTGGTGCTCGCATCCCAGACTCACTACTTGCCAACATCACCGTCCCTGAAGAGCTAGAGAGTTTATGGGACAACATCTCTCCTCAAACCAACATAGTAGACTCGACGGTTAGTTAAAGCTTCTTGCATCAGACTCAGGGGACTGACAAGTCCATGCAGACATCTGAAAACCTGTTCCTTGTTCGGGAATTCCTGCGACTCCGCAGCCCCAAAGAACTATCGGATTCCGATGAAAATGCAGCAAACCAAATCTATGCTTGGGCAAGTCGACTTGCACTTCCATCTGCAGTTTACGCAGAAACCTTCGAAGAGCACGGCGGTAGGAGACCCTGGGCCAGTTTCTCCCTCATGCTCAGATATACTGACTGGCCACAGAAAAGAAGGAGTCTCTTGTTCGTGAGGACAAGCTAAGATCGTCACTATCAATATCACTAATCTCAGCATTGGACTCTCTTCTACCAGTTTATAAAGCAGCAGATGTGCCAGACATCATCCTGGCACTGGCAAGCTTTACATCCGAAGCAGACCCGTGGACAACAGAAGAGTCTCGCGCAACCTCTACTGAACTACTAGAGAGATTCAACAAAGCAACACGCTCCACCCCCGACGCGTCTTTCTGGTCCATTCTTGAAGTCATCCTGAAAGAGCGAATCCGACCCCTCTTCACCAAGACCAGAAACCCGGCCATCACAGCAGCAGGTCGCAAAGACTTCCACCCCATCCCTCTGCCACGATTTGACATGAGCGTGCTCGACCCCGAGTCGAAGCCATGGCGAGCACACGACATCTACTCGGTCACTGTCCTCTCCTGGATAGTAGTCCAGTACCAGGTACCCCCACCCCCTCAACCCACCAACACAGACAAACACCACAACTAACACCCCCCAGCCTACGGACATCAAACGTCTCGAATCCCATTTCCCCCTCGTCGTCCCCCCAATCCTCGCCCTAATCGACGACGAAACCATGCCCTACAAAACCCTCGGCTGCACCCTACTCACCCACCTCCTCCACCCCATCCAAGCAACCCAATCCACCATCCTCCAACGAACCAACCTCTCCTCCGTCTTCACCGACGCCATCAAACCATGTCTTCTCTCCCTCCCTACCATCACCCCAGAAGACGACTCCATCCGGATCCTAAGCGCCGCCTATCCAGCCCTCCGCCTCCTATTAAAAACCAGCTACCTCGCCCCATCCACCACCACCACCACCAGCAAAGCCACCTACCAGACACACCTCACCCAAACCCTCCGCGAAAACCTCATCCCCTCCTTCCACCACATCAGCACCCTAACCCCCACAGACAACCAACAATCCGCTCTCGCCTCATTCCCGCACCCGCGTCTCTCCACTCTCCTTCTAACCCAAATCCACGATACTATCATCGACCTCTCCATCCACACAACGAAATATCCTCAAGAGATCATCCCCCTCATCTCAAACACATTATCGAATCCATTCGGAACCGCCCATCCACCTCTCCTTCTTGCAGGGGTGGCCGTCACAAGAGCGGTGATTCTGAATGCACACCCGAGGATATGGCGCTGGAGAGGCGAGATTCTTAGCGCGGTATGTAGGTGCTGGTTAGGTGTGATGGATGAGATTAGTGAACGGCAGAAGCAAAATAGTAAGGTTGGTGACGAGGATGTACTAGGGAAGTTGAAACTGGAGTTACAGGGAGTGGTGTATTTATTGCGTCTTGCGTTAGAGAATCCGGATGAGAAGATGCGTGGGGATGTGGGGGTGATGGAGGCAAAGGAGGGGTTTGGGAGCGAGGTAAAGGATTTGGTTGATGCGGAGGATGGGTTGAGGGAGTTGCTTTTGGGAGTGGTCGATGGGAGGGATGGGAAGTTCTTTGGGGTTTAGGAGTTTGGTGGGAGGAGATGGAGATATATGTGTAGTATAGTAAATGATGTGACTATAGATCTGGTTGGAGATATCAAGATATTGACGTATTGACGTATCGACTGTGCGTGCTATGCTATACTATCCTATGCTGAATGAATGAGTTTCCCTATGGTATCATATCATATCATATCATGTCATGTCATATCTGTCGTAACAATAAGAATAATAAGAATAACAATATAGAACTAGGCTCAATTACATATCCACACGCTGCTTAAAAAGACTCTTCCCCCGGAGCCATTGTCGGTACCGCTTATAGCGCTTCTTCTCATAATCCTCCGCGGCTACTGTGAGGCCACCTTCAGAGACCTCCAGGAATTCAGAGTAGTCGGCGAGGTTTTCCTCGGCGTTTGTTTCGAGGGTGGTCTCTTCGACGTTGCATTTGTTGGCGTATTCCAGTAGGTCTAGGCTGGACTCGTGTTCGCGAATGGAGGTGGCGGTTAGCTCGTCCTCGGAGGTGACGACGAGAGGGACCTTCAGTGGGTGGTTGATGTAACGTTCGTATTCTTCTGCTTCTGCGGCGGTGACGGAGGGGTTGAGTGAGTCGGTGACGAGCTGGCCGAGTGTCCATTGGGCGATTTGGGCTTTGCTGGGGGTGTTGGATTCCTGGGAAGATTGCATGGAACTGAAGGATTGGGGTAGTCCGAATGAGGTTGCTTTCATTATGCCCGCTGATGGGGGCAGTTTGTCGGCTGAGGGTGGTTGGTGGATCCAGTTGTAGCTTGACTGGGAGGTTGCGGTGCTGCCGAGCTGGGGGCGGCCTGATGGGTCGATGGAGGTCTTGAGAGGTTCCTGGATTTTGACACTGCGCGGGGGGTGTCGCTCCCGGTTGATCTGGTCGTGAGGGATCCGGGGAACAAATGGACTGATGTCGTAGGGTGCACTGGAGCCAGGCCGGAAGGGAAGATAACGGAGGGTTGAGTTCATCCTGTAAGAGAAAATCTTGGAGAACGATGACACCGCCAGCGGCCTGTAGTATTCGAGCCAGTAATCATCGTAGTGGGAGAGAGGCTCCTTGGGAGGTCGTGGAGGGGGTGGGAGTTCTTTCTCTTTCAGGTTGTCAGGAGTGTACCAGCAGATGTAGTTGGGTCGTTTCTTGTTGGACCAGGCTCGGGGGTCGGCATGGTGTAGGTAGTAGTCGGTTGACAAATCCCACAGCATGGGTTGACCTTGAGAGAAGATGTAATTGCCCAGGAACAGATTGTACGCTTCCTGGCGCTGGGCATCGAGGAAGGAATTATTGTAGTATCGTTTGAAGCTCTCCACCATGTCTCGGGAATGGCTGCTCCACTGATTGATTTTGCGGTAAGTGGCCATAGTATTGACCAGGTGCGAACCTCCATACTGGATCGCAATCGTATCACCGTGGTCGTGCCACATGTCGGTGAACAGGTTGACAGCATCGGTGTCGTACTCAACAGTTGTTCCGTCTATGATTCCCAGCGCGTGAAGCTGGTATCCCAGAGCGCGTTTTCCAATGACGAATTGAGCGGCATTCGTCCGGTCAAGGCAGTCGATGCAGTTTGTTCTCGCGATGCCATTCTGCAGTTGTAACCCAGACTCGGCATCGTATCCATTCTTGAAGAAGCCAGTCTTCGGAATAATCTCGCCCGCGATGTGTTCCAGGGTCCCAATCACGTCTTGGTCTCGGCTTTTCGCAGCACGACTCATATCCCAGGGCTGATAGATGATCTTCTTATCCTCCGGCAGAAACTGATTAAGGTATTGGATAGCATTGGTATATTCTTTGAGCAGCTTGGACTCTCGTGGTGTGCGTTCTCGTGACTTGATAAGGTTGAGGACATATACTGGCGCGCCGTATCGCTCAAAAAGGTTGTCAAAGTGCAGCGCGGCGGCGGAGTAAAACGGATCAACAAGGTTGAGCTCTATATCCGGCTTGGGTGAGACGCCTGAGTTTTCCTGCGTCCAGTACAAAGGGATACTTCCACGATGCTGCACGTAGGAGGTATACAAGGGGTTGGCGTAGAGATTCGGTCCGGGGGAGTGGAATGACGTGGCCGTCATCTCAGCCACGATCTGTTCAGTTTCGACATCATTTGCCACATAGCCCAGATCATTGGCGCCTCTCTTCAGGAATCGAGCTCCAGCGAAGAACCGCGAGCGACGCGCAATAATCGTGATGTAAACCAATCGCCCGTACACCGACATCTTGGCCTGCTCAACATAGCCATGAATGATGGGCAAACACCATTCCCAAGGGTTCTTCAGTGTCTCAAAGGCCGGTCCAAGAAGATGATGATTCCAAATAAACATCGTATTATAATTTTGCTGGAATTGTTTCGGATGCTCGTCCTGGTTGGCTTTGCGTTCCCGACAGATATTGCGCTGCAACGTGTGGGTAATATCATAAGAATAACTGAAGTAAAAGGACCGAGTCAGGTCAAGGTTGTTGAGAATAGCAATATATCGCGCCTCTTCGGGGTTCTTCTCGGGCCTGAGCCGAGACGAGCTCGATGTTGTCAGCGAGATGAGCTCCGTCCCATCGATCTGATAAACATAATGGCCACCGAGCATGGCCACCTGGCTTCTCTTGGTCACCAAGAGCATGTAATAGGCATCCGTGAATCGGATAAATCCAAGCAAAGCCCATGCGCTGCATTTGAGGTTCAGTCCACCCGAGCTTTTATTTCCATCATCGATTGTATCCAACAGCTGGCTCATCTCTCTCTTGCTGTACACGATGTCGTCCTCCGAGACACTCAGATCGCCTGATTCAGACGTCCGATCGATCTTCAAAATCTTGAATCGAGTATCCGTCAAGTCCATGCCAACCATGTAGAACCGAGTTGCTGTCTCGTACAAGGAGAATTTATGCATGCGATTTATGCCTTCTTCCTCCCCAGCGTCAAAGAACGCGGAATGTTGCTTTTGCGCCGACGTTGGCGTAGAATCCCGCTCAAAGGATGTTGCGACCTGAGGCTCTTCATCTCCTGCATCACCCCCGTCTTCACTCATAGCAGGTACTGTCGGAGGATTGTAAGGTAATGGGCCGAATGGGGAGGCAGCGCGGGGCGATCTAAGGTCGTCGTCATGATCAATGAAACTTCGAGAGGCCGACTCGGGCAGCTCTTCGGGGAATTTGGTGCTTGAGCCTGAGGTAAACGAGGCGTCTGCGTAGGGAAAGTTCAGATCGGTGGTTGAGTTCGGGGGACTGCTGTCTATCAGGGACACTGCTCTGGAAGACTGGTTGTCAAGAGCACCAAGGCTTCTGTCATCTGCACCCTCTCGAGAGAGGGACACTTCATCAAGACTCTCCATGGTGATGGTCGAGGCCGGTGAAAACCCGCACCAGCTGCTCAATTGGTTCGGTTGCCAGCGAAGCCCATGGTAGTCCGTCAAGGATCCCCATGGTCTGCTGGCGAGAGGATTTGTTGGCGTTGAGACTAAATCGCAAGTCGGGGTCGCAACCGCCCCGTATCGTAACTTTGGTATTGCCATTACCGCAGCTCCTTCCCATTACGTCATGATATTCCGGGATGCAGGCAAGGACGGAAGTAGATATAGTGTATGAGAATATCAATCTATGCAACTACTAATGTGGGGATAAGGAAATATTGGCCTTTAGTCAGTACTACAATGGTCTTGAAGCAGGACTTCTGATGTATGCTTTATTATTCCGTATTACCATGATCTGCACGCAGAGGCATCCGCTGTAAATATATCACAGTGATGTGCTTCAAAGTATCTGTAGAGTGAACATCGGTGACCACCTTTTAACAAAAGATTTTGAATGCAGATCAACGTGCTCCTCCCACACTAATGTCCTTGTATGATTCACTGAATGTTTATGTCGTGTTACCACCAACATGAGGCCCGCCGTCGTGGGCAACTAAAGCTCTCGGCGTCCACATATAACTTGCCTGAAGTCCCCCCACCTCACAATAATCTCAAACCCATCCTCCCATCACGTTAACCATCAGCCAGCATCACTTTGTTCTGATTGGAGACGATACCATGTTTCTCCCGGTGCTTTCCCCGAGGGAGCAGCCAAACAACAATGGGAACGGCTCAGTGAGGGTGGCAGTTCCCAGACCGGAGCGTAAGTGACACTGAGCAGTTGATATGACCGACCAGACTAAGAGGATTTGGCTCACGTCCTAGCAGGTTTTCCTGGGGTTGATTATGACGACGTTCCATTCCTGGGACCCAGACCGAGCGACGCGATGCTAGAATACTACGAGCAACCTGTCCTGCGCAAGCTCGAGTGGCGGGTTGACGAGAATGGCGTGAAAATGCGCAGACCTCTGAAGGATACCGTCTCGCTGACTGCAGCATTTGCCCAGACCAGAGGCTCTGAGGTGCAGATGCCATGCCACCATTGCAATGTGAACAGAAGCGTTTGGACAAGGTGTGTTGTTGGCTCTGACACGAAAGAGGGAAGCAACATGCATGGGGCCTGCGCAAGCTGTCGTTTCAGCAGACGCTACTGCAGTCTCAGTATGTACAATGGTCGTTCCCATGGCAAGATTGGATACTAACGAATCTAGTTTCTCGTAATGAGGATGAGCGTGCGATGACCCGATCGGGGGATGCCTCTGAGAGCCAGAGCCACTGGGACCCAGTCCGAGGTATCAAAACAGAACCTGGTGCCAGACTGTCGTCGCCCGGCAGCTGTCGTCTCGACGGAGATGTTATCCCATTTCCTCTGGGCCCAGAGACCATCGATAACTTGCCGCTTTTGAAACAGGCTGACAAGGAAATGGAAATGCACCTGGACACCCTAAAGAGAAGGATCAGGCAGCTCGAGGAGAGAGAGAACGATGGAGATGAAACCACCAACCCGTGGGACCTAGTGTGACTGAGTGGATACTGCTAGGCCAGGCGGTGTGACTTGGTGGAACTTCGAATTTCAGTGAAGCAGGTCTTGTGACTGCGTTGTGAGCCGACTCTGAATATATGTATTAGCCAAGAGGAACTGAGACAGAGTCTGGCATGGTATGCTTCTCCTTTTACAATAGGGTGATTGAGAGTTTGACAGTCGGATGTGGTCGATGTTCACTTGTATCAATCATTTGAAGCTAGAGATCTACCGGAATGTGAACTAAGCAACATCAATATGAGGGAAGTCATCACAGCAGGTTCTTTACCTTTCAGGTAGACATACTTGGGGGCTCAGGGCCCGCTAACTTATCTTTCACAGAGCTCTTTTGCATTAGAGCTGAAGGCCTACATTTCCTTCACGAGGATAATCTACAATACTTCATGCAATACTGCACTATCTGGTGTTGATCTCATGAACCACTACTCCTCACATACCATTTCTGTGAGTGTACACCAGCCCTATGACCATCCACAGGTCCCCCCTCCGTTTGCCTCACTCCATCTGCCGAAGGCAGCATATCAAAGTGCATATCAAAGCCCTGCGTAGTCGACGGATGTTGAGCATTGGCCGCCTTCACAACCTTCACCAAGCGACCCAAGATAGCATACTCCAGCTTCAGCTTGATACTATAAGCCACAGGCTTGAACATGACCTGCACAGCGTAATACCCCGCATACTGAATAGCCACAACCGCGAAGTCAAGCATCAAAATCGTGATATTAATCAACATCAACTGGGCTAGGATACGACGATGCCGACCTTCAGGACGGAGTTGTAACAGTTTTGCCGCCTCCCACACGTATATTCCGGACAGCAGAGCCTCCTGGAGACAGAAGCCGACAAGCTGGATCCGCTCCATGATGTTGTACCCGTTGTTGAATAATTCCCATTGAGAGGAAACAGTTCCATACAACAGGACCGTGATGGGAATTTGAAGCAGAATGTCGTCCAGGATGATTAAACGGAGGAGGTAGCGAAGGACCCGGGGGTCTTGAAGAACGAGGTGGAGGCGGGACCAAAGAACGAGCGAGTGCCCGGTTATCATCCCGCACCAGCCGACCAGGATTAAGGTGGCGGAGCCGTAGGGGGAGATTTCCGGCCGGGAAAAGGGTAGCACATAGCCGATGCATTGCGGGAGGATGCTTATCGAGGCGATGAGGAGGGACCAGAAGTAAGTGCTCCCTCGGCGCTTAAATGCCGACAAACAGAGGATCATGAGTTCGACGGCATTGTAGCAGGCGATGGCGGCAAAGGCAGTGAAAATATGGACTTGGTGGGAGTCCTTGTATATGTCCGGGAGAAGTCGTCCCGTGGGGTTGTCGCGTTTGATCGGCATGGGGAGAAAAGACTCATTGTTGACAAGGGCCTAGGATGTTGTGGTCGGGGACGGTGGATGGGGTAGATATTAAATTATTTGAGTCGTTTAGAGTAGCTACGCCAAGGGTTCGGGAGGATGGAGCAACGAGGTCGCTCAGGCCTCTCTCACGTTTGTTCTCCTCACGACAAGGTTTGTGCGGGTGGGATCAAAGGCAGGGGAGGGTCCAGGATGCGGAGAGAGACCAGGGCAGGATGGAGAAGTGAACGACAGAGCACCCCTGAGGCGAAGCCTTATTAGCTCAACGATACGAGGACTACGCGAATGGTCGTCGACGGATAGATAGATCAACTATCGAAGTTTGCTGACAGGAACGAACCGGGGAGACACGCGGAAGGACGATCTCTGGCGGACAATCATCTCCCCCGTTACGTGGCGATCTTCATTCAATAGTAGATCAATATCCTTATAAGCTGCTGCTTGCCCTGAATTCCTTGTTCTGCGCCAGGATCCAGTTCAGCACTGACCACAAAGCTCGCCTTTGGGGGCCAATAAAACCGGCAAGAAGAAGACCAGTGCCATCATTGATCACTATCATAATTCACTTGCCCGACCAAAGGATTGGTCCTCTTTAATTAACATGGGGCCCTAGAGAACGGCGATCAATATCGTCACGATGAGTGTCGCGCCATTCGTAAGCTCTTTGAAAACCCTCGAACAGCGAACCTGACAAACTCCGAGGATACTGAGAATAAGTACCACCAAATTGGTGCCTCTCTGCGTCATGCTACCAAGTACAATGAGCTATCGCTCCCGGTCACTATATCGCATCTGTCATCAGACATCAAGTGTTGCAAAGAGTTGCCTCCAATAACTTCATCAGCCATGTAACTTGGCATTCCATGACATAAGCCAAAGGGCTGGTTCTTTGGAATGTATGCTGTGTCAAGGCTCTTGTGGTCGGCTGTGAAATTGTGACAGTGATGGCGAGCTTCAAGGGGCTTGGACAGACTATGACACGGAGTTTGCACAGCAGGCCATCAGAAGATGAAAGCGATACCTCATTGCATGGGGCATACTCGGATTCGCAACCCACATAGCTCCGGTCATGACATCAAGTGCTGCACAGCGCTCTGTCAATGCAGATATCCATGGCCAGACCGTCTTGGAACTAAGGGTCGGCATTCCAGTCGCAAAACCCCTGTTGCAGGTTGACCCTGTCTTAGAATATTGAAAACGAGTCACATTGTCGTTATAGAATAGCGAGTGCTCTATCATCGCTCCCCGGCCTAGATTGGCTGGCTCGCTTGGGAATTTTGAATGTCACAACTATCAGTGGTTCCAATATCGAAAGGCCAGATGGACCTGAGTGTTGCTTCGTCCTTCACAGGCTCATCGGGATCGGCGTCTTCATTATTTAAGACGACTTGCAACATCCCATCCAAAAGCTCTTTGTGCGCAGCTTGCGTCGTTTCCCATTCCTGTACTGGGACCCATCCATCAGAGGCCGTGTTAAGCAAGTCTGACAGGCCACATCTAAGATTCTGTGCGGCTTCAAAAAGTCTATATTCCTTCTGGTGAGTCGCAAGTGCTGTGGCCGGAGGTAAAGGGAAAGGACACTGGTCTGCAAACCCCAATTTTTCCCAGTGACGAGATGTCTCAATCAACTCGTGCTGCAAAGCTATAGCTCCATCTTTCCATGTTCTGTAGCTGTAGCGATATGGGCGGAATAAATTCTGATCCTTCAGCCTCGGGGTTGAAAACGTAGGTGTAAGAAATTCAGTGCAGACTTCAAATGCTTTATTACAAATTTCGTTGCCCATCGCAAAATCGGGTACATCATCCGCGTACCAGAAGGCTGGCTCAATGCTGGCAGCTTGCCAGTCAATGATTCCGGTAATTATGGAAGGATCGTCTTCCGAAACAAAGATGTTCCTTTTATGGAGGTCTGGATGGAATAATAGCGGTGTTGCACAAGCCTTTATTCGAGGATCGCCAGACATGCGTTTCAACAGGCTTCGCGTGTTTCTTAGAAGGACATTGTGTGTTTCGACTGAGCCGTAATAGGACGGCTTGCTCTCTATATCTGAGTTCACAGGAGGGAGTTGTGAGAGACCAGCGTCAACAAGGCCTTCAGAGTATTCGTCCAAATTATGCCCTGATCTCTTGTAAGTGATGATGCACCGAGTAAATGATTTTGCCTAGATTACTTACAGGGTCCCCGATTTAGGCTCATAGTTCCTGGAGACCTGTTCCCTCCAGCCTCACAGTTCCAGTACCTGGTACCACAATGTGACCCGATACAGAATTCTTCATCAAGTGCATGGTTATTGTCTGGACACAGTCGACTGTTCCTGAAGTACAGACTCCCGAAAGCCGGGAATTGTAGGTCAACCACTTCTTTCATCTTCCGGTATATTGCGTCTATGCATGTAACACGCTGGTCACCAGGCATTGTTTCCCACCGCTTATGTAACTGAATACCAGGAGCATGCTCCATGATTATGTATTCGCTGCCGATAGTGTTCTCGGTACTCGCTGCATCGTAACTCCAGTCGAGTATTCTTGGTATAGGGATGGTAGTGTTAGCTTGTACTGAGAACACAGTGGGTTGTTAGCCAGATTAGACTATGTGATATAGATCTCAACTCACGATATTTGATTGTGGCAATTTCAGAACCGGTGGTTAGCTGTGCTGGGCCAGCAAGCTTGAAAGGAAGTCTTGCAACCACACGTTTGGTATTGTCCAACTCAAATATGAAGACCCGGTTGAAGCCTCCTTCGACCTTTTGATAGTTTACAATGGTGCTTGCTTCGGGCGATACCTCGAGAACTTTGCGACAAAGGGCGCCAAAGTCGAACTCGATGTAGCGAGCCTTTCGCTCCGCACTGTCTCCGCGAAGCCAGCGCCCGCTGGTGTAATTATGTGGATCAATTACCATGCATCCATTACTAGGATAATAGCAAGCATCAATAGACGACATTGAGTTTGGTAGGAGCAGATCTAGCGTACGTTGTATGTTCTATTGGGGGCCGTTTAGTATATTTTGCGCAGCAATGGGCGGCACGAAACGCCGATACGAAAGGCTCTGTTGCGCGAGTGAAGACGGAAAGAGAACAGCGCAAAGAGGCAACAGAGAGCAGAGGTTGTTGTGCCATATTTTACTAAAAAATGTGGAAGGAAAAAAAGGAACAATTCGCGAACGTGAGGTGTTCATCTAGATAGTAGTGATGGTTGTAATTGGGTGGAATGTGGGCCCGGTCATGGAAATGCCGATGAGGCGGCTAGCCATAGCGGCCATCGAGCGAGTACTTCTAGTGGGTCCGGGAGCAGAACGCGATAAGCGTGGATCTCTGTGCGCGTCTGGTGTTCAATGCTCACAACTATCCGCAGTACTCCATTAACATCTCATGGTATTTTGTGTGTACGGATGAATCAACTATCTATCAAGGGACTATTTCCATTTCTGGCTGTCTAGAGGCTCACCCACTTGGCCAAACACATTTCGCCGTCTCCGTGTTGACTTTCAATGACAATAAATCCGGGCGGGAATAGTGTCCAACCGTATCGATCATCGCCTTCGCGTAATCTATATCTTGAAGATTCACATCAGCCTGCAGTATGCATTCCTCGCTACCGGAGGATACCTCGACGAGACAGGCTCCGTCTGGTCCAAATATCGCGGAAAATCCTCCACCGGGCTGCTCACGGGAGAGAATTAGCATTACCAGCAACCAAATCGAGAAATCGGGAAGATACCGCTTGAATGACTCCCCCTTGAGATAGATTCTGCTTTTGCAGGCTCTCTTCCTTGACGACCTGCGTGCAGACTAACACAAACGCCTGGCCCTCAATGGCAAAAAAACTGACTGGCATTGCGACTCGCCACATCTGTTTCGTGGAAGGGCCACTTCACGCCTTTGGGTGCTGGGAACTCCGGCGACCAGCTGGCGATGTGGATCTGAACCCCTTGCGAGTACTCATAAAATCGCAGGAGGGGCTGCAAGTGCTCCCAGCAATTGAGGCCGCCGATGCGACCAAAGGGGGAATCAACCACGGTTTGAAGGGACTCGGCTTGACCCTCACCCCAGATCGATCGCTCCACATGCGTGGGCTTGATCTTACGCCGATGGTGTACGATCTCACCGGCGGGGTTGATGAATGACTGTGCCATGTACAATCTCCCGCCATCACGTTCACTGTATCCAAGCACGATGAAGAGACCTGCCTCTTTGACGGCCTGTTGAATGGCGCGCATCTCAGGGGAATTACGCCCCAGTGAATTGGCCATGTACTGGTGCATAAGCTCCATATTGTCCACGACGCTGCCTGTCCACATTGTCCTAACGATGGGACGGTCCAGTTAGTTAATGTTCTGCCGTTGCCCCCTCGGGAGGTGGAAAAGGAATCCTTACCACAGATAGCCTGGAATCCATACCTCGGGAAAGCCCAGGACATTGATCCCCTTTGTCCCGGCTTCCTGGATTAGTGCGATTGTTTTCGCGACACTGGCGGCTAGATCAACCCAGCCGGGCTCGGCCTGGACAGCCCCTACACGAACTCGTGTCATTTTGTATGCTGGGTTCTGCTTTCGATTGGACTCGAATGGGAACTCGATGCCGATCAAGGACCAAACAATAGCAATTGTAGTGGATGCCTATTGCTATTTATCTCTCGAAGTCCATACATCCTTTATCTGTTGAGCATAGATCCTCGGATGGACATTCCCTTTCGGGAAACCCACTCCTTGTCATCAAAACGCCTATCTTACGTATCATCCTATCTTCGGATGTGCTCGACGGGCCCTACAGGGTAGATACTAGTATGGAGAGACAATAGTATCACTGGAGTCGATTCATATTTCTATAGTGATGTTGATAAGCGAACAAGATCTACAAGCAACAACGCTACACAATAGCTACAGCTACAACTACAGCTATAATCCCACTCGCGTTTCCAGAGCCCAGATCAATAAGGATGATCGCAGCCTGGGAACATTCATAGGATGACTGATACCCCGCGCCCCCAGCCCCATAATTAGCAGCCCACGCCGGTCCAATACGCTCCTTTTCAATCCTTGCTTGTACGGGTCGCAGTTCCACTCCATGCCGGATAACGTCCAAATGCTCAATACCCTTTCCATCACTGAGATGGGGACACAATCCCACTACTATTCGGACAGCAAGGTCTCGGTCGAGTTTTGAGATACTCCAAGGATCGTATCCCCATATGACGCTGGTGTCACCATGTAACATACGTCGTCTCCATCATCTGTTCCAAAGACGTTCAACATCTTGCCCTCCTCGTTTCGAACCACAACTATCTGTCCTCGCGCAGGGTCCAAGGTCTTGTTTCCCACCCCGCCTAGTCGTGAGGCCATGAGTCCGCTACATTTCACCAGGATATCGACGTGGTTGGAGGGATGGATGGATGGGGAGAGCGTTCCTAGAACGTGCTCGAATATTGTTAGCTTGAAGATGGCAATTGAAAGACATACTAGACATGATGTGTTGGCAACTTGATACACACCGAGGTGAAGGAGATCGCTGAATTGACTCGAAAACGGAGAGAGGTTTCGGGAAACTGGTGGAACTAGGTTCTGATCAGAGGGGCTCTTCAAGTTGCAGTCATACATGAGCTCTTTAACATCTGGGACTAGGTCCACGAACCACTTAGCTGTTGTTGGACAAGCGTCCGTGGCGCTATTTTATATTGTTCCACATAATTGGAGACAGCGGTATGTAGTAGTGAGCGATGTTAAGCAATAATCCCGACCTTCCCGAAATGGCAACACTCGCCTTGGTTTCCCAATCGAGAAACACACGCATCAGGCTTTATCCTATCAGTATAAACAGGGATTCCTGCAAGAAAGTGTCTGTGCCAGGAGGGCAGATGCATCCGAAGCGATAATGAAGATAGCCTGTGCGACATCTCGGCCCGTTCAGCCCATTATCTAAAAACCACTCGGCATGACCCCTCCTCGTTCCCCTCATTTCCCGGTCACCAACAACAAAGAACGACACAGCCCCCCTTCCATCCCTATCACACACCCCCACAAAATGGCTTACATGAATAAAGTGTTTGCCGACTATGCCGCTCGCCAAGCCATTCTGCAAACCAGCACCAATCCCTATGCCAAGGGCATCGCCTGGGTCGAAGGACAAGTCGTTCCCCTCAGCGAGGCCCGCATCCCCCTCCTCGACCAAGGATTCCTGCACAGCGATCTGACTTACGATGTTCCCTCTGTTTGGGATGGTCGCTTCTTTCGCCTCGATGACCACCTTACCCGACTGGAACTGAGCTGTGCGAAATTACGCCTCAAGTTCCCTATACCTCGCGACGAAATCAAACAGATTCTCATCGACATGGTGTCTAAAAGCGGCATTCGCGATGCCTTTGTCGAGCTGATTGTCACACGCGGGGTGAAAAGTGTGCGCGGGATCAAGGCGGAGGATCTTGTGAACAGCCTGTACATGTTCATTCAACCTTATGTCTGGGCTATGGAGCCTGAGGCTCAGCTGATCGGTGGAAGTGCTGTTATTGCTCGAACGGTTCGCCGTGTACCTCCGGGCGCTATTGATCCAACTGTGAAGAATCTGCAGTGGGGAGACTTGACCCGTGGCATGCTCGAGGCTTCGGATCGAGGTGCCATGCATTCTTTCTTGACGGATGGAGATGCTCATCTAACCGAGGGGCCTGGGTTCAATATTGTTCTAATTAAGAATGGAGTGATCTATACGCCTGATCGTGGAGTATTGCACGGTGTCACTAGGATGAGTGTTATTGATGTTGCACGGGCGTGTGGCATTGAGGCCCGGCTAGAGGTTGTGCCAGTCGAATTGGCATATCGTTGCGATGAGATCTTCACATGCACAACGGCTGGGGGAATTATGCCTATTACGACGCTGGACGGAAAACCGGTCAATGGGGGGCAGATTGGTCCGATCACGAAGAAGATCTGGGATGGGTATTGGGCTATGCACTATGATCCGGCCTATAGTTTTGAGGTTACTTATGACGATGAGGTAAAGGCAAAGCCTTAGGTGAAGAAGCATTAGTTGAGGAAGTTATGGAAACATCGGACGTTTTTATTTAATCAGTCAGCCCGAATTACAAATTGATTCCGTTCAGCCCTTATTGATAGTAGACAACAATATATACGATTGGACTGGTCGGCGGGGTGTAGGGGCAAGTCTAGCAGTAAAGAAGCTGGCTATTACCGGCCCTTCCCTATGGAAATAGCATACTGAAGCCTGTTGACAAACAAACAAACAAACAAGACTCCGAGGAGCGATCCCAGCTCAGCATTGTATGGTCATCTTTGTTCTCCCCACAGATATGAATCATCATGTCGGCTTTATTTTCCATTCATTGACCACCACCACGGACATCAATATGGAGAGCACACATCGCCTCATCCAACACTACGGATCCCATCATCCTTTCTGTACAACCTTCCATATGACAAGCACATGCGGAGCTCCACACAATTTGCCCATGGAGAACTGCTTTTTGGTCACTGTGAATGATCTCGGGGGTACTGATCTTTAAGTATATGGGTTTTACCATGAAACATGCTGATAAAACGAAGCGATAACAGCAGCAAAATCCCACCTGGCACCTCAGGCAGCCTCTTTGCATTACCCGATTCGGCAACCGATATAGCATCCGACAACCTCCCATTTACACTTCATCGCGCATGAGCGTACCTACACCATTAATTTGATTGTAAGGACCGTCTAGAATATTGCCGCGAGAAACAATGGAATCTATCGATTGGTACCGGGTCACAGCAGGGTTGAGCAAAGGCGCACTGTCAATCGACTTTCCGGACACGGGTACGAGGCCGTCGGCTTAGCCTTGATGATGGACTTTTATTCGGTTAATGCATACAGCATCATGGAATCATGGATCTGCAGCAGGCTGCCTTCCCCAATGCCAACTTTCAAAGGATGCTTGCCGCCCAAGAGTCTCTACGTGTTGGAGCGGTGATGGACACAAAGAACATTATTGCCATACATCGATAAGTTCCTACTTTACTCACAGGTTGACATATCCAAAGCCGGAGTTATACTCGCTATCATCTTGGCAGGAGGGGCCTTAGTTCATCTCCGATGCCGCTCCTCAGATTGGGATTATCGCGGGGCGAGCTCCGCGGAAATATCATCTACACAAAGGCTTTCCAGGTCTGGCAACGATTGCCGTCAAATGCGGGGGGGGGGGGGGGGGGGGTGGTGAAGGGATGAAGAAATTTGGATACAGGTACCCTAAAGGACTGGTGGCATCGTGCATGGCAGGGGAGACTCGGGGAACCGCCGCAATTGCGTCGCATTTGGGCCCATGAAGGCCTACGGTCTAGATCCTTCCTCATATGGTTGGCCCGGTATGTTTCACAACATAGCCAATCTAATCAGTGTTGTGGGTACAGGGGCATGTGCTTGACCGACTTCCCTGGGATCCTTCTTCCTATATCGGTGATCTTGGGTGGATCACTAAAGATACATGTTGTTTAAGGTGCCACCTTTGGGGCTTTGCCTTCGTCAGAAATCGACCAGGTGGTCGATATACTCAGAAAATGTCACTTCTCGATATAATATACATTATCAAGTTGGAACGTGTAAGGAAATATGTATGGGTTTGCAACATACAAGATCTCCGAAGATGTTGAAGCGGGAATGGTGCAAGTCACAGTGGGCACCCGGGACGAACCGACCCAGCAGTTCACCTATCTTCAACTGGAAGGCAACCGACACATTCAGCCATGATAGCGAGGATGGGCGATCACTGCAGTTTGCCTAAGATCTCTTGAGACACAAAGTGATACGATCATACGCTGGATACCCAGGAAGGTGGTTAGTGCGAAACTCAATTGTTAGAGGAGTATTCGTATCGACGTGATGTACAACTGTTTGTAGAAGGCCATAGCGACCTCCTTCGTTTAAACTGATACCTCGATCAGAGAGCCATCGCTTTCATGGCGCACGCAAGGTAAAGGCGCTGCTATACGAATATTCCAAACGTGGAAAGAGCTGAAACGGTGTAGAGGCCATTGGGCGTTCTATTCCCTTGAGAGGTTCAGAAAGGAGTGAGAAAAGACCCCCCTACCTGTAGCTAGCTCGCCATTGCCCATTATCCATCAGTTGTTTTGAGTTTAAATCTAGGAAGCAAGTATGCAGGATGAAGGATCGCTGTATACGAACCACGGAACGGTTCCGGGTCTGTGTCACTTCGGCTTCTGCGACTTGCGAGACACCGCAATGAAGCTTTTGCTATTAGCTGTCTCGTGTGCGGTGGTTGGAGGGAGCACAAGAGAGAGATAGAGAAGAAAATAACGGAGAGCAGGTGACTGGGACCCGTGACTTTGCCCGTTCGTGTTGCGGCACCTCTCGTCCCGGCCGTTTGTTTCTTTCCCCCAATCCCTCCCCCGTCCATTCCATCTCCCCCGTTCGGAGTATTATCGATTCATTCCTTTGCCGCTCACCCACAGGTACAGGGATGAAGAGACTCCGACATTATTGCTGACCATTCTCCGAGGTCCGGCCGAAGCTCAAGACGAATCAGAACCGGGTGAGTCCATAAGCGAGCCATGCTAGCGCGCCTCTTTGTTGCTCTCTCAAAAGCCGATGAGATTGGAAGTAATAACAGGGCTGCTATTGGGAAGGAAACGTTTTCCACCGCGATCGGACAAATACGATCATTGAGGTTTCCTGCAAGGAGCACTGTTACTCGTGAGCGTTGTCTTGTGCGTACCCTTGCTGTCTCCGCGGCTACTCAAGCCGCCTTTTTCTTTGCTTCTTTCTGCTGCATTTCTTCGTTCTTTTGGTTTTTGTTTTTTCCTTTTTTCCTTTCTTTTTCCTTTCTTTCCCCTCCTTCGCGCAAGACATACATAAGCGCGGCACTACCGCTAGTCCCGGTGGCCAAAGACGCTGGACGGCTGACAGCCAGGGTCTTCTTAGTCCTTCCCTCTTAGTGTCCCCCCTAGGAAGCCGTGTTCGTCATCGATTCTGTGCCCTGAGAAACATCGAAAAGGGATCCATGGGATTGACCAGTAGCCCTACGGGATACCCTGATACCCCGTACTATTGCATTTGGGACTGACCGTGCAGCTGTCCATCTCCAGCTCCGATCGCACCAACCGGAAGGCGAAGCATTACCACCGCTTGTCGAGCGCGTCGCACCACGCTAAAAACGCCGATCGCTGCAAGATCCCCCAACTGCTTGAGAGGGGGCGTCTTTCCTCGCCCCTTTAGGTCCCCCAATAGCCCCAGCCTCAACGAGCTTGCATTTCGCTCCAGCCATGTCACACAGGCCTAGGCAGCCAGAGCAGGTCTGAAAGCCTTCCCGCGGGTGAGTTGCGGATACCGAAGTGCTTCCCTTGAGGAAGACACAAGCGTTTTGCAGGAGACGAGCGGCACTCGGTCGATTATTCGCGCGGCGCAGAGTAGATCATTGTCTTTGTGATTGTTTTGGACGGGGTGACAGGTCATAAGGATCCCTTGGTGCAACGTCTGTTATCCCATCCCATCTGTCTGTCTGCCTGCTGCCGGTCCTGTCGGTGCGGCCTCCACCGGAGCCCCTGCAAGAAAGGTGGAGCGCGCGCAAATAAGGACCAGGGGACAGCCAAACACCTGCGAGAATCAGCTCAGAAGTACGGAAGACGGAGGACGCCTCTGCCCTATCCGCGCGGTCACCGATAAAAGGGCGGCCGGCAGACACGGCCCTAGCATCCATTTTGACAGGCCAGCATAGAATTAGCGTTCCTGGAACCACGGTCTGGCATCGTCCCGAACCAGGACAGGTCGGAATAAGGTGCATAAAACTCTCGTTGAAAGCGATGGTCTCATCGTCATTTTCCTGGTGTAAGCCACCACTCAGTGTGTCTCAATGATCCTTACTAGTCCGGGGCCACGAGTCAAATTTGGAGGCCCCCCGATTTTTAATCAGTCTTACAATAGACTTTGTTCGCCCACCACCAACCTGGCAACCTGCTCCCGGTTTGCATAAGTGCTCTCTATCTGACCGACAGCAACGCGGTGGATGTCTGGGGAGCAGCGACAACGAATTCCTACCACCAGACCAGACCAGACCATCTTCAGTAGTCAGCCAGCCTTATTCTGAATCCTGCCGGGCGCGACACCAGTAAACAATGTCGTCAGGGGACGGGGTCAGAAGCGACCAGCTTGAGCCATTGGCGACGTCCAAAGCGGGCACACGAAAGAAGATCCGACCCACATACTCGTGCTTAAACTGCCACAAGCGCAAAGTCAAGGTATGGTTGTCTTTTGAATCAATGTCTATTGTTCGCGGGGTTTGCTTGGGGGCCGGTGCCGTCTTAAATGCTGGGCAGGTCTCACCATCGTTGCGTCGTGCCTGTGACTAACGCGCGACTTGCCAGTGCGACCGAGTAAAGCCGTGCGGTGCGTGCTGCCTCCGCGGCACGCCGTCCGAGTGCGAATACGGCACCAGCAAGCGGGACCGCCACTACATCCAGCAGTCGGCCCTAATCGAAAACCTTCTGCGATCCTGTGAGAGTCTCAAACACCAGCTTGCCGAGGCTCGCCAACTCGCCAACCTTCCTGCCGTCAAGGATGAGGATGGCCCCTCCCAGGGCAGTCAGGCCCTCTATTCCATCAGGGAAAAGGATTCAAATACTCCAGAAGACGACGGTGACAACGACGAGTCGGGGGATGACTTGGATCTGGCCTCCAAACTCCCGCTCCCAGGCCACCAGGCCGCGGTGTCCCCCAATGCCTTAGCGCTGGAGGAGCAACGCTCACGTAAAGAAAGTACGTGCGATTTCTATTCTTTCCGACCTCTGCGTATCCCTCTCACTCACAAGGGTTCAGGTCGTTACTCCTCTCCACCAATGTCGAAAGAGAAAGTCGTTTTGACTGACCCAAATTTAGCCAATGCGTTAATAGAGTTATATGTTGAACGTTTGGTCAATAACTTTAGCCCGGAAGAAGTCACTGGCACCATAGCCTTACGTGAAGCACGTTCTATGCGAGTGTTTTCTCCCATCTTATGTAGTGCTTTTGAGGCAGCTTCTCTTACCTTTGCTGGCCGGCGTGATGGAAATCGAGCAGTTGAGGTAGCCGGACATGCGCGTTATCTCCGAGTGTTGCGCTCTCTCCAGAATGCCCTGTATGACCCTCAGGAAGGAAAGTCGACGGAGGTCCTCGTGGTAGTCCTCCTGGCCACCATCATCGAAGTGAGTTGTACCAATCGCGTAAGGGCGCTTAACTCATTTTTGAATAGGCCTTCAAACAGACGTCAAAGGATTCACTTCTTAGGCACCAACTAGGCGGCTTGGAACTTCTACGAACACGGACACCGTATCGACATCGGCATGGCGTTGAGCGCTCTTTGTTTGTTGACCTTCGGATGTACTGGGTATGATTACCTACCCCCGCCATCTCTTGCATGACTCTGACAACTTGGCCAGGTTACGGCAGCTTTGGTCCATCGAAAGCCCACATTCCTAGCAGAGAAGGACTGGTTAACAGTTCCGTGGCCTGGAGATGGACCCTCCAAAGATATCCTCCAGCGGCTGCTTGACGTCGCCGTGCATATCCCCGGATACCTTTCCCAGATCGACGAGTTTCAAACCTTACTAAAGGCAGGCACCAGGCCTCCATCGGAGCTCGTCATCATGCAGAGCGCTATATGGGAACGAGCCAACGAGCTTCAAGGCTTGCTTCAGGTGTGGAAGAGTATGTACGCCGACACGTATCCCGCAGGCGGGCCCTGGGAAGAATCCCACTATCGAGCGGACCCCACCGACGATTTCCCCAAGTTCAGGTGCCACAACCCAAGCACGATGGAAGTGATAATCGCCCGGAACATCATGTATCCTGACCTCCTTCTCGCGACATCCATGAGCTTCTACTGGGCCCTAGGCCTCATCATTTCCAGCACCGACCCGGGACTAGTCAGCGTCCTCGGGCTTCAAGAACGATATCAATACGCATGCAATATCTGCCGCAGCATGAAATACTACACCACTAACATCCCAGGCTGCCTAATATCCCGGGTGATGTTTATTCTCCGCACCGCGTTCGATAACTTCGCTGACGGCATGGTCGAGAAGGAATCCATGGCGGATATGTTCGCGTACATTGGCCGGAGATTCGATTTCCCCGTATTTTCGAACAAATGCACCTCGTCTTCCGTGAAAGTCGAAGGATCTGCTTAATTTAAGTGTCCTCGCTCCTTTTACTCCCCTAACCTCATCACCTCCCTCTGGTCTTTTTTTACTTTATTGGCGGGCGATCTGCTTACAGGACGAGGATGTTTCACGACCCTTATGACCTCAGTTTGTCTTCTAGCCTTCTACGTGTCTGCTTTTTCCTTGCTTTTAGTATTGCACTTGATTGGGTTCTGCGACGGATGGATATGGGAACTTGAGCCTTGTTTGGATATTATATTTCCTTAATTGGGTGGATGAGCACCTAGGTATGAACCGTTGATGGGATTCGGTGCCTGCAAGGATTGTCTATTCTATTCTGGCACCAAGCATGCGAACGAGAATGAGACTGAGATTAAAAGTTTTAGGAAGTAATGGGATTGTTTATGTCCCTCTCAGAATCCTGAATCTGTGGAATCTGATAGCAGTAGCAGTAGCAGTAGTATTAGCATTCATTAACCCGACATAGTCGCCAATAGCGTCGTCATGCAGATATTCTTTCTGCTTAGAGAAGCTAGTCATAAGCACAGATATCATTTATCCATGACTGATTCTCTAGATGCGTAAGAACTCAGTCACCGTCATTATGTCTGAATAGTATATGTACATTGATGAGATCGAATGAACCGGAAAGGAACACCAAGTCTATGAGAAATAAACTGATCATACACACGTAAGTCAATACCATCAATAATCCTTCCATGGGTCATGCGTCATCATGCATTTTGTTTTCCCATGCATAGCATCGGGGAAGGGGGGATCGGTAGTTCTCGCCCTGCAAGACGAACCGAACCGAACTGATGACCGGATCCATTCTCGGACAATGACCGATTATTGCACACTGTATACCAGGTACGGAGTAGACCTGTCCACCATGCAGGCAGTAGGCAGCCCAAGCAGGGGGGGCCTGAGCGATGATAACCCTCCGATAAGGCAAACGGATCACATGCGCGGCGGGCGCGCGCCCTGACGTGGTCTGGATCCCTCCGGGCCCGCATGACGCAGTTGACCAGTCTGTCTGTTCCTCGTTGGGTAAGACAAATGAGCCAATGTGAACCTTCGGCATGTTATTCCCATGGATGAGACCGACATTCCTTTCGGAACTGGAGAATAGCGGGGGCATCAGCGAATCGTCGCGGTGTGGCCGGGCGGGCTGTCAGCAGGGACAAGAGAGGGGGAGATCATTGATTGCTGAGCTGCAGACTAAATTGCAGGCTGTGGAATTGCTGGCCCGGTTGTCGGGTTTGATTGGCGCGACGTCCGTGAATTTCTCCGGACCCCCTGCGACCGGCGTGATGGTTGGTCGGGGGTGGACTAATCGGGCGGTCGGGCGGTGGCCCACCATCTAGTGGCTGGGTGCATGGTGTTGTGCGCTTCTCGCGCTCGCAGTCGTCTGTGTCATCGGCTCACACTGCCGTGGATGATAGACCGGCATCCGTCGGGATTGAGATGAATGCGCTTTGGGCGAAGTAGTAGTCCGCGGGATCCTGAGCCCAGCTGCTGTTGGGATCAATCCTGCTCGCTGGGGGTGGTGGTGGTGCTCGGATGGTGAACCCACCCTCGGGATCCACGGGGAGCCAGTTGGCCGTGAAGCGGGTACTCCCATCGGGCATCTCCAGCGGGGTAAGTCCACTCTCATTCGAGTCCATACTGAGGCTAATTTCCATGGTCTGGCTTTTGCGGCGCGGTCCCGGGTTCGGGGTGGGCAGTGGGTCGCCAAAAGGAGGTTGGACCATCGCCTCGTCGAGGGCGTGATGCAGCGGGACAGCCTCAGAAAACCCAATTTCGGGCAGTCCGTAGAACTGCACCGGTTCGCCGTGGTTGTATTCCCGATCCCAATCACCCTCGCTGCCACTGTATGATTGATAACTCGTTGGTGAGCTGCAAGGGTCGTCTAGGACGGGCGACTGGACAAAGCGAACTCGAGAGCTGGGGCTATCGTGTGATGCTCGGGGAGAGGGAGTGCCCGCCGGAATGTTCATGTAGAGCGCACGTTCGGTGGCTAATTGAGAAGCCGAGCGAAGCAGGTCGTCCAAGGAGAAGTCAGCGGCAATGGGCTTGGATACAGGCGCGATGTTGAACGTGGATTCTCCGAATCTAGGAATCGCACTTGTCAGCCCGTCCCTCCTGATCCCTCAAGTCACGCCATGGGGGCGTGGGGGGCAATCGACTCCATAAACACGCACATTGAAGTGATTTTATCCGCCAATCGTGGTGCATTCAACGCGTTAGCGACGCCCATCGGTTGCGACGTGTGGTACAGCTCCGAGGCCGCCTCGCCCATGGCCAAGTCGAATTCTGGGCAAAGCTCTGGGCTCAGCAATTGCGACGAAGACAAGTCAAAGTCATGGAGTCCCAGGTGGCTTCCGTACAGTTCCTCCTCCATGAGATCAGACTCCAATCCGAGCCCCTGTGTATCTGACGGGCCCATGGATGCCCAATTCGGGAGTTCCTGGGGGTGGTTGATATGGAGCATCGTGTAGAGTAGTATTCGCGTATTGGTTCGAGCAGGCGAGAGCGACGGTATTGGGATGTTGTTGTGGCTCAATTAGTATATAAAAACCATGGCAGAGATCACGGTACGGCACAATCAGGTGTCAGTGAGCTGTAGCAGATGTCGAGGACAAGGCCGTGAATGAAAATCGCGCATGACGGAGATGGAGCCTTATAAGACATACGGAGTACTTACTTCACACAGCCAATGCAGCCGAGGGATATTTGAGACATGATCAAGTTCGTCATTGTCGCTGTAGCTCCAGGACGTGGCCGACGGCGGCCGCATTGGCGTCGGTAAAATACAATTTGGAGCACTCGGACATGAATGGAGCTCTTGGGTTGATCCAGAAGCTCGGTGATTCGACGAACCAGAGGAGGATGAGGAGCATCTGATCTTCACGGGCCCATGTGGTGACGCTGAACCTTGCATACCCCATAATCCGGGCGAGAAATTAACCGAGCGCCATCCCCAGACTTGGCCGGGGCTGCCGGTCAGGCACCTCCAGGCACCAATCCAATGGTTTTTCGCCCTTTTCCCCGCAACGGCCTCGGCCTTTTTGCAATTTAACCGAGAGGCAAACGCTCGGTCCGACTGAGCACGGCCCGTTAATCTGGGGTAACGTTCCCCCCCTGTCCTTGCAGCGTGTGCAGAATCATGCGATGCCCCCGCCACAGTAACAAGGCCTTATAGTCTGCTGGATGTCTCCCCAAAAAAAGGGGGATATGTCTGTGAGAGATCCGGTTAATAATAATCAGACTTGGTCTGATGGCCTAAAAATTACTGTCCAAAACCAACAGGTCAAGAGGCACCAAATCCAGCATCAGAGATGCCGACATATGTACAGGGCGTAATGAAGAGTATATCCAAAATAGACAGACAGAAAGTATATACTACGAAGTTCTGCAGACCCCTTATAAGGGTAAAACACTAGAGGATTGTTGCCGTAAGGGCCCAAAGCCTGATGGGTTCAGGAGATGCGGGCACAGAACGCTAAGCCATCAAGGCAGGCTAGAGAAAGTCCATCTCACGCGGGATATTCAGCCGAAAGCGAGGAGGAATGTGTGCCTGCATATCCCGCTGTCGATGACTGGCCTAGAACTGAGAATGGCCCGGCGGGAGATGATTTAAGCTCTCTCCAGGCGATGGCCTGCGGGTGCGGAGCCGACGCAACCGTGCTCTCCAATGGCACGGGCGCTGTGACGGACTCTAAAGCTAGAGAGCCAACCCAGTTCCCTTCCGCGTCCACCGGTAGAGGGCGAGGACGGCCTTGCGGCGATGCCGGATCTCGCTGTAGTTGACAGGGCGCCCCCGCGCCTGAGCAACGGCGCTCCGCATGACCTGTCGAAAATTACGTTGATATTCTGTGTTCAACGTCACCACGCATGATTCGGTTGCTCGGATCATCACCTCGCACGCATTCAATATCCCCTCCCCCGCTTCTTTCTGCAAGCGCTCCACGATCAACAGGAGAAGGAAACTCCCCTGCAGCAACTGAATGCCGAAGAAATACGGCATGAAACTAATGTCAGGGTCATACCGTAGGATATGATCGACCGAGTCGGCCGCGTCCAGAGCATGAGAGATGGTCGAGGCGAACGCAGGCGACGAGGTCCAGAAATCCTTGTCTTCAATGAGGGATACGGGGTCCCACTTGCCGACAAGTAGGATATGTAACACGTGCACCAAGTAGGACGCGTACGAAATGACTGTTTGTGTATGCCATGAATAAGCCTGGGCAAGGGAAGCTTCGACGGGCTGTGATTCAGTTTTGGGAGGGAAGGCGCTGGACAAGGGCGCATCGGGATCCGACGCGGTGGCCGCAAACGGAGTGAGACTGGTTTTATAGACTTCAAGCTGGCGCAACACTTCACTGACGTGCACATCCCATGCGTCCTTCCCATTCAGACGCGCTCCAAGCATTGGGTGGTTACGTGCTTGGTTCAGGTCAATCAGCTCCCCCGTAATGGTCATCAGCGGGAGGAAAAAACCGAAGATGGAATGGTCGTGACAGATAAAATTGGGAAACACGCGCCGTTTGTTCTTGTCGCCTGAGAGCAGACACTGTGGCCCATCCACTTTCGGGCTATTGCTATGGATGTTCCCGGTCTGCCACGAGCCTTCGTCCAGCGGCAGTAGAAGATCCTCGCTTTCAGCATCCAGCAGAGCCAGGGGTCGGTTGTAACAGAGCGCGAGGTGACGATCCATTATGTACAGGAGCCACCACGTCCGGCGGCGCTCTTCACGATGCTCCTCGGTAATAGCACCGCGTACTTCATGGCCACGGTCGCATACGCAATTCAGGCTTGGCCGTGCAGGGTTCGCGTAGTCGAAAAAGGGGCCCGTGTCAACGCCACTCCATCCCGCAAGCGAATAATCGAATGCCGGGCTCGAGCCCTCCGGGTGACCCTCCTCACTTGGCATCACCTCGATCTCCTGATTCAGCTTCAGTTCTCGCGCGAGGGTAAAGGCGGCATGCCACCTAAAAGTGGTTAGCGTGGGTGTCTTTGGGCTCTGTCGTTGAGTACCAACCATCGCATGCTAGCGGCCTTCTGCTCGCTTGATGAGATAATAGATGCCACATGAATGTACGTGATTACATCGTCTAATGACCCTGCCGGACCAACCAGACCTCGATCATCTCCACCGGCCTCAAATGGATGATGCACCGTCGTAGGTGGGCAATCCTGGCCAACTGCAGCGTTCAATGAGTCGCTCGCCGTAGCGCCTTCTTGCTCCTTAAAGGACACATGAATCAACGGTCGCAACAGGCGTAGCGTTAGCGCACAGAGAAACTGACAGATCTTCTTCCTCTGCGGTGGGGATATCGGCAAGGCGAATGCACGATCATCCAAGGCTGCCACCCAGAGCATGCTGGCCAGAAGGGCTGGGCTGCTAGGACGGGGGGCGTCCCGACTCAGGAACGACGCCTTTCGTAGAACATAACAATGAATATGGTGACACACGGGATGCATATGCGTCGAAAAAGCGCTCGTAAAGTACAGGTCGAGAAGATCGAACACTAGCTTGCGAGGCAAAGTCGATTCCAGGTACGGCATGAGTGGCTGAAGCACTGGATATTTCAACATTGTTGCCGACGGTGTTGGTGTCTGACCAATGCCCGTAATCTTTGATCCTTGCGAGGTGGGATCGCTGTAACCAGCCAGGTCGACTCCATTCCAAATATCGAACATTCGCGTGAAGGGACCCTCTCCGGGACCTATGCCTGGCAAGGGCTCGTAGGAGCCCGGAGAAACATGCGTTCCTGCTAGCCATTCCTCTGTCGCATTACCGGGGTGTCCTGACCTGCGAGGAGGGAGCGACACTTCTGCGTGGGAACGTCGCTCATCGATGCTTGGGGCCGACACTGTAACATCATTTGTCGCCGGTGATCGGTGGTGAAATGTTGAAGAAGGGGAGGCATTTGGGATCGGGCCAGACCCTGCTTCCGCGAGTGCCGGCACTGAGCCTTGGGTCTCTGGAGCCTTGGTCGGCTTATCGGTTACAGCATTCGCCTCCGCCAGTCGGGATCGCGCGATGCGCCCTCTTTTGCGCCGTTCACGAGTAAACTCGCACCGAATTTCACTGCGAAGGCAGCGCGAGCATGGGAATGCTCGGTCGCACCGCACGCGACGCGAGTGACAGGAGTCGCAAGCTATCCGGTTCCGTCTCCAGCGACGTTTGGGGTTCGCTCCGTTATTTGCCTCTTCGGTGGCTGCTGGAACGCTGGATGCCTGGGCGTCCCCCGACTGGGCAGAATCCATTTTAGCCCGACATTGGCGGATTTGGCGGTATTAGGTAGAAGGTTGAGGGGTCGCAGTCTGAGAAATGGAGATAAAAAGTCAGCAATCGGCCAAGACGAAAGAAGCGAAGGGTCCGGTACTAAGCCCTTACCAGGCGGGTACAAGCGGGGAAGAAGGACGGCGATGGGTGCTGATGGGTGACGCCAGATACACATTCACGATGACTGCGTCCCTATTTCGGTTTCTGGAGTGGATAGGGTGATGCAGAGGAGACGGAAACCCGTCGAGAAGAAGGGGGGTTTGTGAGGGTGAAGAAGCAGGGCCGAGTGACAGAGAAAAACCGGCCGGGCAGAGCAGAAGCGATCCATCGCGGGGAAACCGTCGGGGCTGGAAGGCGCCTCCGCACGCGCTAAAAAAGGGCCCTGATCCTGAAGCGGGCCACAGATTGGAGCTCGCAAAGGTTCACGCCCCAGGTGGCAAACTCTGCTTTTTCACGAGACATCCTGTGCCGCAGATGACCTTTGATCCCTGATGCTTGTACCAAAAATTTGTATGAGGTGTATGAAGTTGTTAGGATTCGCATTTTGTCGCCCGGTTAAACTCGGCTTGCCGATGAATATATATTTCCCACAAACATTATGAGTCTCCGCTCCGGCCTGGAACAAACCTCGCAAGACTGGGCAGTAACGTGAAAGACTAGTAGGTTCCTGCAGCACACCCATGTCCTTGGTGTGATTCGAGGCATATGCATCACATCTGCATCCCAACTCTGGCTCCGGAAGCCCCAAATCTTCCTCCGGGATCATCCTGGCCCACTCCCGGTTCGGTAGGTGAAAAGTGAGACATTGTAGGACCTGCGATGGAAACTCGTCGTCAGCAGCGAACTCTATCCATTCCACAGCCACATTACTTGCAAATCTCGACTGTCAGTTCGTATTCAGCCTTCTTCATCTGACTGGTGGACGTGCTGGGAAGTTGCTGGGGAGAATTTGAATAGCATACCACTGGTCGACTGCTAGCAGAGGGATCTCCCGGAGAGTGGAGAAGAGGGATGATCTGACGATCGAATTTTGATGACATCCAGGGAAAACACACCAGGATAGCGAAGAAGCGGAAGAACCAGACTGAATGTGGCTCGATCACATGACTGGCGTGTTCACGTTCTCTCATTATGAATGATGGAACACTATTACAGCTATTTGATATGCAGCCCCAGATCCCTTCTCCTCGACTATTTGCGACGACTTACCAAGTCCGAAGACTTGTTCCAGTCGATGCACCATGACACAAACCTTAGTGACGTTGTGCGACCTTCTTATAACTCTCCAACGCACGCTCCCGACTCTCCGAATGATCGACAATCGGTCTCGGATATCCATTCTTCTCCGCAACATCCTCAGCTCCTCGGCCGTACGGATCATGGATCGCTGCGCCCTCCACATCGCGCAGCTCCGGCACCCAGTGCCGAATATACTCCCCATCGGGGTCGAACCGCTCACTTTGACGCAGCGGGTTAAAGATCCGAAAGTACGGCTGGGGGTCCACCCCCGTGCTGGAACCGAATCCCCATCCGCCGTGGTTGGAGGCAAAGTCCCCATCGATCAAATGTTCCATGAAATACCGCTCTCCTCGACGCCAGTCAACTAGAAGATCCTTGGAGAGAAATGATGAGACGACCATGCGCGCGCGGTTGTGCATCCAGGCAGCATGGTTAAGTTGGCGCATGGCGGCGTCGACGATCGGGAAACCGGTCTTGCCCTCACTCCAGGCCTCGAAGTGCTCTTGATTGTATGACCATTCGAGGTCGGTGAATTCGGGCTTGAAGCACTTGTTCATGCTGGATGGGCATTGTTAGTCGGGCTACTGAACCGAGGAAGATCTTGGGGCGGACAAACCAGATGAATGGCCAATGGACGAGAACATGCTTATAGAAATCTCGCCAGGCAACCTCACTGATCCAGGACATGTAGCCGGATTGGTTTCGATCTAGCTGACCCCTGTTCGCCTTCTGAGCCTGCACAACTGCCGTCCGTGCACTGAGTGCCCCCGACGCAAAATAGGGACTGAGCACGGATGTATTCCGCCCTGCCAGCATATTTCGCAGATCATCATAGTCTCTCGCTTTTTCCTCAAGGAATGTCTCCAGCCTCCGGAGCGCCTCATGCTCCCCCTCAGGGTACATCTGATGGAACCGTTTCTTCTCTGCCTCAGAGAGCCGCTTGTTGTCCGGTGCATCAGGCACCTCACAATCGAAAAGCTCCTTGAAATGTTTGCGCGCATTCCCCGGGTTTGACCCCGGCTCATCCGCCACCTCTAAGTACTCCGGATTTTCTTTGAGAAACGCACACCAAGAACGAAACCACGGGCTATAAACCGCATATTGTTTCCCCTGTTGACTAGTGAGTTTCCCCGGAGTAACAACACAGGTATCATGCGCTGCTTCGAATCTAATCCCATTCTCTGCACACAGACGCACCATCTTCGCCTCACGCCGAAGTTCATCAACTTCGTACTCCAGATTTGTGAAGAGATGTTTTGCACCCCATTCCTGACACAGGTCCACAATCCGTTGTGGGATTGCCCTCCGTTTGTCCTGTGTCTCCATATACAACGGAATATCCAGCTCGCTCAGATCACGTCTCAACAGCTTCAGTGTTCGCAGCGTCAGGTCTACGCGCGGCGCGCTGGCCAGATGAGCCGTCAAGTCCTCCGGAGAGAGGATGTACAGGCCGATCAGCGGAATGTTGTGTTCGCGCGCGATCTGGTACGCCATCTGTAGTCCCCGATTATCATGTAATCGCAGATCAGATTTGAACCAGTGTACCACGGCAGCATTCGGACGAATTTCCTTCCGTTCATCCATCGTATCCTCATATGCCTTCTGCAGAGCTTCAATCGGCCGTTTTAACGTTCCATCGTTATAGGCCCCACATCGCTCATTGCACATCTCGGGGGGATAGAAGTCGCGCAGGACAATGTCAAAGTCCTCGGTATCTTTCGCATGAGGATGCGGACGCGTCAGGTCGGGCTTCCCGCGTTTATTGGTGTGAGACGAGGTCCCATTCGAGGTCGCGCTGCTTGATGTCTTGCGCTTTTGGGGAGGCATGATGCGAATTGCTAATGTGGACGCGCGAAGGGAGCTTGGCTTGTGGAAGAGGAATTGGCAGAAATTGGAGAGTGACCGGACGCGCAGACCCCGGGAAAACATGCCGCAAGAGGAATTCAAAGAAATTGGCGATGGTTGGGATTCATTGAGCTTGGGGGTCCAGATCGATCGGGGATCTGGACCGCGTCAGGGACTGTGACGTCAATATCCGGAAGGGATGATGGCGGAGACAAAACAAAAAGTCAACGCATTCCCCTCTCGTGTTGGCATCTCAATCCTTTTGCCGATTAGATGTTATTTGCTCTATCATTAGGGTTTCGAGCTCGGGAAGAATGGTTTTCCATGACATTTGCCAGGTGCGTTCGAACCTTGGTGTGCGTTCTTGAGATGACATAATTGACCCATTACAGCTAGACGATTCTATACAACTGTGGAGAAGCTCTTGAACAGTAATGGTTACTTTCGCCAACTGTCTTGTTTCTAATACCATCTCAATACACCTATTGAGAAGCCGTCGCAGCCTTATAGATCTGGTTGTATCCGTCCAGCGACTCCCGCGTCAGCTCCTCAATATCCCGTCCCTGGAATCTGCTCGGATCCAACGCCTTCCTCAGGCCGTCATCAACATCCTCGCCCTTCATCATCCCAGCCAAGAATTTAGCAGCCCCAGCCGCATGCGTAACCCAGACCGCAGCAGCGAGATACAAACCATCGGTACCTGGGATCGCACCCACCAGTGGCATATTATCTGGCGTCATGGAGAAAATACCATTGAACGTTTCCCTAGGAATTAACTTGGTCTCCTCTGGGATAAAGCGCAATGCATAATCCAACGTCGCATCAAAGTGCTGAATCCATTCTCCAATGGCGATTTCTTGGGGCTGCTGAGCAATCGGTTGATGGTCGTACGATCCCAGTCCATAGAACGTGCCATGGTCCCGAGCATAGACATGATGCTCGGGCCATCTGACCCAGGGCGCCTTAAGCGACTTTGGCTCGTGGTATTCGCCATACATGTATGGGTGTGCGACTGGCACGATTGGGATGGGAATGCCAAAGTCGCAGAGGTCTGGGGCCCAGATTCCGGTGGCGATGATGACGGTTTGGGCGCTAACGAGACCCGACGAAGTGGTCACCCCGGTCACGCGACCATTGGCATGGTGGACCTTCGTGACATCTGCCTCAAGAAGTTTGACTCCTCGGGTGCGTGCCTCGTCCTGATAGAACGTGGTGATTCTGGTAGCATTGGCAGCGCCATCGCTCGCGAAGTGTAGCGCAGCCGTGACGTCTCCCTTAATAAGGGCAGGCGCCAGACACGTTGCTTTCTCGGGGGAGATCAGTTCAGTAGGGAGGCCGGCTTTTCTGGCTGAATCATGTCGGCGTTTCAGACGCTCGGCCCCCGTGAGGCTTGTCGCAACTTCCAGCCCACCAACGGTGTCGAAGCCACCAGGGATCTTTGTATACTCGCGGACGGTGTCTTTGGCCAGGTGGGTGAGGACCTCGGAGTCATTGTATTGACCAACGAAACCGGGTGCATGGCCTGTGGACCCTTTGAGTGGGGTCAAGGAACGGTCGATGAGGATGATTTTCCTGTCATCGCCGGAGAGGGAGAGGAAGTACGCCAGGGCCGATCCAACGATGCCAGCCCCAACAATGGCGATGTCAGCGGTATATGAAGACTCCATGGTATCAATGTTCTGAGTGTGAGTCGGTTAGGTATTGGGGCCATGGGTGGTATATATGATGACTCGATACCCATGGAAGCCAAGACCGCCGCGTATGCTTTGCGGGTTCATGCTGGATAGTCGCCTCGTATAGCATGACTCTGGAACTATATATAGCGTTAGTTAAGCTCAGTTTGAGACAAAACCCACCCGCATCCGTCGGAGAGATCCGGCGGGATGTTAGGAAGAATGGAGTGATGTCATAGTTGAGGTATATTTGAAGAACCTCGCGACTCAGGGGAGTTGTGAAGATGGAGAGAGAAGAGGGAGAGGAGAGGGAGAGGAGAGAGAGAGGAGAGAGGGGTGCAAGGACCCTTGCTGCCTGAGGCATAGTCAGGTGTTGTGACTCACGGGAAAAGCGGTGTATCCCGCCCACGCGGCAGAAAGCATCTCACCAAAACTGCTGGAATTCACTTGTAGTTTCCCAAGTACCAACCGTGATATCTCCAGGCCTTCCTACAATTGCCGCAATCCTCTCACCGGAACTCTTCACACAGGCAGCGACCGCGCCGGCCGTCCCACCGCCGATGCACGCCCTGTCAATGGCATGAAGGTGTGGAATCTAATGGAAGGCTGAAGGTCCCTGAGCTATTCCCGAACCGAAGCAGATCGAAAACCAAATAGAAACCGTGGCATTTTGAAAAGGCGCCCTCAAATTCAGGGGCACGCGTCCATTGTTTTTGTCCTGCCCATCGATTCCAGCACTGGCGGCAGTGATATCGATTGTATAGTCTGGCAGATCTGTCGAATGTTCCCAAACAAACCAGCAGTATATACCCCGCGCCGATTGCATTGCTAGTGATGGGCTCGTAGACGGTCGGGCTATTCCCGTTCTGCTTGCTCTTAACTCCGATCGTTATTTCCGTTGGTTTTTGTCGAGATTATTATAGCCGAGATGTCATTGTTCAGGTCCCCGGGTGAGGAATCGTCTTCCGACTCCCAATCTAGCTCCGATGAGAGTGAGCAACATGTTTTTGCTACGGAACAGGACCGTCCTGTGACAACTAAACACCACAAAAATAAAAATGGAGGGAAGAGCCCTGCTCTTTTGCCGGAGGATACTCATAAGGATGCCGATGTGGAATCCAATTCTTTGCTAGGAAGTGATACCAAGGGCCACGCGAACATGATGACCGCAGCTCTCCTTGAATTCTATTGTCTGAGTCGGGCTGCAGATATCCTCAATGCCCAGCATGGGTCCCACAAACGTTTCACGCGGGACTCTCCCGAGGTCCGATATCTTGGGAACAAGTTGTACACGCACAAGTCCGAATTCTTATCTTCGCTTGGCGCGTTGGCGGGAGGCATTGAGGGGGAGGAATGGGGGTCAACAAGACAGTATTATCGCGATAACCTTGACGTGTTGGGTGTGTCGGTTTTGGAAAATCTTAACATCAAGGATGGCAATGGACAAAAGGCAGGAATTGCAGGTGCTGCTGATGTAGCATCGGGTGCAGAGCAATCCACGGCTCTACAACTGCGGTCGAGTAATGCGAACATGGATATGCTGCAGTCAAGGCGCCATGGGTTCGGAATGGCGGACGTTCAAAAACGATTGACCGGCAACGAGAATGCTAATCCGCTGGAAAGCATCCAGCTTGACTTTGGAGCTCTGCTAAATCGTCCATTGCCTCTTACTGGGAGCTCGCCCGTGAGCTTCCCTCTGTTTCAGCCTAACCCACCCCCTCCAAGCAGTCACATGTCTCGGTATGCCATGGAGTTTTCCGAGGTCAAGGTGCTTGGTCGTGGGTCGTTTGGCGAAGTATATCATGTGAGGAATCATATCGACGGCCAAAGTTATGCAATCAAAAAGATTCCCCTCAGTCAACGACGGCTTCAACAGCTGGAGTGTGGAAGTCAGAATCAGCTCGAAACCATCATGAAGGAGATTCGAACACTTGCTCGACTCGAGCATACAAATGTCGTCCGATACTATGGGGCTTGGATCGAACAGGCGCATCCTTCAGGTTATGCCGAGTCTGTACAAGAAGAGTCAGTTGATCTGACATTTGAGCAGACAGAGTCGCATATTTCCAGTCATGGAATGGACGATAATCAGAGCTTTGGAATTGTCTTCGAACACTCGGAATCCTCACATATATCTCAAGCAGCATCTTTATCATTGGGACAGGATTCAGAAATGTCTGGCCGACACCATCGCAGGCCCAGTCATGCCACAGTGGGCTCTCACATATCCAAGACAAGCTCTGCACTTAGTGCGGAGGATGACGACGACGACGACGAAGTAGAGTCCATTCCGCGGAATTTCAGTCCTCGATCTCAAGATCCACTGTCAACGTTCGGTGGGACAGATGATGACATCTTTACGGATGGCTTCAGTGAGGATCCTTCCAAATTACAAGTACAACGGAGACACCGAAGGGGAGCCCAGCTCCCCGCCGTTATTTTGCACATCCAGATGTCGCTACATCCTATCTCACTGGGCTCCTACTTGAATCCACAATCAAGCACGAGCACAAAACCCGACACGACACTCCGTCGGCGCCACTGTTACCACCTAGTCCCTTCACTGAGACTCATGTTAGATATACTATCTGGGGTTGATTATCTCCATTCCAAAGGCATTGTCCACCGAGACCTCAAACCAGCCAACATATTCCTCTCTTCTCCCGACAAAAAGCACATGGACGGATGCCCTCCGTGCGGGAACACGCATGGAGCGATCCATCGTTACTGCCACCCTCGCATCGGCGACTTTGGCCTCGTTGCAGATATCTCACACATCAGTGACTGCTCTCCCGACACCCAATCCACAACCAACCCCGAAACAAACATCAATCCAGTCGTTGGGACGGAATTCTACCGCCCGCCTCACCCCACAGACAGATCCGCAATGACCTCAAGCCCCCGCCACCCCACCAAGCAACCATCTCCATACGTCATCGACGAGACACTAGACGTCTATGCCCTCGGAGTGATCCTCTTCGAGCTTCTCTACCCACTGAACACCAAAATGGAGCGCCAGCTAGTCCTCAACGGACTTACCCGAGGTCCACACGGCAACCCCTTAACCGGTCCGTGCTTCCCCGACGACTTCCAAAAGAAGCTCGACATGGGCTCTACGAAACTGCCCACCGGAATATCCATAGCCGAGACTATTACGACCTGCCTCCGGGGCATGTTAGAGCCGAATCCTCATCACCGGTGGCGCTCCGGCAAAATTAAGAAATACCTCGAAGAACTCCTCGCATGTGTGCAGAAAACATAGCATAGCCTTCTTCTTTTCCCACATAATATTCTTCATCACCATGGTCATTTTCACCTCACACATACACAAACATATCCACATACCTACATACATAAACATATACCTATACCTCTAGATTATAGTCCAACCAGCTGGGGAATCCCCCACACAGAACATTGATTCAGAAATACACATTAGCTCACAGCAAGAGAACCCCATCACATAGATAAATTATATCCCGTCCTCACTTAATCACAATACCACATATAACAGATACTGCTTATTTCTCATTACCGAATCCGCCCCATAACTGCTATCTTCCTTGACTTGTTCTTAGTCAGTCATACAACACCAATAATCCTCACCAACATCAACCATGGCCAATCTCTCTTCAATATTTCATACTATCATCTCCATAAACCCTTATATGCACTAAATTTCATCTAAAGAGCATCAAGGAATTAATCCACATATTTCACCCCCTTCCTATACGCAGTTCTAGCATTCTTATTAAGATCCATAGACGCAAGAAGGGTCTTCTAGATCTCCAGGGCGTACTTTATACCATCCATTTAAACAATATCGCATGGATGATATAGATAGTATCTTATAGTGTGCTTGTTTGGCATATACTCATTCGGATCGAGTGGAGGGTAGTGTTATGGAGTGAATGAGTTATGGAGTGAATGTGTTAGGGACAGAATGTCAACATTTGGCTAGGGGTTAGTGTGGATGGGCTGATAGGTGGGGGGAGGGAAGATAATAAGCGAATGAAGAAAGAAAAGGGGAAAAGGGGAGGGGGGAAAAGGGGAGGGGAGGAAAAGGGGCAGTATAGGCATGGGACATGGTGTTAGACCATGATGGAGGAAATGAGAAAATGCTTTAAGGATCGGTGACGGCATACCAATGGTCTGTGTCTCAAGAGAAAATAGAGGAACTGGCATTGACTATGATGAAGAGAAGGACGATATAAACTAATCAGTTACGAAGGCAATCCATCGTCGATCAAGTTGCAGCCTCAGATATAAGTCACAGTGAAGATGTGGGCCTGGGTGTGACCATAGTTGTTATAGTCCACACCAACGCGATCACCCATGGATGGCTGATAGGAAGCACTGCCAATTTCAGCGCCGTAATGATCCAACATGGTGATATACACGGTAGATCCGCTCTTGATGTACTCGGATTTGTCACCGACGGTGGTGCTTCTGAATTGGAAGGAGGTTGCAAGGTGCGATTTGCCGACATAAATGAGGGACGTGGAGATATATCCCTGGAGACTAGGGGTGGAGATAAGCCAGGATGTGGTCTTATCATCGGAATTGTTGTAGATGTGGTAGGGGTGGTTGTATTTAAGCTGAGAATGGAGTGAGCGCTTGATTTCAAGTTCTAGCATATGGCGGACATACCTGCTTGACTTCGTTGCCTTGGACAGTTTCCACGTTGACGTAGAACTTCTGGCTGTCAGACTTGTCGCTCGCGATCAGACCCGTAGGTAGGGCATATGAGGTGACACTGTTGAGCTTTTGAAGGTAGTCGTAGCGTTCGGCAGTCATGGCCACCGCTCCGGCTCCGGCCACAATACTAGTTTCTGTGGTCATATTAGCTGGATCATTCGATCTATAGTAGCTTTGGGGGACTTTTCGCTCTTACCGTAGCTGAGACTGAAGTCCTCGGCCTCCGCAACGGAGGGATTTACCGTCAGAAGCTTGCTGTTCGCTGCGTATCCGATCTGGAATCCGACTGAGACCGTGGTCAGGACCGGCTGCTCGCTTTTGAGGATATCCGCGAACTTCTGCTTGATATACTGGTAGCCTGGGATAGTGGAGATTACGTCTTCCACCGCAAGGACCCTCGATTGCTGTACGCGATTGTCAGACAAGAAGGACGATCAAAGCGCCAGGGAGGTGAGGCTTACCTTGACAGCACGCCAGTTGTAAAACGAGCCCACGGTGTAGGCCCATGCGGTTGGGCTAGATCAGAATACATTAGACAAACAGGTACCGGAAAGGATTGTGCAGAAGGATAATCGTACTCATTGCACAGCAGGGTATCACCGCCTTTAGCTTCCCAGCAGATAGACTTGGTCGCTGCGCTGCTTGACTCGTCCGAGCTCGAAGTGGAGGACTTGTCGGCGCTCATTTTTGCAGAAGCCTGCACATAGGGGGACGAGAACGAAAGGGCTGCCGCCGATCTCATAGCTTTGGCCTGGTCGGCTTTGGCAGTGCTAGTGGTCGCAGTAGAGTCTTCGGAAGCATGAAGCCTTCCACCCAACTGAACTCGGGTAGGGAAGAAACGACCTGCGTCTTATGTTAGAGACCATGACATACTATGTGACTGTAAACATAGGAATCCCGCACCATATTTGTCTTTGAAGCTAGAAATGTCGGCGGAAGATTTCACAGACAGCAGATCAGCCTTGCACTCCTCGGTAAGGTCAAGGCTGTGGTGGTCGAGATCAATAACTACCCGGGGAAACTGGCAAGCAATTGTGAATATAGTCCTCAATAATGCCTGGAAGAAGCTTACATACGTTGTACGTGATCGTCATCACCCGAGTATCCTCGCTTGAGCTTGAAGCCGATGAAGATGAATTATCCTCAGCATAGCTCGCAGACGCGCTAGCGCTGAAGCCAAACGCGCCCCCTCCACTATGGTACTGTGGTCAGCCAAAATTCTGTATCGTCAATGGAAGACCTTACACAGCCATCTCTGCTGCAACCTGGGACAAAGAGCTCTGTGCAATCGCACGCGAGACGGCCTTTGTCTTTTCGAACTGCTCGATGTACGAGTCGTCCTCGATACGGAACCGAGGGACTCTCAGCATTTGCTAGTAGTGGGGTAGTCAGTCGAAAAATGAGCGACCCAAAGTGTAGTAGGCTGGGTTACCTTCTGCTTAGCAACATAGTCGGAGGCAGCACTGACAGAGATCTGGTAATTCAGGAAGAGGCGTGGTTTAAGCACAAAGGCTGGGATGAGATATGAGCTGAAGAACATGGATGGGCTTAGAGTATGATGACTGACCGGTATGCATCGAGCGCTCCACCACCTTTCCCACCTTTTCATCAACCTCAACAACCTGGTAAGCGTTAAGAAGAGAGTTGTTACGCAGGACAACGCTCCAGTGCTTTTCCGACATGTCTGCGGCGTGGCTAGATGGCAGAAATATCAGCATGTAGTCCGATCCACCTTTGCCACAATGTTACTTACACAATACTGAAGGTAGTGGTGGGATTGATAAAAATGTTGTGGCTGAAACTGGTAGGCAACTCAGCAGGCTTAGGCTGTTCTGCAGTAGGAACACCTGCAATCTTGTTCTATGTATGTTGTGAGCATAATGTGGGAGGTGCTGCTTGTCTCGTGGCTTACGTCCACTGTGGCTTTGCCACCACCTCGTTGGAGGACATCCCGCAAGAAATCCTGATCCACAACCTTTTCGGATTTGAGATAAACTCGGTAGATGTCGGCGTTATCCACTTCGATCTCCTACAGTGTGTAAGTACATTGGGTCACAGACAGGATAGTCCAACTTACGCCAGCTTCGCTAGACTGTACAGGGTTAGCAACAGGTTCATATGGGAAAGATAATAGATACATACCTTTTCATTCAGGATATCAAGGTATGACTGGAAGCTGGTGGTGTCCAGGACCTTTGCACCGCGTTGGTTGCAGAATGTACTCCAGAGCCTATGTCACTTAGTACATGCCTTATGCTTCCTTCGGTGTGACATACAGTCTGGGTTCCAAGATTTTCTCACTAACCAACAGCTCGCGAACATCAGAGAGCCTCATCTTGGTGGTGTCCCCATTCTTAAAGGGGATACACGCCTTTTCCTTGATGACCCTGGTCTGACTGTTGTAGGAGTAGACGTGGAGCACCTGCTGCGACTCGCCTTTCAAATCTGTAAGGATAAGCGATGGCCATTTCATCAAACCGTGATGGGACACAAACTGGCTAGGAGCTTCGCAAGATCTTCGCTCAAGGTCTCAGCCGTCGTAGTAGTGGCATCGGCAGCAGTAGTAGCTGTGGTTGCAGCCGTAGCGGCGCCTTTGAGAAGAGAGCTCATCTTGACAGAGAAACTTGAATTGCGAGTTGTGAAAGAGGATCAAGGGTTGCAATAATGCTGGGATTGAATAGAATACTTTGAGCATGCTGGGGGAAGAACAAGACTTTATAGCATGCATACAGCACAGTATCAGCAGTCTGTAGTCGTGTACTGAGAACTTCCTACGATGTGACCTGACATCGCATCCTGGTTACGCATCCTGGTTACGCATCCGAATGCAGCTTCGTTGCTGGCGGGTGCTCTCTCTCTCCACCTCAGCTGAGGGGTAACGAACATTATCTTGACATTTCATTGGCGCTGTTCAACGTATCGACAAGGTAACACCTGCATGCTTCTAGTCCTGATCACACAATCTATAGTAGTGTGCGGTGGCAAATGGAACACATGGTGGTTATTGGACGTTGTGTCTTCAGGGATGGCAGGATGTGACATGCTATGCTTCGTTCAAATCCCGGTTGTACTTCTTAGTCTCACCTTTCTGGCTAGATGATATTTTCATATCCCGAAGGATCAGCAATTAGTTCCGATGATCGTCTCGTGTGCGATATCAGCAATTCTCTCCTTATACAGGGTTTAGCATTCAAGCTCGAAGCAAATTTGCTGTGACCCGAGGTCTTGTTGGTACTGGGAGAATGCTTTGGCGAGATTATCAAAAATTCCACAGGCCCTTGAACCCTTGCGGATGTTTTATCCGAGTGGCGACGATGCGGATATTGGAAATCCTAGAATCCACTCCAGGGCGGCCCGCTCCGTATGAGACCTGAGTACAGGATGCAAGACGATCCTGGACAGGTATCAGCTCCGTGAAAGTCTGCAGGAATTTCTCGATCGATGGCCCGGCCCCTCTTTCCGTTCTCTGGGTTCCACCTCTTAGATCTTAGCAGGGTTTAGCCACTAACCTGCGACATATTCTCCATAACTGTCTAATCTGACCTATCGAAGGAAATGATAATGCTGTTGGAACTCGTTTACTGTTACTTGGAAAGTTCGTCACGAGGTTCCCAAGCGGGGGAAGAATCCTTGCATCTCCCAGTTATTGGCGCCCTGTGCATATAGTAAGCACTATTCCTGCGAGGATTCTACCGATAACTAAGGATGAGGGCAACAATACTTTCCTGAACACTTCATAGGAGGCCGCTGGCTGTCCCTACCCCGTCAGTCAGTGAGCACTATGGGCCGGGTGAGGGGCACCTTCTGCCGGTTTTCTGTGGTAGATACTTGTGGGTTGAGCTGACTGTATGGCCGAAACCGTTGTCCGGGCCTCGTTCAACACCATCGCCACAGTCGGGGGATTCCCGAGTCATTTAGGGCCGGGTACGGATGGGAATTTGATTCTGGTCCGATTTGAGTCTTGACAGGCCAGGGCTGCGGGGTCCAGCTGCCAGCTGCATATGGGCTTAGTGTCGGAAATATGACTCCGTCCGGGATGCCCAGTTACCTAGTATCAAAGTCGAGAGCACCTAGGGTCTAGACATGGGGCTTGGTCTGATCGGTGACCAATGTGGTGGGAGTGGAACAAGAAGGTCCCCTGACGCTTTGTATAACAGGCCCACGCCTGCGGACGCTAAGCTAGGATCTGGCGATGGTGAATCGCGATGATTGGCGATCCTCGTTTTAGGTGAAGACCAACGTGGGGCGGGGCTGACAAGCGCATCTTTTAGTTGATCTCCGCAGCAATTTCAAATCCCGAACCTGGGCCTCTTTCCAGCTGGTCGCACCACGTCTGCATGTTTGTCGCTGGTTATTCATCCGAGTATACCCGGACACGGTGGCTGGCTGAAATTGAAATCGAATACACACTCATGTGCGAGGTTTGGGTTAGACTGGGATTTGCCCCTCCAGAGCGTGAGGCCGACAGCGGTGGATAGCTATCTGCCTGGGTTCTGTGATGGAGTAGTATCGGGGTATGGAAGTTGACGAAACGGGAGGGGGTTGGCAAGTGAGGGATTGTGAAGTGGCGTCGGGTTGTTCATCCTTTAGAGGGAAGAAGCGGCATTGGGATGATGAACAGAGGGGGATGTTGAGGGAGCGAGAGAGAGGGAGAGGGAGAGGCTCTCCATGAGGAGGGGGTTTGCATTGTATGTCTTGCAAGCATCCACCGGGAGATTCTCGACAACATCTCGACTCACTGGTCTCTTTCTGGGGAATCGACCTGAACATCCCCGACCTCCATATGTCATGATTTTGCCCGACAAGGCGAAAGAACAAGCTGTGCTAACTATCAAGGCGACGAGCGCAACGATTATGACATAGACAATTCACGCCATATTGATAGCTACATGGATTCATCGCGTGTTTGAGTGGGCACTGATGTCCACATTGTCCACTTCAACTCGAAGATATACGTTGTCTCAGACCAGACCAATCTACACCGTGGCAGAAACAAATATCTATTCAGTTTGCGTGATACGAAGAAAATACGGTGGGTTAGCAGCATGAGATGCGGCCACCCACCATGAGGGCCCAAACCCGGTGATTATGAATATCGCTCAATGGCCAGGCGCAGCAGGAGTCCTCTAATCATGAACAGGACATGAAAGAATGTCGCGGAGACTCTGTAGAACCTCGTTCTTTCTCCACTGAAGCCATGGTAAGTTCGCCGGTTAAGATATTCTTTGCTTGGTATACTCAAGCTAATATCAGCGCGTACATTAAATTAGGCATGTCGGACACCCACCCTCTTACCTTTGTTGCCAGGAAATTCCTTGATGTCGCCGCGTACCTACAATCTCGCCTTGTAGAGAATGTACTATGCCCACAACAAACACATCAAGGCGCATAAACATATACTGCCCCTAGTATCGGTACTGTGGCTTCGCAGTACTTCACGAGTGGCCTTTTTTTCTAGCACATCCAAATCGCTGTTGTTGATGGAAACCTCGGGGAAATGCATTGCACAATTACATTCATGCAGATGCTGTCTCTATATGCCGGTTTAAAGTCGATGTCGGGATTGTGTTTGTTGCAAACAAGTGATCCTGGTGCTCGGAACATGTGTGTTCCCCATTTAGGGAACTTACACTGTTTAGAATTGAGCAAACAAACAGTACCTTCCATCTTCTACCATTCAACGATGATGACGTCTTGGCATCCCGAATACATAGGCGCTGTGGAATAACATCTGGGGAGGTTTACCGCTTGTCGGGGAGACGAGCCATGGCGGAGAGATGCCCGACCGCAAAGGCTCGGCGATGCTCCGACACGTCCATTCCCGCCACCGCCCATCTTCATTCTTGTCTTCCCGTTGGCAACCGGTAGATATACCCAGGATATGGCAGATAAACTGTGCAAAGCACTTCTATTCTCTGACGGGTACTAGACTTTCAGCATAACTGGTGCACTGAAGAATACCAGCAGAAACCAGACAACCTGGATACTCCGATCCCCGAGACTATTGGCGCCACTTGCACCGCATGCGGCTAGCGTCACCCCGCATTGAGATGTACCGAAGCACGCGGGCGATCTGTTTCCCGACCGCTGGGGAATGCCTATATCATCCTCCGCAGGCCCGGCTTTCCGCCAGCCTTGCTCCTGCCTTGATGGTCACAGTCGGCATCTATCCAATTGAGGTGCTGGTGCAACGGATCAGCACTCACCATTGGCAAGATGACAAAAAAGGCACGCCTATCTGCACGGCAGATTTCCGAACACAAGTCACCCGAAGACTGTTGGATTGTGGTCGACAACCACGTGTGGGATGTGACAGACTTCTTGGAGGAGCACCCGGGAGGGTCCACAAGTGAGACCAAGGCGGCTTCGAGAAAGCATGGGGACTGACATGTAAACCCTAGTTATCTTAAAGTACGCCGGAAAGGACGCCACCACAGCATACTCGGAAGTCCATGCCCCGAGTGTCATCCAAACACACCTACCCCTGGAGAGATATATGGGAACCTTGGATGAATCGACGATCGCCGACGACTGGGTGAAGCTGCCGCCGACCGAGAACCCCCAGGTACTTCTGGAAAACGAGAAGCCGCCGCTTCACACCCTCATCAATTCCCATGATTTTGAAGTGGTGGCATCGAAAACGGCTAGCAAGAAAACATGGGCGTTCTATTCCAGTGCTTCAACGGATCTGCTTACGAGGAATGCAAACAAGTCATGCTTTGACCGCATATGGCTGCGGCCAAGGGTGTTGCGGAATGTGCGGTCAGTGGACACAACAACGCAGCTGCTTGGCGTCGACACGTGCCTCCCGCTGTTCGTCAGCCCGGCGGCAATGGCCAAGCTCATTCATCCGGATGGTGAACTCGCCATTGCCAGGGCGTGCGAGAACAAAGGTATCTTCCAGGGGGTATGCATCTCCTTTCCAATCGAGACCCTCTGATTGTGATTACAATCTAACTACATCCACAGGTCTCCAACAATTCATCCTATCCTCTAGAGGAACTCCGTAATGCTGCCCCTGCAGCAAATTTCTTCTTTCAACTGTATGTGAACCGGGATCGCGAGAAATCTGCGGCCCTTCTCCGCCAATGCTCCGCAAACCCCAACATCAAAGCCATCTTCGTCACGGTTGATGCCGCTTGGCCTGGGAAACGGGAGGCAGATGAGCGTGTCAAAGCAGACGAAACCTTATCGGTCCCGATGGCTCCATCTAAAGCGAAGAATGACAAGAAGGGCGGTGGTCTCGGTCGCGTCATGGCCGGATTCATCGACCCCGGATTGACGTGGGAGGATCTAGTGTGGGTGCGACAGCACACCCACTTGCCCGTATGCCTAAAAGGCGTAATGTCCGCGGATGATGCTATCCTCGCAATGGAAGCCGGACTGGATGGTATCATGCTTAGCAATCACGGTGGGCGCAACCTAGACACCAGTCCGCCGTCCATTGTCACGCTTTTGGAGCTTCACAAGCGGTGCCCAGAGGTCTTCGATCGAATGGAAATTTATGTCGATAGTGGTATCCGTCGGGGCACGGACATCCTGAAAGCTGTCTGTCTGGGGGCCACGGCGGTGGGGATGGGACGCAGTATGCTTTTTGCAACGAACTATGGCCAGGAGGGTGTGGAGCATTTGATCGACAGTACGCCGTCCATCCCAGTCCTTTGTTTCAGTTAGTTTGTTTGCTAACGGAAAGCTTTGTAGTCATGAGAGACGAACTGGAAACGGCAATGCGTAATACAGGAATCACCAGCCTTGACCAAGCGGGTCCTCATCTCGTCAATACGGGGGATATCGACCATCTTGTTCCTAAATCTGCTAGACATCCGTACGCACGGATGATCGCTAAGGGACGGGGTTTACCTAGACCCAAACTTTGATCGGTGCTGAAATTCGGGTCAAAGTATCGAACAGCGACATGTGCCGAGATTAGATACATGTCGGTCTGCTAGTCATCACAGGGTGTCCGACATATTGTCATCAAAGGGCGCCATTAACGTGTGGTGATTCATATCTACCAACTACATCCAACCTAAATAACGTATTAACTTTCTGTATGTCCAATCCAGACGAGATTAATATGCACAGGCCCAGTCCGTAGAACATCGCGATTCCCCTATTGTCTAATGATCCTCCAACCCGCATGTAAAGGCACTTGAGCACGATACAACACGTAAGCCCCTCCTAAGTCTACATAAATCTTCGACCCACGTTTCCAGTTACCCATCACAATAATCTCCAGATCATTTTCTTTTCCACCGGATCTCTAGGTAGGTCCTGTGTATCAAAATCACCAACGGAATCCACATCTGCTAGATTGAACAGACTAGTTGAATGCATACGACCGTACCACAGACCCACAGAACAATATCACCCTCTATTCCTAAGATAATTCAACATTACATAATACATGTCAATTACAATGCCCAAACATCCATAATAAGTACCGGCGTCTACCTAGAGAACCCCGCTATTTTCTCCCCCGTATATCAACACAAAGCCCCAAAAAGATCCTCCAGTCAGCAGAATCTCCGCAGAGAATACCTGCACGAAGCCGGAATATGCCTAGCAGAACAAAAACTACTCCCGTTAATATCTATATACAAGTAAATACCTCCATAAGACAAACTCATCTCAGCAGCCGAGGCCGGGAACGGGGACCGGGACATTGAAAGGACAGAGTCATGTGTTCAATCAATCCACCACCAAAAGCCGAGGGATTGAGTTTAGACCCCGACCCATCATCTTCACCTTCTTGCACTCACCTGAGTCATAAATCCCAATAAGGACAAATATATATACGACCCTAAAATCTCTCAACAAGACCCTGGGCTGCGTGGCTCGAGGATCAACACAAAAAAAAAAAAAAAGATCAAACCAATGACATGCACACCAACCCGTCGTGTGTGTGTGCCTTTACCAAGTCCCTGCCCCTCTTCAGTGGTTGGGTATGAGTCGTATTTAGTATGTTTGTGGGATACTTCTATTTGGAAGGAATGCGATGTTGCTAACGCGGACAGGGTTTATTCGCAACATCTCCGGTAGTGTGACCATGGTGGTGTGGATAGTGCGGTTGGTTGTCTGGGTGGGGGAAATGTCGGACTGAGTTTGAGGCGGGAACTCAGTAAGTAACACCGGCCTGCTTGATATCTAACCAGCAGTATTTATGGGTCGTTGCCGTTGGGATGATCCTTTGGACGTTCTCAGGGGTAGGGATTACGATTTGTTGGGTGTACTTGAATCTCTGACGGTGCGCTGGGATTCTTAGGTCGAGATGGGTGGGTCCTCAAGCGGAGAGGAGGATTTTATGAGTGCGATTATATGTGTGGTTTATCTCAGGATAGAGGAAGATATTGTGGAGGGAGGGTTTGATGGGGTTCGTGATCGATTGGGGAAACACTATGGGGGATGGGTCGGGGATACGGAGTGTTATATAACTGGAACTAGAACTGGAACTGGAAGGATGGGAGAAGGTACGGTGTTGTGCTATATGGCTGGGATTGGGGACTGGAAGTGTGGGGGAGCGTGGTCTGTCGTGTCTTTTTATGGAACATATGACTAGATTTGTTACGGCACAGTGAGAGATTACGATCTCTTGGGGAGGTTTAGAGGTGCACGGGGAATATATATTGATGGAGGGAAGGAGTCTTCTTTGAAGCATTGAGGCTGATGAGCCAGGGGGGGTATTATGATCAATGAGGAAGAAATTTTTCAAGATAAGTACACAACCCCTTTTATATATATCCAGGGATGCTCTCTCTCCTCTGCACACGTTTCCTTCTATCTTCAAATTCGATAGTTCCCAGTAAATAACACGAGCATCATGGACTCCTTAGGACTAGTATGATTGTTATAATGAACACAAAGACGAAACCTAATAGTTAGTACATAGATTTGTTTCTGTTGACATACAACGACCTACAAGCACCACCTAGCTGAGGGTTTTACTCGACCTGGTCAGTCGAACTATCTTGGCATTGGAGATAGTGTCGAGAAAGTGAAAAGATGGCGTGGAAAGAGGAGAGATGACTCGCCTGTGGTACGTGAAAAGGAAGATGGACGCGAAAGGGATTTAACACTACATGTATAATTAGGATTGTGCACCGCACAACAGACACCGACAGATATCGCTCATTTCAGTGCGACAGGCTATGGTAACCTGATTGGTATGGCAGACCAAGAGTGCATTGCAGAAATATCGGGTAGTGTGCTACAAAGGAACTGACTAAGTCCAAGTACAAAGATTGCAGACGTAGAGTTCTCCTGAAGTTATAATTGTTCTCCAAGGCTGCGTGTAACCATATCATTGGCAGGTATCGTCCAGAGTGCCCCAAAAGGGCGGATTCATACCACCTCAACAGTTTGTCTTATCTCTCGCAACTCCCAGATCTGACCCCTCGCAGGCTTCAGACTGCGTCTCCCTTCGGCGGTAGCCACAGTATGTACCGGACTCTGAGGCACAGCGGGTGAATCTTCATCCCACATTGATGGCCATCGACCTCCAGCCTTTGCAGGTCTTAGGGGTGCCCTCAGATCGGCACTGCTATCATCAGCCTTCTTCGCCGGCCCAGTGTTGTCAGTATTCACGAGGCTGCGATCTGACCATCCTCTAGGGCCAAAGAGAAAAACCCTTCTAAGGTATCCCGGGCGACGGATAGAGCGACTACCTTGCGCCTGTTGGGATTCCAAGCGAGTGAGGGAGGAATTCTTGCTGGTTTTCGATCCTCGCAATGACCCAAGACTGAGAAGACTGCCGAGAAAGGTGCCGGGCGATGCGTCGCGGGCAAGACGGTAGATGATAGGAAGACAGATCGCGACGATCGCGACGCCGATTTCAAGCATACCCCAGAACATCAGGATGCTGACAATTCCTGTGATAATGGTTGAGGATTTTAGATGGAGGAATGTCTGGATGGGAGAACGAACCGATGTCATCGTTCGACGACACTCCGCCGACAGTAGTGTGAGAGAATACTAAGATCATGGTGTTAGTGTACTGTAATGCAGGTGTTGCGTTTGGGATATTCAAAATAAGAGGCATACATTTGGGTCCGAGGATGCTGGCGAAGAGTGCCATGCGAGCTATACCACAAGCCGTCGCACTGAAAGGTCAACGTGGATGCCCATCAATCAGGAATACTACACTCACATGGATCCGACGAAGAAGATCCCAAGGATTCCGATACGCTTCCTCAACGGAAGATGAAGAGACATCACCTATTCAAGTTAGCAATGATCTCCAATCGATGAGAGCTATGTGGTAATGTCAGCACCTACCAAAGGTAGCGGAATGGCCAGAATGATTAGATCCACCAACACATCAGAAACCGCAAATGCGATCAGGAGACCAAAGGTATTGATACAATGCTCCACAACCTCGCCCAGTGTCGAGAAATTGGCCATGAAATGAGTGCCACACGACGACATCAGTGCAATGATAAACGTCGCTCCCCAAGCGATCACAATACCAATCAGCGTCCAGCTGGCGATGTTGAAGAGACGTCCAACAAAGATTCTTCGATAGAAAAACAGCACTGAAAGTTTGAGAGCCGTGAGAGCTGCGATTTGGAGGATGTCAAACGGGAACTCTAACTGTGCGTCGGAATGTATTAGCACTATTTTTTGATAGACGGCTGCTTTGAAAACACCAACTACGGGAGATTGAGCCCACCCGTTCCAGCAAGATCTGATCCCATCCATCGTAGCTGAGAATACCCAATCCGATGTCTTCAGGTGAATGGCTTCCGACTGTATGTGTGGCGGCACCTGTCCACCTCGTCCATCAGCTTGGGTGCATTGCCAGACCGCCGAGGGTGAAAGGGCTTGGTACCGGTGATCATAAGGGCCGCGGCAGCTGTCACCAGAGCCTATTGCACATCGAAGTGTCAGCCAACATGTCCATTGAGTTTCTCATCGAGGGGCACAAGGCTATGTCTTGAGGGGGGAAAGCACACCCATGCTGCGAGTGCAACCCAATCATCTACTCCCACCTGCTTCCTCCGATATTGCACATAAAATCGACCAGATATGGCCAAGGTTCCCAGAAGCGTAAATAGTATGCCCACGCCAAGCACGCTGTCTTCATTTACGTAGGTCATTCTGTCGCAGGATAGGGGTTTGGGCTGTGATTAGAGCCAGTGTGAATATCACGAAGTAGTCCCAAGCCTCACGTATTAGTAGCCTCTGGTGGTGACAGTGTTGAGGAAGCAACGACACCTCCACCCAGGGGCAAATAATGCTCAGCCCCGCAGTACTCCCAACTTATGGTGACTACGGAAGACATTGTTTGACAAACGGCTGCGAATACCTGATTTGCGTTTTGCATCTGCATATCTGCCAAGGGAGGGGGGCTGTGTGCGGCGGGGGCCATAAGCTATCGCTGCAGAAGCTTCAGGGATTGTAACCTGTCTGTCCCGTCTTGGTATATCCCCGCATCGTTGGACTGCAATGTGACACAGGGGATGCACGAGCCGGAGCAGCGGACATCGATACGTATCCGGAGTCCCTATTGATCTGCTCCGGCGGGGATAAGCGCTGACCAGCGCTGAAAGTCATGGATCCCCCCCCCAACACAATCGCCGATACCTGCGTTATCCAATCGACTGGTGACAGGCTCAGGTCAGATGTGGCTGTTCCTCCCAATCAAAAACAAGGGTAACTTCATCATCTTTCTACATGTTCTGTCGGATCTTCTCTGTGTAGCTGACTGACACGTGGTGCAATATAGACGGCAGATGAGGCATCGAACATGCCCGTGAAGTCGAGCCCTCTAACAATAGAATACGCGATACACGATAGAGAGGACTTGGTGGTTGGAGGCTATAGTTCCGACGCGCACAGGGTAAATAAGATGCTCATCGTCTTGAACGAATCACGTAGCTTCATTATGGTATTCTAAGTATCGCCATTGCACTCAAGGCTTCCACACAGCCTCAATTATAGCCATTGCAGCACCATCTGGGTCCAGACTCGTACATCAGCGAAGCGAGGATCGGCTTTCGAAAGCAGCTCAATCCAGTCGGCCTCCTCCCTTTCCCGGGCATTAAATAAGCTGAACATGGTCATGTCCATTTCCCTAGGCAGCCATTCAGTCAGCGCTTGTCATCATAGTCGGCAACCGAGGGGTACACACCGAACTGCACGTTCTTTGATCAAAGACATGGTCCCAGGTTCAGGCAGCAGATAGTCATTCACCACAATTCGGGCCCCCGGGCGCAAAGCCGGCACAAGGGCCTGGAGGATCCGGGTTGCATGAGAGTCGGACCAATTGTGGAATATATTCCGGAACAAGTACACGTCGGCCTGAACGGGTTGCGTGGTGAAGAAGTCATAAGCTTGAAACTCCACGCGGTCGCGCACGTCGTCGGGCAGAGTCTCGGCGACACCCTGGATCATGCTGGGTAGATCCTGAACGATGAACTTGAGACGACGGTACTTCTGGGCTAGCAGAGTGCTGATGTTGCCTTTGGAGCCTCCGACATCCACGATGGTGCCACTGCCGAGCGTATCCCATGGGTATCCTTGCACCAGGTGTGAGGGCGAGTTTCCATGGCCGGCAGCAAGGAATGACATTGCCCCGGCAAAGCGGCGAGCCATCTCCGGGTGAGCTGCGTAGTACTCCCATGGGGGCATGTCGGTGTTGTGGTAGTGAGACCAGCCCTATATTCCGGATTTGGTCAGTGGGCTCGAGGGCCAGGGAAATGGCCAACCTACCGATCTACCTGGTGCGTCACTCTGGTGTTGATCCAACGCAGGGAGTGTCTGCCACAGGTGAGAATGTTCCACTTCTGTCAGAAGTTAGGCGAACCTACATGTGCAAACGCCTGCCAAACCTCTTCGAACACGTACCCCAGCCCAGCACTGGCGTGCGGATCGTCGACTAGTTTGCGTGAGGCCGCGGTGTGAGCAACATAACCCTTACGCGGTTCCCGGAATATGTGGTGATATGCCATCGCAAATCGCAGACTGCGACGGAGGTTGACCTCATCGAGCCGACAGATCGCAGCCAGCTCGCTGAAGGCAATTTCTCCATGTATGGGAACATGCCGCGCAACGTCGTATCGGTAGATGACCTGAAGGCCCACGCCATTGTACTAATTGCGACAAAGGCTGTCAGTACGTACGGGCGTTGCGGCGAGGAGGCTCCCATGATGACCTACTACTGGAAGAAGGCAGAGGGTCGGCCCCAAGAGAAGATTCTGAAGTTCGAGAATGGATGCTAGAGCCTCTTCGCGAGCCGTGACAAGGTCTCCTGACAGACCTAGGTCCACGGGACCGTCTTCGTCAAAGCTCGGGGTGGGAAGGCCATTGCGCTGTAGATAATCATCTATGTCCGCCGTGCGCTGTTGAATGCGCGAGGCGAGCTGAATGATCCGAGTGGCATTCATGATGCTGAGCAGAGGGGTAAGATGCCAGTGGACAGGAGGAAACAAAGCGATAGCATTGGGAAAGAATAAACACGGAGTAATGGACCCTCGGGGTGGACAGCCTATTATAGGATCACTGAAAATATTTACCTGCGTCGTACTCAACTCACTTTCACTGACTCACCAGGCTTGATTGATTCAGATAATGCATCTTTACTGGGAGGACATGAAGGAGGCAAAGACCTAACGGAAAGCTCATGCGTCACCATGACTGGTTTGCGGAGGGCTTGGTGTGGTGTCGTGCCAAACTGGAAGAGACAGACGAATTGTTTGGATAGATAGGCTCATAGCCTGCATCGCCGCCTTCTCCGTGTTTTTCTTCATACGTGCGCCAAGGCCAACCAGTCGGATGACCACTACTTGATGCATCCCGGGGTCAAACCTCCCCTCCTCGGATCAGTTGGCCAGAGATACGGCCTCACTTGTGGGCAGCCCTGATGGCCCTCACCCTTTTCTATATCTACTTCAAATGACGATTTGAGGTGCACTGCTAGGAAGGAAAGCAACCTCGCACGGATCAAGATCCCTCGCCCCGAATTTTGTCCTGAAGAATTCATCGGATCGCCATCTACCGAGCAACGTCTTGCACGTTACAAAACTCTTGATTGGTTCCAATCGGAACCGTGGAGCCATATCGTCCTCCATACAGCGGTGCAAGTTTCCATGGTGACGTAGGCCACCTGCCGTGTGACTTTTCGGCCATGGTGAGTCTCTGCTACCACAAGCTGCAGTACAGCGCTCAGGAAGTCACCATGGAAAATAAAATACGAAGGCCATTTTTGAATGACAGGGGTGCAGATGCAGATCACTCCGGCCGAATTGCCCAAGTTAACGGGTTCAGGTGGGGGTAGGTGGTTGGATGCAGAGCTCCGGGGAAAGCCTTCCGACAGCCCAGCGCCAGGTGAGATACATTCAATGCTTAATCACCGAGCTGGGCCGACCAGGTACACACACTTTGTACATACATCATATGTATGGGAATCGGCAAGCGCGGCAGACCTTGGCACCGTTGACCGATTGGCAGACCTGCCATATCATGCAAGAACAGGCCGATTTCCAATCAGACGACCACTAGGAAATAAACCGGTATCTAACAACACATACATACTCTACATTGAAAGTCAAACATGCAGGAGGAAGCCAACAGGAACGACACACAAGAGTGCCATGTTAACTTGTTTGCTTTTGCGGAACTGTGCAGATCGGCGGGCTCTCCATGGTTCGACTCAACGCCCATAGCAAGCAAGCAAGCAAGCGTCGACCAGCCTGAATTCCTTGCTGACAGGCTGTGCCCCCAAATTACAAAACGACTTGGAGTGCTGTGTAAGGTGGCGTTATTATCCACACCAGGCCAGCATGCCTGGCTCGGTTTGCGACGCTCATTTGCTGCCACAGGGGCCATGGATAATGTCGTGCAGGGAGGCTAAGCAATGCCAAACCACTTGGAATCGCAGCTGACGGAAACCAGCATCTGTGTAGCCATTGGCCAATGGTATCATGCAACCCGCTCTACCGAGTGCCCACTGCCTTTCTTCTTGTCAGGTCGACTCTAGTGCGCCCTGGTGCTAGACAGGATTCCTATAGTTACACAGTGGGTCAAGCACCGCCTCCTGTGAAACCTTACATTGCGGGCAATAAATTCCTGTGGTAAGTCCGGAAGCTTTCCTGATGGATACAGTGTTGACTAATTTCTTCCAATCAACCTCTGCGCGCAGTCGGTGTCGAATTGATGGGATGGCCCGCCCCCATGTTTGCGATCGACATCGATGTGCGTCCATTACCCTGTGACTGAGCAATAGAAATGCAGGGGTCAATCCCTGCAGCCCCATTGCTAATGCCCACTGTAACAGGCAAAACGACCCGTCTACCGCAGGAACATTCCAGCCACGCGGGCTCCTCGTGGGTTCACGATGCCAGTCGGCATGGTAATGATACTATCGAGGGAACGCGCGCGTATTCTGGCCGTGAGGGATTTTCCAGCGTCTGGTCACAGGTTTTGTCACACCGCCAGGGGTTCTTACCGGGGCGAGAAACCAGGACCAATAATAAGACTTGCCCCAGTCCTCCAAAAACGCCACCTACTGTATGTGCTTGTTTGATCCTGTTTGCCTACAGAATGCGTTTCCCAGGTGCAGTTCGTCTACCGTTTCCTATAATTCGGGCCCGGGTATTTGAGCCCGCTGTTTATGAGAGCACGTAGAATGGTAAGCCGAATTGCCAACCTTCTTACATCAATTCCTCCACGCCTTCTAATCTCCCCTAAGCCCCCGCGAAATGCAGTATCCCAAGCTCGTCAGCATGCTCCTCATCATCGTTCCCCTCGCCGGCCTGACCACGGCTGCCCCAGTCGCTGATGCCAGTGCTGAGCCAATAAACGGTGAGTTCACAACAGGGCCACTTGGAATTTCACGAGATGACAAGCTAACGGGGTTTACAAAAGCAATACGTCGCGTGCCGTCCGCCGACGATGTCGATCTTAAGGCAATCGGTGATGTCTACAAGATGTAAATTGTGGACGGGTTCATTGTTGGAGTGGTGGAGAAGGAGGTGATGAATTTTGTGTATGGAAGGAAACCTTGATGTTCGTTCTGTTAGATGTCTAGTCTACAAACAATTTGAGTCCCCTGTGACAACCCAGAATTCAATGCCGCCCAGACACACCTTGACAAGGAGTATAAAGTATCTCCAACCCGCCGACCGAACCCCCTCTCCCGTCCCCTGCATTTGCCTCTTCCCTTTCTCTTCTTATCATGAAACACTGGATCAAGGACCTCGTGTCCCAACCCCAATCCTCCCAACTATTGACCACCACCACTACCGACGACTCTTTCGCTATCACATCCAACAATCAGACCTATACTCCTCGCAAAAGAACGGGAACATGCTTCCTCCTCATTCTCGCCGCAATGGTCGTCTGGCTCAGCGGCATAGTCATGGGCATTCTCCTCGCGCAGACCAATGCTCTCCGCCCCAATCAGGCCGAAACAGCACCCACCAGCACAATCCCTCAGAGTATGCATCCCTCCAATTCATACCACCACACCCAAAGCAGGACCAAACCTCACACTGTCCGGATCAGTGATAATCACCACGCACACAACGCAGAAAGTCCAACATAATCCGGCATTTGAAGCCCCTCCGCCCACGGGTGGAGGGGCCGAGCCGGTGTGGGATTCCTTGATACCAGGTACATACATAAATACCTACGCACTGTTCTCATCGATACCTTTCCCTATCCTTGCTGCATTCCTTTTCCATTTTTTTTCATGAGCGATTGCACGAGCACAATAATAACTAGGATTCTCAAATCCACAGATGGTTTGGGTTATGTCCTCCACCCAACCCTCAGCCCTAACATATCCGTCGTTGGGGTGTTTCATCAATTACACTGCCTGGTTGGTTATCCCCTCCCTCCCCCCTTTTTTTCATTTCTTCCCTCTCATTCCACCGAGTATTAAACATGCAAAGTATCTCATCCGTCGGGCCTACTACGCTCCACACAACCCTCACTCAAACCCATCAAGTGAAGAGAAAGCCTCCTTCGACACGGGGGTTGACCGGCCTCCGCATGTTGGTCACTGTTTTGATTACCTCCGACAGAGTTTGATCTGTACCGCCGATTCGCGACTTGAACCTGCTACGCAGAAGGCCAACGGAAATCCCACCTGGGGGTTTGAGAGAGTGTGTTGGGATTTCGAGGAGGTGAAAAACTGGGCGGGGAAGTGGAAGGCGTATGATATTAGTGGGAGCTTTGTGCCGTTTTCTGTGGAGGATCATCATTTCTAAGCAGATTGAGAATTGGTTTTTTTTTTTATTTTTTATTTTGGTAGGGCAAGTGGGGATAGTTGGGATGGATATTCATAACGGTGAAAAAAATAAACAAATCAGGGCAATTCATTCACCCCGTCATTTCCATCATCGCAAAACCCAAAATGCTCCCAAAGGGGAATTGGCTCGTCACTGTCGCGGTAGCAGGCCGTGTGGCGGGTGGCATAGTCGCGTAGCTGTCCCCAGTCCTTGCACTCGTGGACTTGACCATCGCCTGCGGTGAAGTCACCGAAGCTGTAGAGGGGCGTGCTGTCGGCATTGCAGATGATGTACTGAACACGTTTAGCATGGAATCTGCGATTCAGGAGATGGGGGAAAGGGTTGAAGCTCACCTGTCGCAGTGCATCAAAGCAATGCTTCATATGTGCGCCCGGGGGATGGGTAAAGGGATTTCCCTCAATGGCTTCCAAGAAGGTCTTGCGGAGGATGCGCTGAGAGGTTTAACTCTAGCCCATGGACACCACAGAGGGAGAGGGATCACTCACCAGGCAATGCAGGTAATGATACGCCTCCAGCAAATACACCCCTTTACTCCCATCCGAGGGGAGATACATGCTGTCGGGCCAGCCGTGATCTTGCGCCCAGGTGCGGTCGATGGCCACGAACCCGTGGGCGGGCTGGATAGCCTCCCATAGCCCGTCCTCCTCAGTTCGATTGCTATTCATACTGTAGGGAGTATTCCACCAGAATTGCTTCCAGGTGGTGTCGAGAGTGTAGCGTTGGGGGGCTTGATCTACTATCGTTGGCATTTGTGCTCCATGCTCCGGGGGGGGAATAACGTACCAGATGATGGAGGTATGGTTGGTTTTAGGATTGATTGACTTGAAGATCCCCAGTGATATCCACAGAAACTAGAAATGGCAGTAGAGAGGAGCAAGATCACGACGAAGAGGATCCCCTGAGGAAGAAACTGTTTGCGTGGGCGTGATGTGGAGAATTCTTCCAAGGACGGATCATCGGGCATAGAACCTCCCTCCTGTGCGGCCACAGGCTGATAACTATGGGCTGCCATGCGGTCGATGACGGGGAAGCATAACAATTAAAGCGTAGGGGGGTGGATATGAAGTCAAGAGTATGGAGGAATCACGAGCACACATCCATGGCGGCGGAGGGGACAGCGCCGCCTGGCGGTGTAAATCCATAAGTACGGCGAGATTGCTTCGGAGGATAGGCAATGGCCGGGCCCTCAAAGGCTACATTGGAGCCTGTGACTCCCCACCTGGTACTCATGCAGCCAGGCCCACGCTAATGCCGGTGACGCAGAAAAGGGCCATAAGTACTACTAGGTACCCCCTGGAAGCTCTCTCTCGGGGGTGATGGATTCCCTCCAGCGCAGTTACGGCTGGCTGCGAGCGCATTCCTGTCTATCTAGCGCCTCTCATTGTCTTCCTACCTCCCCCCCAATCCATCTCTCACTCCAACCATGCCTTTATTCGCGGCCAAGGGCAAACCCACTGAATATTCTCTCCTCCACCACGTCGATTCCCCCGAGGGAGTAGTACACGAAGAAGCGGAGGAGTGGCCGAAACGTCTTCATAGACCTAGTCGGCTTCCCATTGCCCTCGTGGTGACACTGATAGGCGTGCTATATGTAATAGCGTCGTTGCTGTTCTTTCCCACCCGGCCGACGGCCTGTGTCCACCCTCGTCTGCGACGAGAATGGAGGACCCTGGGTCCATCCGAGAAGAAAGCGTACCTTGCTGCTGCTCGATGCCTTACCCGAACTTTGTCTCCCCGGGGCCCGAGTGTGGCTATTCATGATGAGTTCTCGCTGCTTCATAGTCGTACGGGAAATTACTGTAGGTGGTGACTATTTTACCCAAGGCCCAGGCAGCCCCCCCCTCGGCCATGATATGTCTCATAACTATAAAACCAATGGACTAATAGATAAACCAGCTCACAATGCCGCCCCTTTCCTGCCATGGCATCGCTACTTCATTCAGGCCTATGAGCAGGCCCTACACACCCACTGCAACTACACCGACACACTCCCGTATGCCCCCCCCCCTTAAATCACCATGTTCCCTTCCCATTCTCATCTCACCGTAACAGATACTGGGACTGGACCCTCGACCACGCCAACCTCATTCGCTCCCCCATCTGGCACCCCATCGATGGATTCGGATCCAACGGGTCCGGTCCTGACAGCGTCGCCGCCGGTCACTGTGTCCAGGACGGTCCCTTCGCCGGTTTCACAGCGGCGTATTTTGAAGGCACTTACCACCCCCATTGTCTCTCTCGGGGGTTCCTCAACGAAGAGACTATCAAACGGGTTGGTAATCTCACTGTCAAACCCTCTATCCTGCAGGAAATCATCACCCAGAATTCCACATACTTCGATTTCCTTCTGAGCGTGGAGCAAATGTCGCACTTGACCATTCCGTACATAGTCCAGGGGGATTTCTCAAAGGTTACGGCGCCGAACGGTATGATACCCCCTCTCCCTCAATTCCTCTGTTCTCAAGACTTATTGTTGATGGTGAATAGATCCGGTATTCTTTCTCCATCACGCCCAGGTAGATCGCCTATGGTGGAGTTGGCAGTTGGTGGGAACGGACCGGAGAAAGCAGTATAATGGCATTGCTCGGAGCGAGTCGACAGAGGAAGCGAGGTTGACGGATCGATTGGAGTTCGGGGGGATTGTGATGGAATCGCCCCGGGTGGAGGACGTGATGGATACGGAGGGTGGAGTGCTGTGTTATCGGTATGATGTGGATGCAGTGACGGGGAATATTTGATCTTCACTCTGATTTCCAGTGGACAATAATCCAATCCACACCAACGATTAGTAATGATAGTTTCTCCCCTCAGCACAATTCACTTTCATCTTCATCGTCAATGCCAATGACTATATAATTACACGGACTCACACAGGTGAGAATGAAGACAAGGAAACAACACAAGTCACATGTTTCATCCCCAGTTCCTTTGGAGAAAGATTTCTACACACGGCGACGACGCACCCGGACAATATTCCGACGCTTCGAGGCAGTAGAGATGGTCAGCGTCTCTGAAATACCAGCTGTGCATTTGGTGCCGGCGGCCATGCTCTGCGACGCATCCCATGCGCCGTTGACACAGCGCTGGAACGCCGTGCCGTTGTTGCAGTACCAGTAGTTTTCTTGGGTGCAGGAGCCGGTCAAGACACCGGAGGTTATTGCTGAAACTACGGAGATCGAGGTAGTGCTGGGGGTCGAGCTGGTGTTATCGCTAGAGCCCGGCTGAGTTTGGCTGCCGATGGTCAGGCCACTGCTGGGCTGGGTGGCAGTGGTGTCGGTGGTATCGGTATTGGCGGAGCTGGTAGGCTGAGGGCGGGATGAAGTGATCATTGTTGTTTGGGGATTGGTAGAGGACACGGCAGGGGAGGTCATGACAGCAGGATCTGTGGTCGCGGCGCTGGTGATGGCCGCAGGGGTGGTTTCAGCAGCAGCGGTGGCAGTGGGAGTGGCAGTACTGCCAGCAGTGTAGAGAGTCGGACCGGGAATTATGTAGCTGGTGATGGATTGCCAGATGTCGACGTAGATGCCCGGGTCGGTGTCCTTGTATAGTGCCGTGCCCAGGGTTCCGCTGGGAGTCGCGGTACCACTGCCAGTCACATTGAGGTTGATGCACTGGGGGTAGTTCTGGGCACCATCCAAGTCCTCGGCGCCGTGAAGAGCAATGATTTCGTGACGGAGGACGTAGTTCCCAGCCTCGATATCAGTGGGAATGGTGATGGTGCGGCTGTAGTTGGCATTGATGAGTTGGTCCGTGGCCCATGTACCAGGGATCTCGGTGTCGTCGATCAAGCCACCAGCGTCGATCTTGAAGAACTGCAGGGCTGTCTTATCGACGTCCGAGCAAGAACCGTTGCAGTTGGCCAGGTAGGTGATCACCGGGCCGTGATGGTCATCGGGCCAGGTGTTCCAGGTCATTTTGACGGCTCCACCGGGCGCAATTGGGGCAGAGAGGGCAGCTGGAGAGGAACCACGGTGACAGATGATGTTGGAGCTGTCGTAGTTCGTGGGCGAGACGTACCCATCATCCGTGGCATTGGTAGACCAGGCAATCAGTTCCGGGGGGTCGGACTCGTAGTAGTAGGTGTCGACGAGGTAACCACCGTACGTGGTACCATCTACCTCGATGCTGGAGACATAGCCATGGCCTGTCACTAGAGAAACAGAGGCCAGCAGGACGCTGACAAGTTTGGAAAGAGACATATTGTATGGCTTCACACACAGCGGAAGAAAGACAAGGGGGTAAAGAATGGAAGAACTTCAGTCATTGAAGTTAAAGAAAGGAATGAATGACTAGAGTCAGAACAGAAGATGAACTTGCTGAAGAGAACCCTGTCAATGGGGATGATTGGGCTATTTAACATGTTGTTAGTGGATGGGCCCTTAACAAGCAAGGGCCTGCTTCGATCTAAGCGAAGGCTCCAGTGGCTCCAGATCCAGTAGCTTTAATGAAGGGAGTTCGATCGCATCCATCCGATAAAGCCGAGTGGCATTTCTCTCTGTTGAGCTCTGCCCTACGCTGGTTGTTTCAGCTGTCTTGTGGAGGTTGATGGAACCCCGGGGAATGACGCGTCCATCCCTAGATTTATCACCCAGTCAATATCCGTGATAGTCAGAAGTCTCGCTGGAGTGGGAACTCTATCTGCAACTATGATTCAGTCATTGCATCGTTTACCTTCGAGGGATGAATCAACCATTCATCTTCGGGTCCATCGGTGGCAGTATGCGGGGACTCCACCCGAGTGTTGGAGATAAATTAGGGTCGGTTGATCGGGGGTTCAACCGAAGGGAAGAAACACGCCAGCGCCTAAGCGAGATGACAGGAACGGCCCCACTAATTCTCGGATCGGACAAAGAAGCGGTTCTTACTTTCGCTTCCTGAGTCAGTCGGCCAAACTGTGCTCTCGGTCCCAACCACTCAGATTGTGGGGTGAAATACATCCAGGGAGATGATTTTCAGATTTTTCGTGTTGTCCGGATCGATGGCAAGTGATTTTATGGATTTGCATATTAGTTTAATGTATGAGCACTCCGATGTACCTATACAATCGGAGCAGAGGATTCTGATTGGCCGGGCGGCGGGTTACCACGGTAATCCCCGAGTAACACTCATCCGTCAACCGCAGTGGTACTGTACGCAGTGCCTCCTATCATCCTCTTAACCATGCGCCGAACCCCACAACCCCCCTGGAAGAGCACCCTGGCCAGTCTCCACCAAAAAGTCCACTCGCATCGTCCATCCCAATACACGCGGTTCCTCTCATCGCGTCCGGGCGGGAGAGTAGGGGCATCCCACCCACCAGAACTATACACGGAAAAGCCAGGGGGAACCTGTCAGCGCGTCCTATTCTGTCCCACTATATGCGAAGGCTAACTCTTCTGAAGATGAGAAAATTCCCGAGGAATACCTGTACAGGTACACCAGACATCGATGGTTGTAAGCGAACCAGTCCCTTCGCATCACCCCCTTGGCTCACCAGATCCGCCCAGATCCAACGAGCAGGAGGAGTTATCCAAACGCTATGTGCGCTTCAACCTCCAGGGACTGCTTGATTCTGCTGTTTATGCCTGTGAAGGGGCTCAGTATTGTATGTTCTACCCTGGTGCATGCTCGACCGCATACAGCTAACCATCAGCAGGCACCCAGGTCGTCAAATGCGCTGAGGGTCTACACAACAAGGCATTTATCCTAACCATGAACAATGGCGTCGAGGTCTTTGTTAAGCTCCCCAATCCGAATGCCGGGCCTCGCCAGTACACCACTGCCTCGGAGGTGGCGACGCACGCGCTGGTGAGATCGGCAGTGTTGCCTCTTTCAGAACCCCTACTGATAGTGGAGACCAGCTCCGTGATGTTTTCAAAATCCCTGCCCCTCGCGTGCTAGCCTGGTCCTGCGATGCAGAAAATACCCCTGTTGAGGCAGAGTATATCATTGCTGAGAAGGCACCGGGGGTCAGGCTCGGTTCGGTATGGGGTCAATGGCCGCGCGAAGCCAAGCTGAAATTAATCACCCAGATTGTCGACATGGAGAATACCCTGACCACTGTGTCGTTTCCCAGGCACGGTTGTATCTACTTCAAAGACGACTTGCGCTCATTAACAGGGAAAGCTGAAGACATTGATGGCGACTCAGAATGCCTCGCTCGTTATTCGATCGGGCTTCTTACCTCTGCAGAGCTTTGGGACCATGGTAGGAGTGAAATGACCTTGGATCGTGGTCCTTGTGAGTGAGCTCGTCATGGATGTATCGTTGGGTATCAAACTGTTGTTAACACTTCCACACAGGGCTCAATCCACATGAATATACACAAGCATTAGGGCGTAATGAAATTGCATGGATCAAATCATCTGCCCACCCTCGCATGAACTACTACAAGTCTGCTGAAGATCCTGAGCGCCCCGAGGATGGCATTTTGCTTCTCACTCAGTACATGAATGCAGCCCCTTATTTAGTTCCCCCATCGACCGATGAAGCCTCCAATTGCAAGGTTCTCTGGCACCCAGATCTGCATCTCGATAATGTGTTCGTTAACCCCGATACCCGGGAAATCACCTGCATTGTGGACTGGCAATCTGCATGTGTGGCCCTGCTGTTCTATCAGTCTACTGTGCCCCGGATGTTCCGACATCGTCGGCCTGTGCAACAAGGTTGGGTCGTCCCCGAACGACCTGCCAATTACGATACCCTCAGCGACAGCGATAAACAAATGATCGACGATGACTTGGAGAGTGAGACCATTCACAAGTACTACGAAGCGCAGGTCTGTAAACGTGCCCCTCGGCATTGGGCCGTCCTCCATCAACAAACCGTTCCCATCCTCCAGAAGCCGGCCTGGCTGGTCACGGGGGTGTGGAAGAATCGGGATCTTTTCTTCCTCCGTCAATCGCTGATATCTGTCGCTCAACATTGGCAAGAAATTTCTCCTGGAAACCAGCCACCTTGTCCTATTCATTTCACGGAGAGTGATCTCGAATCTCACTCCAAGGAGGAAGAAAATATGGACGGCATTGGACACATGCTTGCCTTGTTTCGTGACCAAGGGGTTCTTCCAGTTGACGGGATGGTCAATCCGGATGATTATGAAACGGCCCGTGCAAACAATCGCAGATTCAAGGACATCTTCATTGGCCTGGCCAAGACGGAAGCTGAGAGGAGGTTATACACAAATTTATGGCCATATTGAAGGCAACAAACCACTCGCCACAAGGACGCCACTGGTGAAATGGGTTGCTCTGACAAAAAAAAGTGGATACCAACTTTCTGACCTAGCGTGCCTAAATGACACTACAACCACAACAACTAAGCCAACATTACATGCTACCTTTCTATAATTCGGGAACTCTGACCTTTATCCACCCTACTCCGTACTAAACTTAGCCTACATCTACATAGGCCAATAAATTCCCCAGTGTTCAGACCAACTGCCCGAAACAATGATTTCCTTGCCTAACTCAACTTACCTACATCGGACCTACGTAGACCCGGAGTAAATGCATTGGCCCTGTACATGTTGAGTAAACGTTGTTAAGAACAAACACTCCGAATCAATAGAGGCAATCAGTTCATGTCATGCTTATATGTTGTAGAATACGCCATCCCCGACTGAAGAGAAAGGTCCACCCGAGCCACAAGAATCAGTTGTGCTCTACCAGTTATTCTCTCTATACACCTGACTTTGGTCTTAAAACTGAACTTCTAAAATCATCGGCCTTGACATACTAAGTCCGAACAACAATGGCAAAAGCCCGGTATAGACCGGAGTAGCGCCAATTCACTATAGATCTCTGAGAGCTATCTTTGAATCCTCAGTCTGCTTCATTCTGGATGAAGACAACCTTCCATCTACGGTATCTACAAGCGAAATTTTACCCACTGACATACACTTACTACTTGGATTCCATTTTGATGTATCAGGGACCTGAATCATTCTAGTTGCTGTTTCATTATGAGATATATTTTATACTCCATTTTGCTTTCCATTTTAACCAAATGGCCACTCCGTTCGAGATTCCACCTCTGGCCAGCGTCATTTATCTTTATACCCAAAGTTGGGCAACTGAGATGAAAACAGTGAGCTATGTGTAGTGTATATATATCTGCCGTCTATCGTTCTTTAATATATGTGACTCTTAGACGTAGACAAGCCAGAACCTCCCCCGAAACAATACACCCTAATCAATCTACCAACCCAGCAACCCCCCTTCTCCATCCCCCTCCTCCTCTTCCTCCTCCGACCACACCTCCACCTCCCTCTCCCAAATCAAATCCCCATCCCGATCCGGATCCTCCACATGACACGCCGGCACTATCATCTCCCCCATCTCAATCCCCCTCACCTCCCTCAACCCCAATCCCAACCCAGCACCTCCCTCCTCCCTCTCCTCCCTCTCCTCCCTCATCCCCCCCTTCAACCCATGCACATGAAAATCATAAACCCCACCCATCCCCACCTCATACCCCCTAACCACCAACGTCTCCAATCCCAGTGGCACCCTCTCCCCAAGCCTAAACCCATCATCTCTATCCCTTCCAACTCCCCTAGCCATATACAACAGAAAATCCACATCGAGAGCCACCTTCCTCAACGCCGAGAAATCCGCCAACGATCCATTGATTCCCCACACCCAGGCTGGCAAAATACACGACGGTTCATTCTCCAAGTACTCGTGTTCATCTTCCCAATCATCGAGTGCCCTATTCTGTTCTTCTTCCTCGCTAACGCTAACATGAAGAAATTCCCCGCGGGACCATTCCGGCGGAATCCCCGCGTCTATATCCAACATCTCTAGTGTATTTCTATGAATTAAGAGTGCTTGTAGGATCCTTCGATAATCGGATAACGTGTAGGTTGGATCCCGATCCGGTGCTCTTCCGCCGATGGAGTATTGGAATTCGCGGAGGTGTTTACAGGAGCAGATGATTCGGATGAGATCTGGGTCAGCGATTGAGGAGTGGTTGATTTTGATGGTGGAGATGTTGGATGTGGAGATTGGGAATCCGCGTTTTCCGTATATGTCTGTGCGGTAGAGATCTGTGGTGAGGAATTCGATGGCGGGGAGGTGGTGGAAGTGGGTCATTAGGCCGAAGAGGTCTAGATTGAAGTAGAAGCGGTTCTCGTCCCAGAGTGTAGGGGATGCGGAGGTGGTTAGGTAGATGTGTTTGAGGTTTGAGAGTGGTTTGGGGGGAAAGTGATAATTGTTGTTGATTTGGTAGAGGAGCCATTCCAACGGGTATTGGATTGGGTTGTGATTGTCCTGGAGTGGGGTTTCGGTCCAGTACATCCCGTTCTCTGTTCCGTAGGGTTGGGTCAGAGATAGGGAGTGGAGGTTTGGGGCGGTGGAGATGATGAGGGCTGTGAGGGTTTGGGCGAGGAGGAGTTCCCGGGGGGCGTGGGGTCTAATAGATACTTCTATTTAGTTTGAAAATATCCTACTGGTATGTGGTAGGTAGGTATGTACTAACCCTGTAACCCTAAACCAATCTCTCTCTTCCGGATTTCTTCTGCGAAGTAACGATACCTGCGCAACAATCCTCACCAACCGATCTATTTCCTCTACAGGAAATCCCGCGGTTTGGATCGCAGCTCGGATTAGGTCTTTGTATTCTTCGTTCAGTGTTGCTGATACATTGGGCTCGTAGCCTGATATACCGTGGTGAATCCACGGGTCGTAGAACTCGATATGCCGGACGTAGTGACCGAGAGATGGTTGTTTGAGGATGCGGATGAGAAATGTGAATGCGCGGGAGAGGTCCGTGGCGTTGTTGGTGATGCGGATGCGGCGGAACTGTTTACGGGTGTTCATGTCGCAGAGGGAGTATAGGTGGTGGTTTTGGATGGATAGAGATGCGATGTCCTTGGGCGAAGGGAGGAGGGAGATGATTTGGAGGAGGGTTTCTTTGGGGAGGTGGGTGAGGGGCATTTTAACTGGGGAAGCGGGGATTGATGAAGATGTGGATGGAGGTTTGGGATTGTGTTTCGATTGTGTTGAATAAATGCAGGGAAGTGGTGGTTTTATAGATCTTGCAATGCTGGACATGTTCTCAATGTGGATAACTGTTAGGCAACGACTAGGCAGCACCGCTCGGGCCACTTGTTTTAAGGGTGGTCTGTGCTCAGCAGATAGCATTGTGGTTGACAAGGGCACAGGCCATTGGATGGATTGGATTGGTTGGATACAGAGCTAGTTTAATTTAGCAGATGTGCAAACATATATAGAAACCATGGAGCCTTGTCTATCGTTACATAACAACGGCCAGAGGATGGTGAACTACGACATCACGTGATATGGAGGAAATACAAATGGTTGAATCATCCTTCTTGACATGTTCCTTCAAATACACTACAATGGACAAACTTATAGAACCAGAAAGTAGCAGAAAGATAAGTTTAATCGATCCAGGCTAAAGTCTAAATTATCACCACTCCCATCTGCCACACACATCCCCACTATATATATTCTCACCACTCACAAACAACCATCGGCTTCATCTCAATCACATTAAACTCATAACAATAAATCGGCTTCGTGGATCCATCCCACTTCGTGCACTGCACTGTCTCCGACATATCGGGACAAGTAAATGTCCCCGGACCGTCGCTGGTGCCCTTATACACGCAGTCCTTCATATCGTGGATCTTGAACGGCAGGGTCCAGTCCCCATCGGGATACGGATATCCCTCGCTGTCCTCGTCGTTGGGAGCGGGTTCGGAGCCCACTCCGTCACAGGCAGTAAAGGAGCCTCCGATTTTAGGGGTGACGAATTCCCATTCGAATGCGTTGAGAGAGCTGGGGTCGATGTCCAGCGCGATGATCAATTCCGCAGTTGGGGATGCGGTTTTTGATGTCGTGGTGCTGGTTTTGGTGGAGGTTGTTTTTGTTGAGGTTGTTTTGGTTGAGGTAGATTTGGTTGAGGTGGATTTGGTTGAAGTGGTTTTGGAGGTAGACTTGGAGGTAGTGCTATCCGACGTCGTAGTAGGTGCAGCAGTAGTTGCAGAAGCCGAGTTCCCTGGTTCTGCACCACTGGTGGCAGTCGTGGTGAGAGTGCTGGATACAGCTGGCCCGATACCACCGGGGATGATAACGACTGGAGTTCCGCTGACAGTCACGGTGGTCGGGGAAGTCACGGACGGGACGCTGATGGTGCTACCGCCTACGACGATTTCACCCGAGGTCGGGGTATATGCGGTCCCTGAGATGACGACCGACTCGGGGTAAGATGTGGTAGCGGTGGCCGTGTCGAGGGTGAGTAGTTGGGAGAGACCATTGTTACCTTGATCATCCCACGGCAGGACGGTGACCCCACTGACACAGTATTCTCCTGTGGTGGAAGACTCTTCCGTGACGTAGCAGCCGGTCTTGACACTCGAGCTGGTGGTGGTACATGTGGTGAGGTCGCAGGATACGGCGTAGTCGGTGACTGTCTTGGTGGAACACTCGCAGCCTTCGTACTCGGCACAGATGGTAGAGTAAGGTGTCGCGGTGGTTAGGGTTCGACAGGAGGTCACGGTCTGGGTGGTGCAAGAGGATGTGGATGTTGACGAGGAGTCGTCTGTCTTTTTGGGTAGTTTTCCACAGTCGCTGCTGCAGCTTGGGGAGTTTGGTCCGCGGCTGTAGGTACTTGTTGGGGCTGCCTTGTTGTCGTTTGGGGGACAGTCGATGGAGAAGATGTCCAGGAATTTGAAGCAAGAAGGTGTAGGGATTGATGGGAATCCCGGGGGGTCAATGTCGGGGAACTTGGGTCCTTTGACGTTGGGCAATGCAGACCAGTAGAATCCTCCTTTGGTCACTGGAATAACCACAGGGACTACGGTGGTTGAGGACGAGGAAGAATCTGTTCCGGTTGTCGAACTTGTCTCGCTTTCACCCCAGACGGTGGTGATGTATGTTGTAGTGGTCATCTTCGCTAAGCTTGTGATCTGATCTTCGGAAAAGGTCTGGACCGTCCCGTTAGCAGAGACGACTGTCGTGGGCAACACCGTATTGTAAGGCTCAGTGGAATCCCAGGATCCGTAATGCGTGGATTGTGCCGGGGGAGTGATCACGTAGGTGCCATTATCAACACTGATAGTCGCAGCTGGGGGTTGGAAGCTGGTGGTCATGTTGAAGGTGAATCTGGTTTCACCGTCTGGGACGTAAAGGGGCCAGAAGCTGAAGTGATTGGTGACCACTATAGGCATCTGCATTAGTTGGGGATACAATAGGAGGAAGTGGACATACCTGGAGTGGGGGTGATGGTGGTCGAGATAGTAGTGCCGCCCTCAACCACAGCGCTGGAAGCAGCGGTAATGGTGGTGGTGACAGTACTGCCACCCACAGCCACCGCGGTGGTGTAAGGAGTCGTCACGGTAGATGTGACGGTGCTGCCATCCACAACCGTGGACGTGGTGTACGTCGTGGTGATGGTAGTTGAGACCGTACTGCCACCCACGACGACGGTGGTGGTGTGAGCAGAAGTGGCACCGGCCGAAACAGTACTTCCACCCACGACGACATGGGTGCTCCAGGGAGCATAGGTCACAGTGGAGGAGGTGTTAGAGGTCGACGTGGGCATCACCATCGTGCAAGGGGGGTAACATTGGAAGATCGGACTGGGCTCTCCGAAGACGATAGGATCGATATAAACCACTCCAGATCCATCCTCTTCTTCATTCCCTGAGCTGCCAATATCTGCGCCTTGCTCGGACAAAACCAGCCAGGCACTGATATCAGTTGAGTAGCCACTGCAGAAGACACATGTTAGTGAGTGATACTGATTCGTGATGGGAAAATCACGAGAAAGGGCCTCACTTCTTATTGTCGGCCTGATAGGTAGGGGGAATGACGCCTCCATCAGGGTAGACCATTTCGGTTGCACCGATGGTGAAAAGATTGTACATCCACAGACCCTGGGTGTAACTAGTCTCCATGAGACGCTCTTGGCAGCTTTCATCATCGAGGCAATCCTCGCTGTAGGATTCAAAGAAGCTGTACAAGCCGGCGCTGTAGATGAAGACGTTCTCCGAGCTCAGCACCTGCAAAGCCCAAGCCTTCTCGCAATTCGAGCCCGATGTACAGTCCTCAAAGGTCGGATCTGATTCAAAAGTACCAATGGTGTATGGCTTGTCTGCAGCAGGCGTGTCCTGGAAGTAGGGGCTCTCGGTTTGGATATGACCAAGGTAGATGTCCTTGGCATTATACAGCTGATATTGATACAGAATGCTGTGCTCCGAGGCACATCCATAGAACCATGTCGGGCCTGTACAAAGAATGTAAGCATATCTCAGAACTAGAGGCATTCCACGTACCTTGAGATTCTATCAACACTCCTCGGGCAGCGTAAATGTTAAGCTGCGTCGCTGAGGTGTCGGTGTCGTTGCTACTGATTTGAACATCCAGATCATGGTCTGCTACCCAAGCCCATACGTTCTCAAAATATCCTGAAGAAGTAGGTGTCAGGTGCAGCAGCATGCTGGCAGCCATACAGTCCTTGTTGACAGTATCCGACTTGGGACAGTCGCTCATCTGGAGGTCCGTTCCATTGGCACCACCCACTCGGAAGTGCGAATCCCACATTCCGGCTGCAGTCGGTTAGCCAGGCCATGCGATGAGTAATGAAGTCTTACCTGAGCCTTGAGTGGATTCACGGACATTCCACTCCATGAGAATGGCACCGGCAGTGGGACCTTTCACAGTGAACAGCATATCACTGATCTCCAGGGTACCTGAGTCTCCCTCATACCCTACTTGCACCATGACCTGAGGGCTGAGTTCATCCTCAAAATACTCGCCTGTGCCCATAATTTGAGACCATCCCTCCCCGACAATAATAGAGCCGACAGGAACAAAAACGGTACTCTTAACCAGGTAGATACCGGCAGGGAAGAAGATCGGGGAACCCACGTTATCACTAAGCAAGGTGTTGATAGCATCCGTTTGGTCTCCAGTCGCATCATTACTGATATTGTGTGCCGTTGCCACGATAAAGTCGCTCGCGGAGTAGGTGTCATACTGGGGCCGAGACTTAGTGAAGTAATCTCCATCCCCATCCAAAAGACTCTCGGGCTTATCAGGAGAGACATCCAGTAAGCCATAGGTCTCAGTACCAGTGCCATCAATGGATGTGTAGCGTCTCCCATACGCCCAGGACTCGATGTAAATGGATCCAGAAGAACCTGCCAACCGTCAGTCTTCACCACCACAACAGGGTATGCAGTTAGGGCAAACTCACCTTCGAAGAGAGTATCACCACCCGAGATCAACACAATACTGGCCGAATCCTGAACTAGCAAGTTATCCAGAATAATATCAGGATACGGACCACCATCGCGCAGAGTGATCGGGTATGGCACTGAGTAAAAGGTGGAATCTACAAGCAGTCAGCGCTGACTGCAAGAGCCTGGGCTTCTGCCAAACACTTACCAACCACCGCAATAGAACCCGTGCCCTGACTATCTTCACTTCCAACGCTGGTGCAGTCAAACGCAACCCAAACACCGTCAAACTCAACATTCTTCCAAGTAAAGCCCCAGTCCCAGATCATGGAAACACCGGTGAGACAGGAAGTGAATTTGAGGTTGCGTGCAGTATACTGCTGAGTACCAGCACGGAAGCCAATATTACCACCGTAGAATTCAAGGTCACTGAGAAATCCTCCGGAGCCATTCTCCATGAAGATACCAACCGCCGTGGTGGTTTCCTCCGAGGTTGACTCAGGCATGTTAAAATAGATGTTTTGCATGGACGTTGCCTGTGCCACCTGCCAGTGAATACCAGTGGGAACGTAGGCCTGGCCCGCGTCATAGTTGGTAAAGTTCATCTCAGTCATGTCAAGCTCAAAGTTACGGATCTGTCGATAAAATTGGTTTTGGTTGATGTACCACTCACTGCCGCTACCACCGGGGATGTAGGGGTCTGTGTCAATGAGCGCGATACCAGTGAAGTTGGCGGATCCTTTGATAATTGGTCGGTCATTGGGGTCACCAACGAATTGCGTGTAGTAGTACTGGACGATGGGAGTACTGATCAAGTAGGTACCAGGCTAGAAGTCATCCATTAGGCTCATCTTGCGTTTATTCATCTCTTCAAAAGGCACTTACTGGGAAGTAAACCAGGGCCCCCAGCACCGAGGTTGAGCCACAGTTCTCACCACAGCGGTTGCCGTCAGAGACTGCCCGGTTGATAGCTGCAGTGTCATCGGTAGTTCCATCACCGGTGGCGCCATAATCCATAACGTTACGATAAAACTCATACCCGCTAGGTGCGAAAGGCATCTGGAGTCGACATTAACGGAACGCTCTGATTCCAACAAAGGGGGTATTCAAAAGGGACTTACCTCTCCATGCGTGATGTCATCCATCCAAAAGTCGGAAGATCTACGATGAAGTGATCGGGCAGTAGAGTTGGTCCCGGTGCGATTTGTATGATATGCAGACTCATCATAGTGAAGAAGCTGAGCATCCGAAGTGATGGGTCCATTCATACTGCCTGCATGACGGTTAATGGGGATTCTTCCTTCGTCCAGTAGTCTAGTAGTTTGTACCTTTATCGGGAGCAGCGCCAAAAACATTGGGTTGGTTGTTGACCATGTACGACGGGGGAGTCTGTCAAGTTCTCTTAGTCATGTGAGTCACAAGCACAATGAGTAATGACATACCTTAGGCTTCCCCAGAGGAAGCTTAGAGGTATCATATCCAGAGGGCAGCTCGGGCAGTTCGAGCTCAACGATAGGTGTAAGGAAAGCAACGATTGTAGAAACATAGAAGGAAAGAAAACAAAGAATGAGGGCGATGCCCCAACCTCCACGAGAGGGGGCTGCCATAGTGGAAAAAGAAAAGGCAAAAGAATGACCTCCGCGAGGGAGTAGGAGTAGGAAAAAAGAGTGTAATCCAGGCCTTAGACCTGAGGGGACATGATGATAGACATTTGGACTGGCCTGGTCATAGGTACTTATAAAGCATTTCCACGGTGAAATGTGAAGGCTGACTGAAGTATCGTATCAAGGAGTCACGGAGAGATCCTGCATGACTGGATGGATCACTCATCAAACTATCTCGGACTCGGCTGCATACTATGGATAAATGTTGAAGACACGAAGAGATGAGGGTCCATTCACTAGCTTAGGGTTAGTGCTTATCTGCGGATCCCTTCAGCCTCCCGCTAATGCACCAGTCGCGCCGTGCCTCTGCATGAACGATGTGGTTGGCAGCGCCGGATAGACTATCCGATCCTTTGCGAACTATTCTGCAGAGATCATTTCGGCTATGACTTCTTCCCGAAAGACTCCATCCGACTCATCCTTCAAAGCCCCGTGGGGCATAGAGTTCGGGGAGGGTCAAAAATTAGTTCCTAGACTCGGCCTCGGTGATTACAGCTAGCCTCAAAATAGGAATCTTGGCTCGAGACGAGGGTTATACCATCCGATCATTATGCTCTCGTCCAAACAAAAGCAGGCCTTAGATACTCCTGTCCCAGTATGCTCTCCTGATTGAAAAAAAAAAAAAAAGGATCAAAGGATATTCTTTTTTCCTTTTTTTTTGCTCACCATCGTAACCATAGAGCTCCAAAAAATCTCGGACTTTGTATTTCTGCGTTAATATCCGATCTTATGGCCGAAGGTTAGGGTGGGTTCGACCTCCTGAAAGGGGTCATTTGTCCATCCTAGGGCCTGAAATGACAGAATTCCCCAACTAGACCAAAAGAGATACCTCTCAGGTTAGTGGAACAATTCCAAGGTAAATAGTTTCCAACATGAGATGCCTTAGTAAGCATCACACGACGCGATCCTAAAAAGAGGTAGTTAAGGACATCCTGAATGGCTAAAGAATCCTATCAACTGGTTTTAAGGGCTCCTGCTAAGCGTTCTTAGAGGCTTTGTCAATTTCCAAAGTACATCGATCAAGCACTCCCAAGGGGCTCAACTAATGGCTCTATCAGGCACCCCAAAAAGGGCTCTGTCAAGCATCTAAAAATTTAGTACTTGAGAAACCCCCGAGCAGAACCTGACCTAGTATTGCTCACCACTAGTGCGCTTCGCAAATTACACTAATTTCTGACCCTTGAGGAGCCCCACGTGAGCCGACAGGAGCAGAATTATTGATCAGGCAGCTACTCCGTGCCCTAGGCTAAAGGCTCTTGCACCTGTAATGGTTCTTTCTCAATTACCTTCAGTGGCTTATCTCCCATGGTATTCAGCCTAGGGGAGGATGCTCAGTAACCAGGGGATTTATAAATTGTCTTACTGACACCAATCCCATCGTGCAAAAAAATATTGTCGCTCATTTACCTACTGTCACTCATTTGCTCATTGTCATTCTTTTACTTGCTTCGGCATATTTCCTAATTAACTTCCCTCCCTTTCGTCATCATGATCGCCTCCATGCGAACCCAGACCTCCGGGGCAAACATGAGATTGCTCGGCAGTCTCACCTTGCTCTACCTCGGGTCTTTCTCCGCATTTGTCAGCGCAGAGCTGACCTACGAGGAAGCCAAGGACAAGGGTAATGCTCTATCCTGCCTGATGGAGAACACGCAGGCGGGTGCAGAGGCCTACATGGAGACCTACAAGCCCGGGACGGCTGTGGCAAGTCCTTACACTGCTTATAGTGATCTGACTAAATGGGGATGGCAAGATTCGGATAATTATCCCGAGGGTAATTATGAAGGTGTCTTGGACAATTATCTCACCACACAACTGGATATGGAGAATGAAGGTGGGGTGCCGATCGAACAAACCCAGACAAAGTCACCTCTCGTGGTTGAGGGTATTACCTATCCGGTAAGATGCCTCTGTTCTTGACTGGACTTTATGGCCGTGGTGGGCGCTTAAATACTGATATCGTCCAGCCTAGTGGAGGAAGATATGCAAACGTCTATTATCCGGAGGAAGGCCTGATCATTGCAGATGAGAACTATGGTCCGAGGAACAACAAGAAGATTGCGGAAGACGGCCAGCCCTATGTCAAGTTGCAGCAGTGGTCCGATGTTGTCTACCTGAACTGGGAAAACCAGGCAGGAAGCGATGTTTCCGAGTTGAAGGCTGTCATTCGGTTCAGCATTTCCAACCTCGGTGCCCAAGCAGTCATGAACACGGTGACTGGGGGTGCAGTCATTGGGGGCTATAAGAGCCCTATGAAGTTTGAGTCTGGGTCCGCTAACTACAATGCTCTGCTTGGAACTCCGAACGGGTCGGGTGTGGCCTGGCTTCTGATCAATCACAAGGCGCAACTTGGAATCAAGACGATCAAGTCTATTTCCTTGTTCCGGTCCAAGGAGCCCTTGGGGGGTGATCCGGTTACGAACATGGCGTTTGAGATAGTGGATTGGGAGGATACGTCCTCGACGACGTCGTCTTAGGGTATGAGACAAGATACTCGTATCTATGAGAGACTGGATACGGGATTGGTGCGAGATCGTCGTGGGAAAAGGGAGTGGGCGATGTGCCCTCTTAGGGGATGGGGATGTAGGGATGTAGTTGACTGGACCTCTCCAGAATGTATACCTTAATCAGATACTGTGTTTCTAGATGCTTGGTTCATTGCTTGGTTAAGCTCTTTGGGAGTTCTTGAATGAGCTTTTGAGAAGTACTTGCTGGTATTGCTTATCTATCTATGATGTTTTCAATTATGTGTCAAAAAAAATAATTCATTTGATGCTTACTAACGCGCTTCGCAACGCCTTAGCATGTGGACGGCCAGGACCTATTAAATGCCAAGGTATGCAGATACGCTCAGTACAAATACAAATGATCCGATCTGGAAGAAAAAGGCGAAGTCATGCTACTGATGGAATGGGCGGATTCCAAATGAACCATTTCCATTCCCGGCCAGAAGTGCTTTCTTTTGCGTTCGATATCCTCCAGATCCTCTGCACTCAAGATGCTCTCCCACCGAACGTACTGATCGGACTCTGATCTCGGACTCTGAGGCAGTTTAGGGGAGCCTTTGTCCGGGTACAAGAGACCTAGTGCTGCCATTCGTGTGCGATCCCAAATTGCGAAGCCAAAACGGCGGAAGGAGCGAAACTCCACATATCGACAGGGTGAGGTGTACCATGGTGACAAGGTTGTGAGGACGAATGAGTAGCCTGGCATGTTGTAATTCATGTCATTGGGATCGATGCTTTTGATCCGAAAGGCCGAAGGAGGAGAGCAGTGACAAGGAAACTGCCAGTCTGCACGGCGTGCGAGGGATTTGGCGGCGCGATATCTTTCGACCGGAGACGATAAGCCAGGAAACATGCAGCTGCAATCAGCCATTGTCCGAGTTTGCTCGATGAGCTGGTTAGTCAACGAATGCTGCCAGATCTCATCCAAATACAGCCCCTGCAGCTTGGACACTTCGCTAGCGGGCCAGTTCCACCGAGGGTTCGGTCCACTCACGGCGCTGCGCAATTCCCAAATAAGTATGAGCTGCCACAGAGCACGGATCGCCATCTGCTCTTCGATAGCCGACGGCGGTCCGGCATCGGCTTGCTGGTATCGTTCTCGCGGAGGCTTCGGGACGGGGAAATATTCGGAGACCCACAGCGACGGCGTCCGATGTACGTTGCGGATGTATTTCAGTTTGGGGTTTTCCAAACGATACATCTCAGAAGCCATGCACCGATCGATCATTTCATGCATACCCACATGGGCCAAATAGCGGACGGTTGATGATGCGGCTAAAACATCGCACAGGACGGGGAGAGGAATTTCACGTGGCAGCTGGGTATATTCCGTGTCGTCGGTGATATACTGTTTAATGAAGGTGTCCACTCCCTCCAGCGGACGGAAGTTCCATCGCAGATGGGCAAACTTCCGAATCAAGACCTGAGTCATATCTGGCAGGCTGAGGTCCATGATTGCCTCGATGACTCGACGGGCAGTGCCTTCTTCGTGCAACACGGAAAACACCGCCGGTGATGCGCGATACGCACTGTGGAGAGAGGCCAGATCCTCCAGTTGCTCCAGGACCATCACGAGCACCGGAGATGGTAAGATGGCCAGGATCTCAGGATGACCATGGTATTGCGACATGGTTTGCTCCATTTTCTCGGGAGACGAGCACCAGGTGAAAGGTTGAATTGACCCAGTAGAAATTCAAACTAGACGAGGCTATTGGGGTCAGATCTCAGCCGAGAGACTGATTTCCTCTTGGAAAGATATTAGTCGGCTGGAAATTGGTGCATGGATATACGTTTAAGCCTTGGGGTCTGCAGCGTCGAGATTACCCAGTCCAGCTAGTGTCTGGATCTAAGCCAGGCCCACACGAGATCGGTTCGAACCCCTGATGCCAAATCAGGGATTGACGGCCGGGATCAAGGCATGGTCCAGGGCCGAAGGATCCAAGCGTGGTGCTAGCGCTGTTGCCTGATGGGTCCGTGGGTCCAGGGAATTGTCGGAAGTTCGGACATCCTGATCCCTTCGCTTATGAGCTTTAAGCCTTTCAGATCCGAGATACCCACTATACGAGTGTAAGATAGCCGACGTCGCGGGCAGCTTGAGAATAGCCGGTTCTTCCGCAGAATGGATGGCACTTTACGAACCCCTTTCGACAGACATCCTGAAGTCGCTTAGTCAGTCTTGAGTAAGCCATCCATTCCAGAGTACTAGGCCATGACTTTGATGTTTTAAATTCTACCTTTTGTAACTGAAACACCTGACACGATCAAAATAGTATCTATAGTGAAAATGGCCTGGATAAGAAAGTAAAATTCCGTATGGTTCCAGGATCTATCTTGCTTACGGAACTCAGTGCCTGAATATGAGAGAGGGGACTGGCAACATTAGACTGTTTTGAAAATCGGCCCTTCGCTTCGCTAATGTGTGGGCCTTGAATCCAAATCGTGGTGCAATGGCTATATTCAAGGCTGACCATCATCACTCTTGTCCGATTGTTCACAGGAACGGGTTTTGTGGATCCCATTATACTGCCAATCTCTGATTCAAGAGTTAGCGAATGCGTCAGTCTCAGGACCGGGGTCCAAATGTCTGATAAGCATGGCTTGTTAAGCACCTGACTTCGTAATCATTCAAAGAACGCTGGAGAGAATAACACCCTGCATCTCTCAAGTGGGGACTGGCACATACTTAGCTAGTGGTAAACGCAGGGAGGTGTAGATTGGAGACTACTACTCTCTGGTCCTAATTGTGGGCTATTTTCAGGGGTAAATGCAGGGTGAATGCACACCCCGAGTCACTTTGTGGCTAATTATGTTCGTTTGTGAAGTCGTACACATCATGTCAACAATACCTGGTTGTAAATCTCAGCGCTGTAGACTTGTTGGATTACTATCCCCTAAGTCAAGACTTTATTAGTGTAAGTGTTGGCTGCTGCTTTATGACAAGTCACAAATCTCAATCTGTTATGATATACTTTATGTGAGAAGATGCGAGGCAATACGTATATGCTCTCGGATCCATGTCCAATGTTGGAACCAGCGGCAAGAGTACATTATTGTATTGCACCGTTGTCATTGCGCTTCTACTGGGATGTAGCACTAGGTTTATGATCAATATCAACAATTGCTTGATGTCATGCCAACTTTCATTGATTCATGCCGCATCATGATTGCCCTCACAGTGTTTGATACGATGTAGACTATATTATTCTGACTATCCTGCCATCTTTGACGGTGTTCTACGGTTACCAAATGACTTTACGAACTAGTGGATATCTGTAGTTACTCTCAATACTGTCTCTCCTTCCCATTAAAGAAGCGGATTTGGATTTCAGGTACGATCGGTATAGAAATAATATACTTGATTGATGGTACTGCAGTATTTGAACCATCATTGAACGTTACAGCATGTGGTAGAACTCGTATGGTAATCAATAATCATTTGTACAGTTATCGCTCTTATTCTGGCTATTTAGAATGTCTAGATCGGTATGAATATCACTATACGCTAGTATTATAATCTCAATAATTTGTTGAATAGTTGTTGGTCATGTTTTCTTGGGTCATTGTAGCAGTCAGTTCGTGTTTCTGAGTATACTATTCACAATCTTCTGATAAAGAAATAGTGAGTAACCATATGTCCTGAGGTATGGTTGAAGTCAGCTTCACATCTACTACCATGTCTTTCGATCTTCTACTGTCTTAGTTCATGACGCCATGGATATTGTCAACATCAGACTCTGAGAATTAAATAATATTAATGGGCTATGATATACTGGTATGAAATCTCTAAGTCTATAATAATCTGTCCCTAGCAATCCCTAAAGATACTCTCCTGGGAATTTCGGCTCTGCTTCTACATAAGAAGCGGCGTACGCTCCGGGGTTCTGAGAATACAGCTTAAAAGGGTTAGTAGCAGCATCAACCTGAGAGTATCTTTAAGCCGTGCAAAGGCGGGGAGAGGTGAATAGTAAGTCATTGACCAACGATCCATCTGTCACACCTCAAAATGTATGCATGCCGTTGCTGGGGCCAAAGGCCAGCGTGGAATGCACCCTGTGAGGGGTTGTATCTGCAAAGAACCAAGCAGGCTGTGGAGCTGGTATGGCGTCGAAAACCCGCTGTCCAAGGTAGCTCATGTCAAATCATCCACCGAGTGATTGTTCGGCTGGGGACATGTTCTCTTGGCAAAGTGATTAGTTGTCGGTTCAAATATGATGTTGTCACTGTTTCCTACAACGCCCGGCGCTACGTGGCTTGGTCCATATGACCGAAGATCGGCCTCGCCTACGTTGTCATGGTAGCAGCTGGGTATCTTCAACAACTCTATGGGTTATTCGAGTACCATGTTGTGTTGGGTGTATATTATGTCCATCCATATGTGTTGTCTAATTCAACAAACTAGAGTGTAGATGTATATTGCCGTGTATCAACCTATCAGGCTACCGCAGCAGTAGAGCATTGTCAATTCAAATTGGTCTGTCTTTCACATTCAAACTACCTAGACCGCTGTGTTGATAGATGACAGCATTCACCACCAAATTTGATAGTTTCCAGGGAACCACGTAGCCAAGTATATTAAGCTTCTAGCTCCCGCCCTATCATATTCCAACCCTCAATACCCGCAACTAACCCCTTACTGAACCGGCAGTTGGCAGAGCAACTCCACTTGTCTTCGATCTACCCACGAAGCATCCAACTGCTTATCGGGTCACGGGGGATAAGGCCAGCTGATCCCCGGCACAACCTGCCGGAAGTCGTCTAGCGGCTTGGCGATCAGCGATAGTGGGCGATCCAGGGGCTGTGATTGGCGGGGAAGGGAACGCGCAGAGCCGGGCGCCGCCGCGTCGAACTACCGGACCCGGTTAGCGCGGGCTGTCACGGGGTCGGTGTAGGACTTGCCCGATTGGGAACGCAGGAGAGGGAAGCTCAGCTGGCGGTATAAACGTCCTGTACGCCCTCACCGGCATCCTCCTCCTCGCATTCCTCCGTCATTCATCATCCATCATCCCTCCGTGCAGTCTGGTCCATCCATCCATCCCCATCCGCGCTCTCCGCTCTCCGCCCTCCCCCTTATCATCTCGCCCATCGGTCCGGCTTCCATCAATAGATGGCGTTCTCTCTTTATCCCCTCCGCCGCCATTCTCACGCTTACACCATTGCCCTTTCGCAACCGATCCGCAGGGCCAGTAGGAATTGAATCTCTGTCCAATCTATTATTCCATTGAACTATTCAATCCAAACCAAACCAAAAGAACCACCCACCATGGCCATCGAGATCCTCCCTTTAACGAAAGCGGACATCCCCGAGGCCGTAGAGTGCATCCAGAAAGCATTTGCCGACGATCCGTACTTCCACTGGGTGTTTAACGATCCATCCGGGGTAAGTAGTCCCTCCATTCGAGGTGCCTGGATTCCCCCACCTTCCCGTCCCAGGGATCCCGGTACCTCGAATGAATATGTACACAACTAGCCAGTTGTACATGTAGACCCCCAAGATCAATTTCAATACCCCCCCACACACCCTAAGATAACCAATCCACAGTTCAACATCCACCGCAACGCCGCCTCCCTAACCGCCCACTTCCTCTACGGTCTCTCCTGCAACGAGCCCATTTACATCGCCAAATCCACCGCCCCCAAAGACGCCTCCGACAAGTACCCCCCCGCGGGTCCTAGCGTGGTCGGCGTCTGCTGGTGGTTCAGTCCGCAGCCTCCCTCCAAATCCGTGCCCTGGTCCGTCTGGGCCCAGGACTGGCTCCTCTCCTTCCGACAGCTATTCTTCAACATCAAGTTCGGTGGCCGGGGAGGTCTTAACGTCCGTCGGTACTGGATGTGGAAGGATCGCCAGCAAAAGACCCATGATAAAGTGTGGACGGATCCCCGGGGATATTACTTCTGTAATGTGATTGCAGTGGATTCGTCGATGCGGGGGATGGGTGTTGGTCGGAAGCTAGTCGAGATTGTTTCTCAAAAGGCAGATGCTGAGGGTATGCCGTGTTATTTGGAGAGTTCGAAGGGGTTTCCGAATCTGGCTATCTATGAGAAATTGGGGTTTGAGTTGGTGAGTGAGATTGATTGTGTGGATGGGGGGGATGCGTGTAAGGTATGTTCTTTCTACCCCTTTGGTATGGTTTCGTTTGTCCCCGTGGGGTGTGGGTGGGCTAATTTGATCAGCTGTATTGTATGATTCGGCAGCCGAAGATTAAAGCGTAGCTTTTTACTACTTATCTGGGTACTAAGAGCACTTGCCAGGAGTCGGTGGTTCGCAGTGATTTGCTGCTACAAAAGTCTCTTGGTTATGCTGCGTGCGAACGCATCCTCTACAACAATTACTTCTCATCTCATTGTTCTATAGCATCTGAACTACAAATGCCAAATACATTCCTTATGTTCCATGTTTGCCACAGTAGATACTCATTATACTTTTGAACCCACAATCCCTACTTTTCTTCCCTTGGCCCAGGTCATTAGTGGATGTCTTCGTATCTCTTAAGACTGAGTATATGCACCCCGTAACCATCGTTTTTCAATAGAAAAACAAGCCGATCTGCGATATTGGGTTTATATATCTCTCATCTGTTGTCTCTCCCGATATATATGTGTCTGCGTACTATATATATTCACCAACAGAGCACACCCATCCCAAATCAAAATTGAAACTCCGTAAGAATACTCTTTGCAATGCATGGGCAACTTGTACTAAGAAATCCAAATCCAGGGATATGCAACACAAACTCTAAGCTTTTATTAAGTTCTGTTAGGACACGAAGCCGAAGAAAAACGAGTGATATTGGTTGACTAGCTAGGAGGGCTTCTGCCTACGCGGGATGAAAAGGACAATAATACAGTGGCTAATATAATGAGACATGTGACACGCTTGCTTACTGACTAACTAGCTGTTTAGATATGGCTTTCTAAATGAGTAGAAGTACTAGATATAGTATATATAAAGCCAGACTTTCTATTTAATCAGGAAATAAAATAGTAATATCAAGTAAGTTCTGAGACGGCCGTTCAACACAAAATGAGGTCGTATTGGTGCTAACTACTCTAGAACTTCAAACGTGAGGAAAAAACAGAAACACGAAGTGTTGTGGGCCTCGCTTCCTACAACACTGGCGACATCAAGGCAAACAGGACAAACAGCGTGACGTAAGCATCACGTGACTGGTGAGTCCGCTGCCGTCACAGAACACTCGTCCGCACTTACGAATAGCTGCGCGGCACTATTCGGCCTTACTTCTCTTCTCTCGTCCAAGACCAAGTCGCCCTTAGATAGTCATCAGCCTGATACTCCTTCGACCCAGCTCGACGGTACGTTTACCAGTGAAGCTAAGCTAACAGGGACAGGGAAGCGATCCTAGGGTTTGACAACAAGTCACAGAGATAGTAATTCTTAATAAATAAAGTTATTATAGGTTGAAATTAAACAATAGTAAATCAGTTATAATAATACCCATTTATTACTAGTAATACAAATAAAATAAAAGAAACTGAAAGCAGTAACTCAAGAAGCTCTTTATAAGGTTAAAATACTATTTAAATATTATAAAATAAAGAATAAATAATATATTATCTAGTAAACTTTATATTACCAGAGATCTATATTTTCTGTATCTTATTAAATCTAGTCCTTACTTATATCAGATATAAATATAGGAATATATCTAATAATTAACTGAATTGCTTTAAAAAGGGCTTCAGACTTGGAGTATTTATCTTAAAAAAACTATCTTTCTAAAAATATAATATATATTTTTTAAAATAGGAAATCCTCTATACTAGAAATAGCCTGCTGTTTGCAGACTATATAAGTCACTAAGTTTATAACTAGTCAAGATATTTTTACTTAGTTTTAAAGCTCCTTAAGACATTTTTATAATTAATTAATAAGTTAGAAGTAGATCTAGTAAATAAGTAATTATATTAGTTGATAAATATGTTCAGTCAATTATTAACTGGGTTAGAGAAGTGACGTGAGATCAGATAATATACTAGCTGTATGTCAAACCCTAGGATCGCTTCTCCCTGTTCCTGTTAGCTTAGCTCCCGTTCCAATACGTACCTTGTGAACTGAATCAAAGGTAGTCAGGTTGATGACTATCTAAAGGTGACTTGATCTGAACAAGAGAAGAGAAGTAAGGCCAGATAGTGCCGCGCAGCTATCCGTAAGTAAGTGCGGATGAGTATTGTTACTAAGCTTTATCAAAACATATGGTTACTTAAAGACAGTGTTATTGAGCATGAAGAATAGAACTAGCTAAGTACATGAAAGAGTGTCCTTATATATCCATTCCCTGTATACCATTCTATATACCATCGGGTCTATTGTATACCTACTTGGTAATCATAGACCATGATAGTATGTTATATATTATATATTTGTCTGTATACTATAATCACGTGATCTGTATTATCTGATAGTCTAGATCAGGATCCTTCTTGATAAGAGCCCTCTTCCGTCTGGATATGGTCTTCTGTTTAACATACCTGCCTTACTAGTTGTTTAGCTAGCAGGGGTCTGTAACACTATCTCCCCTTCTTTAAGGTTCTTGTCCTTAAGAATATAAAGATGCATGTTCCTCGTCCAGGTTAACTGAGTTCTTTAATTTCCTTTTTTCTTAAGATAGATCATTATGCCTCTATATAATCATTATAAGAAGTACTATTAGCAGGCTGACTAGATTATTTATAATAATATCCAGATTAATTTTCCTTATACTTAGTATGATTCCTATAGTCTTCCTTGTTTCATGGATTCTAAAAACCAAAATTATACAGCTTACACTTATCATGACTAAAAATATAAAAAGTGATTTTACAGTAATTCCGAGTAAGATAAGCTTTAATATAATGAAAAAAAGATAGCTTAAGAGATTAAAGAGACTGAAGAATAGATTAAGCTATTATTTATAAAAATAAAGCAGTTGCAAAAACATCGCAGATTTCTAAAGAATTATGATAATTAGATGTTAAATCACGACTTGAATATGTTAGAGTAACTAGATAATAAGGATCCTCTAAGTACTGAGGATCTCTGAAAGCTAGAATATCTGGTTAATAAGTATAATACTACTTAACTTGCCGCTATGTCAGATACTCCTAGTCTGACTTAGTTAGTTAATTCTTCTTCTTTCTAGACGAACTTTGACCTGTCTATCAGTAATACTGCTCCACAAGCTGATAATAACCTGTTAAATTCTTGATAGGTTCCCACATGTTTTCTGAGATATTATATTCTTCTTATTTTATTAAATACTATAATCTGCTACTAATCTTTCTATAATCTAGAATCTTTTTAACTTTATATTCTTATTCCATGTTATTATCAATCTCCATATTTTCTGCAATTCTAGTATTCTTTAATACAGGTTCTAATAATGAGATATAAAATACTGGATGAATTCTATTTATTAATTTTGATAATCTTAACTTATAGTTAACTAGTCTTTTCTTGTCTTTGATAGCAAATGGTCCTAGCTTGTAATAGTTAAGCTTCTGACTTAGTTATTTTATCTTGATATTTCTGCGGAGTAAGAATACTTTTTTCTCTCTTTTTAAGTCAGGTTCTCTTCCATATTTATGATTATAGTATATCTTACTGTATAAGTTCATGAACTTAATATCTTAGAATAACTATAAATATATGTTTTCTATAAACGTGATAATATTCTTAGCTATATTAATAACTTACTGCTTCTCTAATAATGTCTTCAGAAACCTTGGATAATATCTGTAATTAGCGTAAAATAATAAGACTTTAATAATTAAGTAATTAATATTGTTGTATAAAAACTGTATTATTAATAATAAGTTTATCTAATCATCCTACTAGTAGTTCACGTAATGTTTTAAATATTGTTTAATTATTTAATTAACTCTTTTTATTTGTTTATTTATTTACAGGTGGTAAGCTTGTCAAACCCTAGGATCGCTTCTCCCTGTTCCTGTTAGCTTAGCTCCCGTTCCGATACGTACCTTGTGAACTGAATCAAAGGTAGTCAGGTTGTTGACTATCTAAAGATGACTTGATCTGAACAAAAGAAGAGAAGTAAGGCCAGATAGTGCCGCGCAGCTATCCATAAGTAAGTGCAGACAAGTATTGTCGCTAAGCTTCTACCAAAACATAGGTTACTTAAAGATAATTAGAATTGAGTATAAAGAACAAAACTAACTAAGTATATGAAGAAATGTCCTTATATATCTGTTTCCTGTATACTATTCTATATATCATCAGGTCTGTTATATATCTACTTAGTAATCATAGACTATGATAGTATGTTATATATCACATACTTGTCTGTATACTATAATCACGTGATCCGTGCTGCCTGACAGTTCAGATCAGGATCCTCCTTAATAAGAACCCCCTTTTATCCAGATATGGCCTTCTGCCTGACATACCCATCTTACTAGTTATTCAGCTAGTAAGGGTCCGTAACACCACCTCCCCTTCTTCAAGATTCTTATCCTCAAGAACATAAAGATATATGTCCCTCGTCCAGATCAGCTAAGTCCCTTAATTTCCTTTTCTCTCAAGATAGATCATTATACCTCTATGTAATCATTACAAGGAATACTATCAGCAAGCTGACTAGATTATTTATAACAATATCTAGATCAACTTTTCCTATACTTAATATGATTCTCATAATCTTTCTTGTTTTATAGATTCTAAAAACCGAAATTATGCAGCCTGCACTTATCATGACTAAAAATATAAAAAGTAATTTCACAGTGATTTTAAGTAGAATAAGCTTTAACATAATAAAAAAAGAATAGTTCAAGAAATTAAAGAGACTGAAGAACAGATTAAGCTATTATTTACAAAAATAAAGCGGTTGCGAAAACATCACAGATTTCTGAAGAATCATGATAATTAGATATTAGATCATGATTTAAATATATTAAAATAACTGGATAATAAGAATTCTCTAAGTACCAAGGATCTCAGAGAGCTAGAGCATCTAGCTAATAAATATAATACTGCTCAACTTGCTGCTGTATCAGATACTCCTAGTCTAACTCAGTTAGTTAGTTCCTCTTCTTTCTAGACAAACTTTAACCTGTTTATCAGTAATACTGCTCCACAAGCTGATAACAGCCTGTCAAATTCTTGATAGGTTCCCATATATTTTCTGAGATATCATATTCTATCTATTTTACTAGATACTTTAATCTATCACTAATTTTCTTGTAGTCCAGGATCTTTTTAACTTCATATTCTTTCTCTGTATCATTATCAATCTCCATGTTTTCTATGATTCTAGCATTCTTTGGTGCAGGTTCCAATAATAAGATATAAAACACTGGGTGAATTTTGCTCATTGATTTTGGCAATCTTAACTTGTAATTAACCAGTCTCTTCTTATCTTCAATAATAAATAGTCCT